TTAGGTTATTGTGCTGGGTACTTTTCACATTTCTTAAAGGAATCATCTATAAGTTTTGTTATTTGTTTTTAAATTTGGTTTGGCAGAATTGGATGAAATTTGCACACTTGTTACTTCTTTTAAAGGAATGAATCCTACCAAGCTTCAGATGGATAGATGCAGCAGTTTCCCCACAAGGGCACTATTTACAGTCTGGGGATGGTTCAAGAAAGGATTCACTTAATCTCCCCTACTTTTTGTGAGCAATTTGAATGAAAAATGAGTGAGGAGCCTCTAGGTGAGAAACCTGTCAAATTGCAGGTAATTGGTCTTATGCTGGGCACCTTTAAAGTCGATGGGGGAAGAATACTAAAAGAGACTCGCTTCCCTCCCTGTGGTTTTGTCGATTTAATTATGAAAAGGGGCATGCATAATAAAGGTACCCCATGGAAAGTAACTTGCAAAATTTCAGGAGGATTCATGCAAGGGCTAGGGAGTTATGATAAATGGAGGGGGGTGGAGCTTCAGGCTTGTGTTCTGCTGAATTAGCACCAAAAGCTGATTTGACTGGGCATGTTGGCACAGAAGTGGATGTTCTAAGCAAGCCCCACTAGCAGAAAGAGTGCAGAACAAACAAGAACTAGGTGAAACAGTCACCTTTAGGGAAGGGATATTGAAATAGTGTTATTGGTAAAGGTAAAGGTAAATGGACCCCTGACCATTAGGTCCAGTCGTGGCCGACTCTGGGGTTGTGGCGCTCATATCGCTTTATTGGCCGAGGGAGCCGGCGTACAGCTTCCGGGTCATGTGGCCAGCATGACTAAGCCACTTCTGGCGAACCAGAGCAGCGCACGGAAACGCCGTTTACCTTCCCGCCAGAGTGGTACCTATTTATCTACTTGCACTTTGACGTGCTTTCGAACGGCAGGAGCAGGGACCAAGCAACGGGAGCTGACCCCGTCGCGGGGATTTGAACTGCCAACCTTCTGATCGGCAAGTCCTAGGCTCTGTGGTTTAACCCACAGCGCCACCCGCATCCCCAGTGTTATTGGAGACGATGGTAAAATCATTGCCTCTTATTAAAAGCCTGACCTGTCAGTCACAAGAGAGTTGTCCTTCCTCCACTATGACATTTGTTATTGCGGTGAGCCCTGGGAGCAATATTTCAGTTTTTTAAAGCACACTGCCTACAGAGTTTCTACTCTATCCAAATCTCTAAATCACCCTGCATCACTTTAGAGATCCCTGCTTTAGTTCAGGGTGCTTTGCGGAGCTCTAGCTCTGGCTCCGGCAAGCCCTGAATCTGTCTGAAGTAGTTTTCAGATCAGGGTTCAGGAGTCACCTGATGCACATCTCCAACAAGTACACAAAGAGAAAGCCAAATCAAATATTTAGCGACCATTTTCTACAATGGGACCGATAATCCTACATAAAAGCACTGACCTATGTCCAATTATGCCCCCCCCCCGCACACCTTCTCCAAAGCAGCTGGAAAAGCCATTACACCTGATGGCAATCAAAAGGAAGCAGCAGTGCTGATCCGACTAACATTTAGAAAATTTTTCATTAAATGATTTAACTGGGTAAAGACTAAAAAAATTGCTTCTCTTTCAAAAGAACTGCATGGCAGGATTTTAATTAAAGTGAATTAATATGGTATTTTCATTAATAATGCAGTGAAAAAGAACAAATCATGTGAAGGGAATTTAAGGAGGAAAAATACCCCTCAATTCTCTCCTTGCCCGACTGATTCTCACTTTTCTTCCATAACCCCTTTTGTTACTCAGTGTAAATAGTTGATTAAAAATCCCCTAAAGTATTAACAGATGAGTAGCCTTACAGAATTATTCTGAAATATATCTTCTCTCATGTTAATAATTTTTTGAGCTACTTGGTTTTTGCCTATTCATTTCCTTCTGAAAAACCGTATTGTTGACCCTATAAGAACAAAGACAGCAGTCCTAGACCCAGTTACCTGGGAGTAACACATGTATTGTAGGAGCACAGATAAAGAACTTTTGTCCCCAATGCATAGATGCATAGCCCATTGCTAGATATACATCTCCATATCCAGCAAAACAGGTGTCCAGCCAGTGCATAGGGTGTGATGGAAATGAAGATATATATCTGCATTCTGCGCATAGAGAGCTACTTCTGTGTGCAGTTCTCACTAGTTGATTGGGACGTTTGCCTTACTTTGCTCTTGAAGGTATTCAGAACCCATTTTCACATTTTCTCTGCCTTCCCTTTGAGCTAAACCTGAGCTTTCCCCCATGTCTTAAGTCAATATTCTATTGGCAGCACAGGCTGCCCAAAAGGCAATCTCCCTTTCCCTGAGTCAGCAGATCTACTTAAGCTTTCTCTTTGCTACTTATTGTTAAATGGAAACTTCAACAGATTGTTGAGATAGGTCCTTAGCCCCCTGAGTCTATGACATCATCCACTTCAAAGGGCTTCCTCTCTTGATAAGAAGGGAGTTTAATCAATGTGGCTGTCTGGAGACAGCCTTCTGGCCTTTTGACTGCTTGACTGACCAGTTTCCATGGATACCTGCTACTGACAGCCTTTGCCCAGCTGAGACGCAGACATAATTTTGCTTTCCATGAACAATGAAACTAAATCCTTAGGTCACAAGTAACTCAAGACCAACTCATGGAGGAGAGGGCTATCGAGGGCTACTCTCATGGTGGCTTTTTCCACGCCACCCTCTCTGAGCTGCTTTACGAGGCTGGGATCATTTTCAAAAGGCCATTCCGGTGGGATGACCCAAAAGGGGGAATTCTAATTCAGGTTTAGTTGTTGGCAATGTTTCAACATCCACTTCTTTTATTTCTCCAGGCTTTTGGTTATTAACTGCGCCTTTTGACAGAGTTTATTATCTGCTGCATTGTTTTTTAAAGGTTGCTTTTTATAATCTTAATGGCTATATTATAATATTTGCATTGTGTTTCAAGATTGCTGCTAGTTGTCCTGGCTCCATATAAATAAATAAGAGAGGAAAATATAGAGCATGTAAAAATATCCCAATCCACAATACAATCATGTAAACAAAATGGTACTGTAGGAGTTAAGGTTAAAATCTGATGCATAGTTTTACTCCTTACATTCGGCACTATTGTAGACGAATTAATATCATATATGCATCATTTCTGAGATCAGAGATTCTCATGTAACATGTCGCCTTGCTTCTTTTTAACTGCAAGCTTTGATAATATATTGAATAGGACCTATGCTTTGGTTAGGATGATCACCGGGGAATCTAAAACATCTTATTTTAAATTGGTTTGATTAGCGAAACAGGCTCCTACTGCAGCTTTTGAACAACGGCTATGTTCTGTTTTTGAAGCCGGGAAACAAGAGCCATTTTGCTGGTGTACATTTTCCCAATGTGCCACTGTAATCTTCGGTAACTCCAGTTCCTACAATTAGAAACATCTTTTTAAAAATAAATAAGCACTAACATGCTGTGAAGCTGAGGGAAAAGGTGAATAGCTCAAAAACAAGAGCAGTGTGGATATGTGAGCAGCTGTTCAAATCAAAAGCACTTTACAGTACAGTCATACTTTGGAAGTCAAATGGAATTCGTTCCAGAAGTCCGTTTGACTTCCAAAGCATTTGACTTCCAAAGCACAGCTTCTGATTGGCTGCAGGAAGGTCCTGCAGCCAATCAGAAGCCATGGAAGCCCTGTTGGACGTTCGGCTTCCAAAAGAACGTTCGAAAACTGGAAGAGTCACTTCTGGGTTCGAGAAGTTCAACAACCACGGTACCACTGTATTGCAAAGGTTTAGAGGTGCAGTTCTATACTATAAAGCAGGAGTTCCCAAACTGTGATCCACCAGTGGTCCACAAGTTTCATTCAGGTGGTCTGTGCCAACGTGTGGCAGGTCTGTGAAGAACGCTTACAGTTTGAATAATATGGGATATAAAAAAGAAACAAAAATGCAATTAAAAAGCATATGGCATCTTGAACTCTGCAGTTGCTGCATGAGTAGGTAGGGTGATAATCACTAAGCGCTTCAGAAATTTTCTAGTGGTCGGTGTGGAAAATAAGTTTAGAAACCACTGCCATTCATGTTTTCCACAGAGGAGGTATTAGCAACTGTAAGTGGTACAGCCAACGTGTGAAGTTAACATTGTCATTTTTAAAGTTTGTGATTGGCCACCCATAGTGCATTCCTATACATACGCACTTAAAAGTCCCATCATGCTCAGTGGGGCTTACTCCCAGATAAATGTGAATAGGAATGCAGCCTTAAACTTTCTCCCATTGAAATGATTGGCAAAGCCACCATCATTTCTTCAGTGTCACGAAATGAGCAGACCTTACAGAATAAACAAACTATAATAGAAACGTCAGATGCATTTTGAGAATCTATTGGAAAAGTCCATTTGAGTTGATTTAAAATTCTGAGAAAAATGGATGTGTAAATGGGTCTTATGTGTGAACATATCAGAATCTGTGCTAGGCATTTGGTAAAGTAATAGCAGTCATAGGAAAAGATAATGAATTCAGAGGAAGCATACTGCACAACATTTAAATGCATCCTTGTATTTGGAACCTGAATGCTATCCCAACATAAGTTCCATGTATTATTGATGTGCATACACATCAGACAAACGCCTACAAACAAATAAAAACCCTCTTCTAAAGCTCAATTTTTAGATTGGACAAGGTAGAGGGCCTTTGGGCACCAAGAGGAGTATTTAAGCACAGCGCCCATGGCTGCCACATTGGGTGTCCTAGTCTTAGCTTCTGATGCAGCTGCACGGGCAGCTGAGTATAACTGTGTGTGTATGTCATATATTCTTCCTGTTCACCCATGACACATAAAACAATAACATTGAGAATGGCCCTACAACAGTTACTTGTTTCTTATTTTAGACTTGTTTACTCTGCCTCCCTCCCCCGCCATGAACTCAAAGCGGTTTACACCATGAAAACACACATAGAAATATATCCACTATAAAACTACACACACTCCATAAAAATGAATATTGCAAGAGAAGATGACTGAGTCATGGTATTCTGGAAAGCTTTTATTATATTATATAGTTTACAAAATCCCTCTATTTCAACAAATTAGCAGTCATTTCCATTCCCTTAAAAATAAATGCGCAAAAAAAATTGTATACAACAATCATTCAGAACACATATGTTTTAATCTTGTACTATTTATTCCTGAAGTAGGTATGTAACGACGACGAAAATGGCAGGAACAATGAGAAGCCGGCTACAACTCTTTAATCCTTTACATTGCCTTCAGCAGCAAGAATGCTGCTCCTTTCACAGTGCACCTACAACAGACTGAGTAAAGGCAATCCTAATTATGTTTACTCAGAGGTAAGTCCTGTTCTTGAATTCAATGGGGCATACTGTCAAATAAGTGGGGTTAGGATTGCAGCCTAACCCATAGCTCCTATTTGAAATCAATGGGACAAGTTATTTGTGACTTAAGTTTCCACTGAAATCAATGGGATTAAGTGCAACTAACTTTGTTTACATCCAGTCCTGACTATATATACTGAAGGTTTTATATGTGCCTAAACCACTGCAGGTGCAACCAAATCCCTAAAGAATGCTGGTCTCTAGGGTGCAGGGAGTGGGTGGGTTCCTGAATCTGAACTATACATTTCACAGTTCTTTTACTTAATGAGTTTAACATCTGGGATCTACAACCAATGGGCAGAATCAGCATAGTTACAGGAAAGATCAGAATGTGAAGTCAGGTATTTGCTTTCTGCTTTTATAGCAGCAGTTCCCTGCTGAAGTGAATTCTGCTTTTGCTTTGGTCCTAGTTCCTATATGCAGTAAGACATTCTCAGCCAAAGTTTGAGCAGAGGGGGATGGCTGAAAGTTATGGGGTGGGAGGGGTAAGAATTGAAATTAGCGAAGTGAACAAGAAAGAATTCCTCTTTCCTTTCTGGTCTTGGTAACCGTTTTTGCCTCAGACTTAGAATTAAGATTTATGTAGTCTTACACAGACACTGTTCCACATTCTTCTGCCTAGAGGAATGTGGAAATAGTGCTAGCATACAGTATGCATATCTGCATTCCAGGAAGGACGAAACACAGGAAGGCCATACCTGAAGTCCAGACCAGATCATCACATGCATCTTTTATCACCAGGGAAGAAACAGCTCAGAGGGTTAATGGAATTTTTAACAGGAAAAACAGCAGAGTAGGAAAGGATAAAGCAGCCACATTTTAATCTTCTCTTCCTTCAAAGCTATTTTTGATCAAGGGGGGAAATAATAGAAAATATAGGTGACAGGAAGTTTTGGATGTTTTCCCTCCACTTAAAACAGCATCATGGCCACCACACCAAGTTTGTCCACTCTGGTCATCTGTAAAGAACAAGTGTGCCATTTAAACCTTGTTAACGTAAGCCTGCAATATCACTACACTTACATGTGAGTAAAGCCCAATGAATATAGTGGGACAAGCTTCAGAATAAAGATACATAGAGATAAACCTGCTTAAATCACAGAGTAGAATGTATTTATGAAAATAACCCATAAGAAACTATCCATCTGCATACATTTCTCTGAAAAGATCTGCCCTTTTTTATACTCTATATTTTGAGTAGTTTCTATATTCTCAACAAGCAATTAAATAGTAGATCTGGGCAGGTCACCCACAGATATCAGGGCACACGAAACAACAAATCTAGTCGCTGGTTGGCCAAGGCTGTTCTGAAGCAGCGGTAGCTCATTGACAGTTTGGAACTATCCCAATAAGGGAGTGATTCCAGCAGGTGACTTCTTCAACATAGGACACTGGAGAGATCGCTACCAAACCCGACAGGAGTCTCCACCTCGATTCATTGTTGTTGATTCTGGGCAGTTGAAAGCTTTCTGGAACTCCTCAAAATTACTCATGGCACCAATAACTCTGCAGGGGAGGGAGAAAAGAAAGATAAGTGGACTCTTCTCCAGACTTTTGGAGATGTTGTTTCTTCAGATTCATGAGGTATCCAGTTTGGACACTGTGTTCAATCATAGCTTGAATGGGATGCAGCTGTGTTGATCTATATATTATATGTACAGGATGAGTCTTTTAAAAGAGTTGATACAGAGTACACATGTTCCACGGGGCCTCTTTTAAAAGACTCACCCTGTATATGTTTATCTATGAGAATGCCATAGCCCACTCAACCAGTTCAATCTGCTGAACTGGCACTGTTATAGGTCCCCCATAATACCCATTCTGTGTGGCTAATAAATTGATATTTGTTTCTTCACTGTACTCTTTTTGGTGTCTGCTAAAAACATTTATATTTAGACTAGCTTACCCAGATATGTAGAATGTTGGCAAGTGTTTTCATCTTTTATGGCTAATTTTATTTTTTTGCATGTTTCAAATATTTATTTATTTTTGCCCCCCAAAAATTCTCTTTGTAAATCACTTTGAGAATATTTACAACCAAGCAGTGTATAATATACAGGACGCGGGTGGCGCTGTGGGTAAAACCTCAGTGCCTAGGACTTGCCGATCCCCGCGGCGGGGTGAGCTCCCGTCTTTCGGTCCCAGCTCCTGCCCACCTAGCAGTTCGAAAGCACCCCTAAGGGCAAGTAGATAAATAGGTACCGCTTTATAGCGGGAAGGTAAATGGCGTTTCCGTGTGCTGCGCTGGTGCTGGCTCACCAGAGCGGCTTCGTCATGCTGGCCACGTGGCCCGGAAGTGTCTCCGGACAGCGCTGGCCCCCGGCCTCTTAAGTGAGATGGGCGCACAACCCTAGAGTCGGACACGACTGGCCCATACGGGCAGGGGTACCTTAGTGTATAATATGTGTGTGTGTACACTCTCTCTCTCTCTCTCTCTCTCTCTCTCACACACACACACACACACACACACACACATATATATATATGCAGCAGTATGTATACCCAATAAAAATATATATTCTGACAGCTGAAAAGTAATGCAACTTTTAGGTTTTAATTAGAAATGCAAAATATCTTGCAAAGAACTGTTCCAATATAAACTTCTAAAGCACAGCAGGAACCCCCAACACAGCATGTAATAAAAACAATTTAAAATGCACAAATCCTGCATGCTTGGGTGGTGGTCCAAGCTGGTGCCTCAGCCAGGTTGCTTCATGGAAGGGCCACCTCTGTCAGGAGTATTTAGCTTTTACCCATTCTATATTCATAGGAAAAGTTGTTTTTAAAAGAGAGCATTTGCATAGAGAGAGCCCCAGCAACTACAGTTAGCAATCCTAACACCTGAGTTTTGTCAAAACAGAAGAACAGCATCCTGTTCTCACATGGGCCAACCAGAAGCCTGTGGAAAGCTGCAAGCAGGACACAAGAGCATTCTCTTCTTCTGCTGTTTCCAGCAACTGGCATTCAGAAGCACTGCTGCCTCTCATCATGGAGTCCAAGCACAGCCATCATGGTTAGTAAACGTCAAATCCATGAATTTGTCTTATCTTTTATTCAAGATCACAAGCTGCAGCATTCCCTCATAGAGGAGTTGCTCCACCCCTTGGGTCATTTTGGTTGCCCTTTTCTGAACCTTTTCTAACTACAATATCCTTTTTGAGGCACCCAGACCTGTACACAGTATTCAGGGCCGGATTTAGGTTTGATGAGCCCCTAAGCTACTGAAGGTAATGGGGCCCTTTATATGTCCAGCTTTCCTTTGTCAACAACAAATTGTCACTGTTTTTTGTGCTGAATATATGCTATATGGTAATTTATGGACCTAATAGGTATCTAAAGCCATTTGCACATAACAAATAGGAGCCTACACAACACAAAACACTGTTGCTGTATGTAGGTTTTATTTTATTTGTTTGGAAATGTACATCCAGATTTTTTCCCCTTTACGTTTTTGGGGGGGCCCCCAAGAGAGTGGGGCACTAGGCTATAGCTTGTTTAGCTTATACGTCAATCTGGCACTGACAGTATTCCAAATGCAGTCGTATCTTATACTTGTAGGCTTTATTATCCGTGGCTTTATTTTCAATTGCTTTCCTGATGTTCTCTAGCATGGAATTTGCCTTTCTCGCAGCTGCCACTCATAGGTCAGTATCTTCATTAAGCTATCAGCTACAACCCCGAGGTCTCATTCATCCAACCACTAGTTGGAATCCAGAGAAAAAAGGCAGCAGGGTCTTCCCAGTAGCATTCATTGTTAAATGTACATTTTAGCTACCTTTTATTAATCTGCTTCCTAAAGTAAACAACACTAATTGTCAATCACCTTTTGAACCACACTTTAGACATGTGCTTAATCATACTTGTTACCCCTTGTCTGAACTGCCTTCAGATCAGCAATCTTATCTTGCCAGAACTGCGCACAATATTCTTGACGAGGGCACATTGCTAATTGGTCTAATGGCATTATAATCCTCTCTGTGTTATGCATTGATATCCGGCTTGTTCATTGCCTGAGGCAGCATATTAAACAAGGATCACAACAGTAGTGCCCCTAATTTTAACCTGATCTTTTCCCCTGAGTTATTAACGTATTACCTACATAATAGTGATTTCTATGTGCTTAATTTAAATTACACTGTGGGTTCATTCAGTCTAAGACCCACTCAGAACAGACCCACTGAAATGACCAAGTTAAATTTCAGTGGGTCTACTCTGAGTAATACCTAGTTGAATTGTGTTGGTTCAGTGCTAAACTCTTATTGCAGGAATTATAGCTCAGTCAGTAGAGCATATGACTCAATCTCAGGTTCATGAGTTTGAACCCCACATTGGGCAAACAATACCTGCATTGCAGGGGGTTAGAATAGATGGCCCTCATGGTTTCTTCCAATTCTATGATTATTCTATGAATTTTCTAATCTCAAAAGGTAGTATATCCCCATTTTAACCATTCTGATGTTTCTCTTTCATCCTCAAATTGTGGTAAATGGGCATTTTAGAAATTTAAGAACATAGGAAGATCTTCCCCTTACTGTGCAACCACTAAATATGTTCTCTGTTTCCTCCAAACCTCCTGGAGCAGATTTAGGAAGGGTGGGCATTGGGAGAGGAGAAAAGTGCCATGGCACAAGCTGAAACCTTTGCACTGACAGAACCACTTAGCAGGATACTGACCAGTGAGTTTTCCTCCTCCCTTACTCTGCGATGGCCCAATGAGAAACCTGTGCACCTATGCATATACCCATGAGGACAGGAGAAAATATTTCATGTCCTACAGAGACCCCTCTGCGCCCCGGAAGTATGTGTTTGCAGGGCTCCGAATTGAGTCAAGTGTATATTTGGGTGTTGAATGATTTGATGATAAAAAATAAACTTTACTGTGGAACACCTGTTGGATGTATAATACTACATTTGGAATGGGTACGGGCACAAAACCACAACATATGCTCATAAATTCAACATCAAACAGGTAAGTGCTTGGTTGCTGAAGAGAAAAAGAAATACTATATTGGATACCAACTTTCTTTCTATCAACAGAACAGAGTTCACATTTATGGATCAGGTTGTTTCTGCCTCCCACTTTGCTCTGTGGCCCATTGTTTGCCCTCCCTGATATGGGTTGGAAAGGGTTGGAAACTGGGTGCAATAAGGGGGGGGGAGTGCTGCAAAGCTGAAAGGAATTGCACTCTCCCTTGTGAATGGAGGACCAACATAGGATCCAACCCATGATGTTGTCATCTACTCTATTAAATAGCCCAATGAATAGTGTTACTATTGTGGGGTAGAGAGACACACTTTAAAATACCTGAACTGAGGAGGGCTGTGGGCTCCAGTGTAGATTTGCTCTCTTGCACCTTCTGGTCTAAAGGCATTGCATCTCACCTAAGATTTAAAAACAGCAACAAGAAGCCAGTGAATTTATCTCTACCTAAAATCCTCAATATAGTTCATTTATTTCTTTTATTTTAAATATTACTCAACCAATCTTCACCAAAAGATTCCAGAGTCACATATGTAAACAGTTGTGGGCTCCAGACATTTTTTCCAGCACTTTATTTTCACATGGAAGATTTTTCTGTTTCGTACGTTCATAAATTGCAATGCATTGGATGCCAACTGCAAATGCAACCTTGGCTATTTAGCTTTGTTTACTAAATACAAGTAAAATAAACATACTAAATTAGATCACTCTAGGACACCAGGAAATGTTCAAATGCTAACCGAAAAATTTCCCGTGCACAGTTAAGGAATTTCCCTCTTCATTTTTTTCCAGGGAAACACACATTACTGGTACAAAAATATGAATAAAACTATTCACGTGCCATCAATACGATGTAAAGATAAACCAATCAATGTAGAGAACAAGGCAAGAGGCAATCAAAACACTAAAAATTAAAAAGCATTTAAATCAATCTGTTTACAACTGGTATTGTCGGACCAGACAGGTGCGAACAGAACAGTGTCAGCTAAAATATTCAAGAGCAGCCTTGTACACACTTATACATGCCCATGTAACTGTACAAGAGAGTTGAACTTCCTGTGAATGAGGACAGAGTCATGGGGCAGAGCTGCCTCATGAGCCTGCTGGAAGCAACATCACTGCCACTTAACTGGGAGCAGGGAGAGGCAAGGAAGAGGCCATGTCAGGGCTGTGCACAGGTGGGAGCATCAAATTGGCTCCACTACAATCAGGAAGCCATGAACAAGCTGTCATGGCTCCAGTTCATGTTTGGACCAAAACAAACCATGATCCTCCATTTTGGCTTAACGCTAAGCCAGGGTTCTGTTACACTCACAGGAGGAACAAAGGAAGAGCCATGGTAGGCCCATCAATTACTGTTTACTATGAAGTGCAATTGGGAAAGGTGGAGGGCACAATTGGGAAAGATGGAGGGCACAAGGAGAAGGGGACGACAGAGGACAAGATGGTTGGACAGTGTTCTTGAAGCTACCAGCATGAGTTTGACCAAACTGTGGGAGGCAATGGAAGACAGGAGTGCCTGGCGTGCTCTGGTCCATGGGGTCACGAAGAGTCGGACATGATTAAATGACTAAACAACAACAACAACAACATGAAGTGCAAAGTCAGCCGATCTCTGAGTAGGTATGGTTTGTGCTTATAAAGGAGAAGGCGGGAAGTGAGAGAAAGAGAAGGAAAAGAGATGGCAGCTTGCTCCCCCCCAGATCTACACTCCAAGAAAAGCTGTGAATTAAGAAAGTTCTTTTTGTAATCAAGCAGAATTGTCTATTCACACTAAGCGAGCAGCTAAATACATACATCCATTCTGAAAGGGCATCTTGTACTACTCACATGAGCATAACTTAGAAAGAAGAGCTGATTGTGGGTGAAGTCAATGCCTGGTAACAGGGCCTCTTCCTCTCCTTGTCTCTTTTCTTTGATCCACTTCCTATAGGCCTGATGAGAAGCACAATGAACACATTTAACTAGGTGCAAATTTCATCAACCCTTGTTACTCAATGTGGGGAGTGTGTGTGAGTGAGAGAAAGAGAGAGCACGCTTAGAAGCAAAAAGAGCTGCCTACCCTGAAAGCCTCTCGCAACCCTCCATTATCTGCAATGTTTTCTGCCAAAGTCCTCTTTCCTTTGACCTGGTGGAAGGAAAGAATATCAAGAATCCAAATTGTTTATATTTGTAAATTGCTTAGAAGTCACTCTGGCAATTAAGAGGTGCATAAAATAGTAATAATTTTAAAATAATTAAACTCTACCCCATAGCTTTGTCCCCATAGCCAACTGGTTTCCATGATATTGTAAAAGATAGTATATATTATCATCCATCACTGCTCTTGCACTTACATTCAAGCCCGCTTTCTTCCAATAATAGTTGTTGTACTGATTGACCATACATTTTGTTTTCTCTTTAAATTGCTCTTCAGAGTCCAAAGACCACCAGGGATCCAAATTTCCATTTTTGTCATATTTGCGGCCTGCATTTTTTGTTTTTCAGAAAGGAAATTTTCTTTTTTTACAATTAATGTGAACATGAGGATTGAGCAAATAAAACCGCACGCATTTCTTAAACCACCCCGCAAACGTTTGCTTATATGAATCTACTCTTCTAGAGACTGGTAAAACTACCCATTTCTTGCTTTTGTGGACATTTCCCCCCAGGGGAGAGTATAACATCATTATGAGTTACAGTCACTTAAAAGACTCCATCTAAGGAAGAAATTTGGGGTACTCAGTGCTTCTTTGGCAAAAAATAAAATAAATGAGGTGTCATTGGTATCAGCATAAAATTTCTGCCATGGGCAGCAAAAAGAAAGAGGTATTCTGTATCACTGAGTACTGTTACAGACACAAAAAAGCATTGGACATATTCTTTTCAATTTGCATTATAAAGCATTTTATTCCCCCCCCCCCCCGGCTTCTTCAGAGAATCTACAAAAAAACTTCAGAAATTTTCAAGCTTCCTTCAAAAAAAAATTAAAAAGGGGAGATTGCCCTCAGCCTTCCCTGACAAAGTTACCCTTTGAAGGGGCTTGACAACTGATGGCAGTGACAGCTTGGCAAGGTCTCCTTGCACCACCATACAATCCTCACAATACATTTGAAACATAACTTCTCCCAAAGAATCCTGGGGACTACAGTTTCCCCCCATTACAGAGTTACCAACGCCAGCCTCTTTAACAATATACAGTACATAACTGTCAACTTTCAGATTTGAAAATAAGGGCTCAGCAGCCTCACCTGTCCTGGGGACAGTCTACTGGATATCTAACAATCTGGGATAGCAGCGGGAAGCAGCAGGAGATGGCACTGAAATAAGGGAATTTCCCGCAAAAAAAGGGAAGACTGACAGCTATGATACAGTACCCAGGATCCTCTGTGGTACATCATGTACATTGGATGTGCTTTAAATGTATGTCAGTGGATCTGTCAGTAGTTATCTTTTCTAGTCAATAAATAAGCCATATGTTTGAGTACTCACCATTATTATCAAATCCATGGGTAAACTCATGCCCAACAATTACTCCAATGGCACCATAGCTTAAAGACCTGTAGAAGAAAGGAGAGTGTACACACTCACATAAATTTCGTAAGACTGTGCAACAGAATGCAGTTATTTGGGCATCAAGAATTTAAAAACAAAGGCATTTTCTCCAAAAGACAGAGGGAAAGAGAAAAAGAAAAATGCTGTTTAATGCAGGGGTGATGGACATTTTTAAAGGCCAAGGAGTACATTTCTTCATGGAGAACATTTCAGGGGGGCTGCGTGCCAGAGGCAGAAGTGAGCAGAGCAACAGGTGCGACTCTTGATACAGGAGGCTACATTCCTGCTATGCAAAAGTCAGAGATCTTCTATACACAGAAACCCAAACATTCCTCCATGCAGGCAAGCGAGAGCATTTTCGCAGTTCAAGGACACATTTTAGCCAGATAATCATTTATAAATGCACAAATTATTTATAGTCTAGCCAACCAATAAAAATATGTTGGTTGTGCCTAATGAGCGCTTTTGTATTGATTTGTTTGTTATTCTTGCTTATTTCTAGGGCACCGACCACAGCTAGTGCTCTGTATGTAACACTGAAAACAAACAAAACAATAGAGGCCTTGCCCTCTGGTTTACAACTTAGTCTAGATACAAAAAGGGGAAGAAGAGAGGAGTAGAAATGGAGGCGTTCAAGATCAGTGAAATGCCAGTGCTAAGAGATGAGTTTCTATCAGTGTTTAAATACACCAACGGTAGAAGCCAGATGGATGCCATGAGATAAAGAATTGCAATGGCAGGTAGCAGCAGGGGAGAATGGATGAAGTCCGGGAACGACAGATATAATTAGGGGGGGTTATTAAGGGTCAATGTACCAAAGGAGCGATGAAAGAAGCGGGGTGGGGGGAGCACAGACAGATAAAAGAGCCTAGAGAGATGTGGAAAGAATGAAGTCATTTTGTAGGCAACTGAAGACATTTAAATAGAATACAAGAAGGGAAAAGAAGCTAAGAAATAAAGCAGGATTTCTTGGTCCTATGTCTATCTTTAGAAGAGAACAATAGAAATAGTATTTTAATCCAGATTGGCATTTACAAAACAAAATTAATTCAACTGGCTTTTTAATTCTGCTGCTCTACAGAAACTTGAAGCATTTCTTAGTTAGCTGAATAATTAGTCAGTTAATAATATACATGAGTTAGTAGGGCAGCTGTGACCCTCTAGATGTTGTTGCACTCAACTCTCAGCATACTCAGCCAGCATGGCCAATGGTCCAGGAAAATTGGAGTTGTAGTCCAACACCACCTAGAAAACCACAAGTCCCCCACCCAAACATTGTTTTAGAAGAGGAGGCTGGGATTTCAAAATCATCTCTCACAAGATTTAACAATCCAAAACATGCCTTCTGAGTAATGTCTAAAACCTGAAGTCTGGTTTCATTTAAACCCTACTTTTTTCTTTTGTTATGCCCTCCATGAAACATAGCTGGCATGTAATAAAATGCTTCATACTGATATGTTGTTGTTTTTTTCTATCAGTGCAAAATTCCATTATAGGCCTGAGGTTAAAATTATACATTCTGTGACAAGTTTATTATTTTATATTGCATTGTAGACAGGTGTGGCATAAGATATGGAATACAATCTTAAGAGTTAGACTGTTCAAGTTTTGATAATATCAAACGGTGTGCCTAGAATATAAAACCAACCCAGATCTCAGCATCTTTCTTTGTGACTGAGAAATATTGGAACAACGGCACAATACCCAATGCATGATCTGTATGAGAAATGCCGTTGTGCTCATGTCCTGCTTGTGGGTTTCACATGGATCCTGGACTTGGGCATTGTACACACTAACCCATTAGTAGAAGAACAATGGAGTTTTTCCTCAGTCTAGAATCGCTAATGCTTGTCCTCAAAATGATGTTCTCAATCCAGATTGATTCTGGATCCTGCTGTCCACAAGAGAGGGTGTGGTTACTTGATGTGTATTTGTAAGTGATGATTGCCATCTAAGTATACACCCACCAACATCATCACTGGGCATGTGTGGGTGAATCTTCCATTACTGGGACCACCTACATCTGTTTTCAAATGGACACACTGCTGCGTAACGCACAATGAATCTGCTATGAGCTTTTCAGAATGAAATGGGTTTCTCAAGAATGGCTTTTCAGTGGCAAAAAAAGATTCAAGAGATCTCGACTGTGTGTGGACTATGTAGCAAAAACGGCCTCCATCTGGGGATAGCTCAGTTGGTAGAGCATGAGTTTGAGCCCCACATTGGGCAAAAGATTCCTGCATTGCAGGAGGTTGTGCTAGATGGTCCCTTCCAACTCTAGAATAATTCGCAGAGGGATTGATTGTAAAACCACCCTGGGAACTGTAGCTTCTGGGAGGAGAATAGGAGTCTCCTAACAACTCGCTTTCCAAAAAAATGGTGTGAGTGTAGCCTTTATGTGCATAGAAACCCCTGACATTTGCATGGCTGGAATGTAGCTTACTGTACAAAAGTAAGAGTCATTTCCCTTGCTCCTCACACTTTTGCCTCTGGCCTTGCTCACTACTTTCATGTGGCTGGTGAGGGAACATAGTCGTCAGGCAGCCATAGGTTCTGACCCCTGAAGTACAACAAAAACTACACATATCTCCTGATTTTCCAACTTTCTCAAGAATATCTACTATGTCGACTTCATTTAGCAAATTATTTGCCAGTTCATTTCCCTTTAGGTTCCTTTTATTTATTTTTCATACCCATACATACAGCATTTTAGTTTTAAGACTTTGCTTTTACCTGGGATATTCTTTTCCCCAAAAGAATGGCTTCTGGAGCTCTCCTGCTGGGAATCCTGTGATTTAAAAAAAGAGAGAGGCGTAGTAAATTCAGGTCAACTGAGTTCTGAAGCCAGGGCTTTTCTAAGTCTTTTCAGATACTTCCCACTCTTAAGATCAGTGGAGTTAATCAAATGGTTAACATGACCATATATGAATCAGGAACACTGCATTGCCCTTATGAATGGACCAGATGCCGAGGCCAGGCAGGCAAAATTTAAAACACATTTAATAAAAGCATTAGCTAAATTTTTAGTTTTTTCACCCTTTTTTTGTAAAATGGATAACAGTTTAAAAACAACAACAGCAGACCTAATGTTTAAATGAGTGGGGTTTTTAGTAATACAGAGAAGCTGTGGTGGCACCATTATATCTGTGGGATGACTTGTAGCTGTTTTTCCTTCAAAACAAAAATTCAGCATCCTTTTTGAAGAGAGTGATCACGTAATGTATAGTCTGCTCCTGATATAAAGAGCTTGCGGTTGCTGATTAGAAGGAATATTGAACTCTTCTAATCTCCCACCTGTCAAAGACAGCAAACTAATCGATCGATTAAATATATTTATATACTACCCTTCATCAGTTTACAGAATGGAAGTATCAATAAGCAATAAAACCGTGCAACAAAAGCAACCTGCAGATAAAAACAGAGCCATCAGCAAGTTTTTAAAATGCGTAAAAGACTTCAAAGCCCCAGACATGTTATATTAACCCTTTAAGAAAATCACAGCTGCTCAGAGTGTTCTCATCCCCTTCGGATGTCAGAGAATGGGGCTTAAAGCCACTTCTGGACCTAAGAATAATCATTCCTATAATCTGCTTTCTTTTGTATATTTGCTGCTCCTTTTCCAACTATGCAATTTCTCTCTGTTTCGTTCACCCTCCTCTTGTCTTCCTGTTCCATCTTTCTCTGTTGCTTATATAGAGCAGAAACAATCCTTCCCATCCCTCTGATTTTCTTCCCCTGGACTCCTTCCAGCCCGTTATCATGAGCAGGAAGCCAAACTGCTTTGTCGCTCTCAGATGCATCATAGCTTCCACAGCTGAAGGTGGCCAGGCACTCCAACCTATCATCTCTCAGGAAAGGAAATGGGCAAATACTTCTGCTTTAGGTGACACCTGAGGCAGTTCTCCTTGGTGGTTAGCTTTAAAGGGCAGCAGACTAAAGAGCAGAGGAAACTGAGTTACGGGTGTCCTAATAAGTGATCAAATAGCAGCAGAGAGCATAACCTAAACAGTCTCTACTTGCCATACCTGGTTCTGTATCACAGGCTTTCAATGCCATGTAATGTCATATTATATGCATCCATGGAAAGATTCTACATAATTTGATTTCACATTTAGTTCAATAAAGGTATTGCTTTGGTTTCCTCTTCTCTCTATTTTTTTATTTATTCCTGCTAATACACCACAAAAAAATCCATTGAAACAAAACACCATGCTGCAAGTGAGTCAGACGATTCACTTGCCTAAATGCACATCCACACACAGTTTGCGAAGTGCCCCTGTGATTGCTTCATCATATTCTTAACTTTCAGGTCAATGGATTTCCTAGACTTCTGGATTGGGTGTGAACTGGGCACATGAAAAGGAAATCGTATGACTGCTTTGCCATATGCCAAACTCTGTACAGACCCTGTTAAGAAGTCTGCAGGATCTCATATTACTTGGCTTTTGCTTTCAGCAAATGTTAGCAGAGGAAACCCATGCCTTGAAAGTACTCTCTTTAAGGGATAGAACAAAAACACCCGCCCTATAACTTGCAGCCTACAGCTTACAGGAGTTAGCAAACTTTTTCAGGAGGGGGCCGGTCCACTGTCCCTCAGACCTTGTGGGGGGCCAGATTATATTTTGAAAAATAATGAATGAATTCCCCACAAACAACTCAGAGATGCCTTTTAAATAAAAGCACACATTCTACTCATGTAAAAACCCCAGGCAGGCCCCATAAATAACCCAGAGATGTATTTTAAATAAAAGGGCACATTCTACTCATGTAAAAACATGCTGATTCCCAGACCGTCCGCGGGCCAGATTTGGAAGGCGATTTGGCCAGATCCGGCCCCCGGGCCTTAGTTTGCCTACCCATGGCTTAGGGCTAAGAGTTAGCATTGTCAGAGATGATTGTTTCAATGCACACATATTTGCTTTTCAAAGAGCCCAGCTAGCCTTGCCTCCATAATCCCCTTAAGAAGAGAAAAAATCCTCACCAGCAAGCGACTCATTTATTAAGCTGATGGAGCCATTTCTAAAAATTGATGGAACATCCTCCTATTGGGACGGGAGGCTTTCAGCACTTTCCTTACAGCATCATTTCAAGGGATACACTAAATGTAACTCATGTCGAGTGAAGCAACAAGCAGCATGTTCCTTTGGCCTGCCCATCTGCTATCTGCCGGCTGCTGTTCCCCTGCTGCCTTGGCCACCTGTTTTGGCACTGATGTATGAGACAGGCAAATTGCGGAAACTTATATTCTGGGGATCACAGTATCTCTAATGGTCTATGGTTGTTTGGAACTTGTCAAATAAGCTGATTTCTATGCTGTAAAAACAATTTAATTATACTAGTGTGGAGAGCAAGGCTTCCTTGATTTATTTATTTTTAAATCATAGCCTATCTGGAAGTGTGAATTTTTATTTCTGCCATGTGTGCTGTTCAGTATCTCCGCTTCATAGCACACAACCATTCTAACTAAATACATATTTTTTACCCAGTAGAATAACTATATATATATTAAGGTCTAGGCAGTGTGGGTTTCATTTTAAGGAGTTTTCTCTCACAGCTCTGTGGAGGATTTTAGAGAGTGCCGCCATCACATCATCTGTTAGTGGTAAGCTAAGGATCCATAATTGCTGTTTTGATGTTGGACTTCCAATATTATTATTATTATTTATTAAATTTATATGCCACTCTTCATCCAAAGAGTACGGAGTGGTTTATAGTATGAAAACACAAAGTACATAATATGCAATATCTAGGGCAGCATGAGATGGAGTTTGGAGGCATCCCCTTCAATCCATTCTGAAAACTGCCTGGAGTAAACCCACTTTTACACAACCAGGATCTCAGTTACAACTGGAAAATCATAACCCACGTTTTTATATTATTATTAATCATCATAAACATTTATAAAGTGTCATTTGGGAAAGAGCCAGGGCAGCGGGGGCAAGCTGATAAGCACAAACCATGCCAGAAACTGTGAGCTCTGCATTGCACATCATGCATGCTCTGCTGGTTTTTCCCATTAAAAATCTTCTCTTTTTTGCTAATTAGTGACTATTTTTCAGCAAAGCTACATGTTAGATGTTTTCCGCAGAGTCTGTGCTTGCCACCAGTAAGCGTCTGAATGTTGCCTCTGCACACTCTGTTGATTTCATTAATAGTAAATAGATTACTCCATTATGGAAAGGTACCGTTTAAAAATGAAAAGAGCATATAGTAAAATGTACCTTAATGTTTTCTTGAAGTGCTGTATAGGTACATGCAGACATGTATCCACACCTACAGCTCAGCTGATTCACAAATCAAATCCAGAGATTCATTTCTTGTAATAGGTCTTCAAATGTCATTTAACTGTTTAGAGTAGCCAAATTAATTTTGACTTAAGTGAAATTAGTTGGGTGATCTAATGAAGGTTGCATTTAAGATTGATTAGTTCATTGATTACTTGGCTAATCAAACTCATTAAACTTTAATTTTGCTTAAATGTCTACCAGCGAAATAACATGCCCTATATCTTGTGAAAACAATCCATCAAACATAATTAGCAATAGTACATTTTGAAAAATAAATGCATTAATGAATATTAACATTAGCAGATATTTAGTGAATATAAAAGTTACAAACCAAGACCTGAAGTTTAACAAACTGACTATGGAGGGGAAGATCAATAATGTCCTTGTGAATTTGGTTGGTAATTAAAAGAAAAAAAAGAGGAAAAAAAGTGGAATGAAGAAACCTGAATTCTTATGAGAAATGGATATCTTTAAAACAGGGTTCAGGAACCTGTGGTACTCCAGATGTTATTGGATTCCAACTCCCATCAGACATCTGATGTAATATATGGTGCAATATGGTCATCTGCACCTTCTTGCCCAGCCTCCAAGGAAGACTTATGTAGAGTACATTACAGTAATCCCCTGCTGAAGTTACCGGTGCATGGATCACTGTGGTAAGCCTATCCCTGTCCAGGAATGGCCATACCTAGCATACCAGCCATAGCTGGGGGGAAAGCAGTCCACATCATGTAGGCCATTTGTACCTCCATTGCTAGTGCTAGGATGCTAAGACCACCCTAGAAAGCTCACTTGCTCTTTCAGAGGAAATCCAGAAAATCCAGAAAAAGCAAATTCCCTAACATACATGTGCAAGGGTACACAAAACATCTGAGAGAAGTTAGTACTAATGAGGAGAATGAGTGCAAACAAAATCAGAAAAGGAATATGTAAGGCAATGATACAAAACCAAAATAATATAAGAACTCAATGAATGATGTGTTAAAATGGAAATTCTATGGAAGCATATTTCTTGTGCAAAACTCCCTATATTAGCATAACTGACTGAATCTCTCTCTCACACACACAGGATGAAACCTTTAAAATTAGTCGGAAAGGCCAGGAGGAGGAGCACTACAAAGATCAAGCTCAGAGACAAAAGGATGAGAAATATATACAAAAGAGTAACTTTCAATCTTTAGGAAAATAGGAACAGCTTGAATCTTTTAATTAGCAAGCCTGCTTGAACATGTAAATTCCAGAACGACTCTGCCCATTAGCCATAAGAAAGCTGGTGAGCTGTTTTTAAAGTGCTTTCTAATCAATAAGCTTCTGATTAGCCAGATTATTTATGTACGGGTGGGGGGATCCTGCAGAAAAGTCCAGCAACTATGCGATAATCCCCTCCTTTCTAACTGGGAAGAATGCTGTCATGTATGTCTCTTAATATTTACTTGGCTACCCTTCTAGAACTGCTATGACAAATACATGCCCAATTTGATATGCACATATTTTAATGTAATTTAAATAGGCATTTGTACAAAAAATGAGGAGGCATTCAAAACTAATTTTAACCTTTTTAATCTCACTAAAAGAGAAACTGGACCATACTGAGCAATTATTTCACTGTCTCGCTAGTTTAGGACAGAAATTCATCCACAATAACTTTGTTTCCCTGAAAGTATAAATCCCTGTGGGAGAAAAACATGGGGCATGGGATGACACCCACAGCATACATTTAAAGCACATGATTTCCCCCAAAGAATCCAGGAAACTGTAGTTTACCTTGCATAGAGCTACAATTCCCAGCACACTTGACATACTACAGTTTTCAGGATTCATTGGAGAAAGCCAGATACTCTGAATGTGCTTTAAATGTATTACACGGATATGGAAAGACAGAGGGATCGAGTGAGGTCTTAAGGCAAAAGGTTTGGGCTTAACCTTCTTCAGCTGCTCTGACCTGAATAGCCACATTGGAGCAATTGAAGGAGAAAGCCAGAATGTTTTGTTTTAAGACTTTAATGTCTTTGTTTTATTAGTCAGTATAGTAAATATCTCCTGCCAACCTAGCAGTTTGAAAGCACAAAGTGCAAGTAGATAAACAGGTACCACTCCAGCGGGAAGGTAAACGGCATTTCCGTGCGCTGCTCTGTTTCGCCAGAAGCGGCTTAGTCATGCTGGCCACATGACCCGGAAGCTGTACGCCGGCTCCCTCGGCCAATAAAGCGAGATGAGCGCCGCAACCCCAGAGTCAGCCACGACTGGACCTAATGGTCAGGGGTCCCTTTACCTTTATAGTAAATATATGGTTGTAGTGATTCACTACATCCTTTTAGGATCCAAAGAAAACTTTGGTTGAAGTGCTTCTTGATGCTCTGAAGACCATTAACACATAGATAGAAGCCCTATCGCACAATTCTTATGTGATGTAGATCATGCCTATGTACATACAAGAGTCGAGCCATACTTTTAGAATATTTTTTAAACAACCAAATGTTTAGGGTTGCCGTATTTCAAAAACTAAAATTCCTGACAGCTGCAAAAAAATTGGTTTTGGTTTTTGTTTTAGATTTTTGGGGGGAACAACCCCAAATTGTTGATTTTTTTTTTTTTAAAAAAAAGCTTTTTGAGCTGTTTCCGCTGCTTTTTCCGGCACATTGCCATACATCTGGGTTTTCCTCCCATTTTGCTGCTTTGGCAAAATTCGCCCGACACCATTTTTACACCCCAAAACCAGGACATGTCAGGAATTTTCCTGACATATGGCAAGCCTACACATGTTGTGTACAGTTGTCAGTATACCAAAGTTAACATGTGAAATCCTCCTCTTCATATGCAGATGTTCCATTCAACAGGTCATATGGGTGCCCTGATTGTGTGGAGGATGCGGGGAGGAGTTTGAGCCCTGGTCTTTCTATAGGGGTCCCAATATGTGGTAGTTTAAAAAAAATATATGATGAGGTTGATCTGCCCCAGTCTGTATGTGTACACACCATACACACAAGTTACAAATATATATGGGATAGATATATGTCAAGGAAATGTTTTGCCAAAGCCATTTGGTCACCTGTATGTCAAAATGGCTGGTTATATTCTGTGTTAAATTTAAACTCTGGGGGCGGGGGTGTGTGTTGCTGTTAACACAGAATTGGTAGTACAGGAAGCAGTTCCTCCAACAAGAGTAAACCATTTGAATCAACACCCTGTTTCTTCTTCCTAAGAGATGAATAAGAACCTAATAAGAGCCCATCTAGTCCAGCATCTTGTTCTCACAGTGGCCAACAAGATCCTTGTGGGAAACCCATGAGCAGGACCCGAGCACAAAAGCACTCCACACTTCCCCAGTGTGGTGTAGTGGTTAAGAGCGGTAGTCTCGTAATCTGGTGAACCGGGTTCGCGTCTCCGCTCCTCCACATGCAGCTGCTGGGTGACCTTGGGCCAGTCACACTTCTTTGAAGTCTCTCAGCCCCACTCACCTCACAGAGTGTTTGTTGTGGGGGAGGAAGGGAAAGGAGAATGTTAGCTGCTTTGAGACTACTTAAGGTAAAGGTAAAGGGACCCCTGACCATTAGGTCCAGTCGTGACCGACTCTGGGGTTGCGGCGCTCATCTTGCTTTATTGTCCGAGGGAGCCAGCGTACAGCTTCCGGGTCATGTGGCCAGCATGACTAAGCTGCATCTGGAGAACCAGAGCAGCGCACAGAAATGCCGTTTACCTTCCCGCCAGAGCAGTACCTATTTATCTACTTGCACTTTGACGTGCTTTCGAACTACTAGGTTGGCAGGAGCAGGGACCGAGCAACGGGCGCTCACCCCGTCGCGGGGATTCAAACCACCAAAATTCTGATTGGCAAGTCCTAGGCTCTGTAGTTTAACCCACAGCGCCACCCGTATCCCTCAGGGTAGTGATAAAGTGGGATATCAAATCCAAACTCCTCTTCTTCCTGCAGTTTCCAGCAACTGGTATGTATAATCATAGCCCTGATGCAAGCTAGCACACAGAAATATGCTGCTTGTGTACCTATATACAGCAATAGACAACTCTAAATAAGTGCAGTTCATGCCACATGGATTTGTTGACTCTTGAAAACAGCAGGTAGCAAGATCTCAAGGTCAAACACTAGCGATACAAAAAGGTCAGGAGGAGAGATGCAAGGCACAACTGCTTGTATGCCCATGACTGATTGGTTACATTTGACAGGTCTCGGCTTCTTGATGCTGTTAGACACAGCTAGCTGTGAAATCCCAGACCAGGAACCCTGACTCTTCTTTTCATTTTTTTCTTTTGGGACAGCTTTGTTTAATCTGCTATAGCATGGCAGCTCTAGGATCCAGATCATACCAAAATGAAAATGAACTTAAACAAAATACCAGAGGATTCAGTCATGACTAATCACAGAGACACATTTTGTGCTGTGAATCTGCATACAAGCCCTTGTGCTGAAGTTAGCAGGGACAGTCAGTTTTCTCAACCAAAGAAACCAGTAAAATCAGTCTTAAATAACCTTAAACAAGTAAAAATAAAAATGGAGAAATGCCATAATAAAATAAGGCATAGGAAAGGGAGGAAAAACCCAAACTTCAGAATAAAATAATTTCCTTATTGAAGCGAAAGTTTGAAGAGTTAATTGTGCATAACAAATTCGGTACTGAATTATACTGCTCAATTCTGCCTAGCTAAAACTTAGAAACTTTGTTAATTGAGCAGCATATAAATACTTTATTTAAAACACCAACAGCAACAACCCTCATGTTATGACCCTGAGCAAAATCAGAGAATTTAAGAGACTTTAAGACTTAAAGTCACATGGTTTCAATGCCAAACAAGGTGCAATAATCAAAGACTAACTACTTCACAGGTCCATGCCTTCATGTCTTCTATCTGTTTCTAGCAACATAATTCCTTTAAGCAGAATTTTATTTTTAAAATAAAGGTTAATTTTAAAAAATACATTATCCAGGTATTTGGAAGCTTAGCATGCCTGCATTAAAGGACCTGTCCATCTGTGATGAAAGTTGGCTTTGTAATCTGCAGCAGCTCCCATAATACTAACAGGAGCCCGATCCTATGCATGTTTTTTTTCAGAAGCACATAAAGCTGAGCCAACTTTTTTCAGAAGACCGAGGGTCATATCCAGCACTGCATGCATGATGTTCCACTTCTGAAGTGGGACTTCCCCTTCCTCTTCTCTCCCTGCACGCCCCCAAATTTTTCTCGATCCATAGACCCACCCAGAGGAAAGGGCAGGACAAGTGGAAGCTACTGCTCCTTTTCTTGCCCCATTGCTCTTCCCTAATACAGGCAGAAAGGAGCAAGGAGAAAGAGCATCAAGGTATGGGATTCTGGAATTGGTAGTAGGTCTCCTGATGAGCTATAGACATCAACAACAGCTGCCCCACAATGCTTAACCCCTGATGTTGTTCCTGGAAACACCCAAGGATGTGATGGTGGCTGGTACCTGAAAACCTTAATAAACCTGAAAACCACTTCTGAAAAATTGGTTCCATGCTGCACTAGCTATGTCTCTATAGGAACCACATGGTATGTGCAGGTACCATGTTACTTTCCAAAGCAATAAGCTTCTTCCTGGTGGGACAGAAAGTGTTATGGTATGGGGCCATGTAATCTGCCTACTCTATTTGGCTCCTGTATGGGGCCATTACATGATCATGTTGGAGCAACTCCTAAACTGCAGTAGTAATGTATTAATAGGCCCTTAGAGTCACAACGGCACCAGCTAGCAATTGGCACAGGGGAAGAGAAGATGCGACTTTGATATTCAAGGAAGCAAAGGGGATACCGTTTTTCCCATGTAAGTAATGCGGTTGTAATTTTAATCAAAGTACATTTTACTCACTGATCTGATTGGTCGATGAACTGTAAAAGGCATTGACGGTAGTTGGACTTGTAAACCACCTGCGGAAATAGTGAGAGCAAGTTAGAGTTGATGGTTTTGTGAACAAGACAAACAAACAAAAATAGTGAACTCTGTAAATTGAGACCAGAATATTTAAAAAATCATCACCACTGCTTTCATGATTTTATGGCTTATGTTCAAAGAGTGGCCGTAGAGCACATCCTTTGCAGGCAGAAGACCCCAGGTTCAGTTACCTGACATCTCTAGTTAAAAGGACCAGGCAGAAGATGATGGGGAAAACCCCTGCCTGAGACCATGAAAAAACATGTGCAAGTTGGTGTAGAGAATGCTGAGCTACATGGACCCAACAGTCTGGCTCAGTTTAAGGCAGTTTCATATGGTCATCCATTCCCCACTCTCTGTACACACTTGCAGCTGCATGAATATCACATGGACTTGCGCTCCAGACATCACTAACAACAGCAACAGTGCACTGCACCCACATCCTGTATCATTACAATGTGCAATTAGAACGCTCACTCCCTTTGGCACAAAAAAATCTATTCCTGGTTGTCAGTGTCCCTCCCTGCATGCCTTCTTTCGAATAGCTCCTCAAAAAAAAGGGTCCCACAGCCTAGCACATTCTCCATTCCTCTGCTCAAATTCTCCATTCTTTATGTTCACCCATGGTAAAAATTGTGCTGAAGCTCAGTCAGAAATGTGTTTTGAATATCAGGACAGAATCCAGGGAGTCCCTTCATTTCCCTACACACACACACACACAGACTTCTTTTCTTCACAATCCATTTCCCTCGTGGTCTTCTTTGTCCTTCTCTCCCCCTCCTTCTAGCACAACTCTGTTCCTGACCAGGCTTCACCATCGCAAGCACACTGCAGCATCATACTGATTAAGTAACATCTGGGGAAGTGTAGATTTGTTTCTGAATTGGAACATTTAAAATTAAATATGTGTATTAGGAAACCATATTTGAAAGTCCTTGTTGTTTCAACCATTTGATGGCACTCTGTCTCTCATGATTGAGAATAAATGCAAATAAATCAATTAACACCAGAATCAATGAATGGGAGTGTCTAATAAATCTTCTAAGGGCTAAGCTGCTCAGAAAATTACTTAAGGGCTGTCATAGGCTATGACTTCAGTAACTTTGCTTTTACTTTCTCTGTAAAGAGAAAAATTAGTCTCTCTCTCTCTCTAACCTGAAAGTCCTTTGGGGAGCAAGTGCTTGAGAATGAAGAATTTTTTGGAAAAAATACTTTTAAAATTTGTTTCTGCATTACTGTAGCCAAGGTAGTTTACAACCTATAAAAATATCCAACAAAAATCATCTTGTCATGTATAGCAATTCAAAATATAACTAAAAGCAAATAAGCAAAATTCAAGATATATGTAATGAAGGCACCAGGCAAGCCTCCCTGGGGAGAACATTCCTTTTTTTTTTTTAAATGATATTTATTCCAAATTTAAAGTTACAAAAAAGAAAAAGAAAAACCATACAAAATACAAAGAAAACTTTAACCGTAACAAAGCGTAGAATAAACAAATAAAAAAGAACAATAAAATAGAATAAAAAAGAAGACTTAACAAAAGATATAAAAATACATTAAGTTAAAATAAAACAAAAACAGATTAAACCTTTACTTAGCCTTTTTCCCTTTACTTATTTCCATGACCTCCTCTCACCTCCCAATTTTGTATTCTAGTTCAGATCGTATTTCCAGCAATTCCTTCTAACCTTATTTTCATTTACGTATTTTAAAATTAAAATAATGTAATTAAACCTCCTCCATTTCATCAAATTCAACAACTCATTTTTGCTTAGTCCATTATATCATATCTACCAAAACGACCTAATATTCTTTTTCCAACCTCTTTCTAACATTCTTTTATATTGCAGTATTTTTGAAGGTATATTTTGAATTTTTTCCAATCTTCTTCCATCGACCCTTCTCCCTGGTCTCGAATTCTGCCGGTCATCTCAGCCAGTTCCATATAGTCCATCACTTTCATGTGCCATTCTTCTCGGGTAGGCAATTCTTGTGTCTTCCAGTACTTCCCAATGAGTATTATTGCTGCTGCTGTAGCATACATAAAGAAAGTTCTATCCTCCCTTAGCACCAATTGGCCGACCATGCCCAGAAGAAAGGCCTCTGGTTTCTTCAGAAAGGTATATTTGAATACCTTTTTCAATTCATTATAAATCATTTCCCAGAAAGCCTTAATCCTTGGGCATGTCCACCAAAGGTGAAAAAATATACCCTCAGTCTCTTTACATTTCCAACATTTACTATCTGGCAAATGATAGATTTTTGCTAGCTTGACTGGGGTTAAGTACCACCTATAAATCATTTTCATTATATTTTCTCTTAAGGCATTACATGCCGTAAATTTCAAACCTGTGGTCCATAACCGTTCCCAGTCAGCAAACATAATGTTATATCCAAAATCTTGTGCCCATTTAATCATAACAGATTTAACCGTTTCATCCTGTGTATTCCATTTCAACAGCAAGTTACACATTCTTGACAAATTCTTAGATTTAGGATCTAACAATTCTGTTTCTAGTTTTGATTTTTCCTCCTGGAAACCAATCTTTTTATCTAAATTAAAAGCCTCCCTTATTTGATAGTAATGAAGCCAGTCTCGAACTTTAGTTTTTAGTTTGTCAAAACTCTGCAGCTTTAGTTTATCTCCATCTTGTTCTAGAATTTCACAATATTTTGGCCAGTTTGTCTCCATATTAGTTTTTTTCAGAGCCTTAGCCTCCATTGGTGACAACCACCTTGGTGTTTTACTTTCCAACAAATCCTTGTATCTCACCCAAACATTAAACAATGCTTTCCTGACAATATGGTTCTTAAAGGCCTTATGTGCTTTAACCTTGTCATACCATAAATATGCATGCCATCCAAAAACATTATCAAAACCTTCTAAGTCCAAAGTGTCCGTGTTTTCAAGAAGCAGCCAATCTTTCAGCCAGCAAAATGCGGCTGATTCATAATAAAGTTTAAGGTCTGGCAGGGCAAATCCACCTCTTTCTTTAGCATCAGTTAAAATCTTAAATTTTATTCTTGGCTTCTTGCCCTGCCAGACAAATCTCGAAATATCTCTCTGCCACTTCTTGAAACAGTCCATCTTGTCCAAAATCTGCAATGTTTGAAACAAAAACAACATTCTAGGCAATACATTCATCTTTATCGCAGCAATTCGGCCCAACAATGATAACTTCAATTTTGACCATATTTCCAGATCCTTCTTTACTTCTATCCAACATTTTTCATAATTATCTTTGAATAAATTCACATTTTTAGCAGTCATGTGAACCCCTAGATATTTCACTTTCTTAACCAATGTTAATCTTGTCTCCTTCTGAAACCTCTCTTTCTCAATCTCTGTAAGATTTTTCTCTAACACCTTAGTTTTCATCTTATTCAATTTAAAACCTGCTACTTGACCAAATTCTTGGATTAATTGCAATACTCTTTTGTGCTGGATTCTGGCTCCTGTAATGTCAAAACCAAATCATCAGCAAAGCTTTCAATTTATACTGTTTAGCTCCGAGTTGTATACCTTTAACCAATTGGTCTTTCCTGATCATGTTAAGCAAAACCTCCAGGACCGATATAAAAAGCAATGGGGAGATTGGGCAACCCTGTCTTGTTCCTTTCTCTATCTTAAACTCTTCTGTAACTACATTATTTACAATCAACTTAGTTCCGAATAAATTGCACCTATACCGTTTTCAAAACTTTGGCCTACCCCCATCCCCTGTAAATTTTTCTTCATAAAACTCCAAGAAATATTGTCAAAGGCTTTCTCCGCACCCACAAATATTAAAACTGCTTTGGTATTAATGTTAACTTGTAGTTTTTCTAAAATGTTAATAATATTCCTCGTATTATCTGACAAATGCCTCCCCGGGAGAAAGCCCGCTTGGTCCTTATGGATTTCTTTCACCAGTACATTTTTTAATCTTTTAGCCATAATTTCTGCAAAAATTTTGTAATCCACGTTAAGTAAGGATATGGGACGGTAGTTCTTCAGCTGTGTCTTTTCCCCTTCTGTTTTCGGTATAAGTGTAATATAAGCTTCTTTCCACGACTCGGGTGCCTTCCCCCCCCCCTAATATTTCATTGCAAACTTCTTTCAAAGGCTGCATTAACCATTCTTTCAAAGATTTGTAATACTTTGCAGTCAAACCATCTGGCCCTGGAGATTTGCCCAATTTCATGTCCTGAATGGCTCCTTCCACCTCTTGATCAGATATTGTAGAGTTTAATATTGATTTACTCTCTTGAGAAACTTTTTGTAATCCATTTGTTTTCAAAAACCGATCAATGTCTATTTCTTTCTGAGTCTCCTGCGTGTATAACTGTTTAAAGTACTTCTGAAAACACTTTCTAATATCCCCAGGGTTCTGTATAGTCTTTCCTTCTACTACCAAGTTCGTAATAGTATTAAGCTTTTGTCTTTTTTTCATTTGCCATGCCAATAATTTCCCACACTTATTTGCCGATTCAAATGTCCTTTGTCTCATCTGTTTAATCTTCCATTCTATTTCCTGATTCGTCAGTTTCATATATTGTACTTGATGTAACTTTATCTCTTTTAGGATCTCCTGTGAGTTCGGTTTTGCCCTCAGTCTCTTTTCTCCATCCTTAATTTTCTCCAAGATTTTTTCCCTCTTCTCATTTTGAACTCTTTTCCTAATTGCATTTTGTTATATCAAGAACCCTATCATCACTGCTTTGCTTGCATCCCAAATCACTCTTTTCTCGGTCGTAGTATTCATATTTATCTCAAAATAGTCTTTCAAATTTTTCTGGGCCTTTTTGATAATTTCCTCATTCCTAAGCAAGGAGTCATTCATTCTCCATCTAAAAGCTCCAATTGGCGTTAATGCCATTTCCATCTTTACTGGGTTGTGGTCAGAGCAAATTTTAGGACAAATTACCGCTTTTTTTATCTTCGGGGCCAGTCCCCTAGTTATCCAAATTTGGTCTATTCTTGTCCACCTGGGGAGAACATTCCACAGATGGGGAGTCACTGCAGAAAAGGCAGTTCTCATGTTGCCGTCCTCCAAACCTGTCACAGAGGAGGCACATGAAGAAGGGCCTTAGGTGATGATCAAAGGGTCTGGGTCTGTTCATATGGGTAGAGGAGGTCCTTGAGGTATTGCAGTCCTGATCCATTGAATGCTTTATAGGTCAAAACCAACTCTTTGAATTGGGGCCAGAAACTAACTGGCAGCCAGTGTACTAAGGACAGGATTGGCTTTATACACTGTCTTGCCCTGGTGAGCAACTTGGCCACTGAATTCAGCACCAGCTGAAGTTTCTGAATTGTCTTTAGAAGCAGCCCCACGTATAACACAGTGCCGTAATCTAACCTAGATGTTACCAGAGCATAGATGACACACATTAGGCTATCCCTGTCTAGATAGGGCTACAGCTGAGCCACCAGCCAAAGCTGATAGAAGGCACTCCACGCCACTGAGGCCACCTAAGCCTCAAGAAACAGTTTACTCATTTCTGTATATTTTTGAATAAGCTGGAAAACTGGAAATGAATTGAAACATCACAGAACACTATCGTATGAATATCTTACATATCCATTATTATCAACTGAAAACAATAATTGTTCTACCAGATTTTAGAAAGAATTGATTTATGTCTCTTACACACAGAGAGAAAATGATAAGATGGCAGATATATATATTTTTTGTCAGATAATAGAAGCCAGAAGATGACTGACATCTATGCTGAGGAGTTGGGAGAAAACATTTAGCAGGGTTGACTGCATTCCAATTTCAGAGTCATTTATGGCAGCAGCCAAATAAACTAATTTGAAATGCAGTAGCACAGGCGCTTATAAAGAGGTGCCCTCACACAGGACAAAAATGAATGACTTTTGCAATGACCTGCAGGGAAACATTTGAGACACTGGACATTTTTATTGGAAATTTAAAATGCCATTGCATTTCAAGTCTCTACCATGGTCTCAACCTTTGACACTATCTCTTTTATTCATATCTGCTTCCACTGTCTCAAAGCTTTCTCTGTTTCTAAGTTCTTGCACAAAGAGTTCTACAGATTTCACCAAGAGACCTCAGTTCTGTCCTATGCGTCTTCTTCAAGTGACAAACATTCAGGACACTTTAAGCAAAGTATCAAGTCTTCCAAATGTTTACTGGTTTGCATTTTTTACATTGTTCATTGGTGTAATAAAAGATATTTTTAATAATAATAATAATAATAATAATAATAATAAATTTTATTTATATCCCGCCCTCCCCAGCCGAAGCCGGGCTCAGGGCGGCTAACAACAATGAAACAGTAAGACAGTACAACACAACACAACACTCTAAAATCATTCATTATAAAATTAATTCAAAGCAAACCACTGGGGGCTGCCCAGTTGGCACTGCCCCATCACAGGACTTTCTCAGTGGTGGCTCCCTGGTTGTGGAGTACACTCCTGAGTGAGGTGCACCTGTCTTCATCATGATGATTTATGTTTCAGGAGCAATTTGAAAACATTTCTGTTTACCCAGCATTTGGTAGTAGAAGAATACTGCTGTTCCTGGCAACCATGAGATCATTGGGTGGAAGAATGTTTTTATGTATAACTGCTTTTAGGTAGTTTTAGAATGTTAGAATTTATCATAGAATTGTAATATTTGAAGAGATCTCGAGGGTCATCCAGTCCAACCCCCTGCAATGCAGGAATAAATATGACTAATTCAGGTCCATTGATTTCAATAGGTTTGTGCTGAGTAAAACTTAGTTGAATACGACCTAGCATATTTTTAGTGACTTAACAGTGCAATCCTAGGCATCTCTACTCAGAAGCAAGTCGCACTGAGTTCAGTGGCACTTACCACCAGGTAAACAGCTATGGGATTGCAACCTTAGTGTAGGTGATTTGGCATATTCTTGACATATTCAACAAATGGAGCCAGATTCTGACTTTTCATGCTTGCTTCCCTATAATTAGAGTTGGAACACATCCCAGAATAATTTTGCATGGACAGATTTTTAAATATAGGTTGCTAACAAATTATGTTAAATTTCTAGCTTAATACAGAGCAAGCAGCTTATGTGAAGAGACTTATTTGTACAGCTCTAATTAAACTGATATCTTTTCAGAATTTTACTGCAGGATTCCAGGCTTGGTCTTGAAAATATTTTATGAAGAGAAATTTGCTTGCAGTAAATCCAAAATTACAGGTTGCAGAACATATTCAACAAACAAGTACAGGTGGTTATCTATATATAGCTTCCTCCCTCCCCCCCCATCCATATATTAGTCCCTAAAATATGCTGCTTCATTGTTACACCAGTTTCGTCACACACTAGGGCCCAGTGTGCAAACACATAGCAAACCTCACCATGTCTCCTCCTCAGATGTAAGTCCTATTAAATTCGGTGGTTCTTACTCTAGGGTAAGTGAGGCTAGGATACAGCCTAAGCCTACAGTGTTGTTTGGGGCAAAAGACAGCTGACAAAGAAACCCATCAGACGGAAGCACGAAAGGAAACAATGAGGGCATGTTTATTTACGAGGGGAGGGAGATAGCAGTCCCCCCATGGTAGCCCCAAAATGCAGCTGTAGCTGATCAGCAAGTAGTTTATTCATGGCACATAACTGCAATACATACAACTCACCTATATACAGTCATACCTTGGAAGTCGAACAGAATCCATTCCGGAAGTCCGTTCGACTTCCAAAATGTTCGACTTCCAAATCGTGGCTTCTGATTGGCTGCAGGAAGCTCCTGCCACCAATCAGAAGCTGCGGAAGCCCCGTCGGACGTTCGGCTTCCAAAATAACGTTCAAAAACCAGAACACTCACTTCCAGTTTTCAATCGTTCAGGAGCCGGAACGTTTGACTCCCAAGGCATTTGGGAGCCAAGGTATGACTGTACTTAAAGTAAAAGACATTTGTAGTAATATATTTTCAAATATATCATCCGCAGGTGATAACATATTGTGGAACCTGTTCTGCAGTCATGAATATTTAGACCACGTCTCTAATGTGGTGGGTCTGTGAGTTCCTCCACTGGCGCCCACAAAGCCTCAGAGTCTTCCCACTCACTGTCTCTTCAGTAATGAGGTGGTGAGGGAAGTCACCCAAATACATTTTGAAGACGGAAGTTGGAAGAAGAACACTCTCCCATTTATTCTTGAATTTCTATGTGCTTTTCAAGGCTCAGATAAATTTTACTGGATCCAACTTTTACCCAGGAAAACTGTGGGTGCGCGGGTGGGTGGGTGGGTGGGTGGGTGGGCGCACACACAGGTGCACAAGAGTGCATTCTTTTTGTTTCTTAGTGGGGGTTGGGACAATCTGGACAGGGAGAAATGACTAGAGTGGGGTGTTGCCCGCAGCACCACTCAAAATCTAAAAGTGCCCCAGAACTAAAAAGGTTGGTGAGTCCCAATTTAGACTCATTTGCTTCCGTTGCATTAATTGGCCCCTTGAAATTCAAACAGTCTCTATCTTTCATAGGGGCTCAAGGGCCAGGCCATAGAAGATAATGATGTCAGATGGGAAGTGATTATGCTCACGTCACACGCACAGCATATCAATGGACTCCTCATTTTCTATTGGTACAGCATTTTGAGAAACACACATGTAGAAAAAGAGTTAAGCCACATAAATATGAAGATCAAGTGGAGAAGGGGTGACATTAAGCAGTCCTTGAAGGAGTAAGCATTATTATTTTTATTTTTTTGAGATAAGCTCAATCACATTCTACCTCATGCTGAGTCAGGGAATAATCTCCTTCATTTCAAAGTATGCCAGAAATGGGGTATGATTCACAGGGGACAGCCCTAAACTTGTATATTTCAGGGATTATCTGCCAATTAATTTCACCTTCAGTGACATTTTCCATCATACTAAGAATCTCTTCAGGGTATATTAGTGCAGCTAATAGCCACTTCCACAAGAATGAAGGATCAAGGGTGTTTATCTCCTTCTTCATAAAGGAGCAAATGTTTTTCGCTGCTCTGGAAACTCGTGGTGAGATAAATATAATGCGTTTTGCTGATCTCTGGCACAGAATAGTCTCAAACTGATCCCTTCAGGGTTCTCTCTTACAGTTTCAATGTATTCCTCCATCACAATTACTATATTGCTGCAGCCACTGCTAATGCTTCTGAATAGTATCACAAATAGTGTCACAGACGCAAGGGCTCCATTCCATAGATCTCCCTTCCTCATGCTTGCTATGAAACACCACCCCATTTTCCTTACCAAATATTACCAATGTTGATCAATGGTTAAAGGACCAAAAAAAGATACCTGAATTCATCACACAGGATTGGTACTATTAGACTTGTCAGTGCAGGCAGAGATCTGTCACATACCCTGTTTTCATAGGCATCAGCTATTTTTTTCCACCCAGTAGGGAAAATCCATGTCACTGCATTGGAAGCAGGATCTAGAATCCTATATGATAATAGCAAACTCCATCTCTTAGTGCCTGTCCTTATGTAGCACCATTCATTCACAAGAAGGTGACATCAACAGGCTTTGGGAGGGAGCAGGAGTGCAGCTCAATGAAGACTGAGCATGCTCAGTGGGCATGAAATGCTGGCTACTTGTTGGGTGGGGCAGAAGGAAACTAGTGGGGAGAAGAATAGAATGGAGTATCCTAGAAGAGAGCATGGCTGGCTGGCTGGCTGGCTGGCTGGAACCCTGAATGGGAGCACGTGGCAACATTTGTTTGCAAGTCCCACTTCCCTATATCAGACAGTACACAGCTACTCTCCAGAAGCTTTTAGTAGACTTTATGGGGCCACGATACTACTTAAAGCGAAACATGGATCACAAGAAGCACAACAAGTGCAACTGGCAAGGAATCAAACACTGAAGTTAGGTCTTTGGCAAGCAGCGAGTGAAAACAGCACCTTGCGGAGTCTGTGAGGTGTGCCAATTATTGGCAAAAGACAGAGATGCATATCCAACTCCTGCTGCTCATCCACACTGCTCTCTCCTCCTCATATGCAAAAGTACATAAAGCCAGATGAACATTTGAAAACACATTTTAGGAGAATAAGTTTGATAACCAGGACTAAGCCAAATCTGTATTTCCAGCTCAGGTTTTCATACAGAGAAAACTCAAATTCTATTGAAGTACAGCATCTATTTAACTTGGAACAAAACATTTTAAGTGGCCTCAGGTTATGTGTTAAGTATATATACCATTCCTGTGGTGAGCAGGTAACTTAAGTCAGTAACAGCAACACTTCCTCTTATTTTTAGAAAAATCTAATGTGCCAAAATTGTACCATTCCAAAATTGACACAACTGCCAGCAGAAATCCTATCTCATTACAATTCCATTATTGGGGGGAGGGGGGTTGAAAGAAAAGAAAAGAAAACACACACATCAAACTCCAAACCAAGCAAAGCTAAGCACTTTTAATTCTCATTGATTTCGCTGTGGGAGATTTAAGCACCTGCGTAACTCCACCATTGAAATCAATGAGGCTTAAAAGTGCCAAACTTTGGCTGGATGGTGCCCTGAGTGTTCATGCTCCCCGCATGTCAATTATGTGATGAAGCACCGGGTCTAGTTTTTGATAATGCATTTCTTTTCTACTCACTCTGTTTTTGGAACCTCTTTTCTCAGCCAGTAGAAATCGGACTGCGCTGCCTGCTTGCGGGTCTGAAGCACGTTGCCAAAATAGTCTGTTTCTAAAAACTTCATCTGGGAATAGAATGTGAGGGTTATGCAAGTATAACCAATAGATTCAACGAGGAAAACAAAGAATAACTTTAATGTCTGCAAAGCAAAACATTCTCATAAACCCTATGCTCTGAATTGAAATGTTCTGATGCCGAGCAAGAATTCATTTGAGCTTTTCTTCACAGATTTCTTTTTTATGTTAACATATCATTCCCATAGAGTTGCACCATTTCTATTAAATCCATAAACAGCAACTGTTGAAGGAAATGGAATTGCTTTATAGAATTGAAGGAATGGGAATTGCCTTACAGAATTTTATTTTTACATGTTATGGCTGAAACCCCTAATCCACTTACCTGGAAGTAAGCCCCACTGAACTCAATGGAACTTGTTGACATGTGAATGTCAGGAAACTGCTGAATATTTAGAAGACTGCCAGGAATTGCAAAAATGCTGACATTTCCCAAGAAATCCCACAGTCCGCAAAACGTTTTTGCCTACTATTCAGCAACTGAGATACTTTTCAAATAGCTATTCTATAGGCACTGCTTGTATCTAGATATATGACAAAGCAATCCTATGAAGCAGGGGGGAGAATCCAAGTTGAATTTTCTGACACTTCAGAAGCCCTGGCAGCTCAGTGCAGTTAGAGCAAGGGGAGGGTCTTTTTCTCTGCCTATCCCCCCTCCTGTAGGGAGGGAAAGACTGATGTTGTTCAGAGCTTCTTTGGAGTAGAATGGTACTTGGGGGGGGTGAAGGGGCTTGGAATCAAGTGGATCCTCAGATACCCTTCACATGTCCCCTTCCATCAGGATATATCTACGCCTGCCCAGTTTCCTGCTGACATACTAGAGATGGAGGCAGTGAGCTAAGTACCATCATGCCAGTGCACCTCCCTTGTCAGTGGTAGCGCAGCAATTTCTCCACATCCAATAGCCCCTCAGCCAACTTTCCACTGGCTTTAGGATTACACCCTAAAATACTATGTGCATTTCAGCCACTGCTAGCCATCTACCTTTTGATGCCAAGTAAGGTATAAATGAGGGCAAACTGTGCAAGTGAGGGCAAACGGAACTATCACACCCCACCCTGGGGCATGCAAGAGCAAAGAGTTAATCATTCTAACAAGGGCAAGCAAAGCTAAAAACATGCATTAAAACATGAAAGGTTTGCAAGCAAAATAAATATCTATTTATTTTTTAAAGCTGATCTCCCCCTGGAGTTTTAATACTCACAAAGCAGCTCCACTTTTATTTATTAATTTTCAAATTACACCCTTCAAGGGCCAATAAATATTTTACGACATCAAGGAGTAACAAAATATGACTGCTGACAGTGTGTAGGTGACTCAGAGAACTAGTAAGCAGATAGAATGCCAGGACCTCCAGTTCAAACTCAGACTCTGCTGCTACAGATCGTAAGTCATTAATGTCTAATTACTGCTCCTGGCTTGTTTGAAAAGTATCGGCAGCTTAGTGCAACTTTCAAAATACCAAAGAGTGCATTAAAAAAACCCATCACCTTCCACAAAACCTTTTATTCTGGTGCATGTAACAAAAGCTGCTTAACCTTTGAGGTGTAAGACTGACTTCATATTTCTTAAATGTCAAGTTAAAAATATATTGGGAAAATGTTTGTGAAAAATTACTCCCACCCTGCCTCTTACATGGTAAAGTTAAGGAATTTGTAAATTGTATTTCTACTGTTTTGAAGGAAATGGAGGAAATGCAACATATAAACCATTTGGAAAATATTAAGAAGGGTTACGCCCAAATAAGAGCAATGGAATGTAAGCACTTAACGGCAGACTTAATATTAGTTTCCAAAAGGGTACACATGTTAGTCTCCTGAGCAAAAGCAACCAAGAGTCTTGTGGCACCTTAACACCAATATTATGACATAAGCTTTTGTGGTCTACAGTGTGTTTCGGGTGCATTATCCTGCATTGGGTGGGTGGGGTGGGTGTAAATGGTGAGGTCAGAAGGAAAGAAAATGCAGAAAAGTACAGCCATGGCAGTAACATTTTTAACAGTGGCCATTCACACGCACAAAAAGAAAAAAACAATGACTGTTGATAACACAAACATTGTGGCATTGGGAAGCCAATTAACACATTTGGTATGATAAAAATCCATTGTTCTGATTCAATCCGCAAGTGATAGCATTAAACCTCCTGACATATTGTAAGTGAAGAGTTCACCGCCACCCACTCAGCAAGTGATGTCCTTAAAGTTCCACCATCAGCCTGTCTGCTGCACCTTAAGCTCTCTCTACCTTCCTTCTCATATTCTCTGATCTATATCCCAACCTGTGTTGCTAACCATTAACTCAGTTTCAACAGAAAACCATTGGTCCATTTAGTCCAGTATTGTTGCATAGACTCTCCAGAGTTTCAAACAGAGTTTCTTTTCAAGCCCTACTTGGAATCTGGGACACTGTGTATCCAATGCATGTGTCCTACCACTAACTAAGCCCTTTCGCCTTCTTGTAAATATAATTACTCTCAGTGAAGAAGGGCCCTGCCAAAAGCAGCTAGTTCTCTGCTGTACCCCAGTTGTTTTTGCCACACCAGTGTCAGTGTCATGCATCAGAACCACCACATGCCATGCAACTAAAAACACATACAGTGGTACCTCGGGTTAAGTACTTAATTCGTTCCGGCGGTCCGTACTTAACCTGAAACTGTTCTTAACCTGAAGCACCACTTTAGCTAATGGGGCCTTCTGCTGCCACCGCGCTGCCGGAGCACAATTTCTGTTCTCATCCTGAAGCAAAGTTCTTAACCTGAGGTAATATTTCTGGGTTAGCAGAGTCTGTAACCTGAAGCGTATGTAACCTGAGGTACCACTGTACTAGAAAATAAATGAGATGAAGTATTGTAGTAATATTCAACTAACATTTATTCAGAGTAGACCAACTGAAATACATGGACATGACTAAGTCCATTAATTTCAATGGGTATACTCTGAGTTAAGCCTAGTTGAATATCACAGTTTGTGAAATATAAATGCTACTGATATGTTTATTTAATAAATAATTTTGTTATTGTCCCCCCCCCACACACACTTATTCCAGATTACTTCTATTTTTGGTTGACCAAGCAACTTGAAAATAAACTAAATCTCCTACTTTCATCATTCCCAACTGTAGAGTTATTGCCTAGAAAAGATTTGTTGTAGCTGTTTGGCTTGTCTGGCTTTAAATATCTGTAACTATGAAGTTTCACACTACAATGATTTGATAGGATGTGAACATAAAGCAATAAAAGGAGTGACTTATTATCATTTCCCAGCTTGCTTTAACCATCACAGGCAGAACTATGGCCTCAGTGAAGACACTGTGTGGTGTATTGTAGGGCTACATATTTTTAGCTTACTGAAATATACAGCAATTTTGCAGTAGGATTATGACTCAGAAAATGGGTTGCAACTTCCATTAATTTGTTCCAACGACACAGCTGACAATGATCACTGTTTTGTCTCAAAGACAGACACTGCATATATTGCAAAATAAACATAACTAGAGACATGGTTAAGACTTCCCTTTATGGATTAAATAAGGCTTGGAGTACTTACTCATCGTCCTCCATTTCAATTAAAAACACTTTATCCTCCAGAGATGTGATGCTTAACAACAGACTCATGTAAATAATGTGGGAGATTAAGCAGAACTCAAGAAATGTGCAAAGCAAGGGAAACTGTGCTATAGCTAAAGGCATACATTTTAACAGCAGAAATGCAGCACTCAGAAAGTTAATATCCCTTTACCTCCTGTGGGAGCTCGATGTGTCAATGTGCAAGCCGTTTATGTCTTGGACAATAGATCCTGAAATAATAACTCCTTTGAGAACAAAATTTCAATTTTGAATCAAATCCCAATCAAACACCATTGCAGTCTGTTGGTTTGGGTGGTTTTTTTTTAAATCAAACATACAGCAGGCTTATTTTAAGACACTAGCTAGGTAATGCAAAGTAATTCCCAGAGGTGTCTATACTCTGTGCACACACATAAACAAAAGAGCCCATGACTGGCTGAATGTTCTGAAAATTGCTTCTTGCAATTTTTTCAGCTTCTGGAGGAAAGAGACTAGAACCTGTGCAGGACACAAAAACTTTGCCCACACACACACACACACACACACACACACAAAATTTCAGGTAGTCATACTCAAATGCCTTGATGCCTGTTCTTGTGCTTGAAATTGCTTTTCAAAATGGAAAGTTGAGATTCTTGTCCCCGATTCAAATTCTATCTTGGTGCAGTACAATTATTATTATTTTATTTATTAAATTTCTATACCGCCCTTTCATCAGAGAATCACAGGGCAGTTTACGATATAAAAACACAAAAATGCATAACATAGTAACAAACAAAAACAATATCCCCCAGTTTAAAAAAAGGCCATAGATTGTTTAATTAGCCAATGAAAGAAAAGGAATGTTTTTGCCTGTCACCTAAAGATATGCAATGAAGGTGCCAGAGAAGCGTTCCTGGGCACCTGGGCATTTCACAAGCAGGGAACCACTGCAGAAAAGGCCTGTTCTTGTGTGCTACCCTCCAGAGGAAGGCACACAAAGAAGGGCCTCAAATGATGACTGCAGGGTTTGGGTTGGTTCCTATTGGGAGAGGCGGTCCTTATGGAAGATGGGCATAGCCAGGGAGACAAGGTGGCAACTGTCCCCCTAAATCAAGTAAATCAATAAAAAATACTTAACTAACAGAGGTACTGCCCCCACCAACATAAATCCTGGCTACACCCATGTAATGGAATTATGACTAAAAGGAATCAACACTGCCCCAACAGATATGCTATACTGTGTAAAGAGCCTATGCATATAATCTTTTGTTGTGCAAAACCTTGCTATGAAGGAGCACACACATGAGGAAGAAAGGAAAGAGGAGAGTTGTAGGTGGAAAAGAGTAACCCCATGATGTGTGGAAGAGCCTGCCTTCCATTTTCTAACTAAGAGCTTGCAAGATGAGGTTTTCCCCATGAAGATAGTCTGGAAGGAAGCCCAGCTCATAGAATTTCAAGTGTGAATTCATGTGAATGAGACTTCCACACATAGATGAGAGGTTTGGTGGCCTGTTGTCCACACATTCTTCAAGGTGTGGGGTGAAGGAAAGGGACACCGACTCATGTACAATGTGAGGGACACCTGTCCATTCGTTTTACTGTTTAATTATGAGCTGGGAAAGAGAGAGGCAAGCAAAACAGTATGTAGGGAAGGGAATATCAGGGTATGTCCAAGGTGAATGTGTAGATATTTACCAGCAAAAATATTGGTTGCAGACCTCTAGCTAAGGTGTCTTGTTGTAAGTGAACTATTTTCATTGAAAGGTGCTGTTTTTTAAATTATATTTTCTGGCTTTAAACCCAAGCCCTTGAACAACTGATATCGAGAGCCTCTCTGGACACTGTCCAATTTTAATTATTTTGTTTCCTCTGCTTGTGACTTACATATGGCAAACATCATAACAAATACCACTAGATAACAATTTAAAAAAAAGACTTACTGTTTTGATGCCTTCAGAAATATATGTATCATTCATTATAAACTCGGGGTAACCCACTTTAGCCAAAACTGCTTTCGCCTTTGGAAAGAAATACAAACATCATGGTGAAAAGGAATCTCCATTATTACCTGGATGTGGCCTTATTTGGCCACATGGCTGCCATTAGCTTCAGAATACAGAGCCACTGGTTCCATCAATAAACTTTAGCATAATTTATGGCAATCTACTGTTCAGAAGATACATTTCATCCCATTTACACATAGCAACATCCCATTACTTTTGCCAAAACTATGTGCCACAAGCATAAGAGATATCAGCAAAATGCACCACAATTGAGGTTCCTAAAAAGTCAAAGGTGGGGAATTTGTGGTTCTCCGGATATTTGGGGTGACAACTCCTATCATCCCTGGCCATAGGCACGATGGGAGTCAGAGTACCACAGATACTCCACTCATCCTACTAGTAATAGGAGAGCTTTTGTAGCAAATACCCAGTGAGATCAAATGGATGAACCATAAATTTTAAAAGCAGACGCCCTTACCACACTTCCTCCATTATGGTTACTGACCTGAAAGGGAAGAACTTTCTGATGCCCAATGTGGTAGAAACATACAAGCAAATAAAGTCATCACCAAATGCTCCAAACATGGGAGTGGTCTACAGCCTAGCAAGACCATCCCAAAATATTTTGCCACTTGAAGCAAAACAGAAAATGGCACACCTGATGCAGCCCTGTTCTGAGTTGCTCAGAGAAAGCTCTGATGCACTGAAAGTGGTGGGAAGCAACAAAGAAACCAGAGAGGAGTGGCAGTGGCAGCCCTGTTCTTCCCAGGCAGTGGCCACGGGTGCCAAGCAAAGGAGGAGGTGAGTGGCCCAGAACTGCCACCCCTCCCAGCTGGTCTCAGACTGCAACCTAAGGCAACTGCCTCACCTAGGCCAATGGGTGGGGTGGCCCTGTAGCATAGCTATTATGTGTACACACTATTGGGAAAGATGTCAACCAGTTGGGCCAGGTGCACTTTCTCCTAAGACTCCAAACCCCACCACACAAAGTGTATTATCTGAATAATGAGCTGAGTATGGTGCTGAAGGAGGCAGGGGGTGGGGAAATGGCTTCATTGGACCAAATTGGATCCCCTGGCGGGGCAAGAAGGGTGGCCAGGGGGTGGGGGTAAGCATAAGCCAGGCTGAACAGGAGATCCTGTGGAATCTCATTGACCACTACAAACTTCAGTGATTGGCCATCTATATGTGGATCTGTGGGAAGGAAGCTCAAAGGGAAGAAAATCTTCCACATCTTTTCTGAGCGTTTCCATTTTTATTGAATAATGTGTGGCTAAGTGCCAAAGTTTTCCTCCTCCCCTTATAATGGGCCGGTGGAAGGGGGAACATTCCAGAAACTTTACCATCTCGTTCTTGACAGTTCCTCAGCCCTTGGGTTTTTATTTCCCACCTGAAATTAAAATCTTCTACCTGTAACATCACAATTAATTGCAAGGAAGATAATTAAGATGTCACAAACAGAAGAATACAGGTGGGGAATTAGCAGCAGGAACAGATGAACTCTTAAGCAAGAAAGATCCCATTGTCATGCAAATATCCCTGGTGCCAGGAGAAAACAATGGAAGACAAATGCTGTGAAAAAGAAAATAGGAAATGAAGCAAATGATAATGAAAGAGAATATTTGCACTTGGTTTTCCATGAGGAGCAGGAGGGCCTTTAGGAACATTTGTAAATGGTGGGGAGGAAAGCAGAAATGCAACTGTATCCATTTTGATCACCCTACTGTTGTTCGGCAATGGCTGAAGCTGTGCAATGACTTTTCGGCTGATATATTTGAGGGCTCTGAGTGTTTTTTCTTCTTATTTTCAGCTCAAGAAGGCAAGAGGGAAACATCTTATTTACATTTCCACTGAGTTGGCTGCTTAAATGAGCTAGGTAAGTCACAAATGTCTTGCATGTATTCAGAAGTAATCATTTTAATCACTTAATTAAGCAGCCTTTGTGTTGCATCCACACAAATATGCCAGCTAACATTTTTTATTAAACCAGCGCAAGGAACAAAATGGTTTAGAATAGCTTATGAACTGCTGCCTTTCAAAAAACTATCCATTTTGCAACTGGATTAATTATTCAGTAGGTTTTTTGTTTTGTTTTGTTTTTTAAGAATCTATGGAGATTAGCTGGTCCAGCATAGTCGATGATTTATGAGTGCACCACTCACTGCAAAATGTTGATCAAACCCCAAAGCACTTGGTCTTTCAATGCGGAACAACACTACACAAATTCCTTTGAATTTTGATACTTTAATTTTAAAAAACCAGTTAATGTCTCCAACAGAAAATATTATTTATTTGCTAAACTGAACATCATGTATACAGATCCAATTCCTGTCCTCTCCATGACAGGCTGGTAAATTATTCTTGCCTGAAACCAGGAAAGCTGCTGCCAGACAATGTATTCCAGGAGTGGGGAGCCTACTCTTGAGGTTATTCAAGGTCTACTCTTGCCCTGCCAGGGGATCCAATTTGGCCCATGAAGCCATTTCTCCAACACCAGGCCCACCTGTCGATCAGCTGGCATCACTCCAAAGGTTCCCTACCTCAGTGGGCCAACATTGACAGGTGGGCAGACCCACCTACTTATCAGTCGCCTGACATTAGGTCACATGACTGACAAGTGGCTGGTCTCATTCACCTCTCAAACTTAGCCCATATGGGTGGGGGAGATAAACATCTGGCCAAAAATGTTCCCTATCCCTGGAGCAGAATATACTGAGCTAGATGGGCCATTGACCTGACTCAATATAAGACAGCTTCCTATGTTTTATGTAATTGTATTTGCATTGATTTAATTTGTGAGCCATCCAGAAGGCCTAGTCAACTGAACAGTGTTTAAATGCCAAAAAGAAAAAGAAAAACTCTGAAAGATAATGTGCGAACAAAATTAAGCAGACTGCCTGGTCAGAATGACAGGACATCCACAGCCTTGGGAGAGGTATTATAATCTTTAGTCACAGCACTTAGGGTAGTGATTAAAATCAAAATGAAAAGGGAGGAATTTGTATACAATATAAATTAGGGGGCGCCAACCTTTTTAGACCAATGGGTTCCTTGGGGGTTTTGAGCGAGAGTCATGGGCACCTCTGTTCCTTTCTCTCTCCCATATCAGATCCACCCCACCCCCTCACCCCTGACAACCAGAAAGAGGAAAGTTTTGTGTTCACTTTCCCAGAGAATCTGGGTAAAAGCCTTGAAATCTGAGCCTTGTAAAGTACATTGTGAGAAGTGGCAACAAAGAGTACAAAGTGGCAGTGGGAAAGAGCATCACTCTTCCAATTTCATTCTTCATCTCTATGTACTTATCATAGAATCACAGAACTGTAGAGTTGGAAGTGACCCTGGGGGTCATCTGGTCCAAAGCCCTGCAATGCAAGGAATCTCATCTAAAGCACCCATGACAAAAGATGGGCAGCCAACCTCTGCTTAAAAACCCCCAATGAAGGAGAATTCACAACCTTCCAGGGAGGGGAAAGGAAGAAAAGGGTAACCACCTCATAATCAAAGGGGCACTGAGTGGATGCCAGAGGAAAATCTCAATGGCAGTGCTGGATATGTCATTGAATATGTCTGTTTTCAAGGAAGATATGGGCTTTCAAGGAAGAATTGATCCATCTCTGGCTTGGTACCCCAGTGTGTAATTCATATAGGGATACATATATCCCTTCCACATTGTGATTTTGGTCATGGGAAGAATTTTAACATCTTTGTCTTAACTGAAGATGTGATATGGAAAGCAGCCATTAAACAGGCTACCTCAGTATATATTGGGAAATGATGGCTTATGAATCTAAGCAGGATCCTTTAAAACCTTTCTCATTCATTTGGGTAATCTAGCCAAAGAAGGCTGATCGCTGAAGAACTGATGCTTTTGAATTATGGTGCTGGAGGAGACTCTTGAGAGTCCCATGGACTGCAAGAAGATTAAACCTATCCATTCTTAAGGAAATCAGCCCTCACTATGCTCACTGGAAGGACAGATCCTGAAGCTCAGGCTCCAATACTTTGGCCACCTCATGAGAAGAGAAGACTCCCTGGGAAAGACCCTGATGTTGGGAAAGATTGAGGGCACAAGGAGAAGGGGACGACAGAGGACGAGATGGTTGGACAGTGTTCTCGAAGCTACTAACATGATTTTGACCAAACTGTGGGAGGCAGTGGAAGACAGGAGTGCCTGGCGTGCTCTGGTCCATGGGGTCACGCAGAGTCGGACACGACTAAATGACAAAACAATGACAACAACAGCCAAAGACCACCATATCACCATTTACATCACACAGGAGAGGAGAACAGTTTTGACAACAGCACCTAGACTAATCTGGCTCATGGTAGTATAAGATAGCATCTTAACTCATTATTGACACAAGAGATAAGGCACAAAACTTTCAACAGGGTATTAATTTCTCCTGGATTTCTCATTTCTTTGCATAGCCTTTTCTGCACTGTGCTGCTAATATTTAACTTCTATCATCCATCAAGAAAAAGAATACGGGAAGCCCTCTAAGAGGAAATTGTTGGTTTTGGCCATTATTTTAATCATTTCATACCTTCACTTAAATATGTCAAAATTTCAGAATTATAAAAGACAAAATCCCAGAAATTATCGGTTAGTTCAGGATGAGCATTGTTTGTGATGTATACTGGGAAAGGGTTAGAGACCCTCTCCTATAGATAGCCAGTTCCCCAGTCTTAAAAAAAAAAAGCACCCCACATGCCTACTAATTACTGCAACAAAAATCTCATTGGGCAAATCCTAATTGCAGATCCCACATGTAATATCTAAATTTGGTCTCCGGGATCAGCAATTGGGCATTGTATGCTTTCACATCCAGTCTTGTTGAAACTATTCCTGTACTAAAAAAGATCCCTGCACTAGCAATAAATTAGAGTTATGTTCAAAGCAGAATTTTTTAAAAGGCATTTATCTCAACTCTCGCTGTACAACATTGCATTTTATTATGACCATTTAAGAGGGCGCATATAGATCCCTATGCATTGACAACCTGAACCTATTGCAACAACACTTTTTTGCAATAATCACAAATAATATAATGTGATGTATGCATACATAATCATCTCTCTTTTTATGGGCAATTTTTAAATTCTAAAATAAAGAAATAAATTTACTGGGGAAATTAGCATAAAATCTAGTTTGAAAGCAAGACTCTTTCATTGCTCTGTAATGGGCCCTTTAATTGCAACAATGAATTGACTCTTTATGTACATGTCTGTCTGTGTTTTCATTTTTCATGGAAAGTAGGCTATCTGAATACCATCTGCTAAAACTGTTGCATGCATATGGCTGGTACTCTATTTGTTCCAAACATTGGGAGGAATGTGCTAGGAGATTGGAAACCTTATTCAATATATCTTGCACAGAATGCAGAGTTCAAACTAAATAGCACCCGTGTGAATGGAAGTTTTAAGATACTGCATCTGGAAATGTCTGCTATAGAAGGTCTTAAGAGAGAAATAGCCAGAGCTGTTAAACATATTAATACGTAGCTGGCAAAAGAAAAGAAAAATCTGTCCTGGTGTTAAGTACTGAGTCATCATCTGTATTATACTCAGTTGGGATGTTTGTTTTATATGCTGAGCATATAAGAGAAAGAATCACACTGGTATTGTTGGTTCTTATTTTTAAAAAAATTGTGCAGACATATTATGTATTGGGGTGTTTTGTTTATCTTTTACTCTGGCTAGCAAAAAAGCGGGGCGGGGGACAAATGAATGAATAATACAATTATTGGGCACAGATTTTATACTAAAATAAAACAGTAACATATTTCATTACCTGAAGTAGTACAATGCAATGTGACTGGGTTTGAAGTCTTGTAAACTCTTAAGTCAAAGGTGGAGGATAAAAAATAATAATTTTCCTCTTGATTCAGAATGATATTTTAGTGCAAGAGCTTCATCCCCCAAAAGCTGAAGGGAGTTCACATTACAAAATGCAGCCATTAAATTTCCTGCTTAATGAGCTGTTGCTTTTATCTCATTTATCTGGATTCCCTCCTCACTGTTCATTGTGATTTAAAGAAATGCACAATTAACCCATCAAATGTTGCTATGTAGATTGGCAAGATTTTTGTACACATGTGTAACACTGACCCACGTGAGGTTAAGAGGCTTCCCCAAACTTACAGAATGTATCCAAAGTTGGACAGATCTTTAACAGGTATTGTAAGCACGTGTGGTGCTGGAGTAGCCCATGGCTGGGGCGACAGGAAGACCAGACATCATTGCCAGTGAACCCTACCGAGGGCTTGGACCTCAGCAGCTGCCCAGGTCCTGACAGCAGCCCCAGTAGGTCACATGCAGATCTTTAAAGAATTATGAGAATGGCTGCTTAACTATTGTTGTGCGTTGTTGCATTCCAGTTGACTATAAGGGCTCCTTCCGTGTGCACATACATGCATTGTCCTTGTCCACCTCTTTTCCTTTTCCATGTCAAATATGAGAGTGGCCAAAAGTGTTCTGATCTCAAGCAATTGTGTTAGCCTTATGGAGTTATGCTGGGCTCTGGAAATAAAATGACAGCTTTGGGTCCAGGGTTAAATACAATTTCCTTTCCCTTCACCGGTTCTCCCGCAATCTGTCTGAGCAGTGCTCAGGTTATTAATGGAACTGACATTCCTGTACAACTGACTGAGCATTGGCAGCAGCCAGGTAACAAGGCAGAAGGTGACGGCAACAAATCATCTAACACCAAAAGATAAGAGATAATGAAATGTGTTTTGGCGATTAGTTTCAGATCATGCCAGGGAAGAGGAATGTGTTTCACCTGGTTATCCCAGATCCATATTTTGTTCAGGAAATGTCATACAACTGCTTGGAAGCCTATTTTAGCATTCATCAGTATAGAAATTAATAATACAAATTATGGTTGCGTCTTTTCACAGACAGATGGACCTCCAAAAAGTAGAAGCATCCACCAAGCTATCAGACCACTCATATGATTCACATGTCTGCAACTTCTTCAACCCATAGCTCCCTATATATCTGTTCCATCCCATTCAGATGAATTCCTCTGTTCAGGCAAGCCTTCCAGGATACTCATAGGGCAGACATGGAGGGCCTGTGATCCTCCAGATGTTACTGGACTATCACTGATTTATTTAATGCATTTATATCCCACCTTTCTCCCAAAGTTGGGATTCAAGGCAGCTGCTTCTGCTGCTACTTCAACATCTCATATCCACCTTTGGAAATATGCCCCTTCAGAGTTCTCTCCAATTACTGCCACAATTTTAGATGCACTCTGGCATGCACAATATGGCTGTTGTACGTGGACATAGAATTAAAAAATGGCAGCAACCCAGATTTTCATTTTAGTTAAAAAGCAGGGATGCCCATATGATGATGAGATGGCAGTGAAGGGAGATCTTAAGATTCAGTTAGTTTGAATCCAGTTTTGTGATAATTCAGCCTGTCTCCATCTCTTCCACCGAGGTAAGCGGTCCTTCTGCCCTGTTACATCTGATTTCCCCCTTTCAGTCCAGTCAGAGCATGAACACTGGGAAAATTCATGGAACTCTCCCATTCCAAGACAGCACAGTTGTCTTCTCTGCCTGGTTAAGAACTATAGTTTGCTAAGGGTGTTGGGAATTGAAGCTACAGCTCCCAGGAATCTTTGGGGTTGCTTTAATGGTATGGCATGCACACAGCTAGTGGGTAGGTCATGCGAGTCTCTCCCTCCTGCATTGCTCACTTTCCACCAACATTTTCAGAAACATTTATGACTGGGGAGGAATCAAGTGATAAAATTCATTTATCATGCCTAGGCAGCAGAAATGCACAATCATTGGCTTCTGGCAAAGATTATCTGCCACCAAATAATGGGGGGCTGTCTGTTTGGTTTTTGTGGGGTTTTTGCTTTCGTTTTGGAAGAAACAAGAGTAAATTAGCATTTTTAGAAGGATCCACGTTAGCACTACATTAACATAGTCTCAATCCCGAGTTATCTCCACCTCTTTTCTCTACAGAACACTTATCATGGAGCACAATATTCAGGATAGTTTCACAGATAGAGCAGCCTGTTATCTATGTGTCTCATGTGAGGGAAAGGAAAGCCCTTTCTGAAAATTGTGTTTTCCACATTCAGCATCTTTTCTATGAGGCTACAGGGTGACTCAGAGCTGGGCCAGGATGAGAATTATTGATTAAGTACATCCACGGCCAGCTAGCATAATGAGCTACAGAGCATGTCAGGCACACAATGGCATAAACACCCAAAGGACAAGGAGGCAGCAAAGTAATGCCATTTAAGTGGTAAATCAAGAAACACGATAAAATGGGAGTCTATATATTTTGGTACAATGGCATTTAAAAACAACAACAACACTTTTGAGCTACCATTGCACAGTTTGTGCCAAGACCTGACAGAAAGCGGAAGAATAAAATGCACATAATTGGCTTCTATAGGAAAATATCCCTTTAAGTCTTGGGAGTCAGTTGTGAAGTGCATCACACACAAAAGAGGAACAGAAGTTGTGATGATGGGGAAGGAGGGGGGAAAGATTGGAGCATGTTGTCAGCCTCATATTTTTGCTCTCCAGAATAGTAATTTAATATGCTGCTCTTTGGTGATAACAGGGACACCTCCTCGTTTACATGCAGACACAAGCACACACCCACTGGTACGTACTCTCTTGCTCAGTGTCAAGGGGACTGAAAATAAGAATTTTGTAGGGACGTATTTGGAGTTATTCTTGCTCAATAGCCCTTTTCAGGCATTCTGCCCGCCCGCCCTTCAGAGTCTCTATCACTCTCTGGAGGCTGAAGGGTGACATTAGGATTCAGGCTCCTGCAAGGGGGTGGCACAAGTAGAAACAGATTCCCAGGTTCAGACCATCACCCTTCAACTCACAGAGGGTGCCGAGGCTAGCCAGCACTTTTATTCCCATTGGCAGGGCAGAGGAGTGGGGGAACAAGGGACATATATTCTTGAATGAAGAGGGTTAATTTCAATTAATATACTAGGTTTGTTAATGAGGAGAAAATCTTGCACAGAATAAAAGGTGTTAAAATGTGTGCAACTTACTTAGGGGGCAAATAAGAATCATTCTTAAAAGGTTAAAACTGTTTTTAATGAGGTAACATACTTTGCGGAGAGTCTGTTGTGTATAAAACTACCTGGGAAAGTCTCCTCTGCTCTTTCTGCCATATGTTTATAATGCTGTTAGCATGGAAAGTGAATTAAAAGTATATCCTTGGCTATGTAACTTTTGCATTTGCGTTGCAGACTGATTTGAGCCAAGGCTGATTCAAGCCTCGTGGGAAAGTAGCCTTAAATGGAAAGGAGTAATATGGGTTGTTAATTTAAAATCTGCCTTAAATTAATGTAAAACACATTGGAGAGGAGCATAGTGGTGACCACTGGTTATTGAGCTGTCTACAGCCTCTATGGAAGCACCTTGAGCTCCATCCAGAGAATTGTGCATGAACTGCACTCTGACTCAAAAAAAGAGAAAAGAATACAAGAGCATTTGGAATCTGTTTAACTGGATCAAATTGTGCATAGAAATATATTGTTAGGTGTTGCTAACTTTGTACTAAATATCTGTTATTCTTTTAAGCAACCTTCAGCAGTGCCAAGTCAATCAAAGTCCTATGCTATAGATTTCATTAGTCTTTCTTTTCAACAAAGGAGAGGGGAACACAGTAACCACCTTGGCTTTCACATAGGGAGGGTCAGATCAGGCTGTTCGTATGATCCATGCCATTTCTTCATGGTCCTCACGCATAAGTCTATTTTATCTCATTTGCACATTAATCTGTGATTCAAAAAATAAACCCATGATAAAATTTGCATTTAAATGCTATTCTGTTTTCCCTCAGTGCACTCATATCAACATACATTTTTTTTAGAATGCTTTTTGTACCCAAAACAGGAACATTTGGGGTGTGAAAAGACCAACACATAGGTAAGTTCCAACATTCACATTAGTCCTGGGAGTGCAGATTAAGTCCATTCATAATGGAATTCCCAAAGATCAAAGCCCTTTACAGACACTCTCCTTTTGTGCAATGGCTATCGTCTGAGGGGGAAACTCAATCACTGGCTCCACCCTTGCCACCACATGCATGCTGGTCCTGCCCATAAAGACCCACCCTTTGGGAGAGTAAGTTAAAAGTGAGGAGCCTGTTGTACACATGGCCCTCCTCAGGCAATTTTGGATTCCATGCAATCTGTGCCAGCAACCCCAGAGAACCACTACCATTTTACTGGTGTTGGTATCTGTCTGTCGCGGGAGACAATAGAGGGGTGTGCCTTTGGGGATGAAGTCAGACTGTTGGAAGGTTGCATCACCTGCTGTGGCTGTGAAGACTGATACGGGAGAGACATGTTTTGTTGCAGCTGGGGCAGATGAAGGCTGATGCAGGTGTACCACTGCCTTTCTTTACCATTCAGTGTAAACAATACTGAGCTAGATCAGGGGTCAGCAACCTTTTTCAGCTGTGGGCCGGTCCAGACCATGTGGTGGGCCGGACTATATTTTGGAGAGAAAAAATTAACAAATTCCTATGCCCCACAAATAACCCAGACACATTCTACTTGTGTAAAAACACACTGATTCTCGGACCGTCCATGGGCTGGATTGAGAAGGCGATTGGGCTGCATCCGGCCCCCGGGCCTTAGGTTGCCAAACCCTGAGCTAGATGGACCAATGGTCTGGCACAGTATATGACAGCTTCTTCTGCTCCTATGAATGTAGCTCCTTTCTCTCCCCAGAAAGAAGATCAAATTATTCAAACATACCCAACGAAAACATACAAAATATTCAGGGGTGTGCTAGGAGTTGGCTTGGCTGGCCCTCACCTATGGCCCAGAAGGAAGCTCAAAAAATGCCAATAAAGCCCAATGGCCAGGGTGACAGCTGGAGATCCGCAATGCAAGAAGAGCCCCTCAAGTGACAATCCTGCTGAGGGTCCCTCTTAAAACTGTAGCTACCCCTGCTGAGGAAGTTTACAAGCCTGACTCGGGGCGGCAGATGACATGCGCAGCAATAAGGCATCAGTAAGGAAATTGAGTTTCATTTAATGTTATTGCCTTTAACAGGCCATCTGGCAGCCAGGTATAATGAGGCCTTCTATAAAGTTTTAAATGACTCTCATAATAAGATCACCCTTTTCCTTAAAAACTGCAGCATTTCCTACTTTCCTCACAGTAACACTTCCCAGTATGTGACAGCTCCATAAAGATCTATCAACCCAATCCACATTACAGCAACAAATATGCAGAGAGAGTTGCTTGCTACTTGAGGGAGCCAAGTCATGTGGCAAGCACTTTTAAATGTTACCCTGAGGAGCAGAAGAACTCACCATAGGGAGCCCATGTTCAGTGGCATTCCAAAGGCAAATGTAGCATTGAGTTCAGCTCTTAAAGAACATTTCTGACACAGGCATCCCTCACTGCTGAAATTTTCACCTGACAGGTATCTCATTGGGTCACCATCCTTGCACCAAACATTTCACCAAAAAAGTTATTAATCAGGCACTGCTGCTTTTTATAGCTTTGTATGCACCTTGATTTGTGGATACGCAACAATTCAAATATGTCAAGAAGAAGACAAGAGATCATGTAAGACAGCTGAGAGCTGCATCCTTTGTCTTCAGTCCAACCCAAATCTTGAACTTCATGCATTTCCCATGTTTCTGAGGTCCAAGCCTGACATTTCCTTTAAGCAAGGCTGCAATTCACATCCAGCTGGTGTCCCTGACACGGTTTTCAGTCTTTTATTTTGCAGCCATATAAAATATGAATATGACCAACTGCAATTGTAAAACATACCCTGTTACCCATGTTACTGGGTTTTTTTCCAGAATGTGTAGGATGTTTCAATTCTCATTTCTGAAATGATTCTTGAAAGCAACGCACTATTTAAATCTAAAGGTTTTGGACTTTAGTTTTTGAATGGGGAGGGAGGACAATCAAATTCCGACTCTCTTCATCTGAGCACAGCATGGAAAATGACTCAGCTGCAGCTTACACACAAGACCCCTTTACAGAGGGCATTTGCCAATAAGATGCTACCCAATCACTTCGACAAATAAGGCGAAGAGGCCATTTCTTCCCCTCTGCCTCTGTGTACTCATGTATTTTTCAAAAGTGTCATTCTGTGTGCCACTTGGCATTTGGATGAGCTTCTCTCCTGAGAGTTTAAAATGGAGGATTGCAACAGAATGGTTCCAAGAATGCTTGAGCACCTGTGAACAAGCCATGTTCCTTTGGTTTTCTACTATCACACAAAGCTTTGAAAATATTGTGACTCAGAGCTAATTTAAGCATGTGAGAGATAGCACATTGTAAGAGTTACTTCTGGGTTGCAGCTGGAAAATCACATATTTCGTATGCCACTTCCTCATATAAAAGCTAATCCCTTTCACCCCTGACAAGCCAGCTCTCCATTTGTTCCTACAAGAAGCAAAAGGAGAAACACGAGTTGCAGTGAAAGTCTATACATCTTTCCATAAGCAATTCCCATGGAATTCATGGGGCTTTCTTCCTAGGTAAGCAGATATAGGATTACAGCAGGGGTGGGAAATGGCAGGTCCAAATGCAGCCCTCTAGCTCTCTCCATCTGGCCCTTGGGACTCTCTCCAGACCACACCCTCAAGTCATGCCACAAGCCCTCCTCACAATTTCCTCCCCACCCCACCACCGGCTGGAATGTGTCCTTGAGATCAGATAATGGCTCTTGCTTGCCTGGAAACAAGATTGAGAGGGGTGTGGGAGTGTGTGCAGAAACTAGGCTAGTGTGTGAAGGTTGAATTTACATACATTGCTCCAACTTCTTTTGCATGTGGCCACAAATGGTTACTCAGAAGGAAATGCTGCCCTTAAGTTTGAAAAGTTTCCCTGCCCTTGAATTACAGAATCACTTGCCTTTTCTGCTTTCAGCTTTCCGACCTCTACAGTAATATGTGAATGAGTAAGACCCACAAATCCTCTTGTTTACTTTTGAACAGAAGTAATGAAAAGAAGAAGACACATATCTTATTTTTCTCTTCATATATAACAAAATGAACCAGTCATGCACTGGAAAAAAGGTCACAATCCCATTCAGCACGCCCCATCCCCACAAAACAGAAGTTGACCAGTGAAAAGTTTGGCAGCGTAACAATGTTTTTAAGAAAGACTGAAACACCACAAGAGAGAAAGCCAAGAGAAGTTCTCATCAGGTATACTGTTTTTATATTTTCATGCAATCCTATCATGTTTATTTGGTTATTAAGTCCCATTGAATTCACTGGGAAATCACTGGGAACTGAATCCACTGAGACTTATTTCTGAGTGGACATGTACACAGGATTGTGCCGCAAATTTTTACATTCCATCACAATATGACTTCTGACTGAAAATAGACTGTGGGCCTCATAATGAATACTACTTTGGGGTGGCATCTCCCCTTGTGGAGACAAATCTCCTAAATATAAGGGCAACTTCTAAATATCAGAACCTAGAAGATGCTATGTATTATCCTTTAACTGAATGCAGTCATTAGAGCTATATTCCGGAATGTTTAATGAATAACCTGTATTCAACGCATCAGTACTGAAAATGTGAACCCCAATGAAATATCAGAAGTGCAACCCCTTAAAAAAAAGTCCATCAAAACATGTTTAGCACATTTTAGATACATCTTCCCCATGTATTAACAACTTGTAAGCCTTCAGGATCACAGAAACACCATAAAGGGGCAATCTAGTGATTTCAATCTCAGTTCCAGGACTTGAATAATGTAGTAGGAGAACTAGCTGATTTTCTGGCAATAACATCTTTCCCACATAGTTTATTAGCTTGTTTATGTGTAAGACCAAGAGTCTAAAAACCACTGAAGCAAGTAACAACGAAGATTAAACAAGATACTCGATAAAGTTAACGGGGTACACAGATTTTAACAGCAAATATACACACGTACGACATCTTTTCAAACAGATTGCTGATGGATAATCCCATTCATCCAAAACTTGAATGTATTTAAATGCCTTTACCTTTTCAATCGCTTTTTTCTTTGTTCCCAAATCCATCCAGCTGTTTTCATTCTCCAGCATGTCCATAAAGGCCCAACGAATCCCTTCAGTCAGTTCTGCCATCTGCAACAAATATTACCATAATTACTTAAGAAATGTGAAATGCTCTGAAGACTTTCTGTCCAATTCAGTGAAGGGGCTCTGCATGCAGAAGCAGCCGTGTGTGTGTGTGTGTGTGTGTGTGTGTGTGTGTATGTAGCCAAAACAGATGTACACATCTGGATGTGTGTTCACATCTGCAAATCTAAATGCTCATCTACAGTGCTCATCTGGTCCCCAGCTAAATGTCACTAATTGTACTAAATTAGTGTGGGATTGGTGCCTATGAAAGTATGAACATTAGAATCCATAGCAAAGTTTCCCTTCCATTTATTTTATACCCTTTAACTCCAAGACTACTCTTCAGGTATTTAAGAACTGGAAGAACATGGTTATGAAAATATTATAAAAAATCTTTTACTGGATAGAGCAGAGCTGATATGTGACAATATATATATATAGGCCCAAGGAAATTGTACAAGAACATCAGTGGTTGACTGTAACCTAAATATAATATGAATACACAGCAGTGTAATAAGACGCTTCCATGCAACGTTTTTCTGTGCACTTGGTTACGTTTTCTGCAGCATACATGCAGCATCATAAGAATGTAAGGTGAGTCTGCTGGAACAGGCCAATGGCCCATCTAGGCCCGCACTAGGCCCATTCTCACAGTAGCTGAGGGAAACCAGCAGCCAAGATTCAAGCACAGGAGCACTCTCCCCTCCTGTGGTTTCCAGAAACTGATATTCAGAAGCAATTTAGGAAAGATGAGAAATCTGTCCATTGGTCAAATTAGCCAGGGTGGCTGAAGTGGAGCTTCAGTGTTCCAAGGCAGCATAGCAAATGCCATCCCATTGTTTTCCTCATCCATTCTGGATTTAACATTTCCACATTTTTTATTGGACTTTCCACAAAAAGGATAAATCCAGATTCAATGGGAAAATCTTGTGGGAGGGCATTTTGATGCGGAAGCTGGGCAAAGCTTCCAGGCATGAATGGCCCCAATTCCATAACAAAATGCTGTGTGGAAGTGCCAGTAATGTCAGGTGAATCACCTCCCTGATTGAAAGTTTGGAGATTGACCTAAGTGGGGGGAAATAATGTCCTTATCTAAACAACCAAAGAGGATTGTAGCATCTCATTTTCATGATTCATTACTAGCCTTTAAATATCACATCATTTTTATACAATATGGAAGCCAGTACAGCCCTGGCATTAAATATGACCAAGCATTCAACAGTCGGGAGTAAACTGCATCCCAGGGAATAAGGTAACTTGGAGATATTGATGGCAGAGCACTGTTTCAATTAACTTAGTGCACTAATGAGGTGAACTCCCTGTACTTGGAGGTTGGCAGTTCATATTCTAGCTCTACAATTGGACCCTGGTGTATATTCTGGTTTTTATGCACCAGCTGTAGCAGTAGGGGTGGGAGGAGAAATCTATTCATACCATCAGAGTTGTTATCAAAATTGTTCAGGCGTAGCCGTACGAAATGCTGCCTAGACTGTAGGTCAAAAACAGTGCTATATTTAGACACAAATAATATCTCTTTGATAAAAGGAGGGAGACAAGAAAACATCCAGGGCATGAGCTCATCAGTGACTAAATACAAAAATACCACGCTTCCCATAATTCATTATTTATTCAGCATGGACCTTCTACAAACTAAGAGGGGGGATGGTTTGGTGTCATCTAGATAGCTGAAACACAGGAAAAGGAAAAGCAGACTGAAGAAAATAGAAGATGCCATATTTTTAAAAAGAGAGATCAACCTGGCATCTAGTCTATGACCCAGTCCCCATCCATCCTCAAGAATACGCCCCAATGATATCAGTGAGATTTAGTCAAGTAAATGTTCACAGGATAGCATTCTACAATTCTGTGCATACTTATGTAAGATCATGGCATTTCTCAGTTGCTAAAATGTCTCATTTGCCATTTGATCTTTCCAGCTATTCTGGGGGGAAACAGGATAGTAACAAATAGCCCTAAAGACAACCTATGAAATACTACACAATGGTTAAAGTTGCAGTGGAGAAGGGGCCACAAAGCACCAGTGGTCAGATTAAGGCAGTTTCCGGTGCCACCATCACATCAAAGTGGTAATGGCACAAGTGATCTCTGGGCCGCATCACCCACAATGCTTTGCTCTGAGGAAGGGTGTTCCTGCTGTGACCAGGACGTCGGGGAGCAGGTGACAGCAATGATAAGGGGAGAAAGAAGGTATATGAGGATGCAGTGGAGGACGAGGAGGAAGTGAGGGATGGAGGAGGAGGTGGTGATACTGACAGAGGGAGGAGGAGGTGAGGGCAGAAAATGTAGAAGGCAGCAGCACAATTTCAAAGGCACCAAAATGCACCTACCATATCCCTCTTGTCTTCTTGGAAGTGCAGATCTACAAACATTCTTCCAGTAACATAAGGGAGAGCACTTTCCACGAAGTTTACACATTTATCCCACTGAGGCAGTAAGGAGGTTGTCCCCTGGATTACCTGTTTTGACCAAACAACATTCCATGACTATAACCAGATTTGCTGAAAAATCAGGCAGACATGTATTTCCTCTTCTAATCTCCCGTACTCCCACAAGAGCAGCATTCTGGAATTCTAGGCATTAAACAGCCACAAAAGGGTTGTCCCCATCCATATGCTCATAACTCCAACATTGACTGGGTGGAGGAACACTAGGCTACATTAGGGGTGTGATACAGCTGTGGAACTTTTTCTCAATTTGGGTACCACTCACCATTAGTGTGGAAAGGAAAACTCACTCTCTAATAATAGCAACGTGTGAACAAAGGTGCAGACAATCAGCTACCATTTCACTGGAGCAAACAACAACTATGTCACTATAAATGGTAAATGTGGAAAGCCCTAGAATATCTTAAGTTAGGAATGGTGCTGCTAGCTCTACAGTTTGTAAATTCTCAGTTCTATTCAGTTCATTACAGAGTCCCAAGCAATGATGTCATCCTTTCTCTCTGCTTCATATTCCAGCCGTTAAAGAATGAAAATCACAGCATAACACAGAAACATGATGCTGCAATAAAAGGGAGAAAGACTTGGATGTAGAAAAAAAGATAACCTGTGAATTTTTCCTTCAGCTCTGTGCCCAGACTAGAGTCCTGATGTCCTGAGAGAGATTAGTGATGTTCTCCAACTTCTTTAAATGCATTGAATTCAAGCTTGCTAGCTGGAAGCACAGGGACTCACAGAATCCATCTATCAACTGCTGTCTTCATAAGCTTCATAGGCACACAGGGCATATTGATATCAAAATCTCACACTTACCCTTGAAAACTCCAACCACCTATACTGAAAGCGCCGGCTGAGGTTAAATATTCTCGAATAAACCATTCTCCATACCAGGTAGTTGGCAATAGTCCTGTCAAAGCAGACACATCTTTATGTCAGACAGTTAGACCCATGTGTTGTAATGTACAGCTGTCTGAGACTATAAATAAATAGGTGACTAGATTCTGCGCCCCCCTCAGATCAGTGCACTACCTACAATGGTAGCAGCTTCACCTTGAAAATTAATGAGCAATGACCAAATTCACAAAAACCTGTTAGACAGAAGCGGTTGCATGATAACAGCCATTTGGTGCGTGAATGATGGTGGATCTTCCATTTGGAGCACATTTCAACAGTTTTGCATCCTGAGATGGAATTTGGCACTAGTGCTCCTGTGCAAAGAATGGGTGTTCTCCCCCACACACACCAAGTACTCACGAACTAATAAAGCAGAAACAATCTAGCTACAAAATCTATAGGAAAGTTTGCCTTAATTAAATGTAATGGGATGTATTGCAACTTTTAATCAGAGTAGATCCATTGAAATAAATGGCCCTAAGTTTGTCATGTTCACTCATTTCAGCGGGTCTATTCTGAGTACAAGTTAGCTGGCCGCAACTCAATGTCGTGATATCTGGTGATCCTTAGCAAACCATCAACAATACATCAGCAAGTATCTCACACATCCTACTCACATAGTAATAATGAAACACTTGCAGGGCAATTCAGATAGCAAGTGCAACCATATAAACTAAAGGAATGGGCTTTCTACTACAGAGAAGTAAACATGGTATTTAATGGCTTAATTGGGAGCGGAACACAGCAGGGGTTAGACCAGAAATTAAACTTTAGTTCTGAAAACGTATCAATTGATTTATTTATTTTTTTAAAAAGGGCGTCTTTGAGCCTATATAAATTCACCCCACTTATCAGCCCACATTCATTCAGGATTAGAGGGCAGAGGTTCCAGGTGACAAGGTTTTAAGGCCTGCGCCTGCCGCTTTTAGAAATTAAGCACCATGGTACATTGTGCCTTGTTCAGCATTTTCGGAAATAGAATGTGATAATACTTCTGTAATCCAGTGTTATACACCTGAGGCTTCTGCATGGCTGGATCTCTTAATACTAATGCTCAAAGACATTAAAAACACATTTTTCAAAGTCAGAGCTAGCAGTAATAGGGCACTTCACCCCCACTGCCACCACCTCAGAGCATTTTGGCAGTGCTAGACTTTTCTACCTAATTAAAGACAGCCAATAACATAGCTCCCTTTTTTAAAAAAAAAACCAATCTGACACTATTTTAATTGATTCAAAAAAGAACACAGAAGTGAATGTTGCTGAGATAAATATTATAACTGGTTATGTGTTGTATCTAACACTGCTGTTTTGCTTGTGCAACAGACTTGCACCTTGAAATCTGCCCTCCTTTCCTCATCTGTGCAGCCGCCCTATGCACCTGGGGCATCCTCCAGAATAAATGTGGGCGTGGGGCACAGGGAGAGAATAGGAAGGATAAGTCCTGTTGTGCAAGCAGAATACAGTGGTGCCCCGCAAGACGAATGCCTCGCAAGACGGAAAACTCGCTAGACGAAAGGGGTTTCCGTTTTTTGAGCAGCTTCACAAGACGAATTTCCCTATGGGCTTGCTTCGCCAGACGAAAACGTCTTGCAAGTTTGTTTCCTTTTTCTTAACACCATTAATACAGTTGTGACTTGACTTCGAGGAGCAACTCATAGAACGCAGTGTACATAGTAGCCTTTTTGAGGTTTTTAAAGACTTTGGTGATTTTTGAAGCTTTTCCAAAACTTCTTTTGCAGCCATTTGGTAAGTTAAGCTTTTAAAACTTTTTGGGGGGGGGTTGGATTTTGGGTTGGGGTGTTTGGAATTCAAGGACTTGGTGTTGGGAAGGGGTTTGCAAGAATCTGGAAGCTTGTGTGTTTTTTTCTGCATTTTTATGATTTTCTGTGACCATTGGGCCACTCTGCTGTTTTTTTAAAAAAATTCTGGATTTGAATTTCTGTGTGCTGGGTGGCTGGGGGAACAGTTGGGGAGGGGTTTGCAAGAATCTGGAAGCTTGTGTGTTTTTTTTCTGCATTTTATGATTTTCTGTGACCATTGGGCCACTCTGCTGTTTTTTTAAAAAAAATTCTGGATTTGAATTTCTGTGTGCTGGGTGGCTGGGGGAACAGCTGGGGAGGGGTTTGCAAGAATCTGGAAGCTTGTTTTTCCCCCCTGCATTCTTATGATTTTCTGTGACCATTGGGCAACTCTGCTGTTTTTTTAAAAAATTTCTGGGTTTGAATTTTGAAATGCTCTTTACAGTATGTGTGACTTTAAAGAGCACTTAATAAACTCTTGTTGTACCAAATTTGGCTTTGTTTGGACTTTTTTTGACCATAGGAACGCATTAATTGATTTTCAATGCATTCCTATGGGATTTCGTGCTTCGCAAGACGAAAAATTCGCTAGACGAAAAAATTCACGGAACGAATTAATTTCATCTTGCGAGGCACCACTGTACTTGCTTTCTTATGCAGCATGGGACACAACCCTCACACCATCACGTTCTTTTCAAAATGTAGGGTTTCAGTGTTACTTGATTAATAAAACCAATTCATTGATAAAAACATTGTGGGCCAATCAAAACTGGACCCTGCCGCCAGTGTTTGTGCTGTGCCTCAGAAAGTTATCCATAATCAGGATATTCCATATCAAACTGGCCTAATTCCAAGGACAGAGGAACTGTACTATTTTAGTTATTAGGGGGCGAATATATCCTGTCTGATGCATTTTATATCCTTTTGGGTGCTAGCAACAATGAACCAATTAAAAAAAGCAAGAGACAAGCAGGTGAAGACCACCTGAGGACCAACATACATATGACAATAGTCACATGCAGTACTGCTTTACTCTTTTTTTGGTCAGTGGCAGGGTTGCATGCACTCTCTCTCTCATAGCCAGTAATTTCCCTGTTTCCTTCTCTTCTCCCCACTGAATAACATAGAAGACAACCCATAGTCACTAGCATTATTTTCACAATTCTGTAGAACTTGCCACGTTGTGGTAATGGACCTTTATTATGCAATACCCTTGGCTTCTGCAGAAGTCATGGGCCCTTTCTGCGAAAACAGCAGGACCCTCTTGGAGCATCTCTGTTTCAATGGCTCCGAGCAGCATCTTTTCACTTTGCTATCATTAGTATCTGCAGTGTTCACGAAATAAACCGGACTTATGGCTGAAGAGCAACAAATTGTTCAGTCAATATGATATGCCTTCCCAGTCGTAAGAGGATTCCTATAATGATCGCCTCAATTTCCACATTTTCCCCCAAGCCCAGAAAGGCTTTGCACTTGGGGAGGGGGGTCCATTCACCTGGAATTGCTAGCAATGAGTTATCTTGCTGCAGCATTCACACGATTTTGTTTTCATAGCAACCCCAGAGACAGAAATAATTGAAAGGGTCCACCTGTGGTTTGAAAACAAAGTGGTAACAAACCACAGTATGCCAAGATCCTAAACACTAGACTGAAAAGTCAGGGATTGTTTCTGAGCAAAAACATACACAAAGCAAATTAGAAATCCTTACTTTTTTCTTTCACTTTCTAGTATCCTGAACAAATCCTTGAAGTACTGGGGCACACGAACAACGACATTTTCTGAAGCATCTATGTCCTTAAGTTCAGGATAAAGCTTGGTGTCAATCACCTTCTTGATATATCCCAGCCAGTCAAACTGCAACAGAAGCAAAGGTTCAGTTCCTGACTCTTGCAGACAACAACAACAACAAAAGCTTTTAAGTTAATTACCTACCATTAGCTAAACGACTTAAAAGTTTTGCCTAATTTCAAAGTTGAAGTTCACTGCACAACATCACAAATATTTTGAAACTTAAATAAAAATGCAGCTGTATTTAAAATAATAATAGTGAACACCTGTTTCAACTAATTTCATTTAAATTGCCATCTTATGCACATCTGAAGAACCTTTCAGTTTGAAAGGTAATTACACAGTCCAATCAGGCATTAATATAGTCATTTTCCAATTAACTTCAACCAACCTGAGGGATCAGGGTGCTGAGTTCCGATATGTTCATTTTGTTGTACATAGATTCACTGGTTCGATTCTCATGTGGAATCATTATCTGCAAAATATAAATGCAAACAAATATTATTTTCCTCCACAAATCCACTCTGACTTTGCCAACACTCACATAATCTGGGTGCGACAAGGTATGAATAGCAATGTTACCTGTTCAGTTTTCAGTAAAATAAGTTGCAAACCCATTATAACTAGCAAAAAATCTTCTTTTTCCATAAACATTTTACATTTTTTCCCATGTAACACAATGAAATTCATCTTTATCCATACTAATATCTAGCCCTTCCAGTATGAAACGTTCAGTTTCATAATCCCAGGTGGATACCTACTCTATGTCAAATGTATCTGAAAGACAGGAAAATCTAGAAAACTAAATAACCAGTATTGTAAACTACTGATGCTGTCTTCAAATTCAGCACTGCAATTAGGCCTGGAAACTAATTGCCAGCCAGTGCAGTCAGGTCAAGAATGGCATTATATGTTCAAGCTGTCTTGTCCTGGTGAGCAGGCTGGCCACTGAATTTTGCACCACCAGAAGTTTCCAAATTGTTTTCAGTGTTAGCGCAACATATAACTCATTATAGTAATCTAACCTAGAGGTTTTTTAGCAGCAGCTGTAAAGAGCTCCTACTCATTTACATTTATAATCTTGTTCAACCCTGAAATCCTTCAAGTATCAAACTCATTCCTGGATGTGCTACTGGCAGTTGCCTCCTTGTGGACATATCTTGCCAATTCATCACATTATTATTATTATTATTATTATTATTATACCTTGGTTCTCAAATGTAATCTGTTTGACTTCCAAAACATTCTAAAACTGAGTTGCAAAGGGCTGGCTGCAAGTTGAATGGAGAAAATTGAAAAACAGGCAGTGGAAGCCGTTTGACTTCCGAGGCGCATTGAAAAACGGAAGCATTTACTTCTGGGTTTTTGGCATTCGGCTTCCGAGATGCTCGAAAATCGAGGTACCGCTGTATTTATACACTGCCCTCCATCCAAAGATCACAGGGCAGTTCACAACATAAAAATACAATATACAGTTTGTCACTGCATTGGAACTCCAGGAAAGCACCAAGTGAATGAAGAAGTGAAGCCATGTCTACCCCTTGGGACATCCAGTTGCCACAAATGCAACTAAAACCCACATTTAGAAAAGCACTAACCTCAGCAATTTTAACTTCTAGTTTCAACACAGACTTCATGTCCAACTCTGCACGTGAAGCATTGGCCCCCAAAAGCACTGCTGTATCCACCATGAACTGGAACAGAGCTTCTCTGTACTATAATGTGATAAGAATCCAGTTATCATTACAGCTAAACAGAGAATTAACCTCAGCAAAATAAAGTATGCCCCCCCACCTTATTGAAGCATAAGAATAGTACATTGTTTTCCTCCCTTCCTTTTTCAATTTCCTTTGCATATTAATCATACTATTGTGCTCTATATTAGTTAACATGTTCTATCTATTCAGCATTCATCCTCATTTGCTTGCATGAAACATGCACTGATGTTAGATTATATCCAGTGTTTATTGAGCATTTGTTCTGATTTGTGTATGGAGTGGTTATGCAACAATGAGCATTCATCCAGAATTCATCCTGATTTGCTTGCAGGGCGTTTACATGTCTTCTCACTGGCCATTTGTTTGTCCCTTTCAATGCATTTCCCCATTACTTTCCAAACCGCAAAAATATTGTGGGTGGTATCCAACTAAAGGGTTCCGCTACAGCAGTGATTGCCAGGTTCTCTCTCCTCTCCCTGTGCACCCCCCCTGCAACCCCTAAATCTGTTCCCTCAAATGAAGGTTTATGGGGTAAGAGGAGAGCATGAGGAAGTTCTACTGTGCAGCTAAAACTCCTTGTAGTATCAGAACTGTTAAACTGGAAACAACCACGTAGTAGTAGGTAAGGTAAAGGTAAAGGGACCCCTGACCATTAGGTCCAGTCGTGGTCGACTCTGGGGTTGCGACGCTCATCTCGCTTTACTGGCCGAGGGAGCCGGCGTACAGCTTCTGGGTCATGTGGCCAGCATGACTAAGCCGCTTCTGGCGAACCAGAGCAGCGCACGGAAACGCCGTTTACCTTCCCGCCGGAGCGGTACCTATTTATCTACTTGCACTTTGACGTGCTTTTGAACTGCTAGGTTGGCAGGATCTGGAACCGAGCAACGGGAGCTCACCCCATCGCGGGGATTCGAACCGCCGACCTTCTGATCGGCAAGTCCTAGGCTCTGTGGTTTAACCCAGAGCGCCACCCGCATCCCTTTTGTAGTAGTAGGTGTTTGGAACTCATTGGGGATTGGGGAGAAATTTAAAGGTGAACTAGTTCGCAATTTCCAAAACAATATGTGAACCAAAAGAGGCATCCTTTGAAATTCACATTTCTCTGAATTTTGCAATGCAGTTCTCCAGCAAAGTTCTCTCCAAAAAAAATTGCATATACCAGGATAAAATGTGACATAAATGCATGTTATTGAAAACAGCATACAAAATGCATTATATTAGGGGAAACTGCTTTGGGAAAATTTGCATATTAGGAAAAATTACAAATGAAAAGGTGTATATTAAAATGCCAGAGATTTCATGAAGACTAAAAAAAAAAAAATGCAAATTGAAGATTGGGTTAAATGCAAAACTGAGAGAAACAAATGTTGACACAGTCACCCATCCCTAGTGGCTACTAAAGAGAGAATATTTTCAGTAATGGCAGCCCAGTTTTGGAATGTTCTTCTCAAAGAAGCTTGCCTGGTGCCCACACTGTGGTTCTTCCACCAGCAGGCAACAAATTTTTAACCTTCCCAGGCTTTAAAAAAAAATGTTTGAGTGCTCCTTATGTATATGACACCACTGATATACTCCGCTGCTGGATTTATTCAAGTCTTGTATTGTGTTATTTTGGTTATGTTTTGGATTTTTTTATATATAATCTTTGTGTTTTACAGTTTTAATTTGCTGTTGTGGACCACTCAGATAACTTCAATTACCGAATGGCATAGTAGCAGATAAATGGAAATAAATAAAACAGTTACTGCAGAAGGTTTAAATCTCTGAACAGGAAGTTAACAGGATTAAACAAGTAATTAATTAATTAATATGGTGGCAAAGGAGAAGAAATCCTCAATGTATTAATTGTTCTCCATTTAGATGCTCAAGTAAGCAGTGCTCACGGATTTAGCTTCTGTGGTGTTTTCCAGGTAGTCTTCTCGTGCTGACAGGGACAGAGATGCTTGGTCTAGCTATTAAAAATATGTAAAGAATACAACAGCGTCAGTTCCCATTAAATACACTTCCATAATACTACTCAATCTCAAATTTATAGTTTCATTAAGAAAAAGGAAGACACACAAGCAATCTTTTAAAAAACGATTTACTAATGTTAAGCAATGAACACCTTTTTAAAAAAGAAAATAATAATTCAGGCATCCAATTAAGTTCACATTTAAATATTATATTCTGCTTTCTTGGGGACATTGGCTTCTGTATGACATTGGGGAGTTTAGGAATTCTACAATAGACATTTTCCCCAAGATATAAATGTCCCCTGGCATATCTAATCTGGAAATTCATTTGATCCTTCAGTAACTAATTAGGATACAAGCATGTTCTTCTTGTAAATCAGATTGCTGTAAATCAAATTAGAGATGAGCTTAGAATGCCCTAAGGAATACAGTTACATATATTCCCCTGACTTTTAGTCATTTGCATATATACATACTAATGGCCAGGTTCTGTGGAGATGTTGTTGAACATGGTGGCAAAAGGCTGATAACTCCTATCAACAAAATTAGCTGGAGGGCGTGTAATTATGAGTTTGATGCAGGTTTAAAAGGTATTATAGAATTACTTTCTCACATGTCTGGTGAAAGAAGGCATTCTTTCTGCCATGTTTGAAGATTTCATAATTAAAATATAATGAGTCCAGAAACTAGGGACTCAGCTACATTGGCAAAGAAAAAGCACTTTATATGCGTTCTTTATGCATTCTAACACTGTGACACCAGATGGCACTGTGGAGTTCCATTTTTGACAACCTAATTTCTCACACAACATTTAAAACAGTTAAGTGTTTAACTGAAACACTTCTTTGATGTGTCTAGATCCATCCTAAGGCCTTCTTTCTTCACAGAGGCCTTCACATGCCTGCACCTGTGTTGATGGCCACAGGTTGGGCTTCCAGCTGCCGCTTCCAAGTGTGCCATGAACTCCCACTCCCTGTGACACACATTAGTCAACTATAAATCAGGACATGGGTCACCCTTATAGCACATGCTTTTGTGGGTCCAGATGCAGTGAAGCCCAGGACAGCAGCATGGAATTAAACAGGCCACAACTTTATGGATAACAGATGCTGGCATAGCCATTGCTGGTTGATGACTGACCTGATTGACTAAGATTAAGGGTTGCCTTGGGATGTGCATCAATTGTGGGCAACTGCCTTGAACACCATTCAGGAGCGCTATGGCCCATCAATTCCCAAACTGGGTGACCAGACAAGAGCATCATCTTCCAGGCTCTCTTCAAGGGATACCCTGCTGCTGCAGTTGTTGTGGGGGGAGCTCTCACCACTCACTTAGACTAGGGCTCCATCCCAATGCCTAATCCATTGTAAAATTGTGACATCACTATCCTTTCGGGAAGGATATCCAAATGCACACGATCATACTGTGACCTTATAACCCTTGAAAGCTTCACCCTTGTCTTTTTAATTTTTCCAGTTATTTGAAACATTTTATACTGTGATGACAATAAAGGTACTTGATTAATTGATTGATTGTGACATTTGCTATGAGGCAGGCAAAAGCCCTCCAGGCGGTCCAATTGGCCTGAAGGGGAAATCCCTCCCTGGCCCAGAAAATGGTGACTGAAGCAAGGCACACAGAAGCTAGTCCGCCTGCGCCTGGCCAGCTACCAAATATCAACTAAAGGAGAGGGAGGGTGGGAATCCAGAGGAGAACTGAGGCCCTCTGGTCTGCTCCCCAAGCCACACCCCTGGAATCCCCCATGACTGGCCCCGCTGCCTGCAGGAAAGTCCATAGCAGCGGACTCCCTCATGCCACAGGAGGGAGTCCCATCTGCCATGGCTGCATCCAGCCACAAACACAGCTCCCCCAGATTCAAGTAAGCAATCCTTTCTGGCACCCACAGGGTCCTGATGTGACAAACCCTCCCCACTCTCTTATGCTAAAATAGAAAGGAGCCTTCTATTATAGCTCATTGAAAGTTTTTGTTTCAAGTCTATCTGCATGAGTTGGGCAGTTTGGAGGGGGGAGTTTACAAATACGAGACACACATGCACGCCAAAATCACACCACCCCATGGCACAGTTAGACTTCAAAGAAGTCTTATATTAGCCTCAGTACAAGGCTCATTTGAAGCCTAATTACATTGGAGGAGGAGCAATTTTCAGGGATCGCTCTCACTAAAAACACTTCTTGTCATAATTAAGCTTCAAAGAAATCTGCTGTGTCAATCCTAGTTGTTATAGGGGGCTGGATTTCTTTTTAGTTGTTACCAGGGGTGATCTTCCCAAAGACTGCAGCTGGAGAGGGAAGGTTAACTCTTGCACTTCCAGGAAGATTTCTCTATCTCACTCACACACCCCTATAACACTTATGTGAAACGAAAACGCTCTCTCTCTCTCTCTTTTTAAGTCTCATTGCTGACGAGTGGAGTGTGTGGGGGTAACTGCCATGGATGCGCTTGTGCATGGTTGCAGTGTGTATGCATATGTGTCCCCACAACAGTTTCTCCAATTTGTAAATGTGCCCATTTGCAAAAGTTGGCAATTCCTGAACATAATGGCTAAAATGTGGAGCACTTGATATTTTTAGTAAGCTGGTGAAAACTCGCATCTACCTCCATCAACCCCCTCTACCATACCTTTATGATGTGCTCATTAGAGTTCTTATCATCAGAAGCCACATACATTCGGATGAAAACAGAACTGCTATATTGGCCACGAAGAGTAGCCAGGGTCTGTAGCATGCTGAACTTCCTTTCTGACCACAATCCATCAGGCCCAATGTTTGATTCCAGGACAGGCCAGCGGAACGGAGAATGTTTCAGCATGCTCAAAAGAGGCTTTGCATCAGCTTTCTCTATCTTATCTGGAGGGGGGAAAAGCAAGCCATCAGAAGACAACTTCCAGGTAATACCATTTTAAGAGTGCTCATTAGAAATACTGTTATATGTGTAGAGCAACAGGATGTGTATACACAAATTTATTTAAGTAGTAATAATGTTAGATAACTATCAGATTTCACCATATGGGTATGCATTCAGAAGAAATGTCCCATTAAACATATATGATAGTTAAAATCCCATGCACCAGGGAATACTGTGCAATCAATCTCAGGCATGTTTACTGAGAAGTAAGCCTCACTTATTCCTAGGTAAGTGTAGCTTAAGTACAGGACTGCATTCTAAAAGTACAAATTATTTAGCACTGAATTAATGGGAAAAGAGCAATAACTGGCACTAGTCATAAAATGCTGTTTTTGCAACATTTTGCATGCTTTGATATGCATAAAACAGAGATTCATTTCAGAGCCGCTCATTGCTTGATATTTATAGAACGATGTAAAATAAAGTGTTTGCCAGTTTGTGTACATTCAGACTCTAACCTGTAACCCTGTAAATGAAAGTTACTTACTCTCATTCATACACGAAGAATAAAGAATCTTAGCCTTCTGTACAGCTTCACTGTCTCGCCTTTTGCTAAGAGGTTTCTCAAGGAGAGCTGTGAAGTCAAATGAGGAGAAAACATTAGTTTCAAGTTTAACCATCCTAGAGTTTTACCAACATCAAACAATAGGTCAGAACATCACATCACTAGACAATGAACCTGAATTCTTCAGAATTTAATGTTGGTAGTCTAGGAAGACTGACATTCTTGAATCTAGAGGCTCAGGAAATGTTAGGCCCATACACAGTGCTTCATTGTTAAGATGAAAAGTTTGGGGGTTCCAAAGAACAGAGAACCTCTGTTTTGAAAGCTTCTTCCCTTCACTCTAGAGGAGGGGAGCAGGCTTTGAAGCTTTAGTAATAGGCAAAAGACACATAGTAAATGGCTCTCTCTTCCTTAATATCTAATTCAAGTAGGACCTGCAGCAAAATCTTGCAGTGTAGAGTGGTACTGTTCAGGAAGCCAACAAACTGTGCCCATTTCCAGGACACTCCATTCAACTCCCCCATTTTCTATTCCGCCCCCCTTTCCAATAATCAGTCAGCATCCCATTGCCACTGAGCACTGTTCGTCCTCATTGGGCTTTACTTGGGTTTCCCCTAAGAATCTTATTTACTTGTTGTATTTCTTCAAACCTTGGCGTTTCCCCAAGCTCCTTGTTTGGAAATGGATTAGAGTACGTAACTCTTTTATTTTCAAGGTTACAGGTTGGGATCTGAACATACAGAAACTGACATATGCTTTTTCTTCTTATATAGCCATGAACACAATATGCCATTAAAATGACACAGGCAGTTTGTGTTATGGTCAGATGAACATACAAGATGCCGAGTAATGTGTGAAGTGCATGCTGCATTGGTGTCAAGCAATGAAGCACTATGGGGGAGGGGGGAACTATTATATGAACACAAAACCGAGTATCCCTACTGAGGGTGCAGAGCCAAGCTCAGACAGTGAACAGGTTCCAGGGTTAAACCATGTTTCAAATAAATCTCAGCCTACAAGAAGACCAAAGCTTTGCTATAAATCATTAAAACAAACCAGTATCTGAGGGAAACATTCATGGAACAGAGGTCCCTTCCAGATGACCTGTTTATTGAGCATTCATTCTCATTTGTTTATGATGAGGTAATATGATGAGGTAATATGATATTGTGCCGAGGAATTGTTATTCCCCCAATTCCAGTCACTCTCCTTTAAAAAACCAAAACCCCTCCCAAAATTGCTTTTCTTTTTTCTTGGAGGTAGGTTTATTGTTCAAGAACTCCACCTCCATTTTAATTGTGCAGCCTTAATATGCCCGTATTGATTCTCACAAACAAAATGGAAGCCGTTCATAAGTGCCCTAAGTTGTCCTGCATGGAGCAAAGTCAATCCCGTTTGCAATACAAACGTAAATCCTGCCTTGAACAAGAACGTTAGTTTGCATTACACATTAATTGTGTAAATATTCTCTTAGATAGAGGTTCATAAGGGATAGAGCCATGCACATGACAACACTAAGAATGTGCACACCACTAACAAAACAAAAGGAGGCAGAAATTGGTCATCTTTATATATAATTAGCACAGATAGGGAAAGAACTAAATGCATTTTTTTCCTTCCAAGACATAGAATGCCAAAGGAAGCATATCAGATTTCATGTAATTAACCATAATATATGGTCTCTCTGTGGACATGCAAGGCTTGGATTTGGCAAAGCTATATTTGTGCTTGAGGAACAAGAGATTTCCCCACTCCCGGAACTGCCTCAAATACCATAACAGAGGCAAAGGCTAACTTGCAATGAATCGGATCATTCTTTTACCTGGTGCAATGCTGATTTGGAGTGTTCTTTCTACTCTGTGTACACATTACTGGCTTAAAACAGTGAGGGGGTTTTTCCTCAGTGCGTTTCAAGTTGCATTTGCCCATCGGACAGGCAAGGTGGGAGAATGGGCACTGACGTCTTCAGCTGATGGAATTGCCTGGTTAGTTTCACTGCCCCATCACTGCCCCAGAGATGGGGTAGGAAAAGGAAAGGAAAATCCCACATACCTGGGATTCAATGCTACTTGAAAAAGGATACTGGGTTCAAGTTCAATTAAAGCTGGCTTGGGGAAAAACCAAATCAAAACAGAGTATTTCACCAGAAACGGCAGGATTGCTCTAGACCCTTGGGTATTGTCATAGGTACACAAATTAAAAAGAGAAGTGAGAGCGCACTACAGCCAGAGTAAGAAGTAATGTGTACACAGCCTACCTGGCTGTATCTGTTCCTTCCAAAGCTCACAAGCTATTTTATGTATCTGTCTTTATTATAGAATACTATAGCCTGCCTGCTTCCTAGGCTTCTGCAAAGAGTTTCAGTTTTGAATTCTTAAAAGGGAACGGGGAAAGGCTAGGCTGCACTCCCTACAGGGTTTACACAGGACAGTGATCTTTGTGTAGGAAGGAGTGGAAAGACTTAGAAATAAAGAAAACACAAAAGCCTATAGCACAGGGGTTTTACTGCCGTTGTGACAGCAAAATGGGAGAATTATATGCACCACCCTTAAAGGAAACGTGGAGTATAAATGCAACAGATTTGTAAATCATCATTACCTTTCCATTTTGCCTGTTCTATGACCCTGCAATCAGCCCCAAGACACATCTTCCCATAGATAAACCCCATGGATACTTAGACAATCAGTAATGTCAGGTTTGCCTGTAATCCTAAGCCAAACTACGGCTTAGCATGAACGAGCAACTATGCTGGCGCACAGTAAGAAAATGGTGGCCACTTATCCCCAACTCCTGCTGCTGTCATCCTATTGTGCATTTAGCCACCACTTGGCTTAGTGTTGGGTGCAAACATGGGCTCATGGTTTGTCTCTCCCAAACAAACCTGGAGTGCTAAGCCAACAACAAGCCTTGTTTGGAGTGAGCCAAACTGTGAGCCCAGGTTCACACATAACACTCAACCAAAACTGATAGAGGACTGAGGGAAGCATCCATGTTTTTCTTACTATGTATTGGCACACTTGCACATTCACACCAAACCATAGATAGATTGGCTCAGCATTAAATGTGAACCAGGTCAGTAACATGCAGCTACCAGGTTCCTTGGACATCTTGCGCCTGACGTCCTAGACACAATTACCTAGGAGGAAATCCCATTAAACCTAGTAGGGCTTACTTCTGAGCAGGGATGGTTCCAGGTTTGGGGAGGCCCTTGGGCAAATGCCCCCCCTCCTTCCCAAAGTACTGCTGCCTGATTCACTTGCCCGTTCCCTCTGGGCCCCAGTCCATGCAGCCACCCCGAGAGAGAAAGGTACCACTGTTTCTTCCAACTCATTGCTTGCATGCTTGGAGAGAGAAGGTGAACCAAGGCCAAGGATCAGCAGCCTCCAGGTAGTGACAGTGGGACCCCTGTAGGGATATGGCTCTTCAAAGGTGCTCTGATTCCAGTTGTGCTCCTAATAAAACATGCATAAGTCTACACTGCAAAACATCTGTTAGATCATCTCTACTGGAGCAGCTCTCACAATGGATCCTTTTTTGTGGGGATGGGGGGTTGCCTGGATTTCAAATAAATAAATATTGAATGTTGACTATTGAACTGTATAAAGGTAGGTTCGTATTTACTTTGGAAGTATCTGATATCAAAATTATTTTTATTTACATAGTTGTATACATAATGATAGAAGACAATATTTAAATTTGGTAATTTAGCATTATTATATAGTACTGCTTGTATATAGCTCTATCATTCATTATATTTATAAATACCGTCTTGGCCCAAATATAAGCCGCACCTTTAAAATCCAAGGGGAAAGAAGAAGAAAAAGACGATAGCTGAATATAAGCCACTCCCTTAAAATTCCTCAGGCACTCACACCCGTTCCATTTTACTGTATGTCTGTTTCATCAGTGATATCGTAAAAGCCAATTTTTGTAAGGCCGTGAATTTAAACCACACTTTAACTTTTCACGGTCGGAATTTGGAAAAAAAGTGAGGCTTATATTAAGGCCAATATGGGTGCGTGTGTGTGGGTGTGGGTGTGTGAAATAGCCCAAAACAATGAAAATAAACTCACCTCGCTTAAGATTATAAATTCAATGACAATAGTGGGGAAGGAATAAAAACTGAAGGAGATGAGCTCAAGTAAAATACAAAGAAAATGGTAAATGTCAATTGTATTGCTAGTTTTCTTGAGTCACCACCATAAAGCATATCATATACGCTCCCCAGAGCATATCAAAATGGTCCTCCAGGAGGTTCCCTGGCCTTCTCTTGACCTAATTATCTATAACACACTCCAGTGAATAGCAGCCAGGTTGACTTGGAAGAGGATTTACATCCAGCTTGAAATATAAAATGGAAACAGCAGGTGCCAAAGCCAGTTGTTAAGTGTGCTTCAAGGCGGTGGAATGCCATAACTTGCCTCATTAAGCAAGTGTCATCTGTGCACTCCAAAGCAGGTTCAAGGTGTTCGCGCTCTTTCTTAAGCCTTCCAAACTCTGCAAATTGCTTTAGTGCATATAACTCAGTTACTTGTGCCAGGAACGTTAAAAGAGGCAAAGAGCCTTATGTAGCCGGTGCCTTTATTTTGACCTAGCTCAGCAGAAAGAACCACATCAAATCATGCTCATCCTCTGACACTCTCTGGCAAGTGCACAAAATAGCAAGACAAAGAAACTGCGAGACTAAGGTTCCATTAGAGTGCAAAACAGAGACCCTGCATAAATCAATGCTGACACGAGTACAGATCGAACTACAAGGAAAGCACATCGCAAGATGAGCATAGGCAAGAATTACGGTCTGAGAGTCAGTGCAGCATTGTGGGTAGTGTTAGGCTAGGAGTGGGGAGACCCATGTTCAGATTCCTGGTGAGACATGAAGTTCATTCATAGTCTAACCCACCTCACTGGGTTGCTGTGAGGATATAAAGGGGAAATCTTGTGTACAGTTCCCTGACCTTATTGTAAGAAAAGCCTACAATATGCCTTTAAACATTTTGCAGGGAACACCACTCTCTTCTTGACAACTTATTTGGTCACCACCACCACCCATATCTTAAATGCAACTCTATTCAGTACAAGGCATTTTTAACAATTTGCCCACATAACATTTTAGTCTGCTCTAAATTGCTTTTTCTTCTGCATTTGGAACCCTACAGGGACCATTAATGCAGTGTTTGGGTAAAAGATTAAGCACCTCGTCCTATACTCAAGATCACCCTCTCCAAAAAAGCCATTTCTGAAATAAAAGGGGCATCAGCACTTACAGTTACACAAGCTTTTGGTAAGCCTCATTAGACCCTGAGTGTATAAAGGATTGAGGCCTAAAAGGGTCATCAGTTTACCCACCCTGAGGGGAACCATCAGTCATATCCTGTTCAAACAAAATACAACCTACACTGAAAACTAAGACGTCCTATAGTGGGTTCTTTTTTCCTGTTGAAAAAAGAAATCTATTTTAAAGCTAACTAACTATATACTTGTGGTTCAGCGTTACCTTTAATCTTACTTGCTATTTCTAGATCCTGCCACTTTCCCAGCCTACAGGCCGGCACAATTTCACTCTGGTGTTCATATCACTCAGTTTCTCCCACAAATTAAGAATCTACTTTACACATGCTGTCTGTAGCATTGAGTGCTCCTGTTCAGGATACTCCGTTCCATTCTCCCACCCATCCAGTTTTACGTTTTGCCTCAAACAGTCAGCAATTTGAAGTCACTGAGCATGTTCAGCTTTTTGTTGGGCTGTTTGGGGGTTCTCCCTGCCACTTAGGGTCCCCCCCCCACAGATCTTTGGTACTTCTACAAAACTTGGGAGTTCCCCAAATGCCATACCTCACCTATTTTCACTGCAGGACTAGCACTAAGCTAGAGGCAAGCATCTGGGGTGGAGAGTTGAGTTCACGGATATGAGCTCCTCACCTGATTTAGAACTCTTTGCTGCAAGACAAGGCTTCTAGACACATGGAGAGCCTATGGGAGTAGAAATGACCCCCTGTTTCAACTCATGGAGGGCATGTGGTTGATATTTTGCTCTTTGTACCCTGGATTCTATGCCTTTGGCTACGTTAAACATTTTACAAGGAATGCCACTTGAATGTCAGTGTAATGCTACTTATACAAGCCCTTTTTGCAAAATAACATTTTGTTTCATAAATGCATATCAGGAAATGGTTGTTTTTGTGCATCTGCTGAAACACAACATTCAAGCTAATTCATGGTTTAAATGTTTGCAGTAAACATTTTGTATTTGACAGCTTGAAATCCTCATGCTTCAACTGAGGAGCAATGATACAGGCAACAGGCAAGAAAAGAGATGACTTCTTTCCATGTGGAAAGAAGAACAACAAGGCATGCTTCTCGTCTTAAAAATTCACAGCAGGAAGCAGAGTAAGCCCCACTGAAGTCTGTCAGGCTTACTTCTGAGTAGACACGGTTGGGAATGTAGCATTTAGTAACAATTTGTATGCACATAATACAAAGTCAATAAACAACACTTCACTTCAGAAAAATGAAAAGCCATGTGATCCCTTTCAAGACAGGAGCAATTATAGTTAAGTAACTATGTAAACAACATACATTGCCAAGCAATTTACATATCTATTTACATATCATGTGCGTATTAAAAATAAAACCTTTTGTTATAGAGAGCTGAGGTGAAAAAGCATTTATAGCAAGAGCAGAGGCGGTTTTAGGGTAGCGTGTCTGGTTTGGCTGCACTGGGTACCAGCACCACAGGGGGCACCATAACAATAATGTTGAACAGAGCACAAGAGGTGGAGGAGCAAATTTTAGTGTTGCACAGGGCACCGCTGAAATTCGAGAGCCCAAAGTCCAGCACTGGCAAGAACCCAGGCCATGACAGGTGTCTTCTCATAGCTGAGTAAGATTGTCTTCCATGAACACGGTCTTAACAGTGAGTCCGTAAGTGACTGTGGAGACCAATTCTGGATCCACACGTCCTTCCACAGTGGAAACATAGGTGTCTGGGCAGGAGTTTATCACGGTGAGGGTTTGTCAAACATGCCTTCCTCTTAGTTCATTTCTTCTTTTTGCCCTGAGTTCGTGCTTCTTCAAAGTCAATGACACCTTCGGTAAAGGCTGTTCTTCAATTGGAGCACTTGCAGGCCAGTGTTTCCCAGTTAACAGTGCTTATGTTACATTTTTTCAGATTTGTCTTGAGAGCGTCTTTAAATCTCTTTTGTTGCCCACCCGTATTTTGCTTTCCATTCTTGAGGTGGGAATAGAGTAGTTGCTATAGAAAAGCAAAGATCACCAGTGTCAAAGCAATGATTCTTCAACATCAACTTCGTTGGACTGGTCATGTTGTTTGGATGGCAGATGATAAGTGTAGAATGGGAGACAGAAGATGATACGACTGATAGATATGTTGGAGGAATCCATTCAACATGAACTATCTGAGAGACCAGCAACTTTTTCTCAAAAATATGGTGGATATTAAATCAGTCTTTTTCATCTATAATATTTGTTTATTCACTTATTTGTCCTTCACTTCTCTCCATTAGAAGCCTAATGAAGCAGAGGGCTGCTGCACCCCACAGACTAGGCCTATATATGGAAAAAAGTGGTAAGATGGCCCTTCTACATTTCAGACATAACAACTTTGTTTCTGAACACCCTCAAATGGAAGAAAAAAGATACTTAAAAGTGATAAAAAGGTATCAGGAATAGATGTTGTAGGTTTTTTTCAGATAAATAGACGTTCTGATGTTCAGTCCTGGTCTGAACAATCATTCCAACCTTATTTTCCCAGTTTGTTAACAGACAGCAATATAGAGTTCCCTGGTTCTGATGTAGCAGGGAACTCTGGCTTCATCCAAACCAGGAACTTGGAATGAGAGTGGGGAGAAGAAGGGCAAGATTAGAAGTGTCCAGCTCAAGCACTCATTTCCAGCTTCATAAACTTCAAATCCAGACCAGTATCTTCTAAATGCTCTCCAGCCCATACTGAAAATTTATCATTCCAAGACAAACAGGTTTCTTTACGTTTCAATCCTGTGAGCTGCTATTCTAGTTGAATGTGGATACAGACTTTTACCACATGCCCACAGCTGCAAGGATTTAAGCCCAGGTGTAAAGGCACCATCCATCATCATACACAGGTCTTCCAGAGCTCAGTGCCACTCTTATGACCAACCGTTTCCCAGAATCTACCCTGCACAGCTCAGCTGTGTAAGAAATCTCCTTGGTTTAAGAGAGGGCTGCTCAAAGTGAAGATGCACAAAGGCCAGTAATGGCCACTCACTCGCATGGGACGTTGAGAACTACTTTGATGGCTCAGTTCAAATCCTGGACACACCTTGCCAGGTGGGGAGAGAGAAAGGTTGCCTATACCGCCAGGGTAATCACCATAGCTCAGTGATACAGCAAATCCTTTTCATTCAGAAGATCCCAGATTCAGATCTAGTTAGGGGCTGAAAAGACCCCTGTCTGAAACCCCAGAGAGCACCTGCCAATCTGTGTAGGCAATACTAAGCTAGAGAGACCAATAATCTGACTTGGTACAAGGTTCTTGTTCTTTTCAACACTGCTTGGCAGAGAGGCAGTTTTCATTTCTAAAGAGCCACAAAGTCATGGCTGTGGTTTTTATCCCCTGGAAATCATGACCTGACAAAGACAAAAACCTTAAGTATAGTGTCGCAACTTGACGCCACTGCATTCCAGGGAGGATTATAGTTCAAGTGTCAGATTTCTACTTCACTGAAAGTTCCAAGAACTGGCACACCAGACACAGAAGATGGACGTTTGGAGTATTTAAGAACATCCAAAATACTAAGTATATTCTGTCCCAGCTGAAAATAAAAATACAACAGCCGTAAGCCTCTAAAATTAGGCTCAGCCTTTTTATTCTAATCATAGGCCACTTTGCCAGAGCTCTATGCAACAAAGATGAGTAATCTCAGACAACGGGACCCCAGATCTACCAAGCCCAAACCCAGCACTCCACTGAATAGAAGCCTTGTGCTCCAATTTATTTATGTAGACATTTATACTTTTTATCCAAAACAATCTTTTGACACTTGGTTCCCTATTATGAATGCATCTAGCACTTGCAGCAATCAATCAATGAGTTCTAATGTGCAATTAATGAGGATTTAATTAATATGTACTTCCAGGGAGATTTCATGAACATTTAACCATAAATCAATTGAAACTGGTATGATAATCCAAGAAAACAACCACCAGTTCACGGGAATTAAACTGAATAAAGAATGATGATACCTCTAGAGTTTATGAAACGATACACAGGACGGGGAAAGTGAATAGAGAAAAGTTTTTCTCCCTCATGACACTAGAACTCGTGGACATCCAAGGTAGCTGAATGCTGGAAGATTTAGCATGGATAAAATAATATACTTGTTCACACAACACACTGTCACACTATGGAACTTGCTCATCCAAGGAGCCCAGAATGGCCACCAACTTAAATGGCTTTAAAAGAGGATTAGACAAATTCATGGAGGAGAGGGGTGTCAATGGCTACTAACCAAGATGGCTATGTCTACCTCCACAGTTGGAGGCAGCAATGCTTCCAAAAACCAGTTGCTGGAAACCAAGAGAAGGAAGATTCCTCTCGTGCTCACGTTCTGTTCCTTGGTTTCTCTCAGGCATCTGGGTGGCCACTGCGAGAACAGGATGTTGGACTAGATGGGCCATTCAGCAGACCATTCTTATTTTCTTACATATATTCTTTCCTTTCCACATAAGAAGCCATTTTGATGTGCAATATTTTCAAAATAATATGGAAGCTTACATGAAATGTAGGCAAAAAGGTGCCAAATTTCTAGACTACAGTGGTGCCTCGCAAGACGAAATTAATCCGTTCCGCGAGAGTCTTCGTCTAGCGGTTTTTTCGTCTTGCGAAGCAAGCCCATTGACGGATTAGCGCTATTAGCGCTATTAGCGGTTTAGCGGCTATTAAAGGCTTAAAGGCTTAGGGGATTAGCTGCTAAAAGGCTATTAAAGGCTATTAAAGGCTTAGCAGATTAGATAAAGGGGGGGGAAAGCGAAAAAAAATCTCAAGACTCGCAAGGTATTTTCGTCTTGCGAAGCAAGCCCATAGGGGAATTTGTCCTGCGAAGCAACTTCAAAACGGAAAACCCTTTCGTCTAGCGGTTTTTCCGTCTTGCGAGGCATTCGTCTTGCGGGGCACCACTGTATAGCCCATTTTAAAAGAGCACATCACCCACCTCCTCAGAGCCACACACTCTTTCCTGTCCCACACATATTTCCACTTCCTTGAATTTACAGAGGCATTTCCCTCAAACTCCTCTTCTCTGGCTAAATGGCTCTCTGCACCACTCAGCCAACCTCAATCCAAAAGTATTGCCACGGCAAAAAGGTCCCTCCTCAGCCTCAAACAACACAACATTACAGAAATTCCTTCTAAATCTAAAATTGCCCATAACCAACAACACTGAGTGTTCATACCTGTTACAGATTGATTCATCTCTGTTCTGAAATAATGCATGGTGCTGATAGGAGCCTCCCTCCTGTGCCATGTAGCAGCTTACGGAGGGCGATTTTTGTAAGGGTCACAGCAGGGTGAGAGGGTTGAACCCCAAAACTCTTTCCTGCCTTCTGTGGTATTGATCCTGAATGGCCCCCGGAGTGAACAGTTTTAAGAACAATCAGAGTAACAAATTCAACATAGCATGTCATTTGGCCCTAAAATCCTTAGGCCCTGGACTTGCCAGAAACCCACCCCCGCCTCCAAATTGCAAATTAAAAAACATGAAAACTGCAAAGAAGGTTAGGCATGTGTCCTGCAGGGCGGGAGCAAAAGAGCAGGCACTCATTCAGAAGTCGCTTTATAGTTAATTTAAACAGTCCAATGGTATACATGTCTACCCAGAAGTAAGTTTCTTTGTGTTTAATGGAGCTTACTCCCAGGTAATGGGAAGTACAACTGCAGCCTAGGCTTTGGTTTAGAGTTGGTATGGAGAAAGCAGGGCTTTAACAGCTGTGTGACTGGCAGGAATTAAACACATTAAGCCTTTTCTAGTATGTGAATACAATTTTAAGAAAAGCTTGACCTCTTCACAATCCATCTGTCAGACACTTAGTTACGTGTGTGGTCACCAATTTATTTTTGGGCCCTCCACTCCACCTGCAAAGAGGATACAAATTTGCATGTGGCACAAAACATATGAAAGTATTATGTAAATCCGTGTCCTCTTTTGCAAGTGGGTCAGAAGGTGGAATCCACATACAGTGTACAGAACCCAGAAAGAGGCAAATGAATCATTCTGAAGGAAATGGAAGCTGCATCACAAGGCCGGTATAAACCTTCCATAAATATTTTGTAATAACATGCAACCACAGAGCTAAATAAAACTGTCTGATCCAGTAGCATGAACTCTCTTCACACAAAGATGGTAGCCTCTCCCGCCCAAAAGAAGTCTGTGGGGAAAAAGAACTTGTGGCTTATATCATGTGCAGCCATAAAAACCTCTCTCAGGAACCAAAATGATCTCCTTTACTCATCCCCCGTTTCCCACATAGCCATTACAAAGACAGCTCATTTGTCTAACCTACACAATTATCTTCGTTTCCTACCATACAGTTTTTATTTTTTTAAAAAAACCATTTTTAAAAAAATTAGAAGGCTCAACTATGAACTGATTTCACTGGCTGAGTGGGATTTTTGTCTCAACAGATACCATAATGTCAGTTGTGCAATCTCTTGGCAGTTGGGTAAACTGGAATCAACCAATTATTGTGCAGATGGCTGCATCTTTTATCCATGCCGTTATGGGGTAAGAAAGGGTGTCTAAAGTACGTATCACCCACTCATGTATGGGGGAGGTGCAGTTTTTGCTACATTAGCGATGACACAGACTGAACACCAGAAATAGAAGGAGAATTAGGCCACGGATCAATACAGGGTTAAAGGTCTCCCATCGTTAGCAGTTTACTGGAAAGCCTTGAAAATACTTACGTTCAAAAGTATTCCCACCATTCCAAATGATCTCTCATGCAATGCTGAGATTTAGGAATGTGAGCGATTATTTATTGCTTCCTACAGAGCCATATGGGAACAGTTGTGTATTTTTTATTTTTTATTTTGCTCCAGAGAGGAAATTAAGTGTTTGCTATCTGGTCAAAGTGCAGTCAATTGTTTGGTTACCTAAGTTTGTTTACATGATTCACAAAGAAATACCACCTTCATTTAAATACCAGGCCAATATGTGCAGTACTCCCAAATGCCACAGAAAGGGCAGAGCCCAATTCAAGGATGTTAGCCAGGAAATGTAGTAAGGAGGAACATATTTACTATTTCACTTGCTCGCTCTAAAAAAAAAGAAATACTTTAATGCCAAACATCATGTAGTTTGGTACACACACACACACACACACACATTCTCTCTCTCTCCCAAACATGGCAAGGTCCAGATAAAGGTGGCTCTCTGGTCTCTTTACATTCAACAGTTGTGAGCAGTGTGCAGTGATTGGTATAGTAATATGTTCCAAATATTTATTGTTTTATTTCTTGTTGTTTACCACCCTGGGTTTCTTTTGAAGGGCAGGGTAGAAATTTAATAAAAATAAACAAACAGAAATAATACTTCTGAAAACCCATCAAAAATGATTGCTGTTCATTAATCCAGGAATTGCTTAGATTTAGTGTGTTTATGAAAAAGTACACTATGAGTCATTGTGTGTAATACCATGTGCCTTCAGCTCATGGAAAAGCTTTTGATCTGGCAGACACCTCCATCCATGGAAGAGAGTGGTGAACTTTCCCACTCTCCCTGAAGCCCCCAGGCATTGCAAATCCACTAAGGTCACTCTGCTAATGTGCTGCACAATGGTGCCATCTCTACTGCATTGCAACCCTGAGCAAGGCACTGGGGAAAGAGGTTAGGGAGTGAAGCAGAGGATCATCTCTGCCTTCATTTTTTTTTAATACTTTATTTAAGATCATCTCTGCCTTCATGCAAAGGCACTTTCCAAGATCAGGGATGAGGAGGGCGCAGGGTTCTGGTGACCAAAAGGTTTGTCTTGGCAGCCAAGGCCAGTCAACATCTGTAGACCCTGTGAGGAAGGCTGAGGAAGACCTGAGTAGAACCTAAATGGCAACTAAAACCTTAACTGTGTATGTGTATATTATACTAACATTTTTCAAGGCATCCCCTCAATTTCTTCCACCAAAGAAAGTAGGAATAAAACAAAGATGGTGTTTTGCTAGGGACAGATACCAGAACATTAGGACTGGTAATAGGTTAAGCATATGGTGGTGGTGTTTTTGTTTTTTTGCACTAAGACCAGTAACTAACATTGGGACTGGTAATAGTTTAAGCATATGGTGTTGTTGTTGTTTTGTTGTTTTTTTGCACTAAGACCAGTAACTAACAATTGTACATTTGCTGCATTGGTCTGTTAGCAATATTTGGCACAGCCATTTCTCTCCACGCCAGCAAAGACCTGCATGCAATGCCATTAGGATTGCTTAACCTTTTAAAAAGCAAAGAGCAAAACTCCATAAAATATTCCCTAATATATACATTCTGACACAAAGCTCAGATTTATAGATAATCCTGTTTGCCAGAGAGTGTTGGTTTCCTCTGCTACAGAATTCAAACAAACAACAGTCAAAATATTGTCTTGCTCTTTGTCTTTAGTGATGTAAGAGGTCGAACTGACATGTCCATTTACCATTCCAAGGGTGTTACCAGATTCCACTACTCCCTCGGACACTTCTTTCCCACCATCGGATTCCAAAAATACATTTCAGACCAAGAGACTGCATAAATATTGTTTTAGGATTGACTCAATTGTTTTATGCCTCGTTCCGAATCTGATTTTAACAGCATTTGGGGACCTTGTTATTGTTTGTAAATTGTTGCTGGTAATTTTTATTTTCCTTGCTCTTATTTGAATCATGTTTAGGTCATTGTTTGGTGATATTTTTTATCCTTAAATTAAACCTTCCCTAATTCTGAAGTGGGGGGGGGGGAAATACCTGAGGTAATTTCAGTGGGAAAATGCCAACAATTGTCAAGGTTCCAAGCAGTTGCTATGTATAAAAAATAAGTGTGCAAGACCAGTCCTGTTCCAATTTTCTTATATTGGCTTGGTTCACACAACACGGTAAACCAAACTATGGGACCACACAAACCTGCAGTCTCTCAGAGAGAAGTTCACTGACATTTTGCTTCTCCTGATCCAAGTTGGATTCAGCATGGAGTCTGAACTTGAGCTTATAGTTAAGGTCTGTTCTCACTAACCACGAGCAGTAACCAAGGTTTGCTTCTGGCTAGTGAGGAGAAAGCCTAACCACAAGTCCAGGTTCAGATGATGCGTTAAGCCAAACCATGATTTACCTCAGTGTAGTTTGGGAGTAAAAAAGACCGAGGAGGAACAAAGTGTCAGTGAGCTCTTCTCCATGAGCCTACACAAGTCGTAGTTTGGCTTAGCACGTCATGCAAACCAGTCTATAGTTTCAAATGCAGCTCATTTTTTGTCAGTCCAATTCTAGATCTTTAAAGTACATGGCACCTTGCAAAAATACACTGCAAAATTGATCCCTGACCTTAAATGAAGTCTGTCTATAGTAATCACCCTTGACACATGCATACATCAAAACAGCAGCAAACACCTCCAGTTTGCTAGCCCTAGAGACATCCCATGGACATTTCAGAAAGCAAGTATTTCTTCAGTGTAACAGAACGAAACTGTTGCTCTGGATAATTTTTCTAAACTATTTGTAAATTATGAAGTAGGTATCTATTGATTTTGTTTAGAATATTTATAAACCACTTAATCAAAGAAGTATCCAACCCCAAGCAGGGGTTTGGGCTGGGTTTTCGTCAGTATGCAGATGATACTGAGCTCTACCTCTCCTTCAAATTGAAGGTCCTGTGTGAGTGTCTGGAGGCGGTTGAAGGATGGATGGTTGCTAACAGATTGAGGTGGAATCCTGACAAGACAGAAGTACTGTTTTGGGGGGGGCACAGGGAGGCAGGCGGGGGGGGACCAGGTGCACAGCCTGTAAGTCATTTTGGACTCACATCTGTCCATGAAGGCACAGGTCAATTCTTTGTCCAGGCAGCTGTCTACCAGCTTCATCTGGTACGCCGGCTGAGACCCTACCTGCCTGCAGACTGTCTCACCAGAGTGGTGCATGTTCTGTTTATCTCCCACTTAGACTACTGCAATGAGCTCTACTTGGGGGTACCTTTGAAGCTGACTCAGAAGCTACAACTAATCCAGAATGTGGCAGCTAGATTGGTGACTGGGAGTAGCTGCCGGGACCATATAACACTGGTCCTAAGGGATCTTCACTAGCTCCCAGTATGTTTCTGACCACAATTCAAAGTGTTGGTGCTGACCTTTAAAGCCCTAAATGGTCTTGGCCCAGTATACATGAAGGAGTATCTTCACCCCCATCGCTCAGCACTGAGGTCCTCCTCTGAGGGTCTTCTGCTGGTTCTCTCACTGTGGAACACCCTCCCTTCAGTTGCCAAGGAGATAAAAAACTACATAACTTTTAGAAGACATCTAAATGCAGCCCTGTATCAAGAAGTTTTCAGTGCTTGATGTTTTACTATTTGCTGTCAGCCGCCCAGAGTGGCTGGGGAAACCCAGCCAGATGGGTGGGGTATAAATAATATATTTATTATATAAATAATTTTGTAGATAAAGCGCAGCTAAAAGCCACAAAACAATTTAAACACACACATATTTAACATCATAATTAAAACAGATAAAACCAGTGAAGCTTTTAAAACATGAAAATTCATCAGCATGTTAGTGTGAATTTCTCCTAAAATACACATTTTTATGCAATTTTGCCCAATATACATATTTTTACAAAGCCATTTTCCCTAATAGCACACATTTTTGTTATTATCACTAATATATGCATTTTTACACACACTGTACTCTAGTCTATGCATTTTTGTGTACATTTTTGTGTACATTACTTAGCTATAGAACTGTCTTGCAAAATAAGTACAAATGAGGACAGCTGTGTTTCATTTTGTGTATAGTTTTGGAAATTGCAAATTAGGTAGATTCATCTTTATATGCAAAGGGCATCAAATTTCTCCCTCATCCTGAGAATAGTTTCTTATCCTTCATCCAGCGCATATCAAATATCAAAAATATCATTGCATTCAGTTGGGCTTACAACGTAAAAATGCATAGGATTGGAGCCTCATGAAAAAAATAGGGTTAGGCTGGGTAAAAAGTTTCATAAACATCTGACTGCAGCTGCAGAACAATTACATGTGGAAAAACCGTGGCAGTCCTTCTTTCTCGTATTGCTATACTTAACTTTTTATGGCTGTGATTCTAAAAGAATTATAAACAACTTTTAAAATGGCTTTTAATGCCAAACGGTGTCACCGTTTAAAAGATGGGCGGTTTTCTTTCATGCGAGAAAGATTTCACAATAAAGCAACTAATGAAAATGCAGGCCAGCCGCTGAACCATTTGCAGGACTGCGATATAAAGGGTTCCAAGAGGGCAGAAGCCCCCCAATTATTTTTACTATTGGAATGCTCCTGTTATTGCATTCCTACAGGGGCAGGTTCATAAGTTACCGAGAGGCAAGGGGGCGCAAACCCCCTTTATTCCTCTAATTCCACTTCAATCTGTGAAGTGAGACTTGAGCTCCTGGTCTGGGACTCACGGGAAAAGGGTGATGCCCGTGTCTTTTTCCTTCCCTTAGCTTATTGGCAATACATGAACTGATCTGGAGACTAAAGCTAAAATAGAAACTTCTTCCACATATCTCCAATTCTCCAAGCTCATATGCATGCTTGAAGGTGTGCTTGGGTTGTGGGGTTTTTTGATAAGACAATATCAAGAAATCCAGATTGGGCCTTCCTTATCTCAACTGGAAGAGAGTTCCACATGTGGGGAGGCAATGCTAAGGAGGCCCTATCCCAGTGGTGGAGTTCAGGCTTTAAAATTTCAGTGACAACCTGTGCAATGCTAAAATTCAGCATGTCCCACCTCCACACCCCCACTGCCTCTTGTCTTCCGTTGTTTGTCATTGTTGTAACAGCCTCTGAAGCACCCTCTCGGCTCGGCACCCAGTGCAGGTGAACCAGTTGTCTGCCCATCTCACATGCCCACCAGCCTAATGACTCTCACAGGTGGATACAATGAACCTCTGAAGCTGACCCCAACCCCACAAGTGGGCACAGTGCAACTACTAGAATCATTACAGACCCACACCACAGGGCCAAGCTAGAAATCAGGGGACAGGAACCAAGTGTGTTCCGGGGTTTTTTTCCAGCCGGAACTCTATTCTGACACCTCTCAGGTGGGTGCCATTGCCATTATTGAATTGAATTATTGAATGCCATCATTGAATAAGTTGTATTCATTCAACTTGTTTTTATTATTGGTTGTTAGCTGTCCTGAGCCCGGCCTTGGCTGGGGAGGGCGGGGTATAAATAAAAATTATTATTATTATTATTATTATTATTAGAGAGCAAGGGGAGTGTTCATGATGAGTCACTGCCTAGTCTTGCTGGGACCCATTACTTTATGCAAATTTCTCCCACCCCAACTCAGATCCAGCCTCAGTACAAGGTTGAGAGGTAACTTAAAGCAGGAAAGTGTTTCACCTCCTCTCCAGTGGAACCCTTGCCGCTGCTTTTCATGGGAATACAGGATGTGGCCTTGTGCTGGGTCAAATTACTTGTTCACATAGGCTGAAACTGCCCCGGGACCTTTGGTATGCAAAGCATTGATCAATAGTAGCAATGTAGAAGTCTGCCCCATTAGGTCTCACATTAGTTCCAGCTCCAGAATTCTAGGGAGTCCTTGTACAAGATGCTCCTTCCTAGCGCAGGCCCACCTTCTTTGTGCTACCCATTTGTGTTTTCTGTGTGGGCCCATTCCACAAAGGCACCCAGACAGAGACAACAAGGTAAGCAGAGTCCTTCTCCTTGTTTGTTCTCCTCTCACTACTCCCTCGCACAGAGAGGGAACAGGCAGTGGCAGCCAGGAGCAGGGCCCAAGCATCCAGAAGTGGGGACCTGCTGAGCCCAATGATTCCATCCCCTGGTGCCAGCCTGGTCTAGTTTGGCCCCCATTTGCAATATATACTGATATGATATGTCCTCAGAGTGGGAATGGCTCTGCATAGGCAATGCCCTATGGTAAATGCCATCTAGTATATTGTCATTAATAATTGCCCATTTTTTTTGTTCTGTTGTTAAATGTCGTTCTCATCATAGAAGCCTGACACTGCTGCTTAAAAATAAGAGTAATTTTTTTCCCCTTTCCTCTGCGGTTCTGTGTGGCTGCCCACTGAGATGGTTTTGCAGTAAAATCCAACATAAAGAAAAGAACATTCAAATGAAAATATCTTGCTTCCTACACACTTCCACCCCAGGCTATTTTTTCCTCCAAACATGCAGACATTCCTCAAAACAGTTCTCTTGGTGACAGATAATTGAACACCTAAGCACCTAGATTTGACCTGTCTGCTAAAATACTCACATTTCAAATAAACAAGCTTTAGAAAAATTATGAAAGGACAGACACCACACAGTTCTCAAAACTTGCACCACTCTCTCAGTTAAATGTTGTGATTCTTTCAGAATACTGAGACCAGGGATGCAGTGGTGTAGGAAGGGAGGTGCAGTGGGTGCGGTCTGCCCCGGGTGTTATCACTGAGGGGTGGGTGACTAAATGGCAAAAATATGAGTTTTGGGGGAGAATAACTCCCGCACCCACCACACACCTCTTCCTACAGCACTGCAGGAACACTCTCCCCTCGAGTGATTTCCAGAAACCAGAAGCATTGCTGCCTCCAACTTTGTAGGCTGCACAGCCTTTATGGCTAGTAGCCTTTGACAGCCCTCTCCTCCATGAATCTGCCTAATCCAGAGGCGTAGCTAGGTGAGGCGGGGGGCACTGGGTGTCACACCACGGGGCTTACAGCATGCCTGAGCCACGCGTCTCTCCTGAGCAGGAGGCGGTGGGCGGACTGCCTGCAAGCTCTGTTCTGCTTTTTCGAGCAGCATGGGGCTTGCATCTGCCCACTGCCTCAGCCGAGGGGGAGGCTGCAGAGAGGCTCCACACAGTGCACCCTGCCTTGGCTGGCCCGCCCCATGGGCGACTTGCTCTGTCCCCAGCTGCAGGACACATGCACCGTCCTGGGCACCTGAGTGGCTAGCAGGTATCCGCTGCAGGGATGTGGATTGTGAGCATGCTATGCACCCAGAAGAGCTGGATTCCCCCACTTGTATGAACTGCATAAATTACAAATGTGTAGTTTGCACAATTATTTTTTATACAACTTATAGACCAAAACAGTCACTACCAACAGTAGAGGAAAGCCTGCAAACTGTACCATGGCCTGCGGACGTCAAAAAAAAGGTTGTGAACGTGTTACACGGTGTACAAATTGTCCATATATGTATAGAACTGCTAATAATAACAAGTGTAGCTGGTGGCGATTCTGAAAATCACTACATGAAGCTGTTCCCTGAAAAATGGTTGTATTTCAGGCATAGGCAAACTTGGCCCTCCAGATGTTTTGCGACTACAATTCCCTGACCACTGGTCCTGTTAGCTAGGGATGATGGGAGTTGTAGTCCCAAAACATCTGGAGAGCCAAGTATGCCTATGCCTGTTGTATTTTCTTCAGATGTATATTTTATACTGTACAATGACCTGGAGAAGGGCTACCATGTGGATTTTCCTGTAGAGATCAGGTGGGCACTGATTGCTGGGTGTTTCCCATTACAATTACAAACATATCTCTTTACCACCACCCCTTTCTCTGTTAATGCTAATTCCTGGGATTTCCAGGTGCTCTTTTGTTGCTGCGTACTTAGGAAATTCTTATACTTTGTTATACGCTGTTTGCTTTTATTGTTATGCAAACCGCCTTGGTGTTTCATGAAGCAAAAGATGGCATACAAGTGATTTTCATAAACAAATTAAATAAATATTGTTTCCCTCCAAAAGTCAGGGTAGGGGCACTTGCCCTGCTCCCACAAGATAATCATTCACCTATTCGAAAGCCAGAATGGTATAGTGGTTGAATGTAACACATAGGTTGATGGACCATAGCCATTCATTTTGTCATTTTGTGTCATACAGGAAGGAGGATTAAATACCGTATTTTTTGCTCTATAAGACTCACTTTTTCCCTCCCAAAAAGTAAGGGGAAATGTGTGTGCGTCTTATGGAGCAAATGCAGGCTGCGCAGCTATCCCAGAAGCCAGAACAGCAAGAGGGATTGCTGCTTTCACTGCACAGCGATCCCTCTTGCTGTTCTGGCTTCTGAGATTCAGAATATTTTTTTTCTTGTTTTCCCCCTCCAAAAACCAGGTGCGTCTTGTGGTCTGGTGCATTTTATAGAGCGAAAAATACAGTAGGTGTTTTCAAGCACCTGAACATGTGAATGCTCAAAGTGTGGATAACCCAGGATCATCATACACATTGCAGTCCTTGAACTTCCCCTTGTCGTGCTGGCTAGGCCTGCAGTGGACTGTTTCTTGTATTTGCTTGAACATGACTAGACATTTCCACACAATTTGAAACCCTGATAAAAAATGGTCTCAGATCATTCAGAGTATTCCAACTTTCATTTGTGAATGCAAGTAAAAGTCTCCTAAAGACCATCCCAGCTCAACATGGAGAAGATCAGAAACTAAGCATGTAGGGCAATACCTATGGGGACATTGGGAGTGAAGCTTGCATGCATAATTCCAGTGATTTTTTTCTGGGGGTATGCAGGGGTACACATACCCCTAAACATTTTGTGAATCTTTGTACTTTTGTCCGTTTACTGTATTTATTTTTCCTGATTTGAACTATAAAGTGGTGATTTTCTTGAGTCAAAATAAGAGTACTCCTAAACATTTTTTTAGGTGGGGGGGGAGCACTGCATTCCCCATGCCTCGAAATAGCATTTGAGTTTTCAGGCAGATTATTGGCCATGCCTAGTCTTATTTGTGTGGTTTTTTTCTATTTTATACAATGACCAGCTCTGATATCCTCTTATTTTCACCCGAGTGCATTTTTATCAAGGAACACACTATACACACTGAAGGTAAGCAACAACAACAACAAGGATGAGGAAGTGCAGGAAGCTTTCAAGAAAGGAGTCACCTACCTTTCAACTTGAGGTCCACATTATGCCTCAGCCATGGATAGATTCCATAATTTGATGAATCTTCAGGAATTGGGTTATTCTGTATCCACCCTTCACAGGCAAACCGAAAGAAATCATCACAGGGATCCACAGATGTATTTAATTTGCTTCTGATTGCAGCAGCTGAAAAGAGTCACATAATTTAACAGAAACTTCTTCAGCACTACAAAGGTGTTACTCATTACTGTACTAAAGAGAGGGGAAAACCCTGTGGTTTCCCTCCTAGTTACCACCTCCCTGCTTTGATTTCTCCCCATCCTTCTACCTACCTGGTTCCTCTGGCTCCTTCCCTGCTGTGTTCAAACATACCACCGTCTCCTCCATTCTGAAAAAATCCTTCCCTTGACCACATCACCATCTAAATCCCAAACAGCCTCACTAATTCCCGTTGCCTGCAGACTCCATGAACATGCTGTTAATTTTCTCTCAAGTAGGCAATCTGAGGCAGAAATTCTGAAAGCTGTATTAGAGTTGGGGGAGATCTGGTCACCTCCGCACCATAGCTTTAAAGCTCTCTTTTACCACTTTAACAGCCATGACCACCCCAAAGTCTCCTGGGTGAGAACTATAGTTTATTAAGGGTGCTGACAATTATTAGAAGACACCTCACACAGCTCCCATTCCCAGCACCATTAAAAAACTTCAGTTGCCAGGATTCTTTGGGGGAACCCATGACTGTTAAAGTCACATAAGAGTGCTTTAAATGTCTGGCTGTGACCATAGCTTTTTTTCTTTAATTAAAAAGCAGCCCAGAGGCCTCCTATTTTTGATCAGGGCTCCAGGGTTAATCTGTTATTCCTGTGCTATTTCCACAATGGAAATCACCCCCACTTTCTGAAGCTCTTGTAAGCCTTGGAGGAGCAGAAGGCAAATACTCATATACTTTTGCCTCCTCCATGTTGCTTCTCTCTTCCACCAGCTTCAGTGGAAGATTTAAGTATGGTAAATAGCCTGGGGAGAAAGGGCCACAGCTCAGTGGGTCAGCATCTGGCTTGCAAGCAGAATTGTCCCAGGTTCAGCCCCTGGCATCTCCAGGTATAGCTGGGAGAGACTCCTGTCTGAAATCCTGGAGACCTACTGCAACTCTGGCAATACTGGGTTAGATGGGCCAGTGGTCTGACTCAGTGCAGCTTCCTAAGTTCATAAAACCCTACTCTCTCCCACAGCTATGCCCCAATCCAAACTGGGGCCCCTTGGCTGCTTTTAACCAAAGAAATAAGACTCCAGAAGATCCTATCAGAGATTTCATCTAGTTAGGCCTGAAGCACTTCATTGGGGCATCTTCATTAGGCCTTTGCCCACCAGGCAATATCTCTAACTCCATAGCTAGAGCTACAGCCTTGTGGTCTTCCCAAAAGAATGTGGCTTGGAACCCCTGTGGGAAACACAATTCTGAATTAGAGAAACCTTTGGTCTGATCCATCAGAACTCTGCTAATGGTCTCAGGGAGGCAACTGCATTGCTGATTTAACATAAATGGCTTACTAGATGTTGATTTTCAAAGCACAAGACAGTTTATTAAAGCTACTGGAGCACATAAGCATTCAATGTTTCTCCATACCAATGTGCTTTGACTATAATACAAAAAAAGAACATACGCCACTTACCAGCTTCGATGCATTCGGAAGTCAAGCAGTATTGTTGCTTAGGATGAAATTTTATAAGATCTTGGCTAACTGCAAAAGGAAAATAGTACATGGATTAACAATTGTTGTTGGGCAAATATATTGACTCAGGGTTCAATCCGATGGCCCCTGGGAGGGTGTCCTAGGGACCGGAGGATCAATTAGCTCATCCTCTCCGAAGCTGGAAATAAAGCTTCAGTGCCAGAGAGGGAGCTCCAGTGTCACAGCCTACCTCTCCAAAGCCCCTGGTTCCTCTGAAGCTCTGACCCAACCGACATTGGAGCTCTGGTGCTGGAAAGGCCAAAGGAGGAAGCATGCAGGAAGCGGCTGAGATCCCAAGGAACAAACACTAATGCAAAAAGCAAAGGAAACCATGCTAGTGTATAAGAAAAATTCCAGCATCCTTGGTCAACGCATGCAATAGTATGTCAAAAAGTATTAGACAATGCTCAGGTTACACTGGCAGCATCAATGGTTGCCAGAAAGAAAACAAACGGGTGCCGTTTGTCAAACAGCGCAGGGAGCAGCACTCCCACTGTTCATCTTTTCAGCCACAACAACACACCACCAACGTAATATAGGACTCAGTCCTGAATCAGATTGCTAGCCAGCATGCCAAATATCAAGAACTGGGAAGAAAAGGTTGCAGCAGTGTGGCTAAAGCCATTCACAGACAGCCTTCCTGAGGACTCTCTAAGGCCAGTCTAGCAAAGGAGGAAGGAAATGGAGAGAGATGGAGTTGTCTCCTGTGCGTCTCACCACACTGGTAGATGAACCAATATAGCTCCACAATGATGAATTTGGACCCCAGTTGCTAACAGGAAGAGCAAAAATGATCTCAAGAAGGTTACTCTAAATCAAGCTGTTTGAGATCTGAAGCAATGTTAGTTTGAGAAAAATGATTAGTATGCTTGGAAAGATTTTGTTTCAAACGTGCTAATTCTTTCACTATTAGGGATGGTTCATAAATTATGAAGAACAATGAGTGAGAGAACTAAAATATATTCATTCCTTTACTATGTAAACATTATGTGTTGGCCCCAGGCTTAAGCCCCAGCTGCACTATACAATTAAAGCAGTATCATGCCACTTTAAGCAGTCATAGCTTCCCTCAAATAATTCTAGGAACTGTAGATTGTTGAGGGTCTTGACAGTTGGCTTAACAATCAATTCCTCTTCCCAAGGAACTCTGGAAGGAGAAGAAGAGTCTCCTAACAACTTTCAGCACCCTTAACAAACTACAGTTCCCTTAGATTGGACCTGCTGAAATAAGTGAGACAAGTTCACTATGAATAACATGAGAACCATTCATTCCCATGAGACTCCGCTAAGCGTGACTAATCTGGATCCAACACTGTCACACAGGGAACAGAGATTAGTCCTTTATCCACTTAATGGAATGCACACAATCTGTTTTATTGCCCAAACACTTTATGGGCTGCACATAGCTATTTGTATACAAATGATGTAACTGCTAAATATCACAGCCATGAGAATGGTTCCTGAGAATGCACTTTCTGACTTCTCTAAGTTCTGAAAGATCCTTCTGCTTTACCAACTACAGTGGTACTTCAGTTTAAGAACAGCCCTGTTTACTAACTAGTCGGTTTACAAACTCTGCAAAACCGAAAGTATTGTCCCGGTTTGTGAACTTGACCTCAGTCTAAGAACAGAAGCCGAACGGTGGAAAGGCACCGGCGGTGGGAGGCCTCATTAGGGAAAGTGTGCCTCGGTTTAAGAATGACTTTGGTTTAAGAACGGACTTCCAGAACTGATTAAGTTCGTAAACTGAGGTACCACTGTATCTAGCTGCCGAGGATGAACAGGACTTGATTTTTATGGCTATTTAAAAATTGCATATATTCAAATGTTTTATTACTGACAAATTTTGCTCCTCAAAGAGAAGCTCTCTGCTCTGAGCTTGCAGTGATTTAAAAACATAATATAAATGGTAACCAAGCACAACAGTTTTTTTTAAAAATTGAAAGCTGCCTTAGGGTGCTACGATTTTGAGAAAAACAAAGGGCAAAGATGGTGGTTAGGTAATTCCAGAAGATTGTTGGAATTCTGCAAAGAAAAAAGCAGTTTGAACAGAGTGATTTGGGATGGGAAAACATCTGGTGGGGAAAGGGTGAAGCATTAGGGATGTGCAACCAGAACGACTGAATCCTTGAACCCAAACCAAACCTAGTCAATTTGGGATGGACCGTGATTCAGCCAGGGTGGATTTGAGCAGGCTCAGGTCAGATTGGGTCCACCTGGAGTGATCTGGCACTGTCAAAAGGGAGGATGGTTAGACAGTGAAGAGAGAAAGGGTTCATCTCCTCCTCCCTTACGCTCCTCCCCACATGCTTAATTAGGGTGGGATTCACCTAACACAGGCATGGCCAAACTTGGCCCTCCAGCTGTTTTGGGACTACAATTCCCATCATCCCTGACCACTGGTTCTGTTAGCTAGGGATGGTGGGAGTTGTAGTTTGGCCATGCCTGACCTAACACAAGCCCCCTGAGTGGAAGTCCTGTCCAAGGACAACTGCCTGCACAATGGGGCTTTCTCCCCTCTCCTCCCCTTGTGCCCCCCCCATAACTGGCGGCTGGTGGGCTGTCTGGGAATAACCGAGAACAGTGCAGAAGGGAAGGGAAGGTGGGATAGTTCCAGCTGCAATGTTTGCATCGACCAGTCATTCACCCTAGTGTGGCATTCATCCCACCCTTAATGTTTAAAATCCTGATTAAACATTGTGAGGCCCACAATTCTCTGGACCTGTGTTGCATCAGGCTTAGATCATCCCAGGTTGGATCAGGGCTGCTCTAAAGTGCAGAATCGGGTCCCAAATTGTATCAGGAGAGGGACAAGCACAGTCCTATTAAAGTTCCCTTTCTTTGTCACTCAGCCTCCCAAAACAAATTTCCGTTTTTCAAAAAACGTTTTCGTTATTACAACATGCATACAATATAGAGTTTGCACCATATTCATTCCATCCCATTACGTTGCTCTTTAGCTGTTGTTAGAGATTGTGTTATCCATGAGCCCTATAAACAATTATTAAAAATGCATGCATGGAAAAAAATGCCTTCAAGTAAATTGCTGTGCATTTGAAGAAGCTTGTTTGTATATATTTGCAGTACTGGGCTCTGAAAGTCATACAGAAGTTGGGGACTGTGTGTACTGAGTGCATCCAAGAGTCAATCTGAGATTTTCATAGTAATGATGTTTAAAGAATGTTCTGGAGAAACCTTGCACAGTGTGGCTGAAAAAAGTCATAAAGGAAAATGGTTCTGCATAGTGTGTTCTTGTGGGGAGGGGGTTACTACAGGTAGCTGGCTGCCTGTCTCCTGTTTCTGTGGCCCTAGAGGCTGACACTAAACCATAGAACTTCGCTTTGTTTTTTTGTCCTCTCCATCAGGTTTGAAAAAAAAAACATGTAATAGAGTCTCTTTGGAAGGCAGATTAAAGCATGCAAAGCTTTAAAAAAGAATGCACAATTCATTCGCAAAATTAAGTTTTAATTTTTATCTCCTGTGTGTAGAATATATATACCCTGACAATAATCTGGAATATTCTGTTAAAGGCGCTCAGTAAGGAAAATCCTTTTCTGTTCAGTGGCTTACAATCCTGTCCATACTTACCTGAGAGTAAGCCCCCATTGAATTCAGCAGGATTTACTACTGAGGAAATGCCTAAGTGGGCGCTGTAGTCTTTTTCAGTCCACTGGGATTATACAATAGATACAAAGAACAGTATCTTTTCATTAGGCATAGATGGTACATCTATGCTACAACCTTGTATCAGGTCCTGTGCTAGTTTAACTGTCATGACCATGGAAATCATAATAAAGGTACTTCGAATTCTCTGTTGGATATCTTCCCCTCCTCCCCTCATAGTCTTACAGTTCCAAGAATCCCTATAGAGATTAATTTTGAATATGTAGACATGGCCACTGCATTACCTTACTCTTTGCAACCCCTTTGACCACAATATTTTGAATAAATCACTCAGTAAATGGATCTTGGCAATGACTATCATGCAATAATTCAGTACAAGTTCCTCATCAAAGCAACAAGATATTGGGTAGGAAATATTTGTCTTTCAGCTCTTTCAGATTTAGTTAAAGCATCTGATGAAGAGATTATTTCCTCACCTCTTTAAAGACTCCACAATTCATCTATTAATCTTTTAATGGTATCTTTGTGGACTGTCCAAAACATTGGTAGAACGTTTACCATGCAATCTCTACTTGGAAGCTTCACTGAATCCAATGAGGCTTACTTCTAGGAAAGTGGCTATAGGACAGCAGACTTAGCCATCGTTGCATTGAAAATCAAATGGAAGGACTCCCTAAAGTACATGCATGAAATTCAATCTTTGAAGACACATAAGCTATTAGCAGTATTTATTCAGAAGCCGTATGTTAATCATCACAACTTGAGAGATATCGTGACTTAGTGGCTGTCTTTTGGATCCAGCCAGTTTTTGATACCAACTTAGAATTTTGTGTGTGTGTGTGTTTAATCTGCAGGTTTCTGATTTTACATTGCTTTTTAACATGTTTTCACAGCCACCTTTGATATTTCCCAGTCAGCTGGTGAGTTCGGGGGGGGGGGTGCATGAAACGTGCTTCTAGTGAATCTCCAAATACTAAAAATGGAAAGTGTTAACTTAATTTGCAATTTCTGCAGAATCCTAGAACAGCAGGATAGTAACTTCAGGACCTTTGAATCCTCTTAGGTAGTCCTTCACATAGAGCCAAGACCCTCCACCAACAAAAAGCTCATTCATCGTTTCAACTGAATAGCAGTGGGAGTGAAGGAACATTAAAATGTGATTAGCATAGTTAAGCAAACCGAATACAAGTGGCAATGCTGTTGTAGCTAGAGTTGTTTTTAAAGAGCCTTGCAAAAGTTTCATTTTATGCTGCCACATTTTTTTGACACTTACCCAGGAAAAGCGCAGTGCCAAGCGCGACCGTGCTGGTCACGAACACGCCAAGGGCTATCCGCATCGGTTTGCTGGCTGCTTTCTTGCCGGCTGGCATCGAACCCCCTGCTGCCTCGCCTTCCATCACGTTGGACTTGCAAAGCTCTCTGAAAGAAGGTCTGCTTTTCTTTCTACTGCGGCTCGTTCCTGTTCATTCACAGAGAAGTCCCATCCATGGGTGCCCTTTCCCCAATTGCTCTTATTTCGTATAAGTAATGTTACTGTCAGGACACATTTCCAAGTCTCTCACTCTTCCCAAAATGGGGTGGGGGTAAGGAGGAGAACCACATAAAATGCAGCCTTGAGTTTCTTCTCTGACCAAGACTTGGAAAGACAGGCAGGGACAATTTAATTTATTGCACTCGCTGTTTGCAAGCAGACCACTTTTATCAGCAGTTCAGGACATAAACATTTCACAACGCTGCCCAAACAGATGGTTTAACTATTCCAACTTCCAGCAATTAAAACATTAAAAAAAAATCTTCCAATCAGGAACTGGACATCTGACAAAGTTTTGCAGGCACTACATTGACAGGAAAGTTTCCTTGCACCTATTTAAGAAATCTCATTATGTGCTGATGGTGGTTCCTTTTCAGCCTAGTCGCACCATTTGTCTTCATTGAAGAAAAGACATCTGGTCCCCAAGCGCAAATCTCTTTTTAAAGCTCCTGAGGAGTTCCTGGGATATCTTGTAGCATTTTTATTTTGGGATGTTTGTGTACGACACCAAGTGCCAAGCATCAGAGTCATGCTTAAGTGAAGGCAAAGCAGTTATTAAAACAGCCTACAGAAGGTTTTTAAAGACATGGGAAAGTTATATTTCAGGGACTGTGGTGCTTTTGTAAGCTCTATCCAAACATAGTCCTTCGTTTTGAGGAGGAAAGCTGAGATGAGCAGCAGGCAGGCAGGCAGACTGCGAGGGTGAGAAACATTAAATAACTGGGTTTGGTCCATGAGGAAGGCATTGTGCATATATGCTCTAACTCTGGAGTGGATCTGGTCTTCTAGAATCAGTTTTAATCAGATTGAACCTTTTAAAATGTGAAATCCCTGTGTTTGGAATCCAAATATATAGATTTCACATTTTAAAGAGTGAAATCTGGAATAGGCTCCTTTGTAATGGAGAGTGTTTAAAATTTCCATGATTAAATTTTACTGCCTTCAGAAATACTTAAATCTGAAGTAAGGTCCAGTGAGTTCAGTGTGATTGGTTTTTTATGGTTGCAGTCTAAATTTGCTATCTATCTCCTAATCTGTTATCTATCTCCAAATCTGTTATGTCCTTAACCCCATATATACAAAGAAAGAACTACTGTTCTTCACCAGTGAGAAAATTGCATATGCTCAGAAGTGTTTTCTACACTACAGTGCTTCCCATCTTATATATAGATTCCAGGACTGAGTCCTGGAACTGACAGCAGATTGTGAAACTCAACTTTGGCTCCAAATTCTAAGACTGCTCCTGCCAAGATCTGCCATTGTCCTCTCCCTGAGCCTTTTTCTGAAAAGGATAGTTAAAAACACAGAATGACTTCAGTCAGGACATTTTGCCATGTTCTTACAGGCAGTAGCTGACCTCTGTTTTCACACCACCTTTGATCCTATTGCAGTAACTAGTTACATCTTTCTGCTCTGTTCCTTTCTGTATTTGCCAGTGTAAACCTGCCCTTAGATGCACAAATTTCAACATTTTTCCTTTCCTTTTTTTCTTTTTCCTTTTTGTACAGAATTCCAGTGAAACTGCTTTGCTTTCACACTATCCAGAAAAACACTATTGGGTTGAAAAACTGAAAAAGTTAAACATCATGTCACAGGGCAATGTGCATCCTTGTCTGCCTCTAAATTGGCTTATACTGGTAAAGGTGTTTCCGTGGCATCACATAGCATCATATAATTCATGTTTGAATACTCAAACTTCATTAAGACAGACACATTGTATCAGTGCCGGCTGCATTAGGCAGTTGTCCATCTGAAGGCACTTGCTTCTGTGGACACCATTACTTGCCACAATTAGCTGTCACACATAGCATTAACTCAAACCACCACCACCCTTGTTTCAGAAAGGCTAAATGTTGCCTGAGTTTGCTCAGGCTAAATATTCAAAGAGAAGGGAGTCCAAGATGGGAGTTTCTTAAAGGAGAAATATTGAAGGCACATAATAAAAGGTTTCCTCAGCTATGTTCGAAGCAAGAGGAAGAACAAATTGTAGGTTCTCTGCGTGGAGAAGATGGAAATAGGCTACTGGGTGACAGAGAGAGGGCAGAACTGCTCAGCACCTACTTTGCACCTGTCTACAGCCAAAAGGACAGCAGTGTCCAATTTTGTGATAACAGAATTAATGATGCAAGGAGGAAGTTGCAGCCCAAGATATGAAAAGATGTGTTAAGGAAACACCTAGCTACTTGAAATGAATTCAAATCTCCAGGATCTGATGAGCTGCACCCAAGGCTATTAAAGTAGCTTGCAGAGGTCCTCTCAAAGCCTCTTATAATCTTTGAGAATTCTTGGAGAACAGGAGAGGTCCCTGCAGCCTAGAGGTGAGCAAATGTTGTCCCCATCTTCAAAATGTGGAGAAAAGAAGATCCCGGAAACTACTGACTGGTCAGCTTGACATTGATACCAGGAAAGGTTCCAGAACAGATGTTAATCAGCTGGGCTGAAGGAACATAGAAAAGGATGCTGTGATTACTAAGACCAAGCATGGGTTTCTCAAAAACAAGTCATGCCAGATGAACCTCATTTCTTTCCTTTTTTTAATGGAGATACAAGCTTGATGGCTCAGGAATGCTGTGGATGTAGTGTATCTTGATTTCCGTAAGGGTTTTGACAAAGCTTCCTGCGGAGCTCGTAAAATGTGGGCTGGACGAAGTTATGGTTAGGTGAATTTGTAACTGCTTGACTTACCAAACTCAAAGAGTGCTCACTAATGGTTCCTCATCATCCTGACAGGAGGGGACATCATCCTGAAAGGAAGGGTTCTGCCCTGGGCCTGTTGTTGTTCAGTGTCTTTATTAACAACTTGGATGAAAGAATTGAGGGCTGCTCATCAAATGACACCAAACTGGGAGGGGTAGGTAGTGCCCAAAGTCAGACTCAGGATTCAAGATGACTAACAGATTGGAGAACTGGGCCCAAACTAACAAAATGAATTGCAATAGGGACAAATGTCACGTTCTACACTTGGGCACGAAGAACCAGCTGCACAGATATAGGATGAGGGACACCAAGATTGCTAGTAGTACATGTGAAAAGGATCACATGAAAAGTGAAAAGGATCTATTATTCTATAATCTAGGGGACTTAGTAGACCACAAGCTTAAGTGAGTCAACAGTATGATGCAGCAGAAGAAAGCAAATGCTGTTCTAGGCTGCATCCACAGAAGTAGTGTCCAGATCAAAGGAAGTAATAGTCCTGCTCTATTCCACCTTGGTTAGACTACGCCTCCAGTACTGTGTCCAGTTCTGGGCACCACACTTTAAGGAGGATATTGACAAGCTGAAATATGTGCAGAGGAAGGTAACCAGGATGATAGAGGGACTGGAAACCTGCAAAGCATCCAAAGATGATTTCACAATACAGTACAAAGGTATACAAAACAACTGTGTATATAAAAACAATTACAGTGGTACCTATGGATACGAATGGGATCCCTTCTGGAGCCGCGTTCGCATCCTGAAGTAAACACAACCCGCGTCTGACCATCCGCAGGTCGCGATTCGCCGCTTCCGCACATGAGCATGACATCATTTTGACCGTCTGCACATACGCAAGCGGCGAAACATGGAAGTAACACGTTCCGTTACTTCTGGGTCGCCGCAGAGCACAACCAGAAAGTGCTCAACCTGAAGCAACTTCAACCCGAGGTATGACTGTACACAGCAAATCTTTCCCCGTCCCTAGTGCCTGCAGCCTCTGCTGATGCTGTACTGAATATCTGAGCAGACACAGCTGGGACAGATCAACTCTCCCAGCTCACCCACAAAGGTCTCAGTAGCGCACACCAGATCAGCACCCTCATCCATGATCAAATCAAGGATGGGTGAAGTCTTACTTGTACCGATGTGGCACTAAACAACAGCACACACAGGCTGGTGGACGTAGCATATGAGCAACCAGAAACCTGACCATGGGAGGGGTGGGAGTGAGGAACAAGACATGAGCAGCCTCATCTTCATCTTCCATGATGGCTTATCACTTCCCCATTGCTGTGTCTCCTGCTAGCCATGAGCAGCAAAATTGGGACACCACTGATGCCACTCCCAAGCCCATGATGCCACTGGATTTTTCCTTGCTCTAGGATAAAGAATTTTACACCTAAAAAGGTTGATGTTGCCAGGCAGTGGAATGAGCGACACTGGACCCACATCACAATTTCAAGTCTCATCACAAGTAAGCCTAATAGGACTTCTGATGAGGAGCAGTATCACTGTTACGGCCCATTGTGTGTAAAATGATCTGGAGATCTCTCAGGTTGAAAGACAGTGAAGTTATTAATAAAATATGAATGTCCCGAATCTGCCAGTGCAATAAGGCAATTTCTGACAGCTTCTTAACAGGTTTCTTGGGGCACTGGGAGAATCAGCATCTTCAAGAACTATTGAATGCCAAGAGAAGGTTAATGTTGCAATCAAAGAGATTCTCACTATAGTACACCCTCTCCCTCTGATGTAGCCTGGACAGTATTTCACATCCTCAGTATCAGATGTAAAAAAAATATGCTGGTCAACAGGAGCTATCGTGAGCATGCAACTAAAATTTAATAAGTGTCAATTGCATTTACCGCATTCCATTGCATAGACATATACAGCTGTTTCCCGGTTCCTAATTCTGAAGTCCAGCACAAAATACTATCTGCATTATTTTATTTTGAACTGCACATTTAGAGCACAATGAAAGCTGGAGATGTGAGTGTTACTTATGGGAATTTAACACTGACACAACTTCCCTATGGGAATATATGGATTAAGAGGATAAGGCGCCAGCCTTCTTGCCTTTCCCTTGCAGAACTCACCTTTTGTTGAAACTGTGGTAGGCATTGCTTTTTTATACATAGTAACCTACCTTGACAAAAAGCCAGTTGTTCAATGTTGATGTGTTTCTTTCTGCTGAAAAACATAGGTTGGTTACTATAGGCTGCAGACCGATGTTTGTCTCTCTGTAAGTCAGGATTTTTAAATATAGGGTATCAAGCTTAAGTTGAGGCCCAAAAGTTTGAGGTCAAGGGAGCTTCTGTGGCCCATCTCATTTATAGTGCGGTGGAGCAGATTATTATATATGGCATATTGCCCACACTGAAAGCAGATATAGCCCAACAGTGAACTTACAGTGTGAGCTTTGTCAAATTATGTCCATATGCCTTACATATCATGTGGTTGCTTAAACTCCGAGGTTTGTTTTACATCAAGTTTCTAGCCTTTATAGGTTTTTTTAAAATTGCAAACTGCTACAGAAATGTGAAGAACTTAATTTTGGGAGGAAATAGGGAAGCGAAATGGCCAGATTTGCCCATCCCTTTGTACAGAACAAAGCATTAGATGCCTAACGAATCTTGATGATGCCTGATGACCAAATTCAGGAAGTGATTGATATGAGAAAGCATACTTCATGCTGTAAACTTTAAATTGTGGTCCAAAGTATACCTGTGTTTGGAAGAAGAGGTCCCGTAACAACCATATATATCAAGATGTGATAGGTAACTCTGAAGACCAAGACAGAAAGCTGTAAATTACAACAACCAGACTACATTTTAAGAGTTTGGTAGTAACACTTTGTTGCTTTCTTCACCTTTTGACATTGGCTGCATACTAGAAATGTAGGCAGTATGGAAAATGGCTTTGGGGCACCTCTGGCTTTGCCCACAAATAGGTAGGAACATAAAAAGTCAACTCTCCACAAACAGCATGGGCTTACTATTAGCTCACTGTTCATTTTGATTTATTAAGGCCCAGAGTCTGAACTGAGCCAGGCCTTGCTCATTTACATAGGAACACTTACACTTTTAAGAGTCTTCAGGTAGAGGCCTGCTTAAAATCCTTTCCTTCAAGATGCTTGGAGCAAAGCAGTGCTCTCAGAGTGGTGGCCTCTACACTGTATTGTAATGCCCACCACCTTTTTATAACAAACTTCCCATAAATTACAGATAACTAACTGGTAGATAGATGTCAGATCTATTACTGAAAATTCTTGTTTGTTTTCTAAGTCAGTTTTCATGAGGGATGCCGACCAGCACAGCTGGCACTCCAATGCAGCTATGTATTTAGGGGGAGACAGGTAATGTACCACAGGATACTGATGTTTGTTAACAGATTAAGGCTGTAACTTCCATGTACAGTTACCTGGGAAGAAGCCCTGTTGAATACAGAGGCACCACTTTACTGAAACTAAGGTCTGTTTAGCCAGTGCTTGAATGGGTGCATGAACACCTCATGTACACTGCCTTTGGTTCCATGATGGAAAATGGGATAGAAATGTAGTAAAATAAACAAACATGCCTAGGTTTTCACGCTTCATGTCATACGTCAACCAAGCAGTAGGAAACCTGGTTTGCTTGGTTAACGTAATATTACTTTCTCTCACTTTTTGTAATTTATGAAAGTACAAATCCGTGTCAACTATCATTTTCAGAATGGGAATGTAAATGACCTTTTAATCTTGAACCTCTTACAGCCAAGGTAACTGTTAACTGAAAATGCCACAAAGCCTCCTCACAGGATGGAATAAATGAGGCCAAATGTTTGCCTTCCTTAAACACACACACACAAAATCCTCAAGAACTGAACATTAAAGAACTAAATATAATTATCCTGGTAAACCAAATTGCTATGTTCCTGGGCAGCCCTTGCGTGACACTTCCCGTAACTTTTCTATCTGAAAGTACTCACAAAAGAAAACCGCTGGTCTGTGGGGGGGGGGGGGGAATGCAGCAATGTCTTCTGAAGCGATTGAATGTAAATATATACATTCAATGGGAAAGTGGAATAAAGGAGATTTTTTATTTATTTATAGCATTCATACCCCAGCCCTTTAGCCAAAAGGGCTCCAATGAGACATTACAAAAATCAGTTTTAAGATGGGCCAGTCCTTGCCCTCAGGCTCACAATCTATAAAGACATGGCACACCAGGAAAAAGGAATCATGAGGGAAGAGCAAGCTGAGGCACAAGTTCTAAAAGTTACAGGCACTCTCTTGCCTGTGATAAAGAACAGCTCATTTGCTTTTAGCCTCTCATCAGATTCAGGAACAGAGATTTTGGCAACATCCAGACTTGGAGGAAAAAGCAGTTTCTGCCACTTTCTTAGGTAGCTGACTTGATGGCAGTTGGAATCTTCACAGAAAGGCGCTTAATGGTACCTTTTCTCTCATCCATGTCAATGATCGTTCTCTGGGTGGATTTCCATTAACCAGTGAGCCAAAAGAACAGGATTTCCCCCCACTTATTCTTTTAGGTTTATATTCATATGCATACATTTTGAGGCTCCTTCATGGATCACTGCCTTGTCGTGGCGAAGGGGCTTGAATGACTCCAGGAAGCTCTGAGCTATGCCGTGCAGGGCCACCCAAGACGGACAGGTCACAGCTGAGAGTTTAGACTAAATGTGATCCACCTGGAGAAGGAACTGGCAATCCACTCCAGTATTTTGCCAAGAAAACTCCATAGACATAAAAAAGTAGAAGCGTTGAGATGAAAGTGAGTGTTTCCAAGGCATGCTCTGGTTCATGGGGTCACAGAGAGCCGAGCAGGACTAAGACGACTAAACAACAACAACATTTTGAGGGCAAGGAGCTTCATATATTTATATAAACACACCATGCACTTTGAACAAACACTAGAAATGAGAATGCTGGAATAAGCTAAGTGATTTGTGGTCGTTTGATGTGCAGATTAAAACAACAAACCTTCCCACTGGGAAGACATTGTAGTCAAGACGACCACACAGCAGCATTCTGTCGAGTCTCCAAATAAGAGAAGAATGTATAACTGAAAATGGGAATGGTTTCCATCCTGAAAAGCTGTAGGGTGTAACTGATATAGACAAGCAGCCTGTGAACATTTGTTCTATGGTAATGCACAGAGCCTAGGACTTGCCCATCAGAAGGTCGGCAGTTCGAATCCCCGCAATGGGGTGAGCTCCCGTCTTTCGGTCCCTGCTCCTGTCCACCTAGCAGTTCCAAAGCACGTCAAAGTGTAAGTAGATAAATAGGTACCGCTCCGGCAGGAAGGTAAACGGCATTTCCGTGTGCTGCTCCAGTTCTCCAGAAGCGGCTTAGTCATGCTGGCCACATGACCTGGAAGCTCTACACCAGCTCCCTTGGTCAATAAAGCGAGATGAGCGCCGCAACCCCAGAGTCGGTCACGACTGGACCTAATGGTCAGGGGTCCTTTTACCTTTTTTAATGCACCTATGTAGCAACTGGCAAAGAAGCCAATTGTAGTTATACTCCAGGCTAGCTATTATGCCTACACTATGTCTCTTATTACGATGCAGATCAATCCCCAGCATTCCTAAGTAGGGCTGCAAAAGAACCCAGAAAGCTGGAGTGCAATTGCCAGCCAACATAGAAAACAATAGACCGGTGATCAGACATGGTTTTTGTCATCTTGTTACATTCTTCTTCTGAGTGATTGCTTGGCACTCGGCATTGTCTTTGAAGAATATGATTTGGCTACAAAGAATGGCAATCTGAAGTTAGTACCAAAGTGGAAGCATGCCTTCTCAAAAATCCACAAGGCAAAGAGATATCTACTTATATCACTATTAAAAATGCTGCAAAATGGGGAGGGAATTTGAAAGTGGAAATAAAAGGGGAGAAGAGGCTGCCTTAAAAATGCTGAAATCCTAAAATCCTGAATTCAGCCTACTATATTAACAAAGTATAGAGATGTAACTGCATTGTGGATAAATATAAAGCAGCAACTTACTTGGTCTGGGGGTTTTTTTAATTAAAAATTTCCACATACAGTCATACCGCGGGTTGAAGTTGCTTCAGGCTGAGCGTTTTGGGTTGAGCTCCGCGGCAACCCGGAAGTAACGGAATGCATTACTTCTGGGTTTTGCAGCTCGCGCATGCGCAGACGCTCAAAATGATGTCACATGCATGTGCAGAAGTGGCGAATAGTGCAGACGCAGGTTGCGTTCTGCTCTGGATGCGAACGGGGCTCTGGAATGGATCCTGTTCACATCCAGAGGTACCACTGTATGTGGACTAGAAGAAGGGAGGGAGATATATGCCAAGCAGACAGGTGTGAGGTGCAAGAGTTTGAAAACAAATAAGCAAAATTCACTTAATGAAATGCACTCCCTAGTGCATCCATTTCAGTCAGGAAAATAAAAGTTTCTTCCAAAACTACTGAACATCCTACACACTAGAAAAAAATTTCAAATGACAACATCTTTGTTAAGTGTTCTGGTCAGTTTTTTAAAGACTGAGTCCTCCTGTCCAAAAAAAAAGGGGGGGAGGGTTCAGAAGATTCCTTCCAGAAGCCTGAACATCTTTCCAACAAACCAGATTATAGGTTTCTATAGCCACCACATGAAACGAGCAAACACTCATTTACCACAAATATAAACCAGATAATTGGGTGGGTGGGTTGTAGCTGAAACTTTGCATAATGCAATCAAAACTTGAGCCATCTGACTAGTTTAACTGCAGTACAATTAAACACTCTTTATGTACTGCTGCAAATTTCGGTATCACATTTTAGCATCTTGTATATTTTTAGAATTAGCTTCTTGACTTCTTAGGATCATTGTTTGTGGATTCATTAATAAGCCAGAGCCAAAAGAGGTAAGTAACTTTTAAACTGCTTTTTAAACTTTGCATACCACATCTCTGTACTTAGTATTAGTAAATATTGCACACCTTTCGTCCAAATCAGTATCTCTTGAAGTAGGTTGCAATGGCATGAGAATGTAGCACGATGCAATTACATCTATACCAACAGCAAACTTAGGTGGTTTAGTACCTATCAGTTGGAAAGTGAATAAAATGGAGCCACCATAAAATAGTGATTTTACACACTCAGAGGGACTTCCTAGATTTACAAATATACTCCTGTATATCAAAAGGAAAAAAATGTACCACAGAATGACTCTAGTATCTTACTCGCTGGTTCCTTTGGAAACCCTCCCCCTGGGGACACACACTTTCCCCCACCTCAGACCAAAAGCAATAGCTGCTCATATGGAGAAAACCAGGATTTTAGAGTAGCTATGAACAGAAGGTAACAGCACTGAGAGGTGCTCATTTTATTTCTAATTTGGGTTTTATCTCCAGAGAAGGGAGATGGGAAGTTTTAATAAACGTAAAAATACAACATGGCTGCAATCCAAGTCCATGGAGCACATGGTTTCTGTGTGAAATTAAGTGCTGAGATTATACAACGAGGCAGTGTTTCTTACTAGAGGGAGAACCAGATTGGCTCCGCCAATACATTTAATACCACATGGACCTCATTCCCTACCTCACGGTAAACAGCAGTGCCCAGCTGAAGGTCAAGTGACCACACCATCACAACAAATCCTCACTTCATCAAACCAATATGAAATAAATGGCAGAATCCTCTGCATGCTTACGCTTAGGCCACACTAGGTTCAATGAAGCATACTCATAGGTAGTTGCACATAGGGTTGATATTGACAGATATGAACAATTCAGGCAGTACAGGTAATAACAGCGTACCTTTATTTGAATATGTGCACTGTTACTAGTGCAATTGATACAACGCCAGAAGTTTTCTTTCAGCAAAGTCAGGTATCAAACTTCTTTTTGTTAAATAGTCAAAATTCACTACTAGATGGAAGCAGCATTTAGTGCAAAGAATTAAGAGACACCCCATGCCAACCATCTTTGGGATTGATTTGCATGTGTAGTGAGGCACTCACAACCGATGTTCCACTGTTCCATGTGTATTTTATATATATATATAAAAGTTAATCTGTTGAAGGTTGATTCCCCCCCGCGCCAATTCTTACACGTCAAAAAGAAGTGATTTTTCATACTGTACACTACAGCAACAACTATATATATATGTATGTATATATAAATAAAGAGTGACAACACTTTATTTGAACATTTCCTCAGTCTATTCAAGCAGTAATAGGAAAAGGGGGTGGGAAGAGATGTTCAGCTTATAACATTTTGCTTTTAAACGCACACACACACATCTATGTTATAATGATATTCTACATAAAACATTTTTTAAAAAAAACAAAACAAAATGCAGTTGCCCTCCATTGTTTCCCTTTCACTGAGAGAATGAAGCATCTATTAGTTGGCTTTCCAAGCAATATCACTTCCCATCTATTCCTGATCCTCATTTCGTATCAGATTTAAGACTAACCTTGGTTCTGTATCTAATAGAATGCACCAGGGAAGTAATACTAAAATATGTCTTTCTCCAGAAAAATCAATGCTATGCTCATGAAATCTATGTATACAATAAAATGAAATGTCAACATATTATTCCTCCAAAACCATCCATACTTAACCAGTAGTTTTCTTTCTTAAGTTTCTTCAGAAAGCCAAAAAAGTGGGAAATTCAAGTAAAAATGTAGAACCACTTTTTTCCAATTACAACACAAATGCCTATAAAATTATGCTTATCTAGTTGGTGTTTTTTTTAGTATAGCTATTAGAGGAATTCTGTAACCTAGGTAATGAATGAATGGGTCAAGATCACTCTCCAGCTACGTAGGACAATGGGACAAAACTCTTCCATTTACTTAAGAACGTGGCTATTACTTCCAAGTTACAAGCATTGCATAATCCCAAAACAATAAATGAGGTTTTGAAAATAATAGCATTCTTTGATGCACATCATGGGTGTATGATGGGACATTCTGCACAAAGTATCATGTGTGTTTACTGTAGGCTCCCTAAGATTTTATGTCCGATTGTAAAGGAAAGAAAAGAAGGGTTCTGCCTAAGCTACTACCAATCTACTCAAAAGCAGGGCAAAACAATTTGATATAAATGTGACACAACTATATGCTTTTGCCAGTAGGAAAAAAAGGCTGGTCTGAACCTCCAGACATGTTTGCTATCTGATCCAATGGAAGTTCATAACCGTAATCTTCTAAATATAGCACTAGATGTTTTAATTATGACCTCAGACTAGACAGCTTTAAATAATGGTTCCTTCCCAATCTACAGGAACACTTCGTCTGAGCCGAAGGAAGTTTGCACTTTACCACTGGCGAGATCAGACAGTTAACTTTTTAATCATTTTAAGTCAACAGAGATTAAATTGCTGATCAGGTAGCTTTAAGTTATAAGACATATGAATTGTAAACTTACCTTATTTATATGCCCATTTTGTTAGCGCAACAGAACCCCAAGGCAGCAAAGCCTTCTGAGTTTCTGGCAATTCTGAGCTTCACTGCAGAATTCCTCCATGTAGCTATGAAGGACTATGCCCTCCTTTCTAAATACATAAAGCAATTCTCCCTAGTGATCGGTTTCTCAGAATGGAGTGGTGCATTCTCATCTTGCAATAATATAGCATGGGGAAAGCAATCTAAGTGCAGCCCTTTCTCTAGCGTGGTGAGAAAATGTAACAGTGAAATACAACACAATTTTTTCATTTGGGGAGGAGGGGAATAATTTTGCTGTAAAGTCTGAAACTGCTAAGAGAAAGATAGAACATTTTAATTATAAGGTTGTATTTCTCAGCTATTTTAAGGTTTTGCCTATTGCAAAGTCATACGTGAATGATCAACCAGTACATAAGAAAGATTTTACAAAAATATAATTTTACACCATGTGCAGAAGTAGACAGGGTGGGGAGTACAAATGCAATAGGTATTTCAACATGCATATGCAAATACAGTGTATGGGCTAGTGATGTTTTAGCCGCAAGATCCATCAGATCCATGTGGCTGGGCTCAACTAAGAGGAGTAAACACTCTGTTTATAGAGAAGCACAAAATATAAATACTCTCAGGCTTACAATCTACCAGAAACTTCACCTGCACAGACTATATTGTAACAAATGGGACACGGCCTGTGCTCTTGAGCTCAGCTCCCACTCAAGTAGATGCGGTTGGTGAAGAAGCTTCCAGTGCATTGTTTCGTAACTCACTTGGCTAATTTTTCCTTTTCAATGACCTTTTGCACTTCATGAACATTTGCACTAAAGGGATATGTGACCAATAAAAAGAATTCTCAATACACATTTCAGCTTTCCATACTAAAACTGAAGGACTGGGGCAACAGTCCAAGCCATAGTTTCAAAGTTTATAGCACTAACAGTTATTTGTTTAATCTATTATTCCTCCCTATTTATAATAAATATTAACGGGGGCTAGATTGATTGGTCAAATGACAGCTCACTAATAGACTTCTTAAGCCAATGGCATTTATTCCAGCATTAAGTATTTTGTAAATTTCTTTGTGAATGAGGTAATGCAGCCTTTTTTCACTTTTGTGTGTTGAAAACGTCTTTAGAATAAAACTAGTCTGCTGAAGATGAAGAAACTATTAGTTCTTTCCCTTTATAACCAAAGACTGGGCCCAATCCGTGTTCATTTTGATGTGGCAGTCATTACACCATGGCTTTATCCCCATCGTTTTACTTGTGCTGAACGTTTCCTCCGAAGAAACCCTCACATTTTCCTCTGAATGAACCCTCACACATTTGAGATTGAGTATTACCTGTTGGGAAGACCCACTGAAAATGAAATAACAGATCTTGACACATGAGGGTTAGAATAAGGATTCACCATAAGTAGTATCATGGTGGCTTTATAGCACCACAATGGGCCAGAGGGTTTCCTAAGAAAGAAAGAAAGAAAGAAAGAAAGAAAGAAAGAAAGAAAGAAAGAAAGAAAGAAGTCTGCCCTTAATTCCTCCAATGGAAGCACATCGATCATTTAACAAACAACCCACTTAAAGTCTATTTAAAGCACCGTAACTATTAAACTGATTAATGTCTTAAGGGAGAGAAAATTCTGTGGTACCACACTGAAATGCTAACATTGTCTTTTTAAATTGGTATTCAACGATCTAAAATAAAAAATAAAAATGATCACATTCTAAAGGTTCAGTGCATTCAGCAGCTATAGCTTTGCTGCTAATTCATCTACGTTGACTTTCAAAAAATAACACCCTAGCTCATCAAAATATACATTTTTTCCCATTTGCTTTTAAATTAAAATAATAATAAAAAACATTTAAAGAATTCACAAATCGATAGCATGACTAAGTTTCAGGATCATCTACAGCATATAATTTAAAGATTCAAGACGCCAAGATGTAGCATCTGGCAAGCCCTATACACACTTCATGCAGCATGTGTGGCGTGTGGACCTTGAACTTCAAACATCTGTTCTCTTCTTCCAAATAGTATAAAATACCCATCTAAAAACTTGTCAAGGAATCAAATACATATTTTGCACTATGGTCACATTATGAACAGGAAGAAGAAACCATCATTTCAATTTGAATCTGCGTTACTTTTATCATCCTTTGTAAATTATGTAATTTTGTAAATATATGGCTAGATTCATAGTTGGAAGGCATTCTCAAAGATCACCTAGCCCCATCCCCTCATAATTTGGGAAAGATGACCTTCTGTCCTGATGGAAGTATGATCAATAGCAGGACACCTTGTAAAGCTGTGCCATAGTTGACAACCTTTCAGGTCATCACTTCAAGCCTTAAAAAATACATTTTGGTTGGATAATATATTGCCATTAAAATTCTCACATCAATGTTATTTTTTTTAAAAAAAAAAACTCCAAGCATTTCAAATCCACATATCCTTTCTTGATGGTAAGTTGGTGAGAAATACCTTGCTTTTCTTTAGCACAGCACTATTAGCTTACCCTGTGGTACTTCACTTCAGTCTTAATAACATGGGCATCATTCTGAACTTTGGAAAATGGAAATTAGTATTATTTCATGTCCTTTCTGCTGTCTTGTTTTAAAGAAAAATTTCAGCTCTTGTTAAGGCCTGTTACACATGTTAGGAACAAACATACCCATAGCAGAATTTCTGAAAGTTATGGGACGGTATCTGACCAAGTTAAACTGTGAATAGACCAACTGAATGAAATGAAATTAGGCACAAGTGATTTAGGCCAACTAATTTCAAATGGACTTGTCCGAGTAGGGCTGAAATCAGACCCATCCATGTTATTAAATTCTGAAGCAGAATCCTCCCTACATTATTCAGATACTCTTTACCTTTTGAAGAGTATGTGCAGTGAAGTCTTTTTGACGTACTCACTATTCACTTGGTTTATACAATGGTGCTTATCAAGAGACATGATTTATTAAGCAAGGATACAGTTCCATGTATGAAGGGACACATACAACTTCCTTTGAAAATGCCACAGGACAGTATAGCCTACCAAGCTGTTCTTCGTAGAGAGTCAAAGCTTCAGTCAGATTTACACAATTTCCCTGCAAGACAACATGTGACCTATATATCAATAAAACTGTGGGGAGACATAATGCAAAGGGAGCAAATTCATCAGTAGATTCTATATAAACAGAGGTATAAATCACTTATGTCAGTGAATCTTGAAAAAGACACAAATTTATTTATATTATTTGTAATATTGATATACTACCCAATAGCAAAGATTCATTGAGCTGCTTAACATTTGTTTGTTTGTTTATATCCCACCTTTTTCCAGTTTTGGGACTCAAGGAGGCTCACAAAAATTAAAACAAACATGGATACAACACAGAAAGATATTAGATAAAAAGCAATTAAACTATAATAGAAATATTAAAACCGTAAGATAGGGAAGTAAGACATAAACATGAAATCTATAAGAAATCATTATTCATAAATTATAAAGTAAGAAAGAAACACTCCAGCTTTGAGGTATGATTCAGATAAAGCACATCATAAGGATATTTACACAGAAGTCCTACCAAGTTCCACGGATTTTATTCTGCATTAAATACATTGAGGATCATGGTTTTGTAGACTGTCATAGTAACTCCTTTCCCATTCCAAATGTTAACACTTATTACAAAATTCTAGGACTGGCTACAGTATCACTAGGCAGGAATTTGGAATGATTGCTCAATGCCAGTGCTGTACTGACTCTGCAGTGTTACTAATCAAACTTGCTCAGAGTGGCTTCAATCTATGTGAAGCATTTATTTTATCAAAATTAAATATTTCACAACAGTCGAAAGAACATAAACATTCTGAAGTGACTGCGTTACTAATGAATACATCAATAACAGATAATCTTTACCTGCAAATGAGTGTAAAGTACAGCATTAAGGAGATGAGTGAGAAAGATATGACAAGTTTTATACCTGAATAGCAACTGTGGCATTAAATATATCAGGTGTGGGGAACCTACAGCTGTTCAGATATTGTTGGGCTCCAACTCCCATCAGCACCAGCCGGCAGGACCGATGTCAGGAGTGATGTGGAGCTGTGGTCCAGCACTGTATGAAGGACTGCAGATTCCCCACTCCTGAAATACAGTGGTACCTCGGGTTACATACGCTTCAGGTTACATACGCTTCAGGTTACACACTCCACTAACCCAGAAATAGTGCTTCAGGTTAAGAACTTTGCTTCAGGATAAGAACAGAAATCGTGCTCTGGCAGCGCAATGGCAGCAGGAGGCCCCATTAGCTAAAGTGGTGCTTCAGGTTAAGAACAGTTTCAGGTTAAGAACGGACCTCCGGAACAAAATAAGTACTTAACCCGAGGTACCACTGTATATAGAAGAGGCTTAAGACAGGGCAATACATAACCGCACAACAAAATGTTATATGAATTCTGAATGGGAGATCATTAATCATATACAGAACAAAAGGAATTTAAATTATAGGTGGAAAATGAATGGCAGGGAGCAGAAGGTAAACAAGGGGAAATACATTCTTGTTTCTATGCTTATTATATTAGAGAAACACATTATTATTATTATTGTCTCATTTTTTAATATTAGAACATCAAATAAATAGCAGAAGGAAATTAAGTATTTCGGAAATAAATTGAGTTATTACGTGAACCACAAGCATCGTAAAATGGTAAGAGAGAGGTTAATATAAAGGTAAGGAAGTTAAGTATATAAAACTTGTTTAGTAATCTATTATTATCCGCAGTCCTGCAGTGGTTATTTTGTTCCGCTGCCTTTTACAAAGCATGTAATTTTGTCAGCATTAAATTGAATGGGATAGCATATAAACAACCTGCGTGTGTAATTTGGAAATCACAAATAGAAAACAGCATCAGGTAATTTATGGGACATCCTGCCAGTATAGAGGTAGCTTAATGGCACAACCCAATCTCTATAATGAGAGTAATCTGCAGTCTAGTTTTGTCATCCTCAGTATCCCAGGTTTCATCAACCAGCTCATCAAATGGCAAGCAATCACAGGAGACAACGTGGCAAGCACATTGTGGAAAGGGAGAAGGAAAATACTTCCGAAATACTTAATTAAATCCAATAGTTTCTCCAGTACTATTCATTCATTCATTACACTTATACACTGCTTTTGAAAAAACAAGAACACACAAAGTGGTTTACGAAAAACTAGAACAATAAAACGAAGAGAAGATCACAACCATACTTCAAAACATACAAAACATAAAAGACTAAAACAGATTAAAATTACCTCAACTTTCTGGGCATCTAGAAATGTTTATTTCCCCCTAGGCACCTAGAATGTTTTTAGCAGATGCTAAAAGGGCACCTGCTTCATCTCACAATAGGCAGGGAGTTCCAAAGTGCAGGTGCTGCCACACTAAACAACCAAGTTCTTACCAATGTGGAATAGGTACTATGTGGCACCTGGAGTAGTGCCACTACTGTGACAACATCTGCATCAGAAGCAGGCGAATATTTCACTTCACAGTACCACACTTCGCCTTAAAAAAAAGACCTATGCAAATTCACACACCAGGATGGTTTGTTCATAATAAATCAAATATGCCAAACCATTGTTGGATTTATATGCCCACTTACATTTTTTATTGTACCGAAATTACATAGTGGGCCACAGGGGCCTCCTGCCCCTAATGCCTGCTGTATCACACAGTAGAGCTCTGTTTGAGGGCTCTGTCCAAGTTCAAAACTAAGAGTTGTAGAAAGGGGACTTGAGGAAAGGAGGTCTTTCCTTTTCATTCCTAAGTAAGCACACACCCTTTAAAAAGCTTAAAAACGTCGCTGAAAAGGTTATATTAGGATCTGGGAATACTCCATGAAATACATTTCTGAAAAACGACTCAATTTTCCATCCAAATTTACCCATAAACTATGGAAAGGGAGCATAATCACCCCACTCTATACCCTGAACCCCAAAGACCAGACTTATAGGGTATTAGTACATAGAGCACACAGGTTGCTGACATTCTCTGCTAGGTGAGCAGAGAAATTATTCCTCAGGTGTCAAAGATCAATTGTCTCAAACCGTTGGAGAAGGAAAATCTCTGTCATTTATTTCTACTATCTCAAGCTGTGATTCCTAGTTAAATCCCAGTATTATTATCAACTTATCAAGTACAAAAGATCGGGTGACTCCCATCTTCCAGAGGAGCTTGGAAACTTTGCCAATACTGCTAAACTTTGAGAACTATACAGATAATGTTTTAAACCCTTAACAAGGTAAATAAAACTAAAACAAGTGTTTGGGTTATATATGTATATCAAGCATATCTTCTAAGTCTATGCATTTTTAAAAAGTGTGAATTCTCATTCTGTGAGCAAAACTATAACGGCTGTCAAATGTTTGTACACAGCAGCCTGTGTGTAAGATGTGTCTTTCTCAAGTGTGTCCCTATATTCCTCGCACGTAACATTCTTTGGATTTTATTACAGGAGCCAACGTTTTTAGTTGTCAAGCTCCATCTAGTGGCCAAAGAGTATAATGCAGATGACTACACCGCACAAGATATTCCCTGCCAGCATACAGCAACACTCTAATGGCCATTCCTTAGTTGCATTCGTTTTTTAGGAGCAGCAAAAGGTATCTGGCGTTTTGACAGTGTTCTACTGTTATGGAACTAACGCTTCCTGATCCAGAAAAGGATTGGGGCCCCTTGCTTCTAACAGTTATTTAAAACAGAGAACTTACCATACTAACACAGAGAAACAGACTAGATTGCCTTCTTATATGCTGAAACATTTCCTCTTTCGCTATTAAAACTTGAGGACTGAAAAGTGTTTACTTAAAAATAAAGCATCTGTGGATGAGCTTGCCTAGCTACATATTTCAGAGTCACAAGGTGGCAAAATTAAACAATAAGCATCCTGTTTGGCACTGACAATGGCTGTTGCTGGAAATGTCTTGTCTTTCTCTCCCCCCACCCTTTAAAAATGCAGCTAGGACTATCAAAGTGTAAGAATATTGATGGCTGCATGCCAGCTCTAAAATACTCTCATAATTTCTGATAAGGTATAGTATAAATGCAGTATACCTTATCAGTATAAAATAGTATTTGATTTTAACTTCCCTGAAACCAACCAGAAAACTTGAGCCAGGCTGAAAAATGTGAAACAAAAACAAATCAGCTTTACGTTTATATACTAAAAACAGTTTTAGCCAAAATTCAAATTATGTTTAAGTCCCCCGGATTTAACCAGATTCTGGAGCAGGCTTATCTGGTCCTAATGCTGGTATGCATAGAAAGCAATGGGCAAGCCTCAAGCATTTATTTTAACTTCCTCAGGTTCTGAAGATATAATAAATAAACCCAGATTTTCTCTGATTCACTTCAGCCTCTAGCATGATTGTGTAGGATACGTATAAAAGCCTTGGACTGCTCTCGATCTCACCCTAGGGACAAAGCAGCATCTTAAACAGGCTTATTCTTTCAAACTTCGCTGTCATACTTCATTGTGATTACTTTTCATCTGCCTTACCTGTGTAAAATATTTTCCATCAGGTTTCAAGACTTTCATTGAAAGGTCCAGAATCATCCGCAGAAACTCCCACGTAGAATCTAAATTTGAAAAATACTAATTGTTTAATTAGCAATTCACAAGGAAATATTCATAACTGTGGTAAGCTATAGCAAAAGGTAACATTCTTAACGTTACGATAATCTTTTTGTTCAGGGTTATAGGATGCCTTGTAAACACGTGGCAATTACAATGGAAAGGGCATAGCATCTGTGTGCAGAAGTGTGTCATAATGGCCAACTGTGCTCCATTTTCTACACACATGCCCACACACTTGACATGCATACACCATCTAAGCCACTCCTGGGTCAGTGCATGCCTCCTTCTCCCCAACCATCCCCTTATCTCACCCAGATAGAAGTTACTCAACTGCAATCAAGGTTTTTAAATGAAAGAGTTTTCATTGTAAACAAGGTTCACATTCAAAAGGTCAGAGAGACATTAACCTTCTTCTGGAGATGTGGAGATTGGAACAGCTGTCAAATCGTTAATTACATAATCAAACATCCTTTCTTCTTTGGCATACCTCTTCAGGACTGGAATACAATCTTCTATTAGAACCTAAAAAATAACAATAGTAGAATTTTCATATGTGGGGTTCCTCAGTTAGATCACTACTACCTTTTTAGCACTCCCAGATCACTCATCCATTGTTTCTGTCATTTCGACGGTACCAACATTGAAGTCAGTAACTAGACAGTAGCACTGAAGTCAGTAACTACCGTATTTTTAGCTCCATAGGGCGCACCGGACCATAGGGCGCACCTAGTTTTTAGGGGGGGGATAAAGAAAAAAAATTAGTTCCCCCCCCAGCCATGGGGCTGGGGAAGCCCGAGCTTCCCCCGACCCCAGCCCCCAGAACAGGTCCAGGAGCGGCGGCAAGATTGCACACAAGAAGGCTTGTGGATAGCTGCCTGAAGCCTGGAGAGTGAGAGGGGTCAGTGCGCACCGACCCCTCTCGCTCTCTAGGCTACAGCGAAAGCCTGCATTCGCTCCATAGGATGCACACACATTTCCCTTTCATTTTTGGAGGGGAAAAAGTGCGTCCTACAGAGCGAAAAATACGGTAGTATAGATAGTTTTTGTTTTTAATGCCCTTAGCGTGTGGTCAAAATGTATAGCAAAGCCTGTCAGTGCCTGGTGGTTCACATATAACACATCATGTTTGCATACAAGCCTACGTGCAACAAAGGCAAATGCCCATAACCTCAACATCACAAGACTCAGATGAACAGATTGCACAGATGCGTTGGGCTCTATTTCGGTATGCTCCCATGTTACGTGCACAATTATCTGACAGAGAAGGGATGATCTCAGCCTCATTGTGAATATATATTCACCATCTACACAGGATTCTTTAACTCATTTTACTTTCACAACAGTGCCATAAGAAGTTGTCTTATACAGTCAGACAACTGCTTGATCTAGATCAGTACAGGTGAAACTCGGAAAATTAGAATATCGTGGAAAAGTTCATTTATTTCAGTAATTCAACTTAAAAAGTGAAACTAATATATGAGATAGATTCATGAAATGCAAAGCGAGATACGTCAAGCCTTTATTTGTTATAATTGTGATGATCATGGCGTACAGCTGACCCCAAATTAACAATCTCAGAAAATTAGAATATTAAATGAAACCAGCAAAACAAGGATTGCAAATAGAGCAATATTGGACCTCTGAGAAGTAAAAGGATGCATATGTACTCAGTACTTGGTTTGGGCCCCTTTTGCATCAATTACTGCCTCAATGTGGCGTGGCATGGATGCTATCAGCCTTTGGCACTGCTGAGGTGTTATGGAAGACCAAGATGCTCTTCTGCATTGCTCAGTCTCATGTCTCTCATCTTTCTCTTGGCAATGCCCCATAGATTCTCTATGGGGTTCAGGTCAGGCGAGTTTGCTGGCCAATCAAGCACAGTAATCCCATGGGCATTGAACCAGGTTTTGGTAGTTTTGGCAGTCTGGGAAGGTGCCAAACTCCTGCTGGAAAATGAAGTCAGCATCCCCATACAGCTTGTCTGCAGAAGGAAGCATGAAGTGCTCCAAAATCTCCTGGTGGACGGCTACGTTGACCCTGGACTTAATGAAGCACAGTGGACCAACACCAGGTGACGACATGGCTCCCCAAATCAACACAGACTGTGGAAACTTCACACTGGACTTCAAGCATCTGGCATTGTGTGACTCCCCATTCTTCCTCCAGACTCTGGGTCCTTGGTTTCCAAATGAGATGCAAAAGCTGCTCTCATCAGAAAAGAGATTTGGGTGGTTCTACAGGATTTCAGAGGAGCATTTCCCAACTTCTACGTGGAGATACTAGCAGGGATGAACCACGGTCCTTTGGTTACTAGTGTTGTGGTCCACTCTCAGATTTGGCTGAGAGACCATGATGAGCCCTAAGGCTACCCAGAGAACCCATATTTGATTACTACTACTCCCCACCCCCAAAGAATGTGACAAAAGGCAATGGGGGGAATCATTAATTGTGCCAGCATTCATTCCTTTCTGTACAAAACAAAGACATCACAAAATAAAACTGAAAATAAGGTAATAAGGATCAACGTGCAGTTTCAGTTTTACGGTGCTAGAATATTTCCCTTTATAAATTGAATTTAAACCATTTATTTATTTTTTCTATAACATTATTCTAATTAGGAAGTCTAGCATACCTCAGATGCCTAGTTCTTGAGTTTATAAATGTACTATATAGCCTGTTTATGCAGAACACATTATGACTCTATTTCACAGTCCTGCTGTAGATGGAACAATGGATATTATAATTTCAGTGCATGCGGCCTCTTCCGAAACATGTATACATTTTAGTGACTGAAAGCAAAAAGAAAATCAACTGCTACTAGTTTATCATTTGTTCATAATGTCTTAGAATTGTATATAGCTATACACAATACACAGTATTGCATCAGAAAGTACTCCCAAACGTGTATTTTCATTGATGCAGATAACATCTTTCATTTTGCATGTTTAAAACAATTAGTTACCTGATAGCATTCTCCTTTCAGATTGTCCAAGACATCTCCACATGTTTTGCGCATATATTTTCGACACCCGTCAATCACCATTTGGTCAATGTATCTGATGCTAGTTAAGAATCCACCAACTCATTTTGTTGAAGTTATTAAAATAAGTTACAGTGGTGCCTCGCAAGACGAAAAGAATCCGTTCCGCGAGTCTCTTCGTCTTGCGGGTTTTTTCGTCTTGCGAAGCAAGCCCATTAGAGGTTTAGCGGCTTAGCGCTACAGTATTAGCGGCTTAGCCGGCTTAAAGATCAGCTGATAAGCGGCTTAACGATCAGCTGATAAGCGGCTTAAAGATCAGCTGATAAGCGGCTTAACGATCAGCTGATAAGCGGCTTAGCATCAGCTGTTAAGCGGCTTAAAGATCAGCTGATAAGCGGCTTAGACATCAGCTGATAAGCGGTTTAGCGGCTTGGGAAAAAGGGGGGGGAAAGGAAAAAAACCCCGCAGGAACTCGCAAGACATTTTCGTCTTGCGAAGCAAGCACATAGGAAATTCATTTTGCGAAGCACCTCCAAAACGGAAAACCCTTTCGTCTAGCGGGTTTTCCGTCTTGCGAGGCATTCGTCTTGCGGGGCACCACTGTATTTAGTTTTGCTTCGGAATAGCAAGGTTTAGATTCCATAATCAATAGACAATTGTTTCAGGCAACTCTTAAATACATGTTATTGACAACTGTTTTAAACATTCCTTTATAAGTAGCTAATTATCTGACACATAGTCCTAATTTTAAAATATACTTAGCATGGCTCAGAAAGTTTAAATCTGCTGCATAATCATAAATGGCCAACATTTAAGTATCTTGGTCAAACGATCTACTAAAGTCATGATGCCTCTATCTGAATTAGGACAATCTGAGCCAGATTTAGGGTGCCCGACACACAATGCAGAGCTTAAGATGGTTCTGAGAGGTGCTTGTATTAATTGTCTGATCTATTTTGATCTTTCAGAACAGAATACACAGGGAGAAATCATGACAAAACATTTTCAAAATGAACCATCACCCGTTTATTAAAAGGATATCTCTACCATGGTGACCATCTTTGGTTTCAATTTGACTATTTCATACAGTATTCCCCCATCACCACCTCCAAGAATGAGGACTTCTTTGTCCTTGTAGTCTTCCTTCCCGCTGCCCATTATAGCTTGTGTATATGCCAGGTCACTCTCTGCCAGATCTTGAAAAGCACAGGGATTAAGAGATATATGTGAGCATGTTATAAGAAAATTCTTTTGTTTGTGCTAAATAAGAACATAAAGTTAGACCCGCTTGCATTTACATTTCAGAAATCCACAATGACTTCATTATTTTAAAGTAAATCATTCAGACTAATTAAAGGGGGGGGACTAGAAATGTTATTACAGATTTAGAAAAATAAAACCTGTGGTTTTACATTTCTATGTAAAGTTATTCACTAAAATACAAGAGGAATGTCAAATATCTATTAATGGCTGTGTCACTGTTATTCCCTGATGTATATGAACATAATTTGTTTATATACATCACTGGTGGGAAAACTGTGGGGTACATGCAACCTCCACAGTCCTCTCCCCATGTGCCTTCATTGTGTGTGGCCTTCTCCTGACCCCCTGTAACTCATCCTCTCCTCAGTCCATCAAACAGCTGGTTGGTGGGTTCAGAGGAGCCTGATCACTTCCTGCTGGGGTGAAGAGGGGTTGGTTGTTCTTTAGCTCAGCAAGGAAAGGCCCTGAAAGCAAGGCTCATGGTGCTTTCAAAAGATATGTGTCTGTGTGTTCGAGCCCCACACTGGGCAAAAGATTCTTGCATTGCAGGTGGTTGGACTGGATGACCCTCGTGCTCTCCTTCCAATTCTACAATTCTTCATTAGTTGACTAAATCAGGAAGACAGTCTCCTTTCTCTCCAAACTCAAATACTGGGACACCCAATTCAAGCCCACTTGTGTGCCTGCCATCAGGAAGTACCTGATTCAATGGACCACATTCTCTTAGATTGCCCTTTACACAGCAGACCTCACCAACTGATGCTGAGCAAAATGTTGGACCTCCAGCCCACAACTCCGAGAAGCCAAATAAGGTTTCTCCTGGCAGATCAGGACAAAGATATTGCTGCTTTAGTAGCTTCCTTTTGAGCCACAATTTTACCCAAAAGGGTTCCCAACAAACTATCCTTTTAGGAAATAGACAGGGCATAGCAGAATATCCAAATGCACACGACTATAGTGTGACTTTATAACCCTTGATAGCTTCACTGTTATCTTTTTAATTATTCCAGTTACTTGAAATGTTTTATACCGTGATGCCAATATTTGATTGATTGATACTGGGACACTACTGTTTGGCATAATCCACCTATTTTCCTACTACAAACTGCATTAGAAATTCTGAAAGGGAAACAAAGCAGTATGAAATTCTTTCAAACCCACAAACATAAATGGTTAATACTAATTCAGTTCAAATACTTGGAAACAGTGAAATCAGATAATTCATGCCTTCGTTTGTGGTTAGGTTTGTCACTGGAGTTGATCAATGACACACCTAGAGACAGCAGCAGACTGCAAAGAAGCCGTCAGCACCAGCCAGTGTGATAATGTTATGCTCCAAAATTTCAACATTCCCAGGAGAAGAGTCCATACCATAGTATGATTCATTCCATTAACATAATCTTTTAATATAGATAGTGTAATTAGTTTTGATAACAAGGGGAGCCTAAATACAATAATCAACAGAATCTTATCTGCTATTTTCCCCCAGTGGGTTGAATGATACAATGCTAGCAGGAATGGAAGAAACTAGCTTCATCAGCACTGTATAAAATTTCCAGCCGAATTTATTTCATGTTGCCCCCAAAGATTCCTTTTTACAATTACTGATGGGGTAATATAAAAAAAAAATAGATATGATCTCAGCTGAAAAACACTTTGACCACAGGTCAAAATATCAGAAAGAGAGAAATTCTGATAATAGAAATCCCAGAAGCTCTGTGGGAAACCGACACAATTTAGAGTCCGCAAAGTTAAACGCTGCCATCCAGAAGTTCAAGAAAACCTTCTGCAATTACTGCCTGTCCAGGGCTGAGGGAGAAAAAAATAGGGTGGCTGGGTTTTAAGCACAACAAACCACAAAACATGGGTTGACTTTGGACTGACAGGTCACAAGTTTTGCAGGTCAACTTTATAGCAGTTGGCTCTGTATTATATAAAAACAGCAATACTCACTAACATCCCCACTGAGGATAAGAATATTTCCAAACTGTTTCGAGTGTAAGATTTTAATATTCTGGTAAGCTGACTCTTCATCATAAACAACTTCATCAATGTCATATTCCACCAATCGTCCATCTGCTGTGGGCCAATATTTATCAATAGCATCTCCTCTCACAATGGCTGGCAATCTGAGAACGAAAAGACAAAAGAAGAGAACGTTCACAATTTCAGGTTTGTGCAAGTTAGCAAAAGCTGTATTATAGTCAAGACATTTCTAAAACATTACCTTCCTAGAGGTACTCAAACAGTGTTCCAAGCAAATAATTTCCATTGTAAACTTTTTAATGTTAGTACTTTTGAGACAATTGCTATTCCCTGATTTGCAGCCCAAAAAAAGTATTCCATTACTGGAACGGAACAAGAGATAAGCAGCACACAAAAGGTTTTTGAAAATGTGGTTATTTTTAGCATTCACTGGTACAACATTCCAGGCAGACTCTCATGTTGACTTATCTATGAGTATTTTAAAAATGTCCATTCTGATACCACGACAGCAACAACTGAATTCCTAGGCTGGAATGTTTACATGGAAGCTGCTGTTATATAACTTGGACATAGCTGTCAAACAGGTTGCCAAACGACAGTGGATAACTGTGCTAGCTATTAATGCTTTTATATACTTTGTTAAATTAGCTTTCTAAAGGTAGAAATGACAGAGCATGTTAAAAGTTGTTTTGTTTGTGAACCACCCTTGGTATTTCTTCTTGAAATGCAAAGGGTATACAAATTAATTTAATTGATTAATTAATTAATTAAACTATGCCTTCACAACAGCAGAAAACATAAGGACAGGAAAATCTGTCATGCCTTTCAGTAATACCCAAGCCATGCCATCTAATGAAACAATTTAAGAGACACTAGAGGGCAGTACCAGATAGTATGCAAACTTCATGAGACCAAAGGTTTTTTTAACTATAAAAACCAATTTGCTTTATAGACTATTAAAACCAGATAAATATTTTAATATATAGAGAGCAAACCCACCAAAATATCTCAAGCTTTATTCTTAATGCCCCCTGTCCACTCCTATGCCACACATTATGTATTCATTTACTGGTGCAGTTATTTTACCCAAATAGCCATTGTCTGGTCAACTGGGATGCAAGAGACTGACAAAATGAGCTGACAAATGGCAGATCGTGTGTAGTGTGTAAAGCTTGTTCCAGGGGTACACTGCAACTGCCCACAGAGCAGGAATACTACTCTTGCTTTTCCCAGCATTACCCTGCTCTCCCCACAGCCAACTAAGTGGCCTTCACTTACGTGGTACTCAGGCAAGGAACATCAACAGCAGCTGGCTCAATGACAGCTTGGAATACTTTTACCTCAAAGTCTGGAGAGGAAGCAAAACAGTTGCCACCTCACAGAGAGCACACAAGGCTATGCTGATGCTTCCTACTTTTTCACATGGAAGTATAACCTGAGCAAGAAAAAGCTACAAAATGGTGGCATCCCACAAAAGCCAGAGAAGCAGGAGACTAAAATCACTGGTGTTCCAAGTAATAGTTTCGCTGTGCTCTAGTGCAAACGTGAACTGTACTGAATGTGAAAGTGCTGGTGACGTTGACAACCAGTTGTTCAGATTACTATCAGAGGCAAAAGGCTGCCTCTCTCACCCCTGTAACCTACTACACAGTATTAGTTCTGTTTTTCTAACGTAGTCAGCCTCCATGCCTTATCAATGCTTAGTACTCTGTTCCTGTATGTAACCAAGTTATTTCCTTGTCTAATCCAGCATTAGGTAACTTGTGCCTTCCGCATGTTGCTGGATTCCAACTCTTATTAGGCCCAGACAGAATGGCGAAAGGTCAGTAATAAAGGAAGTTGCTGTCCAACAACATATGGAGGGCGTGACCATGGTTGCTGATCTCCTCAGAACTTCAGGAAATCTGACAAACCCATTGACTTTAGTTCCCATCAGCTTGTTCTGCAAACAGCCAGATATTATAAATACAGTGGTACCTCAGGTTAATAACTTAATTTGTTCTGGAGGTCGGTTCTTAATCTGAAACTATTCTTAACCTAAGGTACCACTTTAGCTAATGGGGCCTCCCGCTGGCGCCGGAGCACGATTTCTGTTCTCACCCTGGGGCAAAGTTCTTAACCCGAGGTACTATTTCTGGGTTAGCGGAGTCTGTAACCTGAAGCGTCTGTAACCCGAGGTACCACTGTACCAGTCTTTGGTCTAGCTACAGATTCTCTCCAATCACTGGAAAAGAATGAAGGAATGCATATGGGTGGGTTGTTTCTATATCCCCCCACTAATCCGTAAGTATGGAAAAGAATGTCAAATAAGGTGCCTTAGGCCCCTTCAAGTTCAGCTCTCTGCTTTAGTTTTCCCCCAACCCCATATATTTCTGTATGGAATAAAAACCACAATAACATGGCAGCCCCCCCCCCCCTGCAAAGACGACAACTTAACACCACCCAATTATGCCCCCCGATTTCAGATTATTTCATTTCTATCCTACCTTTCTAGTGCCTATGCACTATTCAGGGCATCTAACTATACTTGACAATCACAGTATTATATAAAACAACTTATTCAGTAGGAAGTTGCCTTATAGGCAGATCATTGATTCATCTAGTTCAGTACTGTCTACTGACTGGCTGTGCCTCTCCATGGTTTCAAGTACTTAGCAATGCAAGAAACTGCCAAAATAAAATAAAATGTCTCTACCAACTAGCAAAAGGCAGCCAGAGAAGAACCATCCATTTTTCATAGGTTTACTTTGGTGCAGCCACACTATGTCATAATGGAACTCCACCGAATAATCTACAGCAAATGAAAACTTTACTACGTTAAGAAAATGTAAGGGTAAAATGAATGAACTTGAATAAAATGTTTTGTAAGTCTCAATACTATGTGTTAAAATTCCATATTCATTTACCAGACATGTCAGTACATCAACAAAGACTTCGCTGGGCAATCTGACCAAACAATCTCAAAATTCCTCACCGTTTTACTCTTTTGATGTTTCTATGACACAGTTCTTTCATTCTTTCTTCTATCTTGTTTAGAAGCTGTGATAAAAAAAAAGTCTGGTTAAAAAACAATAGGATCCAACTAAAAGAACAAGATTCCTAAAAATATGATACACAGCCAACTTTTCTCTCTCACCTCCAAAGCCCATGGTAGCAAAGCCTTAGGATTTTGTCTATTTTCCCTTCTCATTTTTGTTAAAATTAATTTTGCTTTCAGTGAGTTTAGCACTGCATACAAGCCAGTGAGCTTAGTTTCTAAACAAACCAAATCCAAAACATGAGTTATATATAACCTCCTTTTTTATCATTTCATTAAGTTTGCTGTTAAGTAGTATTCAGGGTTTAGAGGTAAAAACAGAAAGATCTGCAACGCCTTATATACAAACAGAAACAGAGAGAGAGAATTAAAACCATTGTGAAAATAAAAATGGTATTGTCTTCCACTGAAATGTCATCAAGCTCAGTGCCAGACGATCTGTTAAGGAATGCAGTTAATGGGTTAATTCTCCCCACAATGTACCTACAGGCATTTCTGCTTTACTGTTATGTCTGAAGCAAACTAGAGGCTTGCCCCGTACTTTCCCACTGAGTTTAATGGCTGCAATAATTAAAACCTAGCATTTATGAAATTAAAAATAAGCTCTGTAAAAAAAATGTGTCTACAATTCAAGCACTACCATATATATATGGTACTATACATACCTGCTCTACGTCTCCTCCACTCAAATCGTTGCAACTCTGTACATCGACCAACACCAAGCCATGAGGATAAATTCTCAGATTGGCAAAACTAGACAGTAAAAACAAGAAAAGTGTCAGATGAAAGCAGTCCCCCAGTCCCTACATTCTAAGCACCAACGTCTTCAACAAGAACTGCAGGAAGAAAACCTCCAGCACCTCAGCTGCCTACCTGCTGCCAACTCTCCCCTCATTTATATTCTAATCAACTGTCCTGTGAGCTTCTGTTGAAAGAAGACCATCTGAATATTTACATTGCTTCCTTCCAACTGTGAATACTTGGTAAGTCCTTGTGGTTAAGAGAAATTCTCCATTATAAACAAGCTTGATTGTTTTAAAATGATCTAAGATGACTAGAAATTTAGTATGTTTTGTTTTCATACAACAAGGAGGATTTCTAAAATATTATCAAACTCTGTTCCATGCAAGTTTGAAGAAATGGCTTTAATGCATTCTTCATTAAAGGGGCAATTGCGCATGTGGCAATGCAATCTTTAGGAGGTAGAACACTTAGCTCCACGAGTAAGAGGCGGTATCTAATACCACCAAGCATCTGCTGGGAAGCTAAGCATGCTGCCCAATATCCATGGAAAATTGAGAGCCAGTTGGAAAGTAGTCTTATTCTTCGTCTTTTCAAGAAACTCTAGGAACCTGTTTCAGCTGAAGAATAGGGGGGAAATGCTTTAAAAACATGAATGATGGAATTGGGGTGATGGAATCAGCTGGCTGGATGTGATCAGTGGAAAGATGTGGTCAATGCAGCCTGGGAATTTATTTATTTTTTAAAACCTGCTAAATAGCTGGCAGATGGGCAAGAGATGCTAGCTGAAGGAGAAGGTAATGAGCACAAAGGAGGTAAAGAGGAGACTGGAAAAGGGACAGTTTTATCTCTTGTGTCTCTTCCTACCTTGTCTTTTTCTCCATCCCTCCCCTTCTCTTTCCACCAGGAACAAGGCAAAGAAGGCCAAGGGAGAGGCACAGAGATATAAAAAGGACAAAGAAAATTATCTCATTTTCTAGACTGGTCATTTTCTGATTCACACAGAAAGTATTTTTAAATGTCCCCAAGGGCAGAAGGAAGATCTGCACATAGAAATCAATGAAGAAACCCAAGACTTTAATGCAGCTGTAACTTGAGCTGGAAAAGGCTACAGATGAAATAAAAATGTAAGAGGGAGAAGGAAGTTACAATGTGAAAGGGAGGGAGAAAATGGGAGGCAACAGGAAAAAAGGAACATCATAAGGCTGGGCAAGAGTGCTGAAGAAGAGCTGGGAAGAGTGCTGGAGAAGGGGACAACGAAAGAAGTTTCTAACTTCCCTGAGGAAATCAGAACTGGAGCTCACCAATATGCCTTTTCACTTTTGTGAGGGCCCCTGGGTGCCAGCCCTCAACTACAGAGGCAGAGCTAACACCTTTAAATGGAGCCCACTCAGCCAGGAGTTCTGGTAACACATTGCCACAGTGTATGTGTGTTAACAGTTTTTAATTCTGGATTTTCAATTGTTGTAATATGCCCTGGGAACTGCTGGTGTAGGATAATAAATTTAAGCATCATGCTTGTTTTAGTATTTCTAGTATTCATTGTTTAACTTGTCAAACTTAAGTTTAATCACACTGCTTAGGAGCGCTTCTGATCCTAGCCTTGATTCTTGAGCCCAAGGTATCGCTGTGGCTAGCAGTGCCTTTGCCCAGCTGAAGCTAGCACATCATCTATACCCATATTTGCCTTAGTTACACCATGCTGTAATGGGCAGTATGAAAGCCTCATATGAAGACTGTCCAAAACAATTGCTTTGGAATGCAAAGGCATGTGACACCTTTACTGAAACAACTGCACTGGCTTCCATTTTGTTTCCACGCCCAATTTAAAGAGCCAGTGATTTGAAGGACCACCAACTCCAGTATTAGCCCACCCGTCTCCTAATATCTTCTTCATCAGACGCGCTCCTGTGTATCTGATGTCTCCATGAGTCTGCTTAGCCCTGGGACCAGGGAGAGAGCCTTTTCAGTAGCTGCACCCAGGCTGTGGAACCCACTTGTGGTAGAAGCTCATCTTGCATTAATGGCCTTCTGTCAAATGTCTAAAGCCTTGCAGTTTAAGAAGGATTTTGGGATACAAAAGCTTTTAAAGGCCTTTACCAATTTGTATTTCACTTTGCCACAGTTAACTGTTTCATCATTGCTTAAGAATATCTACTTGTTTTAATGGCTGCCTTTTATCCTTTTGTGTTCTGCTGTTTTTAGCCATTTTCATTTAGTTTTTACCTTATTGCAGCTAGCTGTCTTGAGCTTCTTAAAGGAAAGGCAGGACATAAAAAAATTAAATAAACAAATAAAAATAACCTGTATTTGATTACACAAATTTCTGTTAACAGATTTCACCACTTACAAAAATTAAAACAACCACTAGCATACACACTAGCCAGTTCAATAATATGGTTTCTTTACTGCACAAACTCAAAAAACAGTTTCACTTGCCCAATTGTTTTTAAAATGTATGATAACATTCCAACAATTACTAGAAGTCAAACATCTCAAAGATTCATGTATTCCAGAAATACTTGTTCTTTTCCCATTCATTGGCATTTTCAAATAAATTGGAATAAAAAAAAGGTTTGGTTTTTTAAAAAAAAATCATACCACCACACGCAGCGCTTTGAATGGCAAATGTAATTAACATTCAGCTTGGGAAAGAAAGTGAATGGCTGTTTTGCCTATATTTATGTTGACAACATGATTAATGAAAGCTTTACAATAGAGCCTTCTACAATTCTGCCTTTTGTTAGAGTGACCCATGAATTAAATGGACCTGGGAGAGATGACAAATATTACTTTTGCTGGCTTAACTTCATGCAAAGTGGCTTTAATCTAGATACAGAGGAATTGTTTTAGCAGAGACAACAAGGAAGCATGACTTAATCCCCAAGCAACTTCAATTCATTTAGCAGCTGCAGCTTTCCCAATGGGGATTAATACATGGTCTTTGTTAAAGGAAAAAATTGTCGTCAGCAGCATTCACAGGAGTTTGAAATTGAAGAGAATGTATGTTCAAAACCTTTGTGGGTATACCATTATTCAGCAGCACTGCTCGACTCTACGGTGAACGTTAATGTACATTTAATGTGTGGTTTCCAATTCTGACTGACATCTACATTCTGTCTAGTCACAGTTCACAGTGTAATGTATTATTACTATTACCAGTAATTTTCTCAATCCAATTTACCACTTCTGCACTTATTTCCACTCACAAAACCACTTTCTATTATTCCCCTTTCATGTGCACATCATCCACACTCCTCAAGAAGAGACAACCAGCTGACCTTGAACTCAACAGCAACTGCTACAATGGCAAGAGGACCACTGATAAGTGTGACAGCATGAAAATTAGGAGAGTCCTTGATCCATCCATTGCTTGCCCTGAAATCATTCAATGAAACCATTTCATGAGCAGAGAAAGGAGTAGAGTGAAGCCTGGTTTTCCTACAAACAAACCACAACTTTCCAGGTCCACAAAAGATAGGAATCTCTCTTTCCCCCTCGTAGGCACCAAGCATCCTTCTTTGGGGAGGGAATTCCATAATGTAAGTGTCACATTGGAAAAGGTATTTTCCCTACGTCGCCTCCCACCTTCTCTCTCATAGCTGGGTGTATTCAGAAAGGGGCTTCAGTAGAGGTTTCTAATATCCAGGCATGTTAAGCAGGTGGTACTTAAGGTTCCTGGGTTCTAAGCCATGTACAGCTTGCAAAGTAAAAAAATCAGTACCCTGAATTGGTTTCAGAGCAGCTCTTCCAAAATTGATAGACTGCTCCAGCTAAATTTTGAACTTGGTGCAATTTCCAAGCAGTGTTCAAGGTGCACATACAACCTGTTATAGTAGTCTAAATGGAACTTCCCATGTCATGGAACACTGTATTTAAATTACTCCCAGTCCAGGAGAAATCACAGCTGACCTGACTGCTCCACTCCCACTGGTTGTTTAAAAGGAAAAACAATCCACACTAAATATTAATGGAACACCTAGCAGACTGGCTCCTCCAGTAAATACTAAGCTTCTGAGGATATCTTCTGAGGATACCATGCTGTTCCACAACCAGCAGATTGTCACTTGGTGAAAATGTAGAATAGTGGGTACTCAGTGGCAGCACCCAAACTCCATTGTGTAATTCATGATGCAGAGACAATAGTGAGCTTTAAAACACCTCTTAAAAATTCATATGTTTGTCCAAACTTTCCTAGACTCTGACTCTTAATTTTTAATTTTGTTTGGTACACTGTTCAGTTTTATTTGTGATATTTATTTGTGTTGAGTTTTCAGCTTGTTTTCAGGATTTTTTTATTGAACCTTGTTGTCTGTGCTTTTATTGTTTTTATGCAAACCACTTAAGAGATTTTATTATATCAAGTGGTATATTTTAGATAAATAAGTAGATGAATGAATGAATGAATGTTATACTGTATTTAAAGCCTAGTTTGGCACTTAAACCATGGCAGCTGTTGTATAGTTACAGAAATCTTTGCAATGTGGGGTAGGAAGGAGGGTTTTTTTTTACATTTTACATTCCTGTTAGTTGTTAAATTTAATAGTTCACAGCACTTAAGTTTCACCTGGTTTCCACAAATGCACCAGTTGTTTCCAGCATTACCTTATTATTACAACAGGGATGCAGGTTCTCATTTTATCTTGCATTAAAGCCCACTCTCCAATGGAGTGCTGCGATCAGGCATATAAGTTTTTTTTAATGCCAGCACATCAGAAGGCAGTTAAGAACAGCATATGTGACGTTACGCATAGTATTAGTTTTTAGAAGTTTGGATGTTGTTACCCAAGCACTTGTAAAAGCAGTAGGAAAGAAGTAGCTCACAAAGCTTAACTGTTACTGAGTGTAGTAACAGCAATTGCACGAGGGCTTGTGCAACATCTGCTGCAAGTTCAAGGTACCTTTCAGATTCAGCTATTGCCCTGTGCTAAATATGGGGCTCCTGCTAACAGAATGGCTGTTTCATGAACCAAATCTTACAACTGTATCTATCACCAAATACTTATATACCATCCAAATAAGAAAGGCTCTCTGAGCAGTTTACAAGCAAAAAAAATTAAACTGCAAGCTACTAAAAATAAGGCATCAAATAAAGGTAAAGGTAGAGGTACCCCTGACCATTAGGTCCAGTGGCGGATGACTCTAGGATTGTGGCGCTCATCTCGCTCTATAGGCCGAGGGAGCCAGCGTTTTGTCCACAGACAGCTTCCGGGTCATGTGGCCAGCATGACTAAGCCGCTTCTGGCGAAACCAGAGCAGCGCACGGTAACGCCATTTCCTTCCCGCCGGAGCGGTACCTATTTATCTACTTGCACTTGACGTGCTTTCGAACTGCTAGGGGGGCAGGAGCTGGGACCGAACTACAGGAGTTCACCCTGTCACGGGGATTCAAACCACCAACCTTCTGATCGGCAAGTTCTAGGCTCTGTGGTTTAGGCCACAACGCCACCCGCGTCCCAAGGCATCAAATACAGAGGCTAAAACAAAACCAGCAGCATAATAAAGAAAGAGGATAACCAGGAGAGGATAACACAACTGAGAAGTCTCAGAAAAGTCTGTAAATATTACAGAATGCCTGACAATGAATTTTTACACGTGTGAGATTTCCATTTTGAATACTAAACAGTATACAACCACTCCCGTTTTAAATACAGGCCCTTCCACAGTAGCTGTTATGCAGGGCAGCCCTATTTTCTTAGAATTATAATGCTAAAATGGTACAAACCAACTCAGCCATTCACAGAACACCACGCTTCAGGGTGATGTCTCATATTGTTGCCAGGTCAGATAACTGCAGCATTCGAGGGCAGAAAAATACCCATTGTTTTCAGTCAGCCAGACATGTGCAATGTTGTCTAAGAATGCGGTACTAGGCTTGTTTTGTAACAAACAATAAAGCCTTGTGGTTTTGTAGGGTTATGTATTCATTTTGTCACTGGGAAACACATTCCCATTACATTTTAGTTACTGTGGGCATTTGAAATTAACTCACTGAAACCCTTGCCAAAAAAAAAAAAAAAAGCGTTAAAGCTCTTAATTAAATACCCTTTTTATTTCACTTCTTTGAAGGTGGATGACACATCTTGACAATACCATTTACCTGGTTGTTAAACAGTAATGCTAACACCCTCCACAAATTATGGGTCTATATTGCACTCACCTGCCATTTTTACTGACGTAGGTTGCTAAGTACCCATGATCTTCCCAGTTATGAATAGTTTCTGTCATTCCCTGCTCTTGGAAGATGGGCTGTAGACCTTTAAAAACGGCACTACAATCAGCTAGACAATGAAAGAAAAGACACCATGGGTCAATAAAGGCACTTCGATTTTTAACATGTATTCTTTCGATACTTGTAGAACTCTCATCATGAGCATAAAATTAGATTCCCAAGATGCTGGTACTGTATCTTCTGCCAGACATTTCCCCATCTGCTTTAGCTTTTTTGTCAGCATCTTCTCTCAGAAGGATAAAAACAAAGTATAAAGTGAATGTCTAAAATTATATTTCTTACTTAAGAGTAGCAAATTAACAAACTATGTGGCTGCATCTAGCTGTAAATGAAATACAAATTCATTCCAAAATTGCGTAAACTCTGATAAAGGAGCTTCCTGCTGGCTCCCGGTCTAGATATAGCTACTAGATAGAAAACAAAAGGTCTTTCCTGTGTTTTTATTCATAAATATATTTATAAAATGCTTCTAATGTTGGGGTTGTGGGGAGAGACTTTCTGTCAAGGACACTTGTTTTAGTACATACAGTTGCACAAATATGAGAAACAGGCCAGTTCATTCATTCTAAAGAGAAAGAAAAATGAATACAAGGTTTTTAAAAATACAAATTTTAAATCTTCACTGCCTTTTTATATAATGATTCTTAGGTTCTTCCTTTGTTTTTTCCAAGCTGAATAACACATATCAATTATAATATACACATGTAAAATGTTTGCAGCCCACTGCATTACACAGGTTTGTACACCGGGGATGAATGTGGCAAATATTTATCTAGGAAAACAAAGCACGTTTCCAGAGTTCTATAACAAAAAGCAGCCCTAAGAGAGTGAGGACCGGATTCAACTAACCCAGAGCGACAGCGGAAGCCAATGCAAGGGCTCACACTAGCCCACAGCTCCCAATCCGCTCTGAAGTGTTGGAAGAACCCCCAGAACACATCAAGGGGGGGGGGTTTCCATCTGGCAAACACAAATGCTTGGACTGACAGAATGATCATAAGAGCACAACATGAATTTCTTCCCCATATTCTCTGTACTGAAAGCAAGTTTGTTGAAAACAACTCTATTTCTAGTATAACATTTTTGCACTTCTGCAGCTATGTTCCTTACATCCCACTTGACTTCAGTTTGAGTAGTGGGGGAACAGCATACCTGTTTTTTATTTCTGCATCACAGGTAACCATGGTTAGAATGATATTTTTTTCTTTCTATATAAAAGAGGTCCTATATGGCAAGAATGTTGCAAGGACCATTTGTCTATAGGCTCCATCATTTTGTTGACTAATCCATACATGGTAATACAGTCGTACTTTGGTTATTGAACAGAATCCGTTCCGGAAGTCCATTCGACTTCCGAAAACATTAGAAAACCAAGGCACAGCTTCCGATTGGCTGCAAGAGCTTCCTGCACTCAATCGGAAGCTGCAGAAGTCGTGTCGGACGTTTGGGTTCCAAAGAACATTCGCAAACCAGAACACTCACTGCCGGGTTTGTGGCATTCAGGAGCTAAAACATTCAAGTCACAAGGCGTTCAAGAACCAAGGTACGACTGTAATGATAATACAGAACAATCCAAATTTTCAGCAGGAGCACAGAATGATAGGAAATAAGTCAGCACAATGTAAGAAAGAATAAAAGAACATAGAAGAAACCTTTTTCTTATTATACTTGTGCATGAATTGTAACCTGGGGAGCTAATGAATAAAAAGTACAATGTTATAGGTAAATATTAACTCTTGCTCAGATGAATATCAGACCATTACATTTGCAAAGCCAAATGAGTTTTTATGTTTTCAACGATCTGAATCACAAATTGATCTGCATGAAAGGCTGGCTTTTGTTAAACGTTCAGGATGCTCAGCCAGGCATCCTTGTTTGTCCAAGTGGGATTCAAAGAACAAGAAACTGACAGATGGTCATTTTGGCATGTTTCAGGTTTCATTTTTCACCTTTTTTGATAGAAGCTAAACTTCTAGCGGAGTTGGGTGTGCCTGGCAATAATCCTAATCCTTTAGAAATTGCATTTTGCTGCTCATTAATTTTGAAAGGAGAGATGAGGAACCTCAGGCATAGGAGCTGAATACATAGGCCTCTCTGTCTGGCCCTCAGGATACTTCCAGGTCACACTTCTTTCACAGCACCAGTCTGTACCCCCTCAGGGGCTGTTGCCTATTTGGAATATACCACTGATATGTCTTCTTGCATACTTTAATGTACAGGTGTGTGCATTTGTGTAGAAACGTCAGGCCTTTGTGCGGCTAGAATATAGCCTATGGTCGAAACAGAAGAGTCACATTAATTGTTTTGCCCGTTTTTGCCTCTGGCATCATCCAACACTGGCAGGCAACTGCCAAGAAAGGAAAGCAACCTTTCAGCTGAAAAAGGACTAAAGACGTAATTTTAAGACAGATTGGTACAAGTTATGCCATATACAGTGGTACCTCAGGTTAAGTACTTAATTCGTTACGGAGGTCCGTACTTAACCTGAAACTGTTCTTAACCTGAAGCACCACTTTAGCTAATGGGGCCTCCTGCTGCTGCCACGCCGCCGGAGCCCGATTTCTGTTCTCACCCTGAAGCAAAGTTCTTAACCTGAAGCACCATCTCTGGGTTAGCGGAGTCTGTAACCTGAAGCGTATGTAACCCAAGGTACCACTGTATAGAAAACCAGCCCAAAATGGTTCCTTCCACCAAGTATTGACTTTCATCAGCCTGTATGTGATGAGATGACTTCCTGGAGAAGTTTCGGGAATAAAAATACTCCCCTGTTTTTTCACTTTAACCTCAGAAGTCAAATTTCAGGAGCTCATATCCCATATAGCTTTTTTAATAGAGGCAACTCCACATGCCCCCGCACATATGCGCAGTGCAGGTATCCTGAAAGTGGTTCCCAGAAATGGGAAGCACCCTGGAGAGGAGTCCTGACATTTCTTAGTTTAAAATAAATGGTATCAGTCAGCCAGCCTAAATTTCGCAAGGCTTTGCTGATGCACCTCTTTCCTTAGAGCACAAGATAAACTGCTGAGATTAGACAGTAAGGGGCTGCCACAGACAAGAAGGGGCTTGTACTTGGTGAAGCAGAAAAACTTCCAGGGGGAGAAATGCTTACTGAACAGCTTAATTGATTAGGGTTGTTGTGAGAATGAACACTGGGGCACCATAAGTTCTATGACAGAACAGCAGGAGAAAAATGGGGAGGAGAAAAGAGCCAGCGTGGTTATATTGTGGCTAGAGTGTCAGACTTAGCATGGGAAGACAAGATTTAATTTCCCACTGAGTCATAAAAAGCAGGTAAGCTTTGTTTGGCCACCTTCTCTGTCAGCCTAATCTATCTCACTAGTTTTGAAAGGATAAAAGGGTGGATGGAACACACACACACAACATAACATGTATGCTTCCCCAAGCTCAGTGGCGTAAGGGCAGGAGAAAAATGGGAGAAAAAATAACTTTCTGATTTACTGTTACAACGGTATTTTGTTCTGAGAAATGAGTATCTCCTTCCTGCATTCAACAAGTTATCCGTTTCGCCTTGTTCTACCATTTTCATCAACAGTGCAGAGCTGATAAGCAAGGAACAGACAGTCTCTCTCACTGTCTCTCATACATGCAAACAAACAAATAATATCCACTGGAGGAAGGCCTTAATTGGAACAAATATTAGGAATTTTGTAAGCTTTGCTCTAATATAGGCCCAAACTGAGGTTTTAAAAGATTTACTTTGCACCTGCTGTTGTTGTTCTAAAACCTTGACACCTACCACAGCGCCGCCACCCATGTCTCTACCAGTAATTCAAAACAAAACCTATTAACCTGGGAAAGCATTCTACGAGTGTAACCCTCTGGGCAAAATCTAGAGGTGCACAGGTAATTGCTAGGCAATATATTTGCCTCTGTGATATTCTGCTAGAGGAAAAGGCTTGGTGTTCTATGGCTTAGCTACTGGTCTTCCCACTCTAATTCTGTGTGTGTGTGTGTTTAAAATATCTTAGTGGCACTTAAAAGCTTTCGAACTGTGGTAAGGCAACAGCAAGGACATAGCAGAATGGGAGGGATAGGCAGGGAAGATGGGTGTGTGTTGCGTAACTAAGGATCATTCCCAAACTTGGGCAACAAGATCAGCATCCTAGCAGGCTCAGCCAACAAAAACTGGCTTCTTCTGCCTGTATCAAGAGGAATGTTTCAGTGGCAATTAAAATAAAACCACTATCTCAGAAAATATCGCCACAAACGTAATCGCTCCCTTTATGCCAAAACACAAGAAAGCATAGTAACCCTGTCATATTTTGTTTCTTTAATTGTAGAAATATTACCCCTATGGCGCAAGAGCAAGGATAAATCACTCTTCAAAGTATTTTGACTCTCACGGTGCAAACAAATTTCCTCAAGACATTAAGTGGTATGTTTTCTGGTTCTTGTACTGCACAAGCTCATTTTTGCCTTTAATTAAATCAGTAACGTTTCTGAAAGCTTGCCATTTGCTATAAACCATTCAGTTTCTCACTGCTGGGCTTAACAACTTCAGAAGCCATCAATGAACCAATCAGAAATGCTTCAAATAAGTTTTAAGGGATAAGGCCCATTGAGCTTCTTTGTGGGCTAATTTCTAAGCTGACATCAAGTAAGTCCACAACTTATGCACATTTAACTTGTGTGCATTCAGCTTTATGTGTGTTTCCCCTCCAAAATTGGCCTGTTATATTTCAGCACTACTGAATATTTAATGTAGATATTTCAGTTTTTCATCTCATGTAACTAAATGCAGTGAGGCATTTCACCCAAAGTCTGAGCAACATCAAAATAGAACTATCTAATCAAGAGTAAACATATTTCTGAGGTAAACTTTTATCAGTGCCCTTTCGTATGAATACAATCCCAAATGCACCAATTATGTACCCTCCCCAGTGGTTTGTTTGAGATCAGTTCCACAGAGACAATGCTTCTTTATCCCAGAACCTGACATCTATAGCACCTGGGAAGGAGTTGTTCAGTCTGCAATCTCCATCTTGGAACCAAACTAACAAGATGACTTCATGGCTCCATCCTCCCTACCCCCACCCCCTGCTTTGTGTAACATCTTATCTGATTTAGAGTTCTTAAATATTAGACAACTTGCCACATTTTTGTAGCTCCTAATAAAGGTAGTGCCCAACTCTTGATATGGGATTATTTTTTCTTATTGACAAACATGGTTACCTTTGCTTTTCAAAATATTTTTCTGGGGCTCTAACAAATTCCTTCAGGATTTCATATTGGTCGTAGGCTGCATACTGAAAGTGCAAGTCCAAAGTTATTAAGAAATATCATTTATAAGTATTCGTTTTATTTTAGTTTTATAACTATAGCTCATCTCGTCTTTGTAATCTCCAAGGAACCACTAATGCGCTGTTTATCAGAATGCTGCTTGCCACAGAATTTCACTGCATGGCTCTTCAGTGTGTTTGTTCAACAATCTGATGATAAAGCTAATAAAATTATAAAAATCAAAAGTTAGCCTGTGTCTGTTTGTTTTTAAATGTGGACATACCAAAAACAAGCATAAACAGCATTCATTCTGAACAGATCATTCCCTATAAGCATAGTAGTCATATTGTGGTAGAAAGATATTATGTGGATCCCTCCTAATGGTGGTTGGCAACTTATTCAAAATACTTCTCATCACTGTTCCCTTTACTGCATCAATTCCAAATCACAAGACTGGGAGAAAAGGAATGTTTATGCCTAGCAACTAAAGATATGTAAAGAAGGTGGCAGGCAAGCCTCCCTGGGGACAGCATTCCACAAGCATGGAGCCACCACAGAAAAGGCCCATTCTTGTGTTGCCAATTTCCAGGCCCTTTATGGAGGAGGCAAACAAAGCAGGAATAACCAGCTGCACACATTTAAGATGGGGGACATCTGGACTGCGAGTAGTTCATGCGAAAAGAATCTAGATACCTTAGGAGGCCACAACTATCTTCTGTCACATGGAGGATGGCGCAAGCTTGTTTTTTCATGCTCTGGAGGAACAGGTGAGTGACTAAACAAAACGCAAAGACTCCTTATTCAGCAGATATTCAGGGCAATACCTGCATACCGCTGGTCTTCAACTAGTGGGCCGTGGCCTAATCCAAGGTAGGTTGCAACAGGAACACTACCACTATGCAAAGATATGGTGAAACGTTAAGAAATGGGTCTTCAAATGTATGTTTGGGTTAAAAGTAAGTCTGAAAAAGTTGAAGATACACAGAAAAGCTGACTAATTCCTCAGCACTGTTTGTTCTGATGAACCGATATGAGTAAGGCTGGAGTCCAGTTTGTCTTGCTTGCTATCTTTCAGAGTTAGCTATGCAACACCTCTGCAAATGGGATTACACAAATTTACGCAAGAAGAATCTGGTAGACTAACAAGCACCACAGGCAAACAAGAGGAATTAACTTCTACAATAGTTTCAGAATGCAGATTGAAGCACGCACACAAACTGATCTGAGTTTCAGATTATGATAATGAGATACTTCTAACACCCGAGAACTTGCTCAGCCCTTCTTCCTTCCTCATCTCTGCCTTGCAACCATTCTCCCTACTTAATATTAGGATGATGCTTTCTTTTAAAATAGAACCAAACTGCAGAGAGAGGGAGAACAGAGAATGTATCTCAAGCACAAACAACTTGTGATGATACAGAATACTGAAATATAGTTCTTCTACAAACGGAGGAAACATGGCCCTCTGTCACAGAGAAGCTGCAATTGTGTCTATATACCCAGAGTTGCACAACCTTTAAACCTTCATAGTACTGTTGATTTTGCTGGGAGCTGAGCTGCTACCCAGCTTTGGAATCTGTTTCTTTATAATGTTAATAGCAAGCTGGTCAAGATCAACAGCCATGTGCCACATCCACATAATACATTAAAAGCACATGGCTTCCTCCAAATAATCTTGGGAACTGTAGTTTGTTAAGGGTGCTAGGTATTGTAGCTCAGTGAAGGTTAAGCTACCATTCCCATGATCTTTTGAGAAAAGCCATGTGTTTAAAATGTATGTTGTGACCATTTGAGTACCCCAATAAAGCTGCCGGTTGTTTTGTTGTTCTTTGTTCTAAGCAAGTATTTTTTTTCCATTACACACATATGTGTATATGATAACAGAACTAGATTATCATTAAAAGACCACTGATTTAGTTGGATCAGGGAAGTAGCAAGCGTCTTCTCAGGTTCAAATTCCCAATCAGTCATGAAACTCAGGGTGTGACCATGGGCCAATAGCTCTTTCAGAGCCGAATTTACAATTTACATCACTGGTTAGTTTTGAGAATAAGGAATGGGGGATCAGACCAGGGTGGGGCATGGACAATGCCTTGAGCTCCTTAAAGAAAATGAGAGAGAGAGAAATGTAGCCAATATGAATAAAAATCCCCATACTTTCCTTGAATTTTGCTGGTCAACAAGCAATATTGTCAGGTATTTATTTATTAAACCTTTCTCCCACTGCAGGGCCCAAGTTGGCTCACAAAATGAACTAAAACAGATACAGCTGAAATGCAAAAAAAACCCCTAAAAAACAGCTAAATACATAAATTATATATTTTTTAAAGAAAACAATATGGTAACCAAGTTACTATATTAAAAACAGCACTGAATCAAAACAACTTACAACCACAAAAGCAAAAGAAAATACACAGCACAGATCATTAAAAGTTCTTGCCACACCATACTGTTAGTGGCCAAAGGCCTGTCTAAAAAACATATTTGCCTATGAAGGGAAGGGAAGCATAGAGGGAGCTAGCCTTGCCTCTTGTGGAAAGGAGTTCAACAATCTGAGAGCAGCCACTGACAAGGTAAAGCATAACAGCAGTGCTCCTAGGTGTCACATAGGAATTAGCAAAAATGGTGCTGTAACTGGAAGGCTTAGGTAACTCACTTGCACCTAGAGCTAAGCTAGTTATATCAGGCACACCAGATATAAATTTGTATTATAAGGCGTACCGCCTGAGCTGCATCAGTACAAACCTCTACCACTGGGATTCAAAGATCTGCTTAGCTTCAAGAGGTGTTGTGCTGATCCTGCAAATTTTTTGATCTTTAGCCCCTAAAATGATAGACCCCAGTGCCATATAACAAACCACCTCTGGAATTTCCAATTAAAAACAACAACGGTGTTTGCCAGCAGAAATGAGAGCTGTAGTTCAGAGGGATGGAGTTCTAAAGTCTCCTTGGGCTCACACAGAACTGGTTTCCCAGTTCTTTGAATCCCAGCCTATGCATATCACAACTATGAACACCTTTGGTTCAAAAATGAGATTCCGCAGCAACTGAAGCAAGCCCATGATTGCCCAATTACAAAATGAAGCAGCTTCATTTTCCTGTAGCGCAAATAATCCATGGGATTATTTATACCTCTACATGTAAAATAAAAAAATTCCTTCCAGTATCACCTTAGAGACCAACTAAGTTTGTTATTGGTATGAGTTTTTGTGTGTATGCACACTTCTTCAGATCTATATACCTAGATAAGTGATGGTAAATTGCAGATTAAGGTCCCACCCTCCAAAGCAAGCCCCATAGGCACACCTTCTGCTTCCAAGTAAACGATGAATGGATATAGCAGGAGAAGCTTCACTACTCAAGAGCCAGAACTGACATGATTCCTTATTTATGCAAGTGTGATTCTTTACACTACAAATGTACAGTGCATCATTTGCATTAACAGCTGCCATTCACTCACATATAAATAAATAAGCTACTGCACTTGAACAACTGAGACAAAACATGCCCATTACCATAAAAGTTGCTTTGTACACTTTCCTCCATACATGCACTCTTCATAACGTGTTGATAGCAAATAAAGGGTTGACCATCCTCCCAAATGCCATTAAAACTGGCATGCTCAAAAGACTGAATGCCACTTTTGGAGCTGCTAGAGGGTTTTCAAAATCATTATAGCTCAACTGTACCGAACATCTGAAACACAGGTTGTAAACTAATTTACTGTAATAACTATGTGGGCAGTAAACTCTTAATTGCCAAATAAAGATTTGAGAATAATGGTCATAAGCTCCACAGCTAGTTCCTTTTAACCCTTAATAAGGGTTGGAGGAATGCAAAACAAAATGCTCCTGATTTCTTTTCTTTGCAACTTAACAACAGAGGAGTCCCAATACAAGATACTTCCTGATCTTTCATTTCCTGCTACGTTTTTCCCTCCCTTTTTGAAAAAGTTATTAGCAGAGGCCCTTCCCCAATATCAATCCATTGAATTCCACTTTTTCTCCCTGGGCCCAGATTTTCCATATCAATAGATCACTTCCTTTCACAATCATCAGGATTACTGGAGAAAATAAGCTTCGTCACTGTCAGCACAGCTGCAAAAGCAAAAAAAAAAGAAGTCACCGCCTAAGGGACAGATTAAGGTCACGCATGCGACTATAAGGCGTGCACGATCATCCCTTCCTCGAAAATTTACAGGCGCATACTTTTTAAAAGCCAGTTACGAAGTCAATTTTGTAAGCACGGGCAAGCAATTTAATAATTTTTATGTATGCAAAGAGAGCGTGCCCCCCCCGGGGGGGCGACGGTGCGGAGACAGAGAATCGAAAGAGGCCCTTGCTGGTCTATTTTCGGATGCAGTGTCGATCAGAGCCTGTGCCCAGGGAAATGAATGGAGAGAAATTGCATGCGGTGGAGGGGGGGGGGGAGAGAAATAAGGCACATGCGGCGGGGGAGGGGGGCGAAGAAATCTGTATGGCTGGAGAAACAGAAGAGCGGGGCTGAGCTTCAGGGAATCTGCATATATGAAGGGGAGGAGCTGCAAAGACGAAGGTTAGAAAATAAAACGGGAGGGGGAAATCCCAACATGGGGAGGCCGAAGGCTGCGGCTGAAGGCGCAAAAGTTGGCGGCAAAAGGGCTCCCGGTTGAGCCCGGGCGAAACGCGGGCATGTGCGGCACAGCTTCGGGGGTCAGCGGGAGGGGAAGGCGCCCGGCGCGGCTTAGTCAGCAAAGACAGTGGCCTGCGCCCAGCAGCCGCGGCTGCTCCTGACGGTGCAAAGAGGAGCAGCAGCGGCGCAAGGCAGCTCGGGCCTGCAGCAGCGAGCCATGGCTGTGCAGGAGAGGAGGAGGCACCGCAACGGCGCCCGCCCGCCCAGCCAGCCACTCTGCCTTCCTTCGCTTCAGGAGCCTCTTCCTCCTCCTCCCCCCCCCCGAAAAATAAAAGGGTGGAAGCGCGGGGTCGGTCTCGCCGGCCGGGGTTAGGGTGGGCAGGGGAAACCCCGAGCGAGGCGCCTCACCTGTGGCGCTGAGCATGAAGTCGAGGGTGCTGTGTCGCGCGGCTGCCATAGTGAGGTAGAGCCCTGTGCCATGCCTGGTGGAGCGGCCGTGGCTGCTGCGCTGCGAGTGCCACCGAGTGCGTGTGTGTGTGTGTTACGCACGCGGGGTTGAGGCCGGGGTTGCCGCCGAGCGGGGAGAGCCCGAAGGGGAGGGGCAGCCTGGCTGGGAGCGAATGAGTCGGCGATGGCGGGGTGGGGTGGGAGAGGGAGGCAAAAGCAGAGAATTGGCTGCGACTCCTCAGAGCCAGCAGGGCGGCGGGGACGGAGAGGTGGCCGCCCTCGCTGCTTGCTCGCCTGCCCGGCCGCCTCCCTTGGGGAGCGCGGAACCGCAGCCGCTTTGCTCAGGAGTTGTTGCTATTGTGTGAGCAAGGCGGGCTTTGCTAAGGCGGTAGCCGCTGAAACGGCCTCGCGGTTTACAGTCGCCAAGCCCGCCCAAAAGCTGCTTGTCAGGTTGGGGGGGGCTGTTAGGAGAAAAACAAGCTGGGGGGGGGATTAGGAAACTGCCCAAGCTTGGGTTATTGTAACTTATTTTAAAAGCTCCCAAGAGGAAAAGGGTGCAAGCTTTTGAATCGCACAGGACTCCTTGCCAAGCCCGTTTTTGAGAGGGCTGGGGAAGTTGCTTGACCTGCTGGAACGTTCGTTTTTCTATAGTTCATTAGGATTTTCACATTAGTACTATAACAGCATGTCAGCCCCTTATTCCCAGCCCCATAGCTCCTCTCACCCCTCAGCTCCCTTATCTCTGCCCCCATGCCTGTTTTCATTTCTGATGTTCAGTCATTACAATACTATATAGAAATTCACATGTTCAAATAGGGATCTAGGTTGCTGTGTGTTTGTTTGGGTGGGTGTTTGTTTGATAGGACAGGTTGAATTGTAGAAGTTTCAGTGGTTGCCTCTTGTCTCCTGCTTTTGGAAATTACTCAGCAACCAGTTCCAAAAATGAGCTTCAAGTAGCTTGAAAGCTGGTGTTTTAACAAAGTTTGTTGAGCAGAATTTTCATAGGGGGACACAGCAAATGTAGGAGAGAAGCTCTACGCGGTAGTAAGCCACCCAACCACAGCAGTTAATTCCAACAGAAAATACACTTCCAGGCCTACTGGTCATAAGCCTGTAACACTGAAAGGAAAATCTGCCATTTTTTCCTTCTGTGAAGTTGAAAACAAAGCCTGACAGCATGTGACTTACCCAACATACTGGCCAGGTATGGCAGGCCCATCAGGGACTAGCGAATGCCCAAACTAATCCTGTCCTAACCCTGTTTATCTGGAAGTAAACCCTACTGAATTTAATAGGACTTGGTTAGGATTGTGCTGAACCACTCTCACAACTGGGTTAGTTTAAAAAATGAAACTGCTACTGCAAAACTAGCATAATGAGCAAATCAAAGAGCTAATGCTAACACAGTATTTCCCAGAAATGAGGTGATTCAGCATCCAAACTAAGACAACAAAACAGATCCTATTTTAAATTGTCTATTCCTGCATCTCCAGTGATTTTCTTTTGAACAGCCATTCCTAAAAGCCTCTTATCCCTTTGGTGTGGAATGTTTATGTGTCTCATCCCTGAAAGCCACATTTATTCATGCCCACACAGTGCTAGTTTTCCTTCCAAGCCTACTCCCTCAAAACAGGCCTCCGCTATTATCAATCTTTTTTTGTCCCTCTTAGCTTTTAGAAGGCTGCTCCTCCCTCCTGAAAAAAATCCCGAATCTAATCACTGAGGAATACTTCCAACATTATTTTAGAAAGCTATGACAGTACTCTTGGGAGCTGCATTCTTGTCTAAGAATTGAAATAAAAAGTTTGGTGCAGAAAACAGGAAAGGGTGAGGACAGAAACTTAACACTTTCCCCACCTGCCACTTTTGCAGCTTCCACAGAGAGAGCTTTTAAAAAAATTAGTCTTACAAACATGTATCTTGAATTCCACAGTTTGTGGGAAAAGTAACTGGGTGGGGGAAAAGGTTAAGCATCCCCATCCCTACCACATTACCTCTACATGGCAAAGCAAAAAAAAAAAAAAAAAAGCAGCGTCTCATAGCTTTGGTTTATTGATTTGCACATAACATTGAGTTAGAGGCACACAAGAACATGCAGCCAGAACTTACTGAATGCACACAGAAAGCCTCTGTGCACATATGGGTCTCTGTATTCACTATAGTGTCTATGCCTGTGAGTGGACAGAGCTGCCCCTGTCATTTAAGTGAAGGGAGAAGCCTGCACATGTTTACGCAACAGTTGCTGTGCAATGGACAACCTACCAAGCTCTTGTTTATTGTAGCTTTGGATTAAGTCCAGTGCTCAAAGTGGGATGGAGGGGCGGGGAATGAGAAGAGTGTCAGCTGTGAATTTTTTTAAAAAAAATTTACAGTGCATTCTTTAGGAATAAATCCCACTGAGTATTTTCTGCCAAGTAAGTGTGCATAGGACTGCCTTCTCAACCTGCAATCCTATACCCATATAGGGTATGTATGGAGCTTATTTGTGAGTCATGCACAGCATTTCATTGTAACGCTGCAGTCCTACCCACTTACTTGGGAGTGAACTCAAATGAAAACAATTAAACTATTGTGGGTAAACATGTATAGGTTGGCACTGTTGGTGGCTTTTTGCAAAAAAGAGTGATCTTCCTCAGTGAAACCAAGTGGGATGGGTTTAAGTCTACCTGAAAAGAAGTGGGACAGCATCCTATCCCACTTTACTCCTACTTTGCACACTGATTTATATCAGAACTATGATACATATATGCAATACATATGTGTGGCACTGGGCCAGTTCACAAAGAAGGTTTAGTACATGTACCCTGTATATACACCACCACTTAACAATATGTTCTGGTTAGATTACTGCAACACGTTATATGTAGAGCTGCCTTTGAAGATGGTTTGGAAACTTCAGCTGATGCAGAATTCAGTGGTCTGGTTGCTCACCAGGGAAAGACAGTTTGAGCGTATTACGCCAATCCTGAGCCAATTGTACTGGCTACCAGTTAGCTTCCAGACTAAGCTCAAAGTGCTGGTTTTATACCTATAATGCCTTAAATGGCTCAGGACCGCATATTGCCATATAAACCAACCTGAATTCTACAGTTATTTCTTGAATGCTCTCTGCAGGGAGGGTTGTCAGGCACCATTATACACCTTTAGGTGCCAGGCCTTCTATGGCCTTCTAAATATTTGTTTGGGGGGTTATTGTTTTAACTATTTTGTGCTTTTATCCTGTGAACTGCAAAGTGCTTTTTATCCTGCGAGTTACAAAGCTGAAGGGCAGTATATAAATATTATTATTAATATTAATATTTTGCCCTTTGTGCAGAGACCCTAAATAGTTCATCTGGGCATACTACCATATGTACATAGTATAACATCTTGCTACATATGCAATCACTATACACACCATATCCTGTGTGGAAGGTACATGTATTCAGAGAAGCTGGCTTTGTTTCACTGAAGTCAAAGGCGTTGCAGTGGAAATAAATAAGCAGACCTCTATTAACTTTAATAGTGTCGGAGCAGGCCCTGCATCAACGTGGTTTTGCAGGCTTAGGGATATTAAAACAGCACTAGTAAATATTTCTACAACTAGCAAGTTTCTAAAACAAGACATCTCTTCTGCAAGATGTGCCATGAGGCTTTGTTTGTGCATGTTTAAGACTCCCTATATAACATACTTTTAGATGTTGCCATTAGTGAGTAATACATATTGGCACCTACAACTCATGCAATATTTATTATTGCAGGGATGGCGTCAGCACTTGGCATCCTTGGGCAGCTGCCAGGGCCCACAACTGATGCTTTCCATGCCACACACACACCCATAACATTGTTTCTGGTCCAGCACTCTGAGGTAAGGCTAGAACTAGGAACCTTTTAACTTTTGATCATTGTAGGAAATTAAAAGGATATCTAGATCCAGCTGCCTGGTGCCATTTTGACCAGCTAGATAAGCTTTCCAGGGGCCGCTGACAGAGACACCCGAGATGACCCTTTGCCTGGGCAACCACCAAACTTGGAGCTGACTCTCCCTCCCCACAATGAATCATAATTCCCAATTTTTAGTATATGTGCTGCCGAAGCGAGCATTTCCATATTTCCAGGTTTCATTTTTTTAAAAAGGTAAGTTCCTAGCATTTGTAGAACCTGAGATACAAGGGGAAACATGTAGGCACTTTTCTCATTTTTTTGTGAGAAGCAAAACTCCAAACCTTCAGTTTTTCATTACCCTGCACCCCTGGATAAATTATTGTGAGCACCCATATTCATATATTGTTGCACATATAAGTATAATATGCTCTACCACTGAGCTACAGACCTTCTGATCCACAATTCCTTAGACCAGAGGTGTGAAACCTAGGGGTCAGATAGGAGAAACCTGCTTCCTGGAAATTGGCACCTTTATCCTACAACTGCCATTCTGGGGTTCAAGGCATGCACATGTACATTGCACATGTGGGTCTTGTAGGTGCTACACTTGATATCCTATCAGCGAGAAACCTGTTCAGAAATGCCTAAGGCTGGGTCTGCACGAACCTTTCACCCTGAAAACTGACAGAAAACTGCATTGTTCAAGTAGAGTCACATTGAAAGTTGCTTTGTTCATTAACAATATGCCAGAAGCTTGACAAGGTTTTACCCACTGTTCATGCGAACCCAACTGACTCTAAGAGTCTTGGCTTTTAATTAACAGAGTTTTGGAATGATCAAAGTGCATCAGTTTGTTGCAGACCTTGTTAAGTAGTTATAAGCACAACTGAAAGTCTAAAACTCTAGTTCAGTTGAGCGCGGAATATTTATTTCTGCCTGATATATTACTGTACTTTGGAAGCACGTTAGACTAGCATATTTTCTTTAAAAAATGGCTCCAGGGCTGTTATTTTAAAAGGCAGATATAATTGTGCTGTGACCCAGAAGAAGGCTTCAGGCCCTGCTCACAGCAGACATGTCTCTTCCATCCACCATTTCTGCTGATTTGTTACAGCTCTGACTGCATGTTGTTACATGAAGTGCCATTGGCTTAAGCAGGCTGGGAAGCTTCTTCATTAAGGTTTGGTCCCATTAAAACAATAAAAATGTAGCATTTACTTCTGCTATGATGAGAGATAAAAGAATCACAATTAAATTAGGTGGTTTGGGTCTTTTGAAACATAATTTGTAGTATTCCCCATCTAAAATGTTTGGGATGCGTATATATATAGCTTTTCCTGAAGAGCCCAACCCTCATAACCTTCCCTGCCTTTGCTATCAAATGCCAGCTGGAAAGAAGCCTGACACCACTTGAAGATGCCTGGACTTGGACCTTATTACAGTGCAGCTGCTTTAATTTGCTTACAAATTCTTTCCTCTGTCTGCACAGTCTTGTTTCTATTGATAGCTGTTTTATTGGTGTTTGCGGGGGGGGGGGGTGTTCTTCATTTTTTGTTTTACAGCCTTAAAAAAACACTTTGAGAGCCTTATTTCCGCATAAATTCTTTCTATAAATGCTTAAAGTTCAGATTGGGAACCAATGATCCTCCAGAGGTTGCTGGAATGCAACTCCCATCCCACCCCCACCCCCCGAACATTGGTCGTTCTGGCTGGGGCAATTGGATTTCAACAACATCTGGAGGGCCACAAGATCATCACCTTGGCTTTAAAGTCTTCCAGAGAGAGAGTATATTTCTCAGTTGAGTAGTAACCAAGAACACCCCAGCACTCTCTACACACTAATGGAAAACCTAAGAGGTTATGACAGAAAAACATAGAGGTGGAGAAGGTTTCTCAGGTACACTAGGTCTTTCAAGACCATACATGGCTTTACTAACTTTGGTTTGAGCATGAAAGGCAATAAAAAAGCTAGTGCAGATATGGGAGATCACAGTATATAATGTGCTCTTCTTATATGACCCATAATAGGGAGCAGGCCAAGAAGTACACTGTTCCAGAGATGCCTATAAAACAAGGAGAAAGAAGCGGGAGAAAACAAGCTTGTTCCATCCTGCATGCGACAGCCATTTAGATATTTGAAGATGACAATTATACCCCCTCAGTCTCTTTATTGCCAGGCTAAACATACCCAATTTCCTCAACCGTTCCACATAAGCAGGGATGGGGGGGGCTGAGGGGGCCATCACCCCAGGCACAGCTTTTCCACTTGTACTACTGGCAAGCCAGGTTTCCCCCATCTTATATTTGTGCAGCTGGTTCTTCCTGCCTAAGTGGAAAAACTGACATTTGTCCCTATGGAAATTCATTTTGTCAGTATTGGCCCAGTGCTTCAATCTATTCTCCCAGATCTGTCTTCAGGAGTATTGGCTACCCCTCCGAGTTTGGTGTCATCTGCAAATTTGACGAGCATCCCCTCCATACCTTCATCCAAGTTGTTTATAAAAATGTTGGACAACAACAGGCCCAAGACAGAACCCTGCAGCACCCCACTTGTCACTTTCCCCCCAAATGACGAGGAACCATTAGTGAGCACGCTTAGAGTTTGGTCAGTCAACCAGCTACAAATTGAACAGTTACCTCATCCAGTTCACGTTTTACCAGGTTCTCCACAAGAATATCATGGGGGACTTTGTCAAAAGCCTTACTGAAATCAAGATACACTATGTCAAGAGCATTTCCCTGATCCACCAAGCTTACGTATATCAAGAAAAGAAATCACAGCATCCTTTTCACACTGTTTAATTATCTATTCTAGGACCTTTCCTGGAATCAGTGTCAAGGTGACCAGTCAGTAGTTACCTTGGTCTTCTCCTCCCCCCCACACACCTTTTTGAAGTTGGGGACAACATTTGCTTGCTTCCAGCCCACAGAGACCTCACCTGTTCTCCAATAATTCTCAAAGATTGTAGGCAGAGGCTCTGAGGTGACATCTGCAGGCTTCTTTAGTACCCTTGGATGCAGCTCATCAGGCCCTGGAGATTTGAATTTCTTTAAAGTAGCTAGGTGTTTCCTTACCACCTCTTTTCCTACTTTGAGGTGCAGCTCCCTCCATGCATCATGTATTCTGTTATCACCAGGTTGGGCACTGCTTTCCTTTTGGGTGAAGACAGAGGCAAAGTAGGTGCTGAGCAGTTCTGCATTCTCTCTGTCATCCAGTATCATTTCTCCATCTTCACACTTGCTCTTCCTCTTGCTTCGAACAGAGCTAAAGAAACCTTTTATTATTATTCTTAACCTCTCTATGATTTGATTGTTCTTCTTCTTGTTATAAATTGGTGCAATTCTATAGAGACTATTGAGGTGATATCCCCACCCCAATAATTGCATTGTGGCTCAGGTGAATCAACAATGTTTCGAATTACTCAGCAGTTTTTGAAAATGAGGTCTTTGCAGAGCTGCCACACTTCTTAGGTATGGAAACAAGCCATTAAATTGGAGATCTGTTTGAAATAAATAAAAAGCTTTCCCACATATTTTTAAAGTCTTCAAACGGTTTCCTCAAAATGTGGTTACACTACTATTTGCAAATTGTGACTGTTTAGCATACTGTGACAGTGGGGGAGAGAGAGAAAATCAAGATAAAAGCTGATCAGGAGTTAAATGGGAAAGGGAATGATTTCCATCTGTTGTATTATTTATCATTTTATTTTGCTTTTTGTTTGTTCAACATGCAGTTCAGTAAGCAGTTGCTTGAGGGGACTGCTTTTTGATTTTTGATTTTTGAAGCTGTGTAGAATTCACCATCTGTGACCCTGCAGGGAATTTTGGAATGTGTCGCTTAGGTCATACAATATAGGCACTTGGTGGTGAAGTATATTAGTGGAAATGTCTGTATTCAAAAATAAAGAGGAGACTGTCACTCTCTGTCTCCCGCATGTTGCAGCTTTTATGCGGCACATTGTAAGCGGAGGCCCTAAAGAAAGAAAGGGAAAAAAAGAAAATCAAGAGCAGGAGCATCTCTACAGTCCAGATATCCCGATCAAACAAACCTACCCAGATAGTAAAAAACATTACCTTTCTATATATTGGATTGACTATAGTTGATAATTAATACAATCTCAAAACTTTTCTTCTACATCTATAGCTTCATCAGACTGGAAGATCAATCCACAAGAAGCAGAACTGCAAATAAAGTATTAGAAACAACCAACGATCAAGCCATTTGATGCAAAAGTCATCAGCATATACAATGTTTTCGCAATGCTGCAAAACTCTATATACTGGAACAAATGCCAATTCCATACCAACAAAGCTTCAGTGAATCACACCAGATGTGGTGAGCCACAAGACCAAGTGAAAAAGGTTGCTAGAAGGGAAGCACTATTCAATGATACATCTATGTCTCTGGAAAGATGAACTGTAACAGACGGTTATGGTTCAGGGTTTAATGAATATGGAAACAAATTACAAGGGATTCAAATGAAGATTTCAAGTGGGAATCAAGCTGTAGTTTTGCAATGCAGCTAAGTAACAAGGACTATAAGAGCAATATTAAGTAACAAGGACTATAAGAGCAATATGCCATCATTTGCCATAAGCCCAAACAGCCAAGCTAAAGAGTTATTTAATTTACCCGGGGGGAGGGGGAGTTTCTTACCAGTCCTATGAGTTGTCTCCCACCAAGCCACACAGAATAGAACCACAGATATCAATGGACATAACTAATTCCAGGGTGTATCTATTCCAGTAGGAAATTCTGAAGTGCAGAACTCTTAAAGACATGGCCCATGGCCATTTCCCGATATTCATATACCTTCTAAGGCTATACAACAGAAACAAACCTTTTACCACGGTAGATGATATGGCTTCAATACCAAGCCAGCTTTCCCCCCTTCTCTCTCCCCACCTCCCCTTTACTTACCATTGAGCTGATGAAGAGCTCTGGTACACTCAAAAGCTTGCTCACAATATCGTGACGTTTTGGTTGTTCGTCTTCAAAATATTTTATTTTTATCTTATTTTACCTTATCCTCAGGCCAGCCACTTGTCTCTCAGCCTAATCTACCACACAGGGCTATTGTGAGGATAAATGGAGAGGAGAAGAATCATGTCACCTTGATTACCTTGGAAAAAAGGTGGGAAGTAATAATAATAATAATAATAATAATAATAAACTTGGGGAAAGATTACATGGAAGGATTGCACGAAATTTCATTCAACCCTTAATCTCTTTACTATTTGTTTAAGAAATCTGCACTATTAAGACTAAACTACCCCAGATTTCTTGAGAGTCCCATGGGCTGCAAGAAGATCAAACCTATCCATTCTTAAGGAAATCATCCCTGAGTGCTCACTGGAAGGACAGTTCCTGAAGCTGAGGCTCCAATACTTTGGCCACCTCATAAGAAGAGAAGACTTCCTGGAAAGGAGCCTGATGTTGGGAAAGATGGAGGGCACAACGAGAAGAGGACGACAGAGAATGAGATGGTTGGACAGTGTTCTCGAAGCTACAAACATGAGTCTGACCAAACTGTGGGAGGCAGTGGAAGACAGGAGTGCCTGGCGTGCTCTGGTCCATGGGGTCATGAAGAGTCGGACACGACTAAACAACAACTCCAGATTTCAGCCATATACAAATAAAGCACAATGCTAGGTTTCTTTGCAAAAGGACAAGTAATTTACAGATTTCTAAACTACAGGCCTAAGCAAAGCTTTGGTCAACAGCCACATGTGACCCTGCAGGGCTAATGGCAGTCTCCAAGGGCAGTGTGAACCAACTAAATGCTGTTTAATCATTCCATTCCTTTCAGCTTCTATAAACCTTTCACAGGATTGGATATATTTCTACACCCCATACATACCTCCAGCATCACCACCTTTCAAGAACAGTACAAAAAGCTGCATATTCCAATTCCTGCCTCTAGCAAGATTTATAAAATTCATAACCCAAAAAAGGGAATTGCCACTTGGCTGGTCAATCACTTTCACAGGAGCCCAGGGACTTTCTGGAAACTGGTCCTTGCCCAGGGGGACGAAACCAAGATAACACTGGGGAAACAGATAACTTATCAACTCTTATCGCTAATCAATCACCTTGATCAATCTGGGCAGCTAGTGCGTCAGCTTTTAGTATTCGTGTAATTTAAACCTTGGCTATTGGAGCAAGGAAACCCTACGATCAAGCCCAGCTGTCCTCAAAACCGGCCAACAAAATATTCTCCCTTTGGCATTTAGAGTGATAAAGAGACCACTGGACATGTTAAATAGCATAAGAATCTGGTACCGGACAGCAGGAATTAAGAGCAGATTGCCATCAGATCACTGTCAAGACTTGCCTCCCAGCAGGAAATGAATTATTTAAAGCTCCATGCATTCTCATCTGGGAGGAAGCCGCAATGAATCCACTAGGACTTGCTTCCAAGTAAATATGGTGTTCTGCTTAAATCTGCCCAAGGACACAGTGGAGATGACAGGTTTCACATAATATTCTTAGCATTTCTTCATAATTTAAATTCGGTTTGCACATTTGGTTGACAGTGATTCTATTGCAGTTAAGTTTCTCTCCTGAGCTTCCCTCATCCACCATAGTGACACAGATGTGAGCAGACAGGATCGAAGCTTGAAAAGCAGTTTTAAATCTTGCATTATTCAAAGTATGTCAACTGCTTAGTGAAACTAGTTAATTATTGAAACTCCTTTGGATAGCTAGTTACTGCTTGGGGCCAGGAGAACAATTACATTCTATCTGCAGCAGACATAGTTTCTTTTAAGTGAGTTGCAAGGTCAAATATCTAAGATTATTCGAGAAGGCAGATACACCATTTCAAAGTGTCTTTTGTCTGCAAAACCCTCTATGAATCAAAGAGAGAAGGTTAATTACTTTGTTTTTCAGGAAAGCTGCAGTTCCATCATGAATGGCATAACATAGCAGAGAACTCTCCCTCTCTCTTTACTTCTTCGAAAGAATGGAGTTTCCATTTATTTTTTAAAAAATAAAAACCCTGTCATTTAAACTGTTTGACCTTCACCATTTTACAAAACCATATGAGCAGGAACCCCACCACTAAAACAGAATAACTGTAATTTACACCAGTATTGGCATGCGTACTGAATATTACCTCAGTATTTATGCAGGAGTTAGCTGAAAATGCTTGGCACGATTTATAAAGTGTATAGAGAAAATATATTAAACTTCAGCCAGATTTCACTATGGTGTAAAGATTAACCATAACCTCTGTTGATCACCAATATCCACCTTAGAATTCACTCCAATTTTGTTTTTCTGGGAGAAGCAAGTTAGAAGGTGAATAGTTTGTGTCAGCCCCCAAGCTCATAAATTCACTGGGCTGCAATCCAACTCAAAAATATGATACACATAAGCCTACTGAAACCATTCTAATATGTGCTGGACTGTGGTCTGGGAAATTCAGTGTTTGACCTTGTAGGGCCACTTTTCCAGCCATAGAACTATCAATATTGAGGTCTATAGATTTGCAACATTTCTGTAAAGGCAATGTACAGCTGTTGTGTAATGGAGTTTCTAACTAAACAAAAAAGTTTATTTCTGTAAACCCATAGAAAGGTAATCATTTAATTATATGGTTACATTCATCACAATCAGATCATTACATAGAAATAAGCATGTTAACTCTATATGCATCTGAAGTCTTAAAAGTAGGATTGGTCACTTAAAGAAACCAGCGAAGTATTCATTGTGCAGTTTGATCTTAAGCACATCTACTCAAAATGAAGTCTCATTCAGCATAATGGACTTACTCCTTATTAGGTAAGTGAGCCTAAATTATGTACATTCTCTCTGCATATCAAACAGTACTTTTCCATCTGATACAGATTTTTACAATGAAGTATAAATTAGCAATGACACATCATAATTTTTATATTTAAATTGATATCCTGCTTCTATGCCGTGACACATTCAAAAAGACTTCCAACCAATTATTAAAAACACATAAACATGCCATTATTTTTCTCAGATCAATATAGGCTATGATAAAATCGAGGATCATGGTAAAATCATCTGCCTAAAGCGAACATTTTAAAAATGCAAATATAAAATAATAAGGGGGTGGGGAACCTTTAAAAATATATTTTGAATAATCAACATATCGATGCAGTTTAAACAGAAAATAAGAGAATGAGAATGCAGTGCAGAACTTCCCCTCTCATCTAGGGGAAGAAATATTCCCATGCAAACAAAGGAAAATGCCTATCTACACCCACAAAAATCCTGCATGTATAGGGTGCAGGACCATGTATTTTAAGCATAAAATAAGGGTTCAGCATTTATCACAAACATTTCTAGCTCCTAATAACAGCTTGTAGTGATGGCTAGGATAATGAACTCAACATTATTCCTGTCCCCTTATTTTGGAAGAGCAAGTTTTCCAGCATACAGGAGCTTGCTAGGACATCTAAATAAGCCAAGTCTAACTCTTCTGCCTTTCCAATAAAGTTTTCACAAATGATTAAAGAAAAAAATTAATCTTTAAGATCACAATCGTCCAATCCTGAATTACTTACAGCTCACAGGAAAGTAATCTTTATTGTGCCATAATTTGATTGAAGCTGCTTGTCTTCCTCTTGTCCAAACACACACACATTGATGCACACACACACAATTTCACTAGTTCCCATGTGCCTAATATAAATTATCAGATGTCAAAATGAACAAAAAATGTGCTATCGGGCTGTCACCACCCAAAGTCCTAACGCCACATTGGCAGCTAAAAGTGTGCTGCCAGAGAGCAAAATTAAAAAGCCAATTAGCTCCCTGTTTTGTTTTTCAACAACCAGCGTGCTAAGAGTAGCTTCCAGGAAAGAGTTTAATATCCACTGGCCATCCAAAGCAAAGCAAGGGACTGCGTTGATTACAGCCAGCGCTCCAGAGAGGGAAATCAGATACCTGGTTAAAATTGGTTAAGGGGAATAAACAAGATTGCATTTTTATATTTTAAATGTAAGATACAGTCTAAACCTTGGAAACACAGTATTTCACCACACAACTGTTTTAACATGAATTATATTGTCCTCATTTGAGAAAGACTGGTAATGGAACACATAAAAACCCAGAAAGTGCCACCAAACATTGTATTTTAATATTTCTTTGATATAGCATGCCACCTTAGCATCAATGAACTGGTTTTCTTTTTTTCAAATGACCTTCAAAACTCTTGCTCTATAGTCTAACTTCCCCACCCTCCTACCTCATTCCCCTTGTTCTTAAGTTAGAAGCTTAGCGATTATATATACCAGTTTTGTGGAAACTTTGGCCCTCTAGATGTTGCTGAATTGCAACTTGCAAGCGAGGCCAATGGCCAGGAATGATGGGAACTGTAGTTCAGCAGTAAGTGGAGGATCAAAGGTTCCCCACACCTGGTATATAATATCAACTGCATTTCCCAAGTGCCAATCCTTAGGTAACCCAAATGGCACCCTGTACCATTGAGAGGGTATTATAATAGGGTTGGAGGGGGGTGGGTTTCTCAAGGAATGCAGATGTTAGAAAAAAAATTTAAGTGAGAAGGAAACCCAAAACAGCTCAGTGAGGATGGAGCATATGCAATGGCCACAGAGTATCTGTGGCAGGAAGAAGCAATGGAGTCATGTATCTGTGCCATTTATATGTATCTGTACCGTTTACATGTAAACTGGGAGTGCTGTATTCTTTGCTCTGCTGCACAAGGCAGAGAGGAAGAAAACCTGCCCTCATATTGCTGCATTCCATTTTAAAAGATTTGATTCCCCGCCCCCCAGACCAGCTTACTTACTGTATTGGAGCTCAGCGGAAAACGCAAACTCATTGCAGCAAGAAAACACTGCAAGTTAAAAGATTTGGCTACAGGAATGAGGTGGTTTCACTGCCATCCTCTACGTATGCCGCTTCATGAAAAGAATAGCCATGCCCATCCTTGCTTTATGGGACACGGGTGGCGCTGTGGGTTAAACCACAGAGCCTAGGACTTGCCGATCAGAAGGTTGGCGGTTCGAATCCCCGCGACGGGGTGAGCTCCCGTTGCTCTGTCCCAGCTCCTGCCAACCTAGCACATCAAAGTACAAGTAGATAAATAGGTACCGCTCCGGCGGGAAGGTAAATGGCATTTCCGTGTGCTGCTCTGGTTTGCCAGAAGCAGCTTAGTCATACTGGCCACATGACCCGGAAGCTGTACGCCGGCTCCCTTGGCCAATAAAATGAGATGAGCGCCACAACCCCCGAGTCGGCCACGACTGGACCTAACGGTCAGGGGTCCCTTTACCTTTACCTTTATCCTTGCTTTATGCACACACGTGCTCTATTATCACATCAACATTTCTACTCTCACTTCTGTGTACATATTTCTAATTCCACATTTCATACATCCTAGAACAGGGTTCCCCAAACTTGGGTCTCCAGCTGTTTTTGGACTACAGCTCCCATTATCCCTAGCTAGCAGGGCCAGTGGGCAGGGACAATGTGCACTGTAATCCACTGGAGACCCAAGTTTGGGAAACCCTGTTCTAGAGGATAGATGAAGGTGTGCTTCTAACTTGGGAGACCGATCCAAATAAACCAAAAGCTGAGGTTTGGCCATACCATTTCTATTCCATGCCACAGTTATGATCATCAAAAGAATAAGTGGCCATCACTTAATTTACAGCCAAACCTATATACCATTCCTATTCATGTAGAGAAATTTATATATTGCTCACAGTATGGTACTCATTTGCAAAGTGCCGTGAAACACTTTAATGGGTATAATTTGTTACACCTGTCAGCCACAAGCATTATTTAGCATAGGAATGAAAGACTGCTGGACTTGGCAGGGCCTTGCATCCTACAGGCCTATCCATCACAGATACAGCCTTTCTAAGGGAGTTATGAATATACAACTTATTTAGTCAAATCTTAGAAAGCCTTCAGCTTCAACACAGTTAAAGCAGCTAGAGCAGTGATGGGGAGCTGTAGCCCTGCAGGTGCTATCAGACTCCACTTCCCATGAGCTCCAGCATGGACAACGGTCAGGAATGATGGGAGTTGGAGTCCAACAACATCTGGAGGGCCTTAGGTTCCCCTACTTGACTGAGCATTGCTACAGCATGATAAAAAGACAAGGCAGTCCATAGAGTTGCAGGACGCTCCTTACTCCTCAATAAGGCTGTACCAATGGTCGAGCTAAAGCATCTTTAACTTGCCAATGGCTCTCAGCCCTTAAACCGTTGAATACATCGCCTCAGGATTTTCTTACATTGCATTCCCACAGCAGTTTATTCCATTGCCCTGATGTTCCCCTAACTTCTAATTTCCATGTTATATTTGAGCTTTCACACAACATAAAAGCCAATTCTGGAAATCTAGTGGGAACTAGCAGAAGTTCAGCACTCATTTCTGCATTAATTGGTTCCCGAAATAATCCATTTGCAGCCCCATTAACACAGAAAATCATAGAAGGGGACAAAAATTTAGGTAGTATACTGGCAAACAATTCTTTCTTGCTCTTTGTATGGGGGTATCGTGGGGACCAGAGGAATGCATGTGAGGATAGGGTTGGAGAGTCGTGATGTTCTCCATTGAGGTTTGTTGTTGTGCCTCACCACAACCACCGGTATAAACAGAATATAGCACAACACTGGTAACAAATCCTTAGTTCAATAATGTAACAGGTACTGCAGTGTGAAAGGAACATTAGAAAACAGGACAGAAGTGCTAGGATTAGAATCTGAAAATCTAACACTATATTTCACATACCGTAGTGGAAACCCTTCGTGGGAAGCAATGTATAAATGTAATAAGCTTTAATTCTAAACTAAATCTACACAACCTAGATAAGAGCAATCTCTTTTTTGAAAAATCAAATTGTTTTGGTCCTCAAAAGTGCTTTTATTTATAAGAGATACTTGCAGTGTCTTCTCTAGAAAAGCTGACACAAATAACAAAGGATACTTGCAAAATGTTTCCATTACCACAGGCAGATCGATACTGAGGAAGCTGTGTCGAGGTACAAAACTGCTGAGACTCACTTTAAAGAATAACAAAAAAGAAAGTTTTACAAGCCTACGAAAGTGAAGAACATTTTGGCAGAATGCAAACATTTCTCATTCATGACAAATATAGCTTTTGTTCTCCTATACTATTGCCAATGTAGTCATACATTAATGAGCTCTATTTTATGAGAACGTTAGGCCTAAGCATATGATGTGCTTGTGGCTACTTTACAATTGAGCACTTGTACTTCTTATTATCAAAGTCTATAAAGCAAATATTCTTATTTGAAGTACCACAGACACAATTATGACAGCAGAAAAGGCAGCAACAAACAGGAAATGGATTCCATTCCAACTCCTCAATTGTTTGGTGTCAGGGCTTAACTTCAAGCTAGGAAGAAATGGTAAGGAAGGTAAAAGTAGGAAGAGGAATAATCTACATTGTTGAGAGGATTATCCCTGCTCTTTGAGATTTGTTTTTAAGACCAAAGGTACAAACTTTAAGCATTCAGAGAAGTCTGATTAAAAACACAATTTGCTGCCAGAATCAGGGCTCTCTTCTTCTTCTTCTCCTTCTTCTTCTTCTTCTAGATCCCTGCTTCCTCCCAAGGAAGCCCAAGGTGGCAAACAACAAGGCAGCAAAGCAACACAATTAAATACAAAATATATAAAAAACATTTTTAAGAGCATTAAGAACAACTAAAAACAATAATGTATTTTCACAGCTAATGATTTCAGCTTTGCCAGGAATAGTATCTTTCAGCCTGGGTGAATTGTTCCCCCTGGGTGAAAAATTCCCCCTGAAATCAATAACGAGGGAGACAGATGCCCCTCACCAGGGAGGGCATTCCAGAAGTAAAGAACCACCACCAAGAAGGCCCTGTCACGGGTAAAGATATTAGTTTAAATAAATGACAGCCTGTTAAACTTAGACAGCCTGTGGAAATCAAATGGAAGTGTGATATGGGCATATCTAAAGGTCTGGCAGCAATATTTTCAGATACCTGAACTATACCACCTACCTAGGCCCAATTATCTGCTTATGCATCCCCAAGTATAAAATAGATATGAACAGGTATGAAAGGCACACTTACAAAATAAAGCCCAATTTCTTTAAAGTTTAGAGAACTTTAAATCCTTTCCATGTTGCTGCATCTAAGTTTTTTTAAACACATGAAGCAGGGGCTTGGACTAGATGACCCTTGAGGTCCTTCCAATAACTTCATTTACTGCAACTGCTCAAGGGAAGGAAGGAAGAGTGGAGTGCAGTTTTGAGTCTGACTCAGAAAACAGGCTCATCACACAGATAAAGTACTGCTAAAGGTGAGGGGTGGCTGGATTCAACGGAAGCTACACCAGCAACTTGCCGACAAATTTCCTATGAGGTTTAGTTACTCACATGCTCAGCTTTGTTTATAATCTCCCTGCAAAATCATACCAACCTGTATACTGGAGATGCAGCGGGTGCCCAACAAACAGCATATCCATCTGAGGTGGATGTTTCACTCGGATCAGCCTAGTTTGGTTTTCCAGAGAAGGCGTCACACACAAACTTGGAACAAACTCCCTCCGGCAATCCGTATTGGTTCGGCAAAGTTGGCTGGCCTCAATAGCTTTCCGTGCTGGCAGACAGGCATACTGGACCTGGGGTGTTAAATAAACATTCAGGTAGAGACTATAACAGTGGAAGAAGAGCTTGCTGGATCAGGCCAATGGCCCATCTAGTCCAGCATCCTGTTCTCACAGTGGCCGACCAGATGCCTGTGGAAAACCAGCAAGCGGGATTTGAGTGCAAGAGCCCTCTCCCCTCTCCTGTGACTCCCAGCAACTGCTGCCCAGAAGCATTGCTGCCTGTGACCATGGAGGCAGAGAATAGCCATCATAACTAGTTAGTAGCAATTGATAGCCTTTTCCTGCATGAATCTGTACAATCCTTTTCCAAACCCACCCAAGTTTGTGGCAATCACTACATTCTGTGGGAGTAAGTTCCATAGTTTTAACTATGTGCTGTGTGAAGAATTGCTTTTATATGTTCCAACATTCAGCTTAATTGGATGGCCATCAGTTCTAACGTTATGAGAGAGAGAAAAGCTTTTTTTTTTCTATCCACTTTCTCCCTGCCATGTGTAATTTTATAAACTTCTATCATGTCGCCTCTTTCCTTTTCTCTAACGTGAAAAGTCCCAAATGTTGCAACTTTTCCCCATAAGGGAGTCACTTCATGTGCACATTCACAAGCACTTTTCACTGCATGTGTCTTCTTCAAACACAAAGCTGGACTTCGGGGAATGGCTGTGATCCAGTTATTCTAGTTTTGACATGCATATCCCTTTTATCACCCCTTGCTCCAAGCTACAGCCCCATGGGCATACATGATCTTCTTGACACTGCTTATTAAAATAAGTTATGAACTATCTTTCATTTTAAAAAGAAATGCTGAGGCATTTAGAAACACACACACACACACACACACACACACCTCCTAGCAACAAAATATTGCAATGAAACAAAGTTAAAAATATTGATCAGAGTAACTAGGCCAAGTAAAACCAGGTAAAACAGGTATTTTCCACTGTTGGCAGAAACATACAACAGTTAGAGCCTGCCAGATCTCCACAATAAATTGTTCTGGAAAGTAATTATCACCGTGGAGAAAGTAATCACCCTACAACACTAAGTATGGGCATGGCAGGCTGTGAGGTGGTTAATAGGACTTCTTTTGCAGGCTACAGCTGCTGCACTGGACAATATGGAAGAAGGCTTTCCCTCTAGAAACCTGGCCACAAGCTGCTTAGGACCTTCAAAACCAGTAAGGTAAAGGTAAAGGGACCCCTGACCGTTAGCTCCAGTCGCGGACGACTCTGGGGTTGCAGCGCTCATCTCGCTTTATTGGCCGAGGGAGCCGGCGTACAGATTCCGGGTCATGTGGCCAACGTGACTAAGCCGCTTCTGGCGAACCAGAGCAGCACACGGAAACGCCGTTTACCTTTCCACCAGATACCTATTTATCTACTTACACTTTGACGTGCTTTTGAACTGCTAGGTGGGCAGGAGCAGGGACCGAGCAACGGGAGCTCACCCTGTCGCAGGGATTTGAACCGCTGACCTTCTGATCGGCAAGCCCTAGGCTCTGTGGTTTAGACCACAGTGCCACCCGTGTCCCCTCAAAACCAGTACCCAGCCTTAAATTTAGTTAAATGGCTGCCAGTTTAGCTATCTTAGCTCAGGCCTTAAACGTGTGTCAGGAGGTCACTGCAATTTGCTTGCATGTAGGAAAGGATTCAAATGGTTATGTAAACAGAAGACGTATGACTGCTCAACTTCCTTATTTCTGTTTCTCAAGTACACAGATTGTGTTATGAGGATAATATGTTTACAACTGGATTAATATGCCAAGTTCAGTTTAAGAGCCCAACTCCAACGTTTCAAAACAAACCTTGTGGTGCCTGTCAACTATTTATATTGGTGTTTGGATCTGACAGTTTGCACAGCTAACTTACCGACTGACCGTTTAAGTTATTACTGTATGAAAAGCAGACGTCTGTGAGGCTGTTGTTGCTACAACATTCAACAGTGCCGTCAAGTCTTTTAAAACCTAAAGAGAAACACAACTCATTATTAGATTTTCAGAAATCACAGCTTCCTAGATTTGTACTCCCGAGTGAAAGAAACAAAACACTCAACAGCCACCACTATCCTTCAGAGAAGGCACAGTTCCCTGTGACAGCTTCATGCTTTAGTGAGAAATGTTGTCATCAATTCATGGTGGAGTTATTTCTCCCATATACTTTTGTGAAGGTTTTTTTGAATGGAAAAGAATACAGTTCAACTGGAACATCTAGATCAGGCATAGGCAAACTCCGGCCCGCCAGATGTTTGGAACTACAATTCCCATCATCCCCGACCATTGGTCCTGTTAGCTAGGGATGATGGAAATTGTAGTCCCAAACATCTGGAGGGTCGGAGTTTTCCTATGCCTGATCTAGATACTGTCAAGGGTACTCAAACCATGTTTGGGGGTTCGTGCTGAATAAACCCACTTGAGCCCTTGTCTTTGAAGCTCTGTCTGTAGTCTAAAGCATTCAGCTGAATTAGTACTGATGCATACAAGAGCCTTTGGATCTGTTATTCTGAGCAAGGGCAAAGGATCTGTAAATGGTTATAACCAGAACCCTTACAAAATTACAGTTACTAAGGGTTATTAGCAAACACACATGGACAGACAAGTTGGCTGAAAAGCAACCTATGTTTGCAAGAAAGTTGCAGGTATAGCCATACCTAAATCGAATTACATTTATCATTGCAAATTAAATAGACATATAATGTTGGTAACAGAACTGCCTGCTGAGTATTTTTACATGCACAGCTACAAAATATTTAAACCCCAAAGGCTCTATTTATTTAGATTCATGTTTTATGCTGATCTTTTTTGGCCTGAGGAGAATCTCAAAGCTATTTATAACAGTAGCATAATGAAAAACTGTCATTAAAGTTTATACATTTTTCACCACAGACATAAAAAAATATAAATCCTAGGAACTCAAGGAGCCAACTTGTGGATACAGGACAAGAGATGGGTGGAGATGGGGAACACCCTCTTGTCTTTTTTCTAACTGGCACGATGTTACATCAGAAAAGAAAAAGAAGAGATGGAGATCTTGGATACCTAATGAGTAGTGAAATGTTATTTTGTGCAGTGTAAGAAGGATACATAGCCTCATAGCCCAAAGTTATAAGATGCTCCTGCTAAGACAGCTTAAAGGGCACAATTTGTGTCACCACAAATTGTGCTCACCCACTTAGATGGACTTCAACCTCACTGCTGTTTTGAGAATATGATGGCACAGATGAGGGGTGTAAAGAGCCCAGAAATAGCCCTTTATGAAGTATCCTATCAGCTACTTAGGAAGCCTATGAATTTAGATACAGCTCTACAAGCCCAGATCATTATTCTACAGTAGTAATGTCCCAATGTTGAACAGGACAAAGGGAGGTGCATCTGCCCCATTTGCCAAGGTTAGGCTGCTCTTCCAGTTGTCAGGGTGTAGACTACGGTTTGCGCTGCAGAAACTAAAACCACATGACTGGGTTACTCATCTATTTGTTATCTGGCTTTGATCCATCTTAAGCAGGCAGCCACAGAAAGAATGTACTAGACAGGCAAGATATATGCACAGGCATTTGTTTAGATACTTAAATATTTCCAAAACCAATTTTCAATAGAACCTGGTGGCTAACATATTCAATATCACAATAGTATTAAAATATATAACAATCCCCATTCCAACCCTGATCACAAAATTAAAATATTACCATAAACCCCAAAACCCTAATACAAATTCTAAGACAGCCATCAGAACTAAAATGTCAGATATAACAGGGGGGAAATGGCCAAAGGCCTTGTTTTTGCCATCCTTAAAATGACTAATAATAACAACAACCAACAACATAGAAACGACTATACCTCTAGATGGGTAGCTTAGCTGTTGTAGCACTGATGTCTTTATGCAATAGCCTGTTTGTGGCTTCAGAGAGATCTTTCCCAGGCAGGAATTCCAGTCCTCCACACTATGAACTGAGCAGTCTTGCAGACTGGTGATAAGGTCACCAACAAAAAGCCCTCTGGGCCCATTAGCAGGAGAATCCTAAGTGCAATAAAACATTAAGCTGTAAAACCTGTATGCACCCTTGTCCCAAATAGTGCCTGGATCTCTCTGTGTCTTGCCATTCTTCCAAAATACAGAAGGAGTAACATCTCTAATGGGAAGGGGAACAAAGAATATTTCCTAAAAACATAGTTCTAAAACTGGACTATGGCTGTGCGCAGACCACAGTCAATACACACTTTGGATTTCATGAATTGCTATCATACAAGATATGATGAAAAATTAAAAGTTTTGGCAAAAGTTGAGACAGTGCAATTGAGGCATCACAGTTAGCCAAGTGCCTTAATGTGAAAATGTCCATTCCAGGGTTCATTTTGTTGCCATCTGTCTCCAAAAGGCCCCAAAGAAACCCACCTTAACAATGTCCTGCCTTCCAGAAGAAGCACAGTAACTTTCTAAAGTGCTGTATCAACAATAAACTTTTTAAAATTAGGCCAAGGACAAATTTCCTTGTGACGGTGACTGCACTGGAATGTATATGTATCTATGTCTGTCTGGGAGCTTCTTTTTCAGGCCCTTTGCTTCAAGTATGATTACTTCTGATTTATTATAGCTCAACTGGTAGAGCATGAGACTCTTAATCTCAAGGTCGTGGGTTCAAGCCCCACGTTGGGCAAAAGATTCCCGCATTGCAGGGCATTGGACTAGATGACCCTTATGATCCTTTCCAACGCCACGATTCTATGATTATCTCCCAATCTTTATTGTTTCATTACATGAATGCACCACCCTGCGCCATCAATGGGCCCCTGCCCATCCCAGTATGCAAGGTCAATTTGGCCAGAGGCAGTCTCACTACGCTTTCTACTACTAGTCCACAGTCTTTGCATCAGGACTTATCATTAGTGGTGCTACAAATTTTCTAAGGAAGCTCCAGTGGCAACAGCATATCCTTTCTGGCTCTAGGACAAGGAGTACTTTGAATGGGTCAATTAACATGGAAAATTTAGCAATTAGTACCATATTATGGAACAGGGATGAGCAATTTCACCCAGCCCCAGGGCTCCATGAAGCAGCAGCACCAAAAAATCAAGTTTCCTAGCACAAACACGTTTGGGGAGGAGTGAAAGAACTGCAGGGCTTGACTTAATAGATTACACTGGTCAACAACAAATTTGTTGTCTGCATTTTTTCAGTTGATTTAGGACGAATCTGATGTGCTGAATCCAAAAATCACATTGGTTTTGCTCAATCAGGTCAAGTTTTTGAGTTATGGCCACATGTCGTTTTTTTACGCTTTTGTTCACATGTATGCTTGTGTGGAGCATTTTAGAAGAAGTTGGTGGGGGTAAAATGCCATGTCAAATAATTGTTTTGATTGGAAATGATTATTTTAATGACAAGAAGTATTCAGGTCCGATAGTTCTGGGTGATTATGTCGAAAAGGGATCAGTATGAAGTCAAAAAACCTCAAAATCTTCCATAAATTGGTGCGGCAAAGCATAAAGTTGGGGGATCAAAACTAAATTAATCCTGGTCTTCAATCAGCACGTCGTCCTGTAGCTCATTGTGATGAAATTCCAGTGCCTATCTTCGGAGAACTTCCTGACATTGGTGACGAAGATGCCTCCAGTGTTGAAGGACATGAAGAAGAAGAAGTGGTTCTTGAAGATGATGCTCCACATCCATTTTCCCAAAAGGAGTTGAATGATCTAGTTCGCGACCTCAGCTTGTCAAAGGACTCTGCCGAACTGTTGGCATCCAGATTGAAGGAAAAAAAACCTCCTCTCTGACAGTGCTCGCATCAGCTTCTTCCGCAACAGGCATCAAGAGTACCTCCGTTTTTTCTCGGAAGAGAAGGACTTGGTGTACTGTGCAGATATTGCGCAGCTTCTGCTCAAGCTTGGAGTGCCACAGTACGAACCCAAAGATTGGAGACTGTTCATTGACAGCAGCAAATGATCACTGAAATGTGTTCTGCTACACAACGGCAACCAGTTTGCCTCTATACCCCTGGCTCACTCGAGTACACTGAAGGAGAACTATGGAGCGGTGAAGTATGTGCTGGAGAAAATTGGTTATGATCAGCATAAGTGGTTTATTTGTGTTGACCTGAAGATGGTGAACTTTTTGTTGGGACAACAGTCTGGCTTCACCAAGTACCCATGTTTTCTGTGCATGTGGGATAGTAGGGACCGTGCTCAGCATTACACGAAGAAGGACTGGCCTGTGCGGGAAGAATTGGTGCCTTGCAAAGAAAGGAATGTCATCAACGACCCTCTGGTGGACAGAGACAGAATACTCTTCCCACCGCTGCACGTCAAGCTCGGCTTAATCAAGCAGTTCACCAAGGCTCTGGACAAGGATGGTGACTGCTTCACTTACTTGTGCCAGGCTTTTCCAGGATTGACCATGGAGAAGTTGAAAGTTGGCATCTTTGACGGTCCTCAGATCCGTCAGCTCATCAGAGATCCAGAGTTCGGAAATTCAATGAACGAAGTGGAACTGGAAGCGTGAAAGGCATTTGTTCTGGTAGTGAAGAACTTTCTTGGCAACAATAAGGCCAGAAACTACGCAGAACTTGTCAACAACATGCTGACTGCTTTCAGAAACCTGGGCTGCAACATGAGTGTCAAGATGCACTACCTATTTTCACATATGGACCGGTTTCCTGAGAACCTGGGTTCAATGAGTGACAAGCAGGGGGACATGAAAGAGATGACATGAAATGAAAGAGATGACATCAGGACATGAAAGAGATGGAGACCAGGTATCAGGGTCGCTGGGACGCAGTCATGATGGCTGACTACTGTTGGACTCTGAAGAGAGACCTCCCTGCCGCTGAGCATTCCAGGAGTTCCAAGAAACAGAAGTTCAAGCCCTGAAGTTTGAAAAATGGTGAAGCAACATGCAGTTTATGTGTACGTACCTTTATCAATGCCCACCATTCAGTTTACAGTAAATCTGACCTGATGGAGAGAAACGGATGCCATTTTCTGATTCAGCAGTGCAAAAATACCCTAAATCAGTTGTAGAAATCTAGACAACATTCAAAAAGTAAAAAATTGTTGCCCAGAGTTATGGAGGACTCTTTCTAAATCCTGAGTTATTCATGGCTCTTACCTCTGTGAGTTCAGTGACGAGTGCCCCAGCACCAGTGTAATAAAATGGGAAAAGAATAGCTGGCAGGAAGAAGAGGACCACAAGACTTGCAACTCCAAGAACAAAATTATGCCAGACTCCTATAAAAACAGAAGGAGCGTATGTGTTAAGAAAGAAAACCCACACTGGCTACCGATGCAACGAACAGCAGATGAAACAGAATCTTAATTTATTAGAACTGGCTTCTAAATTTACGACAGTGACAAACTGTTAAGTGGAGAAGAATAAACCATCCTAGTTATACGTCAAGACGGAAGGTTTTAAAATTAAGATCTCAAAGACAAAGGCAACGCAATCCAAACCCCACTTACATGGGGGTAATCTCCATTGAATGCAATAGGGATAAAGTCTGGGTAGATGTGGTTAAGACTGCGCTGTAATGTGCCAGCCCTGACTAAGGCTGTACCTGGCAGAACTTCCAAGGCAAACGCCGCATCACTCTTAATAAACAATGGACAAAGCAGCAGCGCACAAGACTAAATAATGAATGGGAACCAATCCAGCCTCAAACACAAAGGGGCCATTGCTGCAATGACGATAGGTGGGGTCTGTGAAAGGGATCTCAAAGGCAAGATTGAAGTCTGAATGAATACTGAACAGACCTAAGTCAACCTTTGAAAAGCGATCACATGATTCACAGTATGTCAGCAGAACACTGTTCATAAGGATAGCAAGGACTCGCAATAAAGAGTACGCTTTCATAGCTTTTGGGTGCCATAGCTAGTTCCTTCAGACTCAACTGATCCAGCCACACAAGAGCACAAATACGGAAGGGTCACATGTTGCTAGACCACCCTGCACACTATTATTTGGACATAAGAGTCTGTTTAAGAGCTGGATTCGTGTAGCAGCCAAGAGTGTGAGCCAGAAGGCTATTGGTTCAACTCTCGCCTCACCCAAGTCACAAATTTTTAGCCTGAGTCCCCATCTGTAATTGAAGAGGGCAACACTATCCTACTTTACAAGATTGTCCATGTAAGTGAGAATTAATATATACATATTACTGCAAAAAAATGAAAACAGATATAAGTAATTGCTAAGTGCTTTATCACTACAGTGGTACCTCGGGTTAAGTACTTAATTCGTTCCGGAGGTCCGTACTTAACCTGAAACTGTTCTTAACCTGAAGCACCACTTTAGCTAATGGGGCCTCCTGCTGCTGCTGCACCGCCGGAGCACAATTTCTGTTCTCATCCTGAAGCAAAGTTCTTAACCTGAAGCACTATTTCTGGGTTAGTGGAGTCTGTAACCTGAAGCGTATGTAACCCAAGGTACCGCTGTATCACCAGTTTCAACTGGGCTTGCTTTCAAGTAACTGTGCCAAAATTGCCGTAGCAGAAGTTATATAGAAGCAGTAAGGCTCTACATCAGAGGTGACTAACTTGTGGTCGGCAGGTGTTGCTGGGCTCCAACTCCCATCAGCTCAAGCCAGCACAGCCAATTTTAAGGGATGGCGGGAGTTGTGGCCCAAAACATTTACCACCATTCATTTTTTTAAAAAACAACCCAGAGAGGTTTACAACAATTATGCACAAAGGTATGCAATAAAAACCAAATTAAAAAGTTAAAATCAGAAATTAGCTACTATGGAAAGATACATTCTTAATCTCCTGAGAGAAAAGAAAAGTTTCATCGGGGAAGTTGGCACAGAAGGCACCTGCCGAATCTCTATTGGCAGAGTATTCCACAGGACTGGGCCATTAACACTAAAGTTTCAGTTTAATGTTATTGTCCAATGAGCCTTGACAGCTCAGGACATGACTAATGACGCTCCTGCAGATGATCTGAAAAGCCAGGGGTTAGCCATCCTGGCTCTATGCGGGGTGGGGTGGAGAGATTGCTCAGTAATTTCTTTTTGCAAATATAGCTCTGCAAAAGAAAAGAAAAAAGCCTTTATGAAGGGGCAAGTCCCCACATCATCACCCCACACCCTAGACGTGAATTGTGAACTGTCACCGCAGCCAAACCCACATACCACTTTGGCATGTCTTTCTTTCTCGTAGAACATTTTGCCAGACCGGAGGTGTAATTCTTATTTCACATTTCAACCAACAAGTTATTGCAGAAGCCAAAAGTAATTAAACCTGATGACAGATGCTTGCTATGAATGTGTTTTTACATCATCCTTGCACTTCAGTCCCAGTTTTCATTTCTTCGGATTTCCTTGAGGCTTTGAGTTGCCATGAAGAAAGTATAACAAACCAGCCTGTTTATAATCGTGTAGCTAAGGGTTTGTCTACATTTCCATTACTAGCTGGCTTTAATAATAATATTCTTCTCCTTAGAGTGTTTTAAATCACATCTGGCTTAAAACTAAATTGGCACATAAATTTAGCCAGAACGCTAATCCTCTTGCTCGTAAGCAAAATATCCATGAACGCTCAAATTAAATGGGTGATTGAGCCATCTTATTTTCCATTTGAAGCCATCCCAACACACAATTTTTGCTCTTAACAGTCTATTTCAATTAGCAAGACAGATTGTATTCCACTATACATCTGCCTGCTTTTCTTAAACAACAACCCATTGCTGGCATGATTGTTCTTGTAGTGCTAAGATGCATGTGTTGTTGACAACTCCAGTACCTTCGATTACAGACCCTGATGTATTAAGCTTGAAGGAGTGTGAGTACACAGCCCAGTCTAGAGATTTATGAGCCCTGAGATCTAGATTTAGTTCCGGCCTCTGCCCACCAAACAGATAATCAGTGGGAGAGAAGAAAGAAAAAACTAGATTTATTTTCGGCCCACCTGGGAGAAGATGGAAGGAACCTGATCAGCACAGCAAGTTACTGCTACGTAGGATCCCCTGATTCACTGTGGAAGTGAGGGCAGGGAAGCTATATATAGACACATTGCCAATTTGTTGCAGCTTGCATATTCACAGAAAATACTATCTACATCAGATATTTAGGGCTACAGCTTCCATCATGCTAGAGAATTTGCAGGGCACCTAGTTAGGGAATGCTTATGTACATGTACATCTGCTGTTAGATTAGGCCAGACTCATTGCTTGGCAACACAAACCTCTACATCTCTGCTCAAGATATTTTTCACATCTTTTTTTCTTTTTCTTTTTTTAATGCAGTTGAGTTGCCCGCATTTGGGGAAATCACAGGGGGCAGCACACCTGCAGTGCAATGGATGAGCCTCACCCTGGGAAAACCTCCTTCATGATCAGGTAAGTATTATCTTTGCACACCTCAGCTCCAAAAGGCTTTGAACAGCTCCAAGGCTATAGGCTTATGGGATAACTAAACAACTCATCCTCCAGTGCTCTACCAGGCACTTCCAGATTCCATCTGCAACACCGAAATGTTCTAAGGAACACACAGCACAATTTATGTTATACGTTAACAAAAGGGAAAGTTATTTTACCTGCACAAAATATTCTCAGCTGCTGGATTGGGGAAATGAGTTGCAAGTGGGTGGTGAACAGATCAACAAACGCCCCTGGATAAACAATAAATATAAAGATTCCAAATCCGTTGAATCGAACCTGCTCTCTAAAAGAAACGGGAATAAAACAAATTTGCAACACTGAATCAATTATTTGTTAAAAAATATTTGTATACTGCCTGTCAGTCAAGGTTTTTCAGGCGGTGTACAGTCATAAAAAATACAAACAAATATGCAATTATGATTAAAATTAGAAAACAATCAGTAGCCAGATAAACATAAAAACCATAAAGGTAAGCAAAAAGCCCAGGAAAACAAAAAGGTTGTCAGCATACATCAAAATTGTAATAGTTGATGCATTCTGGGAGAGCTGGAGGTGATTCCAGAGTATGGGTGCCACCACTAAATAGGCTCTCTTCCTGGTTGTTGCCATCTGGACACCTGCAAGATGTGGCACATCTTGATTGCAGTGACCCTACAAGTCTCTATGGGAGAAAGTGTTCTCTCAGGTAACCTGGCCCTGAATGCTATAGGGCCTTGTAAGCTAATATTAACAGCTTGAGCCAGGTCCAGTAGCCTGTGTAGTGCTGTGGTCTGAGTGTTGGACTAGAACTTGGGAGAGCAGGGTTCAAATCCTAACTCTGCCATCAAGCTCACTGGATAACCTTGGGCCAGTCACAGTCATTCAGCCTAGCCTAACTCACAGGGTTATTGTGAGGAAAAAATGTATGCCACCTTGAGTTCCCTGAAGGAAAGGTGGGATAGAAACACACCAAATAAATTTATAGGCAACTTCCAGTCCTTACAACAGCCCTGTAAGGTACGTTAGTATTATAATGTTGTACATGAGAAAGTGCAGCTTGCCTAGTAATCTCAAGGCAGAGACAAGTGTTGAAAAAGAGACTTCACAGCTCAGTCTCTGCACCAGCTCTCTGGACAGAGGGTGGATTTTAAGAGAGAAAGGTGGAACAACAACTTTAAATGGTTCAATTAGGTAAAAGGGGTGGCAGAAAGAATAAGGAGACTCCTAAGAACCTGAGAGTTAAGAGGTGTGATTGAAGGAGATTAATGAAGGAAGGAGATGATTCATTACTCTGGGCCAGATCCCCTTTTATTAATAGCAGAAGCAATCCCTGTCCTATCAGGCTCACAGCAGGTGCTGAAAGCTGAAAAAGAGAACAGCCAGAAGCTGGCTCTGCAGAGTTTGGGCTGCCATCTTTCCCTGCAGCTGTCCACACAATGACTGGTCTTCTTTCCAATTTACCTCATAAAGCTTCAGGGCCTACTAGGAGCAACTGGGGTTAACTTTACTGAAGGCTTTACACAAGTGTCCCAAGGATGTTTGGAAAAAGGAAGCTTGTGGATATCCACCTCTGAAACTAATTTCAAAGACTGCAGTTCTCCGTCACCTCATCCCCTTGCTGAATCTCATTTTGGATGAGGGGAGGTTAAGCATATGCTCACTATAAGCTCACATGGTATCATATTCACACGTAATTAAATCCTCCAGAAACTTTTCTCATCACAAAGTTAAGAAAAAAGTGGATTGCATTACCGGATAGCTGCCACCCCGTGGCCAACTTCATGTATGATGCCGCTGATAAGGATAGCTGTGAAGAAATAGGACAGCTGGCTGATGGGAAGATTTACACCAGGCACCTGTTTTCACAAGACACAAGAAGATACAGGATAGCAAGCAAGGCAAAGACAGGCCCTTATGTCCCACCTTTCTCTTCAAGGAGCTCAGGGAAGCTTATGTGCAAGTTACCCCACTTTTACCCTCACAAAAATCCTGTGAGGTAGGTTATATGGATATATGGTGGGGATAGGACTCAATGTCACTAACTCCAGCCCAGGGCTCCCTGTCCCAATTCCTTAACTTTATCCATTATACCACACTGGTTCTCGTGCTACATAACTGGCTCTGTCTATGTGGAAACTACAGGAAGCCTATAATAATAAACATCCAAGCATTCTCCAGTTAGTTCCTTACCCTAAAACATAATTGTGCCATTCTGAGTTTCAGGCCTGCAGAGAAGACTGGGCCCAACAAAATCTACTGCTTTGGCCTACCAGCAAACCTCACAGTGGTTGTTTGAGGCTTGCCAAAAGGATGGTGCTCGTCTGTGAAACATGTCCTGGTAGAAGGCATAGTCGTAAAAAATGTAGCTCCTATTTTATCATTCAGCATTCATTGTTGTGTTGCATACTTGTTGTGATGGCAAATAAGACAGCATATGGAGTATATCCTTAATTCCCATGTCTTGGTAACTCCACAAGCAACCTTACAGTTCTATACATGTCTACCCAGAGGTAAGCCCCACTGGGTTGAATGGCACTTATGCTCATATAGGTACGTATAAGGTGGCATGTACATAAATAAGAATGTACATAAATTATCTGAAAGGGATGCATTTGGACACATAAAGGTAGGGCCTTTACATCAGCTACTCCAAAATTGTGGTACGGTCCTCTCCAGAAGTGCTCAGCTTTGCATCATTGCTAGTACCTTTAATTATTTTTTTAAAAAAGGATTGCCCTTGTTGAATAAAGTGCTCCCCACTCTGGACTACTATTCTTAATTCTGTGTTTGATTCACATTGTATTTTCAGCTATTATAAGCCACCTTGGCAAGGTGATCTAGAAACAGTTTTAAGTAAAATTATATATGTATTTTAAAATGCTAGGTTTGGAGAAACCCTCTATTGAAAAGGAGATGCCTTCTTTGGAGGTATTGGTTTAAGATTACAGTCCAATGCTTAAATTGTAAGTAGAGCAATAAAACTCACCACAACTTGCAGCATCTGATCATTCTGGCCGGCAGGCGCTTCACTTAGCATCTGAGAGAGTGTCTGCATCAGTGTCTTCCCGAGGAGAATAACAGAACCAAACATAGCAGCTATGCCAAAAAACATTCCCGCACTAAACCTGAAATGAAGGCAGAAATGCTGTCATAATATAATCTCAGTAGTGGACTCCTAAACTGTGAGGATGCTTTGTTGGAACTGCCCAAAGACCAATGAGAGCACACTAGTGGGAACTGAAGCCCTGCTGCCATCCTCAACATCAGATGCCAAGACCAGTTTGGCAAACCGAACCAGTACATTCATTATTTAGCCACAGGGGTGTGGAATCTTCTTAGCCCAGAGGTCGCATTTCCCTTCTGGGCAAGCTTTTGGGGTGCAGGGTTAGAGTGGTCAGAACAACACATGTGAAGTTTTACCTTTCTACACTAATCTAGTTTCTTCACACTCTCTAGCCTCCATCTAGACAAGCAAGAAGCATTATCAGAGTACCAGAACACATTCCAGCCAAGCAAAAACACTCCAGGAAGATGTAAAGCAGAGCTTGTGATGTAAAACAGAGCTCAGAAAGGTGTGTGTCCCAAAGACCAGATAGAGGGACTTGCAGGAGTGCATTTTGCCCCCGGGGCCTGAGGTGTACCATCCCATTTTACAGGGCAACTGCCTTATCACTCCTAAGTCTTCAATACCAGCAGCATGCATCTATTGCATGTGAAACAAGTCACATACACACATAAAAAGGCTATTCAAGTCTAAAACAAAAGGCTATTCTATTTAGCTATAAAATATTGTGTAAGCAATCAGTCTCAGAATGGTAACTGTTTTTACTAGCAGGATACAAAAGAATTTCCAGTAATTGTCTCACTAAAGCCTGAATTATAGTTCTAAAACAATACCATAGATAAAGAAGTCTGGGCTTCCATCTTCCCCAATTGTAAAACAGGCGGTTGAAGAGCGCCGTCTGCCATCGCATGTGAAACGGAGAGATACTTAGACCATAGTATGTGAGCCAGTCTTCGTAAGATGTCTTCAGGGAGGAAGATGACTGTAACAGAAGGAAAAAAACAGTGAGACATAGAAGGTATTTCACAGGAGTATTTCAGGCATCTCTATTGCACCCTTCGCATTTTATTTTGTGCTGATTTGTCCCCCCGCTGTCCATGTTGCATTTGCTAGCTCTGTTTGTACTCTCCCACTCCAAGGATGGGCTGTTCTTTAGGTCAGGTAAAAACAAACAGCAGTTACAGCTGTATACCCTTAGAGCTTATGGACAGCCGCAGCTGTACAATTTTACACATCATTAGCTTTAGTCTAACATACGTTGAACCTAAGCCAATGTGGCGGTGTGGGGAGTCACACACAAATATAAATATAGTGTCACACACCTCATCTATGAAACTCACTTCCAAAATTAAAGTTAAAAACATAACTTTTCAAAAAGACAAGACACACTTCTTAAAAGATAGAAAAATCAATAACTGCTAGAGTCCAAGAGTGAACAGCAAATCACAGAATCATTTACTAGAAAGTGCTACTAGTATCACTTATTTTATTTATCTATTACATATATGTATCACATTGTCTTTCAAGGAGTTCATCTTCACAACAACCCTGCGCAGTAAATTAGGCTGAGAGCTTAGTGACTGGCTAAGGTCACCCAGTAAGCTTCATGGTTGGGTAGGGATTTGAACTCTGGTCTCCCAGGTCATGGCACGCTAACCATTATACCACACTGGCTCTCATGCTGTGTGTGTATACCATCCTATGCAGACATGGAGTACAACATCTGTCTCCCTCTACCTACACACCTAAATCCTCAACATGCATAGGAATCTGTGTGGTCTGTACACTACAAACAAAACAAAATCCAGTGTATATAAACTATGGATAGGCCCCTGTGCAGCTCTGCTTCCTGTGCACAATGGGCGTAAACCATAGCTGTCAACGTTTCCCTTTTTTTAAGGGAAATTCCCTTTTTCCGAGTAGGATTCCTCGCAAGAAAAGGGGAAAGTTGACAGCTATGGCATAAACAGGGAGCCTGGATACAGATGCCCGACTCCGTGTGAAGAGAGGCATGGTGGGTAAAAATGCAAAAGCATGGTGGACCGGGACTTCATCTGTAGGAAAAGGAGCATATCCCAAGACTTAAACAATCAGTCTTATTTCTCTTGTGCCTCTATAAGCTGCACGACAGGCAAGCATTGAACAGGAAAGGCATTGGACAGCTGCACCGGCTGAATTTCTGCCTGGCCTTCTTGCAGCAGTTAAGGGCTCTGTCGCGGGAGAAATGGGAAGAATCACTCCTATATCCGTACATCGCCTTTCATTTCAGCAACTCCCGCATTACACGCCCCCTAGTGACGGAGCGTGTGCACGGAGGCATTCGAGTGTGTGCGTGCAAAATCTAGACTTTAGATTATGGGAAGGAAGGTGTATTGCAGTCGTTCGGGATGCCACTATAGTCCTATATTTGCACCATCCATACAGTTTCCCCTTTCTCTAGCCTTAAGCAAGTTAAGTATCGTTCTACAGTTCCCATAAAAATTCCTTCTCTAGCAACCGAGGCTGGGAAAGCGCCCCTCTCACCTTCAGTGCGGTGTCGGCCAGGTATACGGCACACCAGCCCCCCAGCACGCAAACCACCACGGGCATCGGGATCATGTCAGCAGCAGAAACGACACGAAACCAGCAAAACGAGCCAAGCAAAAAAATTAATCCCTTTACACTCCGGAACAAAGCGTCACACGGAACCACCGCGCACCAACCACATTTCTTGAGCAGGAGGCTTCCGGATGCAGCACCCGGAAAACACGTGCCGCGTGCTGAGCATCACATTCCCCGCCTAAGCAAGTCTTTCAACACTTCGGGTTCCCATTTGCAAGTGGTGGAATTCTCCCTGTGCGAGGGAAGTAGGAATAATATACAGTATATAAAACTAAAAGCAAACTTCCTTTGGGTGCAGCACTTTGCGATAATAGCGCTCTCCTAAAAATAAAAAAAAGAGTCAACAAAATCTATATAAAGGTTGATTGTTCTGTTCTTTTCTTTGCCCTATTCATACGTTTTGGGATTTTCCCCGGTGGGGCTCTTGAGTTTAAAAGCCGCGTGACGAAAGTAAACCTACAAAGGCAAAGGAACAAATCGTCGACTTTTGTTGCCTGCTCGCCCAGACTATTAACAAGCTATGCCTAGTTCTATACTGGAGAGTGGACTTAAGGAGTTTGCATGCTTTCAGGGTGTGTCACAGACAGAAATGCAGGAATAACCGCTCCATTGTCAAAATATAGTGGCGATGAGGCTAAACCTGTTAAATTTCTACCTGCTGGGCATTTAATCATCATCATCATCCCCCTCAAACTGTGGTGTCAAATAAGCAAAAAAGGGTTTTGCTAGGAGATGATTACCGTAGATAAATATTTAAAATCTACAGGTCTACGGCACATAAGGGGAGCAGCTGCCATCTTTAGATCGGCTGGTTTTTATTTTTGCCTGTCGGGACTCGTCAGGGGGCATTTTAAAAGCACAGCTTTCACACAAAGACACACACACACACAAAAACAGTCACTGACTCCTAGCGTCTTTTCTGTTTCTTTAAGATTGGATTCCACGAACCCGAGGTGCAGGTTCCAAACTAACATTTTACCCGGCTGCTGCCCCGGAAACAAAGGGAAACGGCGCCCTCTGCTCGAGCGCGTGCGCGTGCCTGGATCTTGTTGCGGGTTGAGAAATGAATTTGCGGTGGGAGCAAAAGGGAATTAATTATCCATCAGATTTACAATAAAAGAAAGTGACGTTGCTGATTATTATTCTTTCAAGGAAGCAGTTCTTTCAAATTTAGCGCTTCCTAGGAATGCCGGAGGTGCGGGGCTCTCCTGAACACGTTCATTTTTAAAATACAGTAACTTGCCCACGTCAATCAGAAGCAGGGAATCCAATAAAGTCCCCTCTTTTGCGTCCGCCCACCGTTGAACCTGATTTGGCTAGAGGCGGAGCCGTCCGGTTCATTTTCCTGCGCGCTGATTGGTACAGTGTCGGGCTAATCAACAGCTACCCCGATTGCTGTTTCCAATGGATCCTGGGAATCGTAGTTTTGTGACGGTGTCGACAATGTGGGCATAGGCTAGGACCTTGTCCTTGGAACTATATTTCCCAAGAGAAACCCTGGCGCTCTAGCATATGAGGCCCGGGATTGCTAACCATATGCAACATAACGTTACAACATGTTTAGTTGGGATAAAGGACTGCTTTGAAGCAGCCTGGTGCAGCGGCTGTGGGGCTGGGCTAGGACCAGAATTCCTTGCTCAAATGCCTACTCAGTCATGAATATTACTGTGTCACCTCCGGCCTCAGAGGCTTGTTAAATAAACTGATAATGCTGTGTTGGTTGAAGGTGCTCCCTGTGTTTAGGATTTCAGCCTTGCAGCGCTGCTCTATGCATATTTACTCAGGAGCAAGATTCTATGGGACTTAAGTCCAGGTAAATGGGCACAGGTTTGCAGCTTCAGCCTTCTGATTATAAACTACATTCCAGAACGTCACATGCACCTTATCGTCCCAATAGTGGATTTATGGTCCGCGGGGTGCTGTGCACAGCTCTTGTTCCTTCACCTAATTAAACAAGATTTTGTCAAAATGAGATGATGTTAACCCTGTTTCTGCCTTTGTACTGTGCTCCCCTCACCTCCCCAAACCATTTGGGATCTCCCTGCTGTGGGCCAGACGGGAAGAAAGGTTGGTGATCCATGATGCCTCTGAACTGAGTGCTTCCCATCTCCACACCCCCACCAAAAAAACTACAATTGGATTAATCAGGAAGAAGCGTAAAATGGCCCTACTGCTTCCCCCATCCTCAGCATCTTCCAAAAATCCAAAGAAGTTGCAACTATCCTACTTTTTCCTCTCCTCTCTAATATTGTCCCATAGCAGCTGCCCAGGTAAACCCTGGGTAACCCAGGTAAACCAGGTAAATTAAGGGGAGGAGTTAGCATCATAGCCAGCTGGAGTTGAAAGTGGATGGGCCCTTTCAACTCTACAAGTGCTCTGTGTTGCAGAGTTAAAAGAAACATTATTATAGGCCCTCTGCCTCTGTCAGGTTGGTGACCCACATTTAGGAGGTTGCCTGCACATTATGCTTCATAACTTTCTGTCTAGAAGAGCAAAAGACTTACTTTTTTTAAAAAAAGCTCAGTGCCTTTTGGCTCTGCTGGCATGGGCCCTGGTACAATCACTCCAATTTCACCATTATACATGTGGCCTTGTTAGGACCCCAGGAATTCCCACTGCCTGGTGACCAAACAACTCATTTTTCATTCACAGCAGTGACTTCACTGATAGGCTAAAAAAACACTTGACAGGCAGGAGCAGTCAGGCTGACTCGTTTAACAGAAATGACTTACGGTAGAAGGGTACTTGTACATTATACTTCATAACTTTCTTTCTAGAAAGGCTAGAGACTTTTTCTTTTTAAAAAATGAAAGCTCAGAGTCTGCCACCCCTCTTCAGGGCCACCAATGAAGGTCTTCACAGGAATCCTTTTGGAAACCTCTGCCCTAATGGAACTATGTCCATTGACTTTAATCAGGGAGTAGGAGAAATGAGTAGAAACAAAGCAACAAACTAAAATACTAGGACTCAACTATGGCAGTTCATTATTTTCATGTTTCAAATGTATCCTTACAGCTAACAATGTGTACTAACAATTTGTGGGGGTCCTCAGTAACACAGGGGTCTAATTGTACACAAACGGCATATACCTGTAAATCTGGCACTGATATCTCCTGTTTTCTGCAGAGCCTGAGCTGAAGATTTGCCCTCCCAGAAACACATTGCCATATTTTCATTTGCAAAGTGGTATCTTAAATCCTATAAAAGGTGTGTTTCTTAAGAACCAACTTTTGCTTTTTAAAAAATTGACATAACCAGAGTGTATCAAAACATATGCTGAATGCTTCTGGAACCACATGAGACAGGCTCAGAGGTGAGAGTGGGGTAGGGGAGATAAAAACAAATGTCAAGTTACACAATTTAGGCTGTAATCCCATACCTGACTAAAATTTCTTTGAGCCTGAAGTAAAAATTGTTCAGAATCACAAAACTGAAGTTAGTGAGCTGTATGTAGTGTGAAAATAGGCTTAGAATCATAGAATCATAGAGTTGGAGGAGACCACAAGGGCCATCGAGTCCAACCCCCTGCCAAGCTTTGAAATAAGATAATTTTTATTAAAAATATATGGAGTTCAATATCCACATCATGCATATTACCAGTGCTTTCTTAAAAAAAGAAAGGAAGGAAGGAAGGAAGGAAGGTGTGGTACTCACCATGAAGTTGTTACAGTAAGTGCCACACTTTTAACATGGGTGTGTGTGTGTGACAGTACTGCGTACCCTTGAGTACCCCCAGAAAAGAAACACTGGATATTACCTGCACATAATATTTCTATGTCTGTATATTAAAACGTGATTATGATGATGATATAGAGTTTATTGTAATAAAAATTCACAAAAGTCTCACAAGACAAACTTGTAGTTGTGTTATGTAACAAAAGACCAAGACGAAGTGCTTTGTTTGTTCACCAGAGTTAGTATGGACACAACAAACAACTACTGATGTTGCATCTGTTGACCTTTTCAATCAACTGCTAAAATTTATATAACACCGTGATTGCCTTGATTGATAGACCAGAATTTTGTGTCCTGCAGCAGGAACATTTGAGAGATTAGATGGATGAAGAGGACAGCTATTTCCTGTTTATCTCCCAGCATTTGGTACTCAGTGACGCACTGCCTGTAAACACATAGATTCCTTTCCACTACTGTAGTTAATATCTATTGATACATATCTTCTCTGTGAGTTTGACAAATCCTTTATATATGTAGCATATATACAGAACCACAAGAACCACAAGAACTCATATGTTGCTTCGTTACCTTATAAGAGTCAGTCCATATTCCTTTAACTTTTATCCACAGACCTAAGACTCACATACCTTCAAAGCTTCAAGATCTCCAGAGTGTATGGGATCTTTAAATAGAAAGGATGAGGATGATAAATATTACTGATTACAGGTCTACCTGCAATTGTTTGCTGTGCTCTGTTTTATACACTTTTGCTGAAGTATTACATTTTGGATTCACCCCATTGCCTACACTCTAAGCATTAGAAAATATTGTAATATCCATCCAGCCTCCATGGCCTCAGCTCATCAATTAGGAGCAAGCTCTATGCGCTGTTCCAGTGGCATTCTGCCAAGAACAATGTTCTCAGCTAGGAGGTCACCTCAGAAAGAGGGTGACTAGAACATTTTGCAACAACTGTACCCTGTAAGTAAATAAATTTTCAAATGTGCAGCTAGACCTGGTTCTTTGTGCTTCTGGAATATCACTGCTCAAGGTTACCAAAGGATATGTTTCTTTTTTCCCATTTCCCTTTTTAGTAATTTAATAAATGTATTTGTTTTGTTACATCTCTGTGGGAGTGGGGAAACATTTACCGGTACCAAGACAAATAAATTGGGGACCCAAATTTCTTAGCTTGAGGCTTGAATCAGAAGACACAAAAATCAGAAAACACAAAAATGGTAATCACTGAACATTTGGACTCAGCCCTTAGTGCAACAGAACAGTTATATTAGCAAGCCCCTATTTTGAAATATCACTGAAAATGCCCCTGCATAACTGACCTCTAACTTTGGGGTTACCAAACCACATTTGAGTAGCTTGAGGACAACTTTGCGTGAAAACCAAAAGGAAGTGTTGCGTGTCTTTCTTGCTCTCTGCCTTAAATAGTTTGGGAACTTATGCTACTGTTTAGGTCCTACCAACAGCAAAATCTGTTTGTTTTTAAATAAAAACAATCCTAAATTCCTCATTGAGAAAGTGAGAGCAAAATATGTCCTGACGGTGAGTTTGCTAACTCTTTCCTGCTTGACACTTGAGCCCCGATTTTAGCCGTGAGGGAATGAAGTTACAGGATGAATCCGACTCTATATTTAGGAAGAACAACTGTAAGCTATGACAGGAATTCTCTTTTACACTTGGCTTCTAAACTCAGCACTGCTCCAGCCCTAGAAGTGCTCTTGGTAGTTAGTACACAGGCACAAAGGGCTTCATCAGTTCCAGCCACCTCTAAAGGATTCCAGGGAAGATCTCAGCTGATCGAAGAAGGTGCATCACTCAGCATCGAAAGAAGGTGTTTGCATCTACTCTCCTGACAGGTTGGAGTGTTTCTTATATAAATAACCAGGTACATAATAAAAGCTAATTTGGGGAGGGGGTGCTGTTTGAAAAAGTGAAAGGTTGACTTGGGAAAACACTTTCATATATTGCTAGGAGATGAATGAATGAACTGCCTTTTCTGTAAAGTTTAATATCTGTAAAGCAGATCAGTATGCTTACACAGGCTGCTATTACAAGTGCTTTATACTCCATTCGAAATTTAAGACAGTAAGAATGTTGATGCCACTTAGAATTATCTTAAGAATATCCCCTGTGTATATGCCAACACGGCCCCTATGGAAATGTGCTTCATACAGTTAGAAAAAAGGCACGTTTTCCTCCACCATTTCTTTATTGTTGTCTGCTTGAAATATTTTAATTTACCCGATGTTTGTTGATGCTGTTGCAAGTACCAGCAAAGTAATAACAGCAAAGTTAGAACAGTTATAAGATCACTGTATGAGATCACAAGGATTTGATAAGAATTGTCATAAGGCAAGTAGTTACAATGAACTTGATGGGGTGCATCTGCATGGCGTGCAGTAAAGTTTCAGCATGGACTTTTCTTCTGCTTTCAGTACATGCTGGGCTCCCAGCAGTGTAATTTCTATCTAGGTCTTCAACACATCAGAGCTTTCTGTTTATAACACTTGTGCCAGTTTCATGCATACAGCAGGGAGTCAAAGGATGACATTCCTAGTTCCTCTTCAAATGGATCTAGGGTAGTGTTATGAAAGACGTAAATTATGAAAGTGCCTCAGGTAGATCAGCTCCTTTAAAGCAAACCGAAGAACTCAGACGGTGCAAACAGCTGCGTGTCCTTTGGCACCCTCTCTCGGCACTTATTTTTAGATCAGGCAGAGAAGATCACCACTTCTTTGAGTTTTATTCCTTCCTATCCCTTGCGCCTGTTCAGGAATCATAGGGACATTCGCACAATGAAGTCAAGTGCTAAATACGGTAGTTCCAAAAAGAAACAACTGTGGCATTGCCTTCAACATGTGGTAGACTGATGAAATAAAAGGTAAGCTGTGAACTAAATCTTTGAATGCCTGCAAGATTTAGTAGTATCCAGGTTTTCAGCTAAAAATTGTATTTAAATATTGGATGTTTTAAAACCAGTTAGCCGAATACTTAGGAAAGCATTGAGGAGCATAATTAGTTGAGTTTGATCACTCCCATTTTGTTGCATGGAAGTTAGGATAGGGGTAGAGGAGGAAGACTGGAGGCATTGCTGCCCTCAGGCTCTGTGTCACAAGGACTTGCAGGAAGGGAGTTATGCTTGTTGCTACTGTAGCTATACTGGGCTATATTTCTTCCAGAGAGTTAGAGAAGAAAAAGAAACTATCCTGTGCCAGATGTCTGGATTTATGGGGGCCATGAAGTAGTGCAAGCCTCAGTAAGGTGCAGAGGGAGATACTTCAGCTCCTTTCTACAGCAACTCCCTCTGTGCCCTATAATCTCTTGTACTGTCAGCACAATCCTATACATCAGGGGCAGGAAAATTATGACACCCCCCCCTCCCAGCGGCTGCTGGACTGCAACTCCCATCATCCCTATCAGCAGCGCTGGCTGGATCTGGTGGGAGTAGACCAGCAACCAGTGGAGGACACCAGATTCTCCTCTCCTGTGTTAATGTCCATGCTGCAGTACACCTCACGGACAGCTGTGGAGCTGACTCCCAGGTAAATGTGTTCCGTATATAGAATTGTAACCTTCATGGCTCCAAAGGGTGCCTGGAAGGTCTTGTGCAGGAACTACATTTTCTTTCCTGATATTTCTGTATGGATGTTAGTGTAGGAGGAAGACAGCACCCACCCCTGGTCCCCTTGGTGGATACCCTGGTGAAATATTGCATATTTGGCTGCGTTCCAGAAGTCCTGGTGCAACGTGAGGAATATCCGTGCAACATGACAGCACTATCAGATTGTAGGGTTGAGCTTTTTTTTTTTAGGAAGACCCACAAATTGTTGAGCTTTTTTAAAACAAACCCCAGAGTTGTTGAACTTGTGACAGCATTGGCTCCTGTACATGTGTAGTCAAATATAAAGTTGCTGCAGCCTACCGTTATATTTTGATTCCTGAATGTCTGATAGCCAGCAGTTGTACCAAAGGGGAAGGGGGAAGAGAGAATGTAGCCCAATAAGGTTGTCTATTTTTACTCTTCAGCATTCTGTTGTCCTGATTTCTCTGGCAATAATGAGGTCAGCAGAAACAGGCAGGGAAGAAAGATTGTCTCTGCCAGAAGTTCTTCACAACTCTATGAGGCACCTCTATAGGGGCTTTGCTCTGCCTTCACATTATTTTTGTTACTTTATGTTCATCCCGAAGTTAATATTCCATTTAAGAGCTTTACAAGCTTAAAGAACTGCTCCTGGGAAGCCACATGTAGGCAGTGCCATGTTTAGACAGAGAAGACAAACTGGAAAGAGTGTGTGGACCACATGGAATGTTACGGCTGCTGCAGTTTTAAATAGTCATTCATTTTTCCTCTCTCAACAACCCATATTAACAGGCCTTCAAGTAGTTTGTTTATCAGTTTCAGGCTGCAGTTACCTTTTATTTTTGAGAAGATGCATTACCTTCAGTTTAAAGTTAAAGGAATTTATAATGCCTTTGCAAGTTTTATATGGGGCAAATTAATTTTTTATCAACAAAAGCCAGGTTTTCAATATAAGCAATTCCTGATTGTGTAACTTGAAGCGAACATATTAATAAGTAGCGCTCCCATGAATATGTGCCGTTTGATGGAAAAGCTAACTTCTCGTTTACTATTGTGATGGGAAAGCGATCTTACTCTTTCTGCCCATGAAAAATTAACAAGGGAAGCTCAGGTGTTCTCACTCCTTTGCAGCATTCTATGGTTGTATCTAAGTAACTCTGAAACTAAGCCCGAAAGACAATCTGGACTGATGAATGAATACCTATCAAGAAGAAACATGGGCTAAATTGTAGTTTATCAAGCCATTGTTGCTCGTAAAAAAGTTTTGTTTTATTAGTAATCATACTTATTTTGCTTTCAGGGATAAATCTCTTCCTTTAAAATGTCAAAACAGCCAGCTTCGAATGTTAGAAGCATTCAGGTAAGAGATAATATTTTATGTTACTAGTAGTAAATAAGAAGTATTTTGATTGAAAACAAAACATCCGTTTGTTTGACGCTTCAGCGCTAACTAGGAATTATTTAAAACTTGCTTGTCATGCAAGTAAATGCATTTTGATCCCATCTTTTCCATGGTTTTACATATTCCATTATCAGCTTAATTGTCTTAACTAGTTTTCCCGTGTGCTGTGCCAAGCACACACACACACAGTCATACACAAAACAACCTATAGCATTTTCCACGAGGCATGAAAAAGAAGCTGGAAGGTTTTTTGTACATCATCTAAAAGCATTTGACTGCACAAACATCACATATATGCCTATGTTTGTGTGTTGCTTACTTCTAATTGTCCAGCAAAATTCACTTTCCATTACTGGCATCTTTTAAGCTAAGCCAAGATTATTTAAAAGAAAGGAAAAAAGAATGTGACAAGTATAAAAAGCTGAAGTCCTATGCATACTTACAAGTAAACATGAATGCTGTATAGAAGTAAATAAGTTAACTGAATGCTGTATGGAAGTAAGTAAGTTAACCAACCAATCTGAAGTATTAGAACTTGTGCCAGTTTAGATTCAATGGCATCAGTTTAGATTCACGGACATCTGTTTTCACCATCCGTCTCCCAATACTAATATTTATTGCGTGTGTGTGTGTGTGTATACATATATATATAGAGAGAGAGAGAGAGAGAGAGAGAGAGAGAGAGAGTGTCTCTTAGACAACCAGATTCTCAGTATGCCTTCATTTGCTTACACTGGGTTGCATCTGGAGAATCCATTATGCTCCTAATAGGCCTACGTCCAAAAACAGGAAGGACCTGAGGTCCAGCAGAGGCTCTCACTGGAGGAAGGAAAGGAAGGTGACTTTTGCCAATTGCCTCTTTCCCCTGCAGACTTGTGCCACCTCCCACACTGCGTCCAAGCCGATGTTCTCAAGCTGAACAACCCTTTTAAGCGTTCACAGTTGCAGTCAATGAGATGTACGCAATATATTAATGTGCTATCATGAATACAAATGTGTGGGTAAATACCTTGTATTGTTTTATCAAATAATATTAGCTTTTAGGGTTTGCAGAACTGCTATGGCTCTATCTGGATGATCATATATTGGCTCATTTAACCAAGATATGCACAAGCCTTTTATCAGCACACATAGCCTTATCCCTCCTCAGTTATTTAACCTGAAAGTCTCCAGTTAACTACAGTTTCTTGTTTGATTCTGGATTGTTCCAAACCGCATAACCATCCAAATTAGGCCAATGGTTGGGTTCAGGATAGTTGTAATGCAAAATCATGGTTTCTACTTACTATAGTTGAGAGCACATACCATAGTTTGAAGTTCCAGCCCTACAATTGGCAATCCATGGTTTATAGCAGAATGTCTGCATTTGTTTCTTAGGACTGTGAGGGAATTCCACAGATCCACGCTCAAAATCTCTTTTTCCTCCGTTGTCTGGTTGACTTTAAAAAAACAAAAACATTTTTATTGTTTTTTAAACAAATACAAATATAATATTCATTAAACACTTATATAGCAGTACGGCTAATGGTCTTTGTTTTATCCATTTTCTCTGACTTTTATAATCCTATTTTTACACAACTGTGTATATTAGCTGTACAAGGTTTGCACATCCACATGTGGAATAGTGAAAGATTTTTCTGTTCACAACCTTCTGAATTACAGCCTATGAATTTGGTATCCAACAGTACTATCAGAGGCATGAAATTACTATAGCTGCAGCTTTTTATTGGTTCTGAAGACAGGAAATATTTGTTTCCTGGTAGTAAATAGATTTATATAGTATTAATTTTCTATCACAATGAGTTTTTAATGGTGGCTAGGCAAACAAAAACGGTATATATTGTGAAGATTTAAATGGGCAGGATGATTGCTTCTCTCTTGAAAGCAAGCAGAAAAATGTCTACCAATCTCTGGGGAAAATAACTTTTATTTATAGATTGTAGTACACAAGCATCAGTCAACAAAACAAAGGGAGCCTTTTCATTTTAATACACAAAGTCAAAAGCAATTATGCAGTAGAGCGTTACATTTATTTTAGCATTTTCAAATTGTTTCATCTGCACTGCATTCTATAAGCACAGGGAATCTACATTTTGATAAATGACAAGGCATTATTATGTAGTTTTAAATAAGCTCTAATAAACAATTCACTTAAATGCATTGAAACAAACAGTTTAAGTCCATTAAACATGGAGTTTATCTCAGTATTGTGAACTTAATGTAGTTTACAGCCTCCCTTACTTTCCATTAAAGGGAATTATCCACTAAGGATTCCCAATTAACCTTCTAGAGAAATATGAGTTTATTTTACCACAGTTACGCATAGAAAAAATATTTTCTTTTAAGCCATGTGCCTTGAAAGCAAAATTATATGTTATGTAAAGTGTGTGTGTGTGTGTGTGTGTGTGTGTGTGTGTATCACAGATCTCTTTAACTTTACAGCTAAATAGACAGTGCAACCCTATACATGTCTAGCCAGAAGTACGGTAAGTCCCACTGAGTTCAATGCATTCCAATGCATTCCTATGCGCCAAGGGTTGCTGACACAGCTAAGGAAGGGGTGCTGTGTCTACATGCCTGGCAGAGTTTGTGTGAGAAGTGGCTACACGCATCACTGGCATCAGTGCTATTTTTCTAGAAAAAGGTGCCGGAACTCACCATGAATGCCACCCTTGTTCTCGTATAATGCCAATGGCACCCACCTGAAAGGTGGCAGAACTGACTTCTGGCAAATTCCGGCTGAAAAAAATGCCCTGACTGGCATGCACCCATTCCTCCACCACTCCCAGACACTTGGCCAAGAGTGAATGTGGCAAACAAAAAATTAGCACTAAAGTCTTTTATAGGAGCAAGTCCCATTGAACACAAAAGGTCTCACTTCTTTGAAGAGCTATTCGGTCTAAGTCCAGTTTAAATACAAAGAACCATAAGAAGGAAAAGCAGGGGCTCAAAGTTGCCCATCAGCAGTTGGCACCTGAACAGCAGACTGCTATGGTGATATGTATTGTACTGCAGATATATAAATTTGCATCTATACCTGTAAAATCAGCACAGGCAAATGCCATGCAAATTGGTGCCCTCTTCTGTCTTCTTCTGGGTGATCCATTCCATCTTTTTTGGTAACACATAAGTGGCCACCCTAAACTGAGTTGCTTCCACATGAAACCTGGGGTTCGGTCCAGTTGCACTTCCACATGAATGAAGCCCAGTTGCAAGCCTTCTATTAGACCTATACAGCCCAGAGGACACTAACTGGAGCTTGCTAACAAAAGTGGACTTGCCCTCAGAAGGCTGCCTGAAAACAAAGAAATGCAAGCACATATTTTAATAGATGAGTTGGAAAATATAGTATAGCAGGATGGCGGTGCTGTTTCACTGCTTGATGTGAAATGGGAATTCTGCCCTGCTGCTGCCACCTCTGGCACTTAGTTTTGGCGACATCTTGCTGGAAATCAGTGTGAACTCACTGGTGGAGGCAGCAGGGCAGGCAGTGGGTCCACGGGGGTACCATCTTGGAGGCTTCTGCTACCTGAAGCAGTGGCCTCACCCTGCCTAATGACTGCGCCAGTCCTGGAATACAGTAATTCATTCTCTTACTGCTATTAGAAGTACCATTTCAATGGAATTTACAGCTGTATATTCCTGTTCCTGCTGCCTCAGAGGCTGCTGTGTCTGTGGAGACGGGGGCACCTCTGGTTCTGGTGATGTGCCCCCCTTCCCTGGCTCCCCTGAACTGTCAGCTGCCCCTGCAACATCCTCTGATGTCCTTATCAGGTGCAGCTTGACTCAGCACAGTGGCAACGTGATGGGGGGAAATACCTTCTGAGTTTCTGCATGTCAGGCAGCTTGTAAACACAAAGCCTATGGTGGAACGATAGCATCCAGCAGCCAGAAACCTTAATGGCTACTTCGACAGTCACAGCTGAACTTGGATGGACAGCAAACCCACCTTCAGGGAAAATCAGAATTTGCCAACGTTACCAAAATAATGAAGGGGCAAAAGACACCACAGGGGACAAATGGCAGGCTGACGTGCGTATCTCTGGACTGATATGTACAGCAGTTCTCCAGGAAGAGCAGATCTTACCATTTTGTACTGTGCAAAAAACTGTCCTTGTAAGCCTGCCACATCAAGTAGGAAGCTAGGAGGGCCTGCTGAGGGCCTGAAGGACCCTGCCCTTGCCTCTTTCCACCTGGCTTGGGGCGGGGCCTGACAGGCTTCACAAGGACTGCAGCTGCTTTTAAATTGTTTTTAATTTTTATCTGTGTTGTTTTAAATGAAACCATCTTGGCTGTGAACCCTGGAAGACCTGCACCCTGCCTTGCTGGCCCTTTCCCATCTGGTCTGGGAGAGTGGAGTGCTGACTGACTCCAGCTACAAAAGCTGAAGCTGTTGAACAGATTCTTGGACTGGAGTATTGGTTACAGGGGGGGAGGTTGAGAGAGCTGTTGCTGTTATTGATATTATTGTTGTATCTTTAGTTTTAGATCTTATGATTTACATGGAAATTGTTTCCATTTGGTTGTGTACTTTTTGATGTGTTTTATTTATTGTTTATGACTTATGTTATGTTTGTAATTATGTAAATCTTGTCATGTTGTAAGCTGCCTTGAGCACTGTTTTAACTACGGAAATGCGGCATACGAATAAAATGATGATGCTGATGATATCCTGATGCTATACTGATATGAACTCTAACTTGCAGGCTAATATCAACATCCCAATGGGAGCCCTTTTACCTGGAGCAGGTCAGCCACCAAAAAGAAAAGAATTTACTGAAGCTGATGAGGTAAGAGCAATATATGTCTTCATCTGCTAGCCTAGTTCATTTCTCGTTATTTTAAGAAGCCATATAATGATCAGTCAGTATACAGTGGTGCCTCGCAAGACGAAAAGAATCCGTTCCGCGAGTCTCTTCATCTTGCGGGTTTTTTCATCTTGCGAAGCAAGCCCATTAGCGGTTTAGCGGATTAGCGCTACAGTATTAGCGGGCTTAGCGGATCAGCTGATAAGCGGCTTAGCGATCAGCTGATAAGTAGCTTAGCGATCAGCTGTTAAGCGGCTTAGCCGATCAGCTGATAAGCGGTTTAGCGGCTTGGGAAAAAGGGGGGGGGGAGGAAAAAAACCCCGCAGGAACTCGCAAGACATTTTCGTCTTGCGAAGCAAGCACATAGGAAATTCGTTTTGCGAAGCACCTCCAAAACGGAAAACCCTTTCGTCTAGCGGGTTTTCCATCTTGCGAGGCATTCGTCTTGCGGGGCACCACTGTAAATCAGTTCTATTCAAGTACAATTAGTTAATACACACAACGGTTGGTGGTATTTTGGGGTCAGTGTATGGGTGCAACATAAATCTGGTTCCAAACTAAGGGTGGATATTGTGTTCCAAATGCAAGAAACAGAGATCCTGAGCAATCTGGAAACACCACTATAGTTAGATGGGTGTTGCATGATTGCATTTCCTAATGTTTGGCTTCTAAAAGCAACCGCAAGGAGTCCTACTTTGCAACAGGGCCACAGTGCATATGGGAGGCATGTCTAACTCCCCCACCCCGGATGAACCCTATACAAATATCTCCACAACTCCCACCATTCGGATAGTGGCTAGTAGCAGCTGCTTGCAGCTCAAGACTTTTCACCGTTCATTGTATTGGGATGGTGTTAGTACTAGTATAGTAGTAATAGTATAATGGGGAGAGGAAGGGAGTAGGAAAAAAGGGCCTAGATCCTAAGTTTAGATATCGAAAGGAGCCTTATGAATTTCCAAAAATGGGTTATGTAATTTGAGTACTTGGAGTATACATGTGGGTTTCAGTGGGCTGAAATGTAGGCAGATATTTGGATATAGCTGGAAAATGAGTGAAAGGGCAAGAAGCAAGGAAACTGTGTAGGAGGTGTGAACATTTCAGATGAGAACACAGTCTGTTCATCTACAGATCTGCTAGCATGCAGTAATTTACCACAACCAGACAGCTAATTGACTCTATCAACCTGAAGCCAAATTCAATTTCAGATGCATGGGACTTACTGAAAGAAAATTTGAGATATGCAGCTATGCTTCATGAACTTCTGAAATTAAATAATAGTTTTATAAGGAACTTCTGGACTAGAAACTTTGCAGACTGTGGCACAGCCATCGCACAGTCCATGGCTCTACTTTTCCAGCTGCAAAACAGAACCATATTTCAGTGAACAATTTTAAGCAGCTGCTTTGGTCTTAACTCACCAATTTGAGATCTACATAGTTAAAAGGGGGACGTACATTTTAAAATAAAAATAAATAGGTCACCTACATGTTATAATGCAGAATTATGTTGCCCATGCAGTTAGTTGCTTCCCTCAATCCAATCCTATGAAAACTTCGTATTGCAGGAGCAAAATTATTCCTCTTAAATCTGAAAAGATGCAAGGAGACAGGTTATTTTAGAACAGATATTGCTATGATTACTGTGATCTATTTGCAGCATCAGCTATGCTTAATTTTAGGTTCCATAAATGTGCCAGTAGCCCCAACACAAATTTATATTTCATATCATTTGAAAAAATAAATATCTGGAGAGGTCCACTTTAAAAATGTTATGCAATTAGAGCATATTTTAAATGGTTTTAAAATATTCACCACTCAATTTGCCTCTGTTCATTCCTGTGAGATGCTGTATGGATGAAGACCCACTAGTAACAATGAAAGGGGTATCTGCACAAAATATTATAAAGCTTGTGATAAGTAATCCTTCCTATCCCACAACTAAGAGAAGAGGGCCTTGAGTGTTCTTTTTCCAAACTTGTTTGTGGTCCTTTAAAAGTGCAATAAAGAAGCCAAGTCACAGAGCCACCTCAGAAGCTTGCCTTCTTGCTTCTCCAGTGGCAGTAGCAGGGGAGAGTGGGTGCCATGCCATGAGATTCTGCCGCCTGAGGCAGCTGCCTCAGTCTGACTCATAGGCAGACAAGCAGACTCTGGAGGAGAAGCATAACGTGCTACATGAATAGGTGCCTAAACACTGAATGACCAGAAGCAATTAGTCAATGCCAGAGATTTAAAGTTCCACAGTGTTTCTATAGCTTCTCAAAAGTGATGTGGTTACCAGGTTAGGTAGATCATCTGGGAGATGTGGCAGAGCTATCCTTACAGTCTTCAGCAGGCTGTCAGATCTAGTATCTTCTGTGCACTTTAGTAGATCTGTCACATAATGCCTTGGTTCGCACGTAATGCCAAGGCAAATCATGGCTTGGTGCAGATGCAGGGCTTTTTTTCAGGACGCAGTTCCAGCGCCTCTCAAGTGGGCGCTGTTGCCATGATAAAAGAACAAGGGAGGTGTTCATGGTGAGTTCCGGCCCCTCTTTAGAAAAACAGCACTGTGCAGATGCATGAACATGTGGGTTACTGGAGAAGAGACCACACCCACTGCACTCCCCCGTCAGTCCTTATGCTGCAGCATTACCCAGGGCTAAAGCTGGGAGGTTAAAAAAAATATAATTTGTTGGTGTTATGTACTGAAGTTCTCTCCCTGGGCCAGCAGTGGGATACTGTAGATAGTTTTCACTCAGGTCCATATATGCAAATAAGGAATTGAAAGTGATATTCAGTGATTGGATAGTTACAGAAAGTTGTTACTGTTGCTTTGTAGTTGAGCTCTATATAAGCAGGTGGCTGAACCCTTCAGTTCAGTTCTGTTCTGGCCTGTGAATAAACAAGAGCTGTTTGAAGAATCGCTGTGTCATCTGATATGTTCACCCACAACTTAACAGTTGGCTTATAGTATGTGTGTGTATAACCATGGTTTAGCTTAGCATGGAGCGGATTTGCCTCAACCAGGGCTCCCAGTTTGTTTCATTCCAGACAAACTTTGAGCTGTAAGCTAAGAACAATCTTGGTTTGGCTTAGCAGTGCATGTGAACTGGGTCATTGTGAAAATGGAAACATCCCCCAGTGTATTAGTTTGAAGTAGCTGGGTTTTTTTGTCTGCAGAGTCTTCCAGCTTCTTCAGAAGAGGAAAAGAAAAAGGTGCTCCCAGGAGCAAAGAAATTACCTGGCCCAGCTGTAAACCTGTCAGAGATCCAGAATGTAAAGAGTGAGCTGAAATTTGTCCCAAGAGCTGAACAGTAGTAACAGGAATGAAAAGGTATGTCCAGGGGTCCCTTACCTTATCTTTTTTTACCTAAACTACAATGAAATATAGGGAACTTTGCTCTGGTTACAATTATCAGTATGGTGAGATGGAGTTGAGAACCTTGCATAAAAAGAAATGTCATCTTGTGGCAATTACCCTTGATTGAAATATGCTTAAGAATCAGAGAAATTATTCCAAACTACAGTACTGCATTTATCCTGTGAGTACTCCTTTTGGGGTCAGGTCACTGTAATGCTTTACCAAAGTGCCCTCTTATTTCTGACCAAAAAAATATCCCTTGAATAGACCATTACTCCCATTTTGCAAATGAAGGAACCCAAGCCAAGAAATAAAGCTACTGGTGGCATTTTTATTGCTCTGTAAACCAAAGGCAAATTTTGGAAATCCAATCCTAATGCAGTAGCAGGTCACTTCTAAAATATTCAGAAGCTAATTTCTATACGACCTCAATTTGTTCATAAAAATGCACAGGCCATAGTACACTCAATTAGCACTGCAATTATTCTTCTATTATTCAAATTATAATACATGCAGAGAGGCAAAATGTAGGTGGAACAATTATGTTTTCACTTTAAAATTAGAAACAATAGGCTTTGATCAACCAAAAATAAGTTGTTAATTGGCGCAAAAACAGATAATGTCTTGTTTCCATATAGTCTGCATGTGAAGTACAGCTTTTAAAAACCCATCTCAGGAAGAAGAGGAGCACACTTACAGAATAACGGGGCTCTCACATAGAGGCATCTACAATGTGCAGGATGGTGGCTCCACCTTCATGTTGTATAAGAGCACTAGAGACAAAAAACATACACTACAAATAAATGGCTGTTTGCCTAAATAGACAAATGCCGATAGCTCTGTCCCTACCCTTCCCCTCTTTTCTATCTCGTAGAATACAGCCCATACTCCAGTCCAGGCAAACAGCCATAGCATAAAGACTGAACCTTTATTACCCAGAATATCACTGTGAGATAGTACCCAATGTACCCATTCAAAATTGGGTAGCCTGGGTAAAGCATTAAAAAATGCCCCCCCCCTTCTCATTTGTAACAGGGGAGGATAAAAACCTTTTGCTTCAGCTCATTGAACCAGCTTGGATTTGCTTGTTATGGTTTCTGCCTTACCTTTTCTTATTTTGGTCAATGTCTTTTGTGTTCTCATCTTGCATTTTATTCTGTGAATCGCCCTGTGATCTTCAGATGAAGGGCGGTATACAGATTTAATAAATAACACAGCTGAGATTCCTACCACTGTTGCTTCTCACATGGAAAGGTTCATTTAAGGTGCCTTGTAGATGACAAGCCAGAGCTTAGATTCACAGCTCCTGTAAGGTTACCTCAGGATCATGCACCATGGATGTGAGGCCCCTATTGCTACAATTAAAGGATCAATCTTTTCTTGGCTTTGTTTTGGGGGAAAACTTGACGGGGAGGAAAGCACAATGTACAGGATGTAATGTAAAGGAGAACATAATTAGAGACTGCTGGCTGAGAATATTATACAGAACAGCTAATTCTCTGTTACATGGGCATTGTGTGATCTGTTTGAACCACAAAAATTGTGCTCAAGGTATTATGGCAACAGGCACTACCAAGAAAAGGTAATAATAAATAATGCAAATAATTAACCTTACAAATTGCACACACTTTCCAGCACAGAGAGTCTTCCAAATACCTTCATGAAAGACAAGGGCTAATTGTTCCTAAGGACGTGGAGTACACCTCTTCCCCTATTAATGCCTTAGTTAGGTTTGATAGAGCTGCATAAATTGTAGCCAATTAAGCTGACAAAGTGATCTCGAATATCACAGCTCCAACCCGGTAATCAAGCTAATTTATTTCTCACACACTTTTGTCTTCCATCACTCCCTTTTGTAATTTTTCCTCATGTCACTTGATAGGAGGCTACCTAATTACGGTGTTCACAGTCCTGTGCTCAAGAGCAGGCTAAGTTATTACTTCAGTATAGTGCTTTTAAAATCTTTATGTATGTTTTCACTTCAGCTTTTTTTGCTGGAGTGATTGCCTTTCATGCGTTGTGTAATTGTAAGCCCTCTGTTGTTGCCCATGAGACCACAAAACTCCCCTGAGGGTCTGAGAGACTTCACCTTCCATAGCCTGGGCTGTTGCCATAGGCCTGGACATGTCTATCTACACTTCAGCCGTCATATATATATATATATATATATGAGCAAGGCCTTGTTTTTCATCCCAGAGTTAGATCTGCTGATCTATATATCATGTGTTGTCCAACCATTTACCCACTAGAACATTCACATTTTTACAGCAGTGTGTTCAACAACATGGTTGTTGTTATTATCATCACAATTTATTTCCCGCCTTTCACCCTAAGGGTACCAGGGTAGGTTATAACTATTAAAGCACAACATTAATATTAAAAGCAGAGCTTTTTTCAGCTGGAACTCAGTTCCGGCACCTCTCAGGTGGGCGCCATTCTAAGAGAATGAGGGTGAGTTCCGGCATCTCTTTTTCTAGAAAAATAGCACAGATATTACACCATATTTTTTTATTTAAAAAAACACAGTTTAAAATGACTTATTTAGCACTGCAAAGTCAATTGGACTTATTCCAGTAAATCAGGGGCAGGCAACTTCCATCCTTTCAGAACAATCTTAGTCTGTCAGTGGGGTGATACCAGCTGATGGGTGGAGAAGAATGGTTTTGCCATGCTGGGTGCTGCTTTGTCAGAAAGCAGGACTGAACCCTGGTGAGTAGAGAGGTTAATCCTGCTTAGTGCTGCTTCAGCAGCACCTTTCCCTGCAAGGAACACTCTGGAGAAGCAGACACCTGCAAGGAGCAGGATTAAACCATCTGCTCACCAGCTAGTGAGCGGAGAGTTCATCCAGCTGAATGCTGCTTCGCCAGAGCATTGCCTACAGAAAAACAAACAAACCCAAAATAGAGCTGTTAGGGCGTATCCCCTAGCAGTATTGAAATCAGAATGCCAGTGCAGGTTAATGCAGCTACTTACACATCACCAAGACATTTAATCCCCATGGCAACCCTGTGAGGTAGGTTAGGCCGAGAGGCAGTGACTGGCTCAAGGTCACCCTTCAAAGTGGGGATTTGAACCTTGTTATCATATACAGTGGTACCTCAGGTTAAGTACTTAATTCGTTCTGGAGGTCTGTTCTTAACCTGAAACTGTTCTTAACCTGAAGCACCACTTTCGCTAATGGGGCCTCCTGCTGCCGCCGCGCCATCGGAGCACGATTTCTGTTCTCATCCTGAAGGAAAGTGCTTAACCCGAGGTACTATTTCTGGGTTAGCAGAGTCTGTAACCTGAAGCGTATGTAACCCGAGGTACCACTGTATTCTGGTCCAGCACCATAGTCGCTAGGTAAAAAGGTAAAAGGTAAAGGACCCCTGGACGGGTAAATCCAGTCAAAGGCGACTATGGAGTTGCGGCGCTCATCTTACTTCAGGCCGAGGGAGCCGGTGTTTGTCCACAGACAGCTTTCTGGATCATATAGCTAGCATGACTAAACTGCTTTTGGTGCAACGGAACACCATGATGGAAACCAGAGTGCACAGAAACACCGTTTACGTTCCCACCACAGCAGTACCTATTTATCTACTTGCACTGGTGTGCTTTCGAACTGCTAGGTTGGCAGGAGCTGCGACAGAGCAATGGGATCTCACCCCGTCATGGGGGTTCAAACCGCTGACCTTCTGATCAGCAAGCCCAAGAGGCTCTGTGGTTTAGACCACAGTGCCACCTGCGTCCACCACACTGGCACCAGTATGCCTTTGCCAGTCGTCATTGTCAGACATTGATGGCTAAATCTGAAGTTAACAATTCAGGCCTGGAAAGAGTTGAACTCCTAATTTCTTTCGTGTAGGGTGGGGAGGGAATGTTAACCTTTCTTTGGCTTTGAAAAGGCCTGTTTATTCCCTCAGTAATATGTAAAAGCAGGCCTGCAGCTTTGAGTTGTGTTTGTTCTTTATGCCATTTGCTGCCTAGGAGGAAGCTTCGTTCCAAATTGCTATTACGCCAAGCCCGGCCATATGAAACTGTTCATATAGCACAAACAATAATAATGTAAGTGCACTTAGAAGGAAAAGCTCTTGCTTCTTCTTCAGACAAACAGACCGGGGAGAGAGTGGCTTGCCTACATCTGCACTTTGTAATAGCTGCAACCCTGGCTCCAAAAGTGCTCAGTGAGAATGAGCTTTCTCTCCCCCCCCCCCCCCGTACAAACATAAAAGGGTGAAAGCAGCAACCCCAACAGCAATGGAACTCCCGCTTGTCAGGGTAAAGGAGTATATACGAACTGACATGATTTCTTTTTTTTTTTTAAAGCAATTTATTGGGTTTTACAATAAGAATAAATGTAATAAACAATATAGCATTCATCTTAACATAATTTCACATTTTCTTTGGACTTCCTCACATCTCCCGCTCCCACCTTCATCATTATAACATTTTGTCAGCAATTTATCAACTTATTTAAATTCTTATATCTCTTCGATATTTCATAATCTTAAAGTTCTCATAAAGAGTTAAACTTTCACAACTTTTCTTGTTTCCTTAAAAATTTCTAAGTTAAGTGGTGCTCAGTTATTTAGTCCAGCATCTTATTCAGCATTCAATCAAATCGCAATGTTTTTGTAGGTAGTTCTTAAATTTCTTCCAGTCCTCCTCGATTCTCTCTTCTCCCAGGTCACGGATTCTGCCAGTCATCTCAGCCAGTTGCATATAGTCTATCAGTTGCATCTGCCATTCTTCCAGTGTGGGTAGATCTTGGGTTTTCCAATGTTTTGCGAGTAGTATCCTTGCTGCGGTTGTTGCATACATAAAATATGTTTGGTCCTTCTTTGCCACCCCTTGGCTGACAATACCCAAAAGGAAGGCCTCTGGTTTCTTAGTGAAAGTATATTTAAATACCTTTT